AATGTGTTTCCGTGGTCAAGGCTGGGACGCAATAAACCCATGCCAGCCATCGTCCCATAGCGCCTCCAAATGCATGGCTCATGAGAGCTCTATTTTGGTTCATGATCCGTCTCTGGCCGATGCTAATCTGCTGAGAAGCCTACAACAAGAGAATGAGGGCCATGGTGAGTACATGAGCCTTATTTTTAGATGATATGACTCCTCATCTATGGCGTTCTTAAATGGTCCAGTCCATGTTTCTTAGCAACCCTCTCTCTAGCTCTCCCCCACGCCCGTCTGCTCTTTCTATGCAGCTGTGCCATTCATGTTGCGACTCTACGGCATCAAGTTTCCTTGCATGGGTTCATATCTAAATTGCAGGCAGATGTTGTAACAGTGGAGAGTCTCGCGGCACATGCTATTATTCCCTTGATAGAAACTTTGTGTTCTGTTAAATGAGACGATCTCGCAATTCTGCTCCAATCTTCGAACGTGAAAGACAGCACATCTCGATGAGTCCATTACGGCCAAACCGAGGGCATACTAGGCCGAGCTTACTGGCTCTGGTTCGCCAGGCTCCCGAACGACGTTATATCATGCCAAGATAACACAACTGCGAGACCTATCAAGGGTTGACATATGCTGACCTCGTCTTTATTGCACAACCTAGACCACGTCTGCCTTTCCAACCGTTACTGATCGGTTGCTATCTCTCTGATACCGATTTTAATGCAACCCCACAGACCCTGATAGCTGAGACCTTTTCTGTGCCCAATATGGATCCTTACTGCTGAGGGTGAGGCACATTATACATACGCACATACAAACCAGGCAGATATCTTGTCAAGCGTAGGTACTACACTACACCCGCATAAGGCAGGACAGGGTTCTTTTTTAGCCGGCGGCCCATCGAAATAGGACGCATCTGAGCTCTCTAGCGACATGTAGGACGGTTGAGGATTACCGCTTCAGCTCGCTGCAAGTCACTATCACGAATCACGAGCTTGTGCCCGACACCACACCAAGCCATTTCAAACCCACACCAGCCAGCGCATGTGCTGCGCTGCGATCTCTTCCTTCAGCCCTGATCCCAGCCACCAGGTTCCTTTCTTGAAAAACATGCAGCAATTTTCTGCGTCTGCGGTGTGCGGCTGCATTCGTGCCGCTCTCTGCATCGAGCTACCTACTTGCTTCTGTGTCTCTTTTCTCTTGGCCGTTCCGGAATATACTGCCTTATCGGTACCACGCGCCATCTGGCCTTATCCACCCCGCTTGCTCGTTGTCGTTGTGGTTCCTTCAATATGCTGTGCCTCATGCTTCCCCAGCCCTCCACCCAATGTCTTGCATATCCTCCCCTCCAGAATTCGCTGACCGGCTGCCCCTTCATCGCCGCGTCATCAGTTCTCCTTCCTCTACCTAATTGACCGGTTGTTGATATTATTAAAAACTGTACACCGCCGTTTGTTGTACTCATTCACCGAAGAAAAGACTGGTTGGGGCTTGCATTAGCCGTAGGTGCGCGTTTCTGTGCTGGCGCCCTTACGGGCCGCTCGGCGCGAGGTTTTGATACAAGTGTCTCCATCTTTCTTGATGGGCGATGTCGCCATGGGGCTGATAGAACTGGGTCTGTCGCACCAGTACAACTTTTATGCAGGCATCAACATAAGCACGCAGCCAATCTGATCGAAACAATACGAGCGATCGGTTTAGGAACAGCCTGGTTGCGAGTCAGGTGGTTCAAGAGCTGGCTAGCAAACGATAAACCTCTCTTGGGCTATACATCATCGCCTCTGGTATTCAAGGCAGCATGCAGTAGGCAACTATCTCAATCTTCAATATGGGGTTTCAAAAGGACCATCTACGGAAGCAGCACCGACCCAATCACGACCAAGGCTTGACTTCTGTCAGATAAAGTTTATAAAACACAGGGCACGGGAAATGGCTGTTTGAACTCCGTCGCCCAATCATTGTCAGCCTGTAAGTCCCGAAATAATATAGTTGCATAGACAAGTTGACCGTACAATCTGAAATGGTCGCTATCTCGGTCCACTTCAGAAGTTCCAACTCGGAATTGCTATTAACAGTAATGACTAACGTGTCGGCAAACAGTATGTGGTATCTAATGCGTTATAACAAAGATGAAACGTAGCAAAACTCTCTAGAAACGTTCTAATGGGTATCAACAGCACAGCTCCCCCAGTCCAAGGCCATAATCGCAAAGTATGCAGGAAGCTACTCTGGTGAAAAGACAACTCCAGGCAACGACTGACAGATTAAGAGTGGCAAAAGCAGAAAAAGCAAAGTAGAGGTCAAACATCTAGACTCTTGTCCGTTGCGTGGGTGCGAATGTCGATGCACCCTCTCAATAGCCGCACCTCTCGGCAACCTTTCTCGGGCCGTTCCGACCCTCTCACTCATCAATTCTTTTTGAAAAGTAGCCCCTGGATGATCGATCCCCTTCACACCAGACCATAGTAGATCCTTTCTCCACTCACTGAAACTGTAGTCGGATGATGGAAAATAGCATATTCTGCAGCACGTGCAGCATGACTGCCACACAGGTTGGCATCAGCTCTGGCCAGACAGCCAAGTCCAGCTTCCCCTCTAGGCCGACGTCGATTTGGAAGAATAGTCGGATAAGTCCCCGCACGGCAAGACTCGCCACCAACTCACACGCCCACGTTACCGATGAGGCGTAGAAGGTGAGGCCAAAGTTGTAGTCCTCTCCCTCCGTATCGAACGCAAAATATGGGTAGACGTCTTTGTTGGCGCCGAAATGCAGTACTAGAATACTTCCAAGGAATGCAACCATTGAGACATTCTCGGCAAGAAAGCGGATGAAAACATTGCGGGTCTGGAGCTTTTGGTACGAGCCAAAGCTTTGCGAGTTCAGCCCGAGAATTGTTAAGAGCTTGTGCACGAAGGAGGTCATCATGATGGGCGTGATGACAACCAGACCTGTTGATGACAAGATCTGGAGGGTTATGAACTGTTGAGGTGAACGCAGTCGTGCATATAGTGCGCGAACGTACATCTGGTAGGTTAACATGAAGTACCTGGTTAAGGTGTCAGTAGTGGAAACAATGATATCCGCAGGGATCAAGGCTTACAGTTTGAAGATCCAGCTCAAAGGATAGCTTCCGACACGCTCACCCTCTCGAATTCCTAGCACCCAGCCACTTAGAGCGTCTAGCAGGTGCACCGTCGCAACCCAGCCATAGACATATACTACTGTCTCCAAGTTGTTGTGTGGTAAGGTTCGGAGGTAGATCTCTGCGTATGCCTCTCCGATCACATATGCCATGAGTCCAATAAACAAAGCAACGCAAAACCATAAGAAGCGCACAAAGCTTGCTGGCAACCACAGTCGGCGCATCCTAACGCCCTGTGGCCTTAGCTCGGGTTCAACTTGAGTTGTGTCTGCATCGAATAGATCGGCCGTGACATTGCGGCGTCGGCGGTCCCTACCGTTGAACATGTCTGGCTCTCCGGTCCACCAGGATGTGGTAAAGATGCGTTGAGTTTCTGATAACGAGTGACGAAGCCCGATGTGCCGCTCATTAGTTGTGAGAATGATAAAGGCGATGGTGACAGGCAAGGCCATGATGATAAAGGTCCATGAAATCCATGCGGTGTTGTGGACGAGCAGATAGCGCGCCTTGTCATTGTAGTACATGGGTATAGGGACGGCGATGGATAAGATGGCGATGAGTGAGACGGTAAGCGGGAAACCCAGAGACTGGGGCCACCAGTTGAGGCTATAGAGGTTGAACACCTTCGTGATCCAGATAAGAGCAGTGAGGTTGTAGAAACCATAGTAGACGAATAGGAAGAACCAAAAGTTGACTTGAACTCGGGCAGCTCCGTGACCAGGCGTCCTAGATCCGTCGGGGAGTCTATCCTCGTCTCCATCACCAGTATTGTCATCAGGAATTCTATACTGAGGAAAGGGTATAGAACACCACGCCACAGCCTATTTTCATGTTAGTTGGTTCTTTGTTGTTTCATTGCAGCTCCAACACATACCAACAAGGCCGGCATCAACACCAGAAATGCATACCGACTCCACCACTTATCAACGACTCTCTTCACCGCTGACTGCCTCGGATCAACCCAAATATCCAACACCCATCGTTGCCAAAGACGCTGCCACAAACTCCTATCGTCCTCAAGGTCATAATCACTGTCCGTATCGTCGTCATCTGCAGGAAAAGCACCGTATCCAAGTATATGCACGCTGCCTCTGTTGTCTGCGGTATTCGAGAAGAGACCGAGTTGGCTGCGCCGTCGAGACACAATGCCAGGACGCGGGGGAACAGCGCGGAAGCGGCCTAGGAGAGGGGCCGAGTCGTTGGGTCGGACATGCGACTCGGTGCCCTGCGTGAACTGGAAGAAGCTGGGCATGGGATGAAGGGAGGGAGTCGGTGTAATCGAGTTGTAATGTCGGGCTACATTGAAAGGTTTGGATTATATATTATGGCGTATTCTGTATAGAAACTCGATGGCTTGCGTCTCGAGTTCTTCAAGTTACGTTAATTGGATGCGTCGGGTATTAGAAGAATGATTATGTTGAAATGTCGGTATGGTGAATTCGGAAGTTGGTGTTGTTTTGTCTAAGCTTTAGATTGGGCTGATGTTGGTCCGTATCTCGGCTGACAACATAGCAATCGAACAGGGGTCCAAGTTCCATCTTCCCTGCTATGACGCGCTACCTGTGTTAGTGACCTTCAGAGGATGGATATGTGGGCAGGCCATTTCAGGGTCCCTCCCGTCCTTCTAAGGAACTTCAAGTGGACTTTCATCTATCAGATTCTCTTTCATAAAATCCAAATCTTTTTATACCCATCGAATCGCTATAGAGCTGAAACCTGTGCTTTTCTTCGACCGAGTATGAACATACCTTCCTCGAGGTTTTGAGGCTGTGAAGGCAACAGGGACTGCTACACCCGTTATCTGTGGCATTATGGATGGGAGAAGTAGGTAGTGAATGATGGAATTAAGTAGAACAACATCGCATTAATTGCGTGTGATATTACAAAATATAACTATCCATACATGTCCATCAACGCCACAGATTAACGCCTTTTCTAACTGACTCTACTCTGAGGTTGTGCTCAGACTCTCTACGAACGACTCCTCATCCTGCTCATCTACAAGCACACCCCCAGTAATATCATCTGAGAAGGCCACCGTCTTGGCTGAAGCATGCTTTGCAGACGGCTCGACCAAGTCACCACTCCAAGGCTTGCATTCTTTGACATGCTCACCGCAACGTAGACAGGTCCAGCCCTCGCCTTCTTCTCTCTCCAGGCGAGTAGCCAAGCAAACGAAACAGTATACACACCCACAAGGTATTGTCTCATATGGATTGGTTATGTCTGTTTGGGCTGAACCAATAACACCACTAGATGCTGCTGCTGCTGCCATTACTTCGTTCTCAGAAGTTGCTGTATTCTGGTCCTGGTAGCAAATTGCGCATGTTCTCTCAGGGAGAAACGCATATTCACCATTAGCCTTGCCTTCTTCTTGAGGTCCCGTTCTGATAATGTCTTTTGTTTTCCGCCATGTCCTGGTCAGCCAGCGTCGCCATCGCTGGATTCCGATTAGGGGTAGCACGAAAAGCAAAAACTCGGTGAAGGCATGCCAGACAAGTTGCCTGTTGAGATACTCGAATGAGACCTCTCTGCTTACTTGGCTTGTGGGTGGCGCAAGTCTCATTCTGAGGATTCTATCAAGTAGTGTTCGGTATCGTCCGTGCAGTAAGAAGACAAGAAACGAGGCACATGCTGCTGCTGAGTGAACAGTTGAAAGGGCAGATGTCAGTTTCGATAGTCGCTTTAGTCGGGGACTTGGCTCGTCGTATCCATCGTCATGCTCCAGAAGCCAGTCCTCCCATCTCGTCCAAGCATAGTTTCCAAATACTGTGACGAGTCCATAAAGCGATTTCTGCACCTTTGAGGGTGCTTTGAGGATAAGCCCGTCGTTTCTGGCGTCAGTGTATTTGAGGTTCTGGAGAGCCGCTCCATATGTGGCATCGTGGTCCCAGACAGTGAGTTTGAAAAGCATCGCCCTCAGAGCTAGCATAATTTCAGCTGACCAGTCATCATGCAGATGCCCTCCACCAAAGTATTTGAGACCCTCGCAAACCTGGTCCTTGAGAATGTCCAAGAGCTCTACATCGAGTAATTCGGCATCGACTTGTCCTACTCGAAATGCAGGGCGCGTGCCCTCCCTTGTCGACACAGCATCCCAGGCAGATCCTATGCGATTTAGGGGGTAAGGCAAGCGCTCGAGGTTTGCTCTTGGTCGAGAAGATTGCCGCTGTGCAGCGATGCGAGCGGCGGCTTCGGCTTCACGGGTTTGGCGACGCGCAGCAACGCGGCGTTGGGCTTGGACGAAGCTCGAGTCGGTCATTTGACTTGATGCATGCGCATGAGGATGAGGGCGATCGTTAAGTTTCGGGTACTTAATTGGGGGTCTATCGGTCGATTTGCTGGTGGGTTGGTCGAGTTACGGTTGGGTGAAGTGAACTTTCGTTTGTTACAGGTGATAGAAGCAAAAAGGGACCACGCAGTTCAGCTCGTCTCAGCGCATCACATTGGATCTCATATGGGGTTGTGCGGGCCCATGCTAAATTCCCCCCATGACGACAAGACCGGGGGTTGTCGAGCAGAAGCCGAGCCGAGGTGTTACAGTGCCTAGGCCTTGTCGGCTACTTTACCGTACCGTGCATGTTCCTCCCTCTTGCCATTGACTCGTAAAAGAGTTCTCCATAAGGGACCTTTTATTTTCACGCGCTTGTCTCACACCATGCTCACTGAGACTTGCTTTAGCGCTTGTTCCCACTCTAGACATTGTGTCTCTGTCTCCGTCTCCGTATGGGCCGGGCCATAAGCCGGGACCCCCTTCCCGCTGCAACTGCTCTCTTTCCCCCACGAAACGCCCTTCCTCTTACTGGTTCCCCTTGTTCCAATGAGGAGAGGATGCCAGAGCTCGAATGGCAGTTACACAGAACTTGAGATGGCAAGTGCGGCTCAACTCGCCCCAAACCACCTCAAAGCTTCTGTGCTTCAAGAAATCACATTGCACCCAACAAACTTCAGCCGATAACATCAAACAATGAAAGTCAGAGATGGCCCATACTAAAAGCGTCGTAACTCGTCAGGAAACCAACAACCAGGCTCTGGGAAACTGAGCCACCCTTACTTGGCGCAATTCGGTTGCTGTATGTGTGTTTGAGGCTTGACCAGCATCAAGGGCGCTATGATATCTCCGATAGCCTTGTATGCAACCAGTATGTCCCAAACACCTGGGAGCTGGGACTATGACGATCAGCTGCATGGGCACTGTCTTACACAGAGTTCCTTTGGAAAAAGCAATTTTTATATTGGTTGTGCTGCGTTTGCATCTGCATCGCGACTCTTCTGATGACTTCTTACACGTCAGAAACATGAATCCCTCAGCCGGCGACCAGACATCTCCTCCTCTGTGGATACCATGCGAACAATCAGAGCTCGAGTTACTAGCTCATGGGACAGAGTGGCTGCTCTTAGGAACTCTATTGCTTACTGCCCTAAGAGAGACGGGAGCTTTGCGAGGCCCGATCCGAGCGGCGGTTCAACAGTTGTCCAACAGTGGAGATTAGCCTGCCTGCCTTGGCTTCACTTCAACGACAACCTTCAAACGCATAATCAAACCACACATACACCATCTAGTATGTCTCAGTGAAAATTCCCTGGTACTAGATGCACCGACAACCCGGTACTCATGCCAGAGTTGTCATCATTGAGTTGGGAGCGGCCCATTCTTGGCGCTTCTGGACTCTCGTGGTCCGCGAGCCTAACAACGCGAGACCAGTAGCATGATCACTTGCGTTTGTCTTCTAGGTCACAGCTGCGACAACTCTCAATGAATGAAAGCCAACATGGAGATGCAGGCGGCCGTTTTCTGACAGATCTTCCTCGTACCTGGTCCTCGACTGGGAACCCATATCCACGCCACATACCTACCAGCCAACACGACTGGAGGAGTCAGGTATCGCAACATGGTTCTGAGATTTGAATCTAACTCAACTATCCCCCTCTTCCAATCAAGATGCGTTGGATCATTTGCTTTTGTTCAAGCCTGACGACCATCTTCTCTGCCCTACGCCTCCACCATGTTGCACTGGTACCATGTATTCGTATTGAATTCGTAGTTCCATCCACCTCCTTCCACTTCTATTCTTTATTATGCGTGCATATATCCCATAGCTCTGGCACTTACCACAAACCTGCTCAACCTGTTGGTTCTTGACAAACAGACTTGGTTCGGTGCCACGACATATCCATTATGATTCCAGCCTGACTGTTAGACCCTACCACTGGTGTTTGCCAATAAAGCGAAACTAGACGATATCTTTAGACTTCTTTTCGCCATCACTTGGAAGACCCGGTCTGTCGATCAAACTATGGCAAGTTCATCACAAGACGAAGTTTCACCTGGGATTGAGCTCAACTCGGGTCAGAAACGAGTTGGTAAAGAAAACTCCAAAGCTCAGCAGCGCGTCTCTCTAGCTTGCGTTCCTTGTCGTAGTAAGCATATAAGGTGCGATGGAGTTGTCCCAGAATGCACTCGATGCAAAGAAGAGGGCAAACGGTGCTTCTACATGAAAACACGTCGAGGGATCCGAGATCCAAAGAAGAGATGTTTGATGAAGGAAGAGGCTCTGGTGAACGACCAAGATGACACTACAGAGAGCACACCGTCGCCGAACCTTGCTGGGCCCGGCATTTCGTTCCCCCAAATCATACCCTCCACAAATCGCAGTACCATACATCCATTCGACCTCTACTACGCCAACTTTCACGTCGCTCACTCTTGGCTACCCCCAAGAAAGACACTGGACGAACTCTGCGAAGCGCAACCAGATAATTTACGTTTCCTTGTTGCCACAGTTACCTACATCGGGTCTCTATACTCGGACATGGTCGACAATACACTGCTACGAGAGAAGGCTTACCAAATGTCGCGTGAGACCCTTCCCCCGACAATCTGGTCAGTCCAAGCACTACTATGTCTTGCTGTTGCAGCATTCGGAGAACAGCGTGGTAACCTTGGCAAAATCATGTTTAACGAAGCCTGTGTGCTGGCTCTTTGTCTGGGGCTTCAGAATAAGAAGTTCACCGATGGGCAAACAGACTCAATCCTCGCCGAATCATGCCGCCGGACATATTGGGGATTATATATACACAAGATGTTGCTCGGTTTGCGACAAAATCAGCTTTGGTCAGCACTCTACCCTTCAGTGTCCACTTTAGGTGTAGAGCTCCCATGCGAAGATTGGGACTACCAGGCCGGTGTGCGTAACATTTGTTCGGGATAGCCACTCCATGCTAACTTCTCATTAGAATATTCCAGTACCAGTGACTCTTGAAGAGTACGATCGTCTGAAATCCTTTCACGAGTACTCTTCTTGGGCCTACTTCGTTGATATTGTTCGTATATACGATCGTCATGTGGCTCCATTTCTTCATGATCGTAGTCAGGCAACCCAGCATAACCTGGAGTTTGCAAATCAGCGAATCTATAGATGGCGATTCAGAATTACAAAGCGGAAAATGTGTCGCGTTGGCGAAGATGGTATGTTTGATATGATAATATACCATGCGGTAAGTTCTTTGACTCGTTCAGGGGCTAGTTCGGCTGCTTACAATTTACCTTGTAGTTGGCGGTCTCTTTTGGGTAAGTCAAATCCCCTTGAAAGGCCGTATTTAGATGGCTAAATCTGTCTGAAGTCTTGAGATCCGGATGCAGGGTCATCTCCACGGACACTCGAATCAATATACCACAGCTTCATGGCCTCATGGAGTTTCTACAGAGCATGACGCTTCGCTACCACTAGCTCTCCAAGCGCCATTACGTCTTATGACTCTTCTTGGTCCTCATATTGTACCAGAGAAACTCTCCCCTTCATGCTTACTTGATTTGGAACTGGCAGCTGCACCTTTGTGTGATACCGTGCGCCACAGTGCAGGTCAGCCAGAATACAGATCCAGAGTTTCATTCTGGGCAGAGTTCTTCAAAAAGTCTGGGGAGTCCTGGCCCAGGTCTAAGGCGCTGTCTGCTGCTTTCATGGTGGCACTGGGGGGAGGTGGCCATGGGCATGGGCATATGGAGCTTTCTCAGACTATGCCGCCAGTCGCTGATACAGTTACTTCCACAACCGAGGGAAATTCTCTCTGGATCATGTCGCCCACAATAGAGCATATGGGTGGTTGGTCAGGACTGCCATCACACTTGCTGCGATATGAGTTGGAGACAGTTCGGGAGGGAGGTCCAACTCAAGTTCCTGGCGGAGACATGATAGCATCGGATATGACAGCTGGGGCAGGGAGTTCCATTTCGAATACTTACATCGAAGCAGGATATGGAGGAGACAACTCGATAAGAGGTTCTGTTCCTGTAAAAGTCGAGAGGATGTGACTATAGAGTGTGCTCGTGTTGTTGTATGTACATAGATAGGATTTGATGTAGTTGGGAGGAGGAAAGGGTAGTGAATAAGACCCAGAGTTCCTGAGAATTGATCAAATTGGTGATCTATTCAAGGGGAAACGTCAAGATGTGGAAGAAAGTTGCTTCGGTATAGGCTTTACTGTTTGCTTGGATCGTTTTTGTTTAGTCAAGTCATAAATATTTTGTTGTCTTAGAAATGCTAAACAAATAAGTTGATTTCACTGTATGTCTTTGAGCTCGATTGGGAGTACTATAAGTAGAAAGTTGCAAGGCAAGCAACTCAGGCGCGTTTATCTACGCCCAGGAGTACCGTACTACGTTGACATTTAAGAGAAGTTGGTCATAGATCTTATTCACTGACGTCTAATTAAGATGGTGACCGTTGGTACCCTAGACTTAAAAAATACATTGACCACGAGGTCTCGGTCAGCCTCTATTTGTCCCCACTATTGGCCGACGCTACCTAGGCAGCGTGACAAGGGTCTACTCACTACTGTACGACTGAAAGAATAGATAGAAGTTAGTCTTAAGGTATCGATATACCAGTGACGGTCATGGCAAATTAGCAGACTATATTGGATGTCAGATAGATCTATTTGACTCTTGAGGCACAGGGTCAATTGAATTAAGAAGTCGAATAATGCTTCGAATTACAAATATTAAACTCCAGTGTCGTTCACCTTTTCTTCCACCCCCTGTGTTTGTCCTTCCCCACTAAGGTTTGGTGGGTAGTGACCTCACTTACCCTCCCCCAGCCGTGCAGCTCTATTTGCCGCCTACCTTGCTCTTACATCATTCAGAAAGACAACAACCTAACAACATCAACATCATTTTAACGCCCATTCACGACCTGAAACATCAAGCGCACTTTCACCGATAATCACTGTGAACATTAATTACAACTGCCGATGACTCATCGCTCCTAGATCTTCCGCCAGCCTACGCTAACGGCGCCGGTCAGCGCTTCACGATCTAACTTGGCGCATATTGTTATCTAACATTCTACACTATAAATACGACACTTTCGCCACGTACTCGCCTATCTGATGCGACCAGACGTCGCGTCCGTATACCTCTTGGACTGAGGCGACGTTATCGTGACGCCTGCTCGTGCGCGACTCTGCCGTACTCGAGCGCTGAAGGTGAACAACATGGGATCTTCGCGCCAGCGTGAGCTTCGACCCGAAGACTCGTGGCGCTTTGTTGAAGGCGAGAACGACAGTTTCGACACAAGTATTCTCCCATCGCTTGGAGAATCATCACCACCTACATCTTCAGGCAACATACCCTCACAGCCTTTCTCTCAAGGAAATCTCAGCTTCGCATCGCAGGACAGCATTCGAGACTTTGGCGCCGACCCAGACGACGAGCAGGTCATTCTACGAGAGCCTTTTAGACCTAGTCTTTCGCGCGCAAGTGTGAGCGCAAGCGGAGAGCGAGTCTTTAGATCACCCGATCCAGAGTTTCACATGCCGCGCATCGATACTGCCAGCGAGGGAAGTAGTAGGAGTGAGCGCACGATAAGAGGACTGGGTATAGGATATGGCGGCGACGAAGGTGTGAGGAGGAGGGGAAACCCGACAACTTCGAGTCCTCCAAAGCAGAGAAATGCGCGCCCAAGATATGAGACTGAAGGTGAATATTATCGCCACCAATATCGCGAACAGCCACGGCCAACAGTTGGAAATCAAATCTCTCAGAGTATCCCTACGGCGATTTACAACACACTTGCATGGTTTCTCAACGTTATCGGGCTAGCATTCCGATACGCTCAGAAACCTTTTGCGATTCTACTGGCTATCTATCTTTGCTTTGGTGGTCTTATTATCGCACAGAACATGGCAACTCGCTCTATCGCCGCATCTCTATCGCCTCTTTGCCGTGTCCCGGGAGCATCGCTATTAAACCTTCCGTTCTGTCCTTCTCTGGATACGATAGTTCCTGCTGGAGGCGATGGATCCCCCGTCGAGTTCGATGATCTCATGAATGTGCAGTCAAAGTTCGAGCAAGTTCTCGAAAAGAGCTCCGACGGAGTATCTCTCCCATTTGAGATGAAACGATCTGAAACGGCCATCCGAGATTTACGCAGTCTTGTGCGACACAGCGATCTACAAGCTCGCGATGAGTTGCTTTTTGAGTTCGACGGCTACATCGATACGGCGAGGCAGACGTCTTCGGACTTACAGAAGTTCAATACTCATGTTGGCTCTGCCGTTGATGCTGTCATAAGCATCAATCGCTGGACATCTCGTTATCTCGATACTCTATCCCCAGAGGCAGATGATGGGAAGTCGATTTCCTCACCTTCTCCTATTCTTGGCTGGGCTTCGTGGCTCTTTCACCCATTCCAGCCAACTACAGATCATATCTTCAACGAGCGAGTTCTCCTAGACAAGTATATTGAACATACGGCTCTTGTCTCGGACCGTATTGCGACTCTGATCCTTGAAGCGCAGGCCGTTCTGCGCCTGCTTACAAAAGCCGAGGATCATCTGATGCTCATCTACGATATCAGTTCTCGTTCCTCTGCCGATACGGCATCTCGTCGTGAAAACGTCCTCTGGAACATCTGGACACTTGTCGGTGCAAACTCGAACCAACTCAACAGCCTTTCCCGCCAACTGGCTCTTCTGCGCCAGGTTGATGCCCAGCGTTCTTCAGCAGTTGCACAGGTCAACGCGCTTATCCTCGAACTCGAGAGCATTCAAGCTGGTCTTGGCGACTTGCGTGACCGTGTTGCTGAGCCAGAGGTGCTCCGTAATGGTATTGGCAGTGGACCTCCAATTCCTCTAAGCGTGCACATCGAGACCGTCGATCGAGGTGTCGAGCGTCTGGAAGACGCAAGAAGCAGAATTCGTGCTGCTGAGAACGATCGCGTCCGGGATGCACTTGCCAGAGGCGGAGTCCGTAATGAGCCGCTTCTGGAGGGTAAAGGAAAGCGTGGTGAAGGGAGTTGAGCAGCACATAAGAAAATTAGATTATTGAACTTTGATTATGTTTGGCGTTTGGAGCGTACCTAGAGCGAGAGACATCAACGATTTGACTCCTCGGATTTCAGGAAGTGGACGTAGGATATATTGGTGCATGCAGGGAATAGTTGGTTCTTGGAGATATATTATAAACTGGGGTGAAATATAAAAATCTTAGTCTTTGATATTGTTTCTCATGTTGCTTCATATCATGATTGTATATTGTTTGAGTACATGTTTGTTAATGGCTGGTGATTTCTTCTTCACAAGAAATGATTCAACCATAGTGGAAAACCCAATGGTTTATCCAGTCCAGAGCCCGGCAACTATATGGAAAACATACAATTAGTAGATGGGATGCCATTGCTAGCCCATTGCTCTGCACCTCCTGTCCTCTCAATGAGCCCCGATATATACAATTCTCGTAAATCCAACCAACGAACGCCTCATTAAATGCCTTTCCAATGCACCAATGCACCCGATAAAAAGTCGTATAATCAATGGCCTTACCAGTATCGGCCTAGATCCCAAAACCTTGTCCATGACATAAACGCCTGACCTATGCTGCCCATTCAAATGCAAGAGATGTTTTCTGACCCTGATGTTTATCAACGCAGAATTAGAAATAGCCTGGGAAAACTTTTGAGAGCGCTCGTAGCCCTGCGTTCATGTCAGTGTATGCTTTGAGGTCCATTTAGATAAACGACTTACATATTGCCCTTTGAGAATCTGGATCGTCGAAGGGGGCATTCTTGGCTGCAATTTCGCGCATGCGTTGTCGAGCAAACGAAGAAGGACTTCCACGTCTTGGCGTTGGACCCGTATTCAACTCGGAATTTTCTGGCTGTGTTGGGAGCATATTCAAAAGTCGAGGTCTGGGCCTTCTTGTTTTTGGGATCTGGGCTGGAGCTGGTGGGCGAGTATTTGGTTCTGGTCCTGGTCCCTCGGATTGCGCGGGGGTGGATGATGCTGGTGGCGTTTCTACTCGTTCCTCCTCATTCGTTGCTGTATTTATAGCAGGCTGTCGTCTGAACTTGGGTAGCTTTAAAGTAACAAGTGGCGACGAGGAAGGCCGTGAAGGTGATGTCGAGGTTCGGAATAGTCGTTTACTCCAGTCCTTCATCTTCGTGTTATCACCTTCCTCGGATAAATCCTCAAGATCGACTCTTTGACGTAATTTTCTTAGAGCGCGTTCTCGACGGACCATCCCATTAGTGATTCTTGGACTGTAGCCTCTGGGCAACATTGAATGCTTGCACATAGGACAGAGCGAACTGTTCTTTGACAGAAACTCGTCGATACATTCGGGATGGAATATGTGACCGCAAGGAAGCTCTCGAATGATAGTTACTCGGTGTTCGAAATTTGTGAGGCAGATGTGACAACTAGGTTGGAAATTAGTAGCAGCATTGTCGCCCGAGGCCCCGATATTGGATCTTTTGCTCCGGACACTGGTACCGGATCGTACGCTCCGTTGATCGAATCCTCGGCTACTTCGCATGCGTCGTGTAGATGATGGGGTCGGAGGAGGCGCTGTCGAATCCGGGTCCGCGTTGTAAGTAAACAGAGGGAAGCTTGCGATATGGGTAGCGGGTACTGTCAGGCGCTTAATTCCCATGGCTTCGAGATCGACTTCGCCAGATTCAACTCTTTTTCGAAGTGATATACGTCGTCTTCGTTGAACAAGGTGCATGGTTATCGAGACGAATGCAAATATGGCAAGCAAGGCACCAATTACTATAAGAAAGAAGGCCCAGAGCGGTGGAATATCGGATTCGTCCTGTACGCTGAGTTCGGTCCAGATACGGACATAATCCTTCGGATTCGGACCATAAAGTGTGCTGATATTTTCGCCATAAGGTATGTCGTCCACACTGCCTGAATAGTAACTCAGTTGCCGCATCATATTCTGGCCTTCTTGACCAGAAATGGCGTAAATCGGATATTTGTTGACAGTCATCCAGGCTCCACCATCCTCCAGATTCCAAACAGGCGAGTCCGCATCTTGAGGCTGGTTTGACGAGTTGTTGGGTTTGTAAAAGATGAAGGCGCGAATGGGGTCGAGACGCGCAGAAGCAAGGTAGGCTAGGGTACAGTCGATACTGAACCACGGGGCGAGAGCGATGAGATTGTAATTGGTAGGAGGAAGATTATCTCGGCGGGTGACATTTTGAGGAATAAACTGGTATTGTTGCTGGTCGCACTCACGGTCGTTGTCGAGGTCGGGAACATAGAGGAGGCCGGTGATAAGGCCATTAGACGAGTCGGCATTTGTGGAGGTTAGTGTGGTGATGTTGGTAGAAATTCGCTCCTTATATGCTATGTCGGACTGTTTGCGTGGTCAGTCAATGCCAGACGAGACTTGTAGTTGCCTCGTCGCAACAGAATGACAAATGTCGAGTGGAGTTAACGCACCGAAAGAGCCGTAAGGTTTCGGATGATTGTCGACGGGACCGTACTGGCGCCGCTCCATACCGGATTACTGAATAGGAGGCTGATGAAACTGGTCAGTAATGTTCATAGCTTTAATGAAGCATAACGAGTGATGTCGTCTGATCGAAAGGTCGTAGGCGATGTCGTGTGGTTTGCTGAGTCGGTGCAAGCGGGGAGTCGAGGGCGGCGTAGTCGTTATGTCACGCCAGCGACTATGATAAGAAGAACGACCACGAGAATACAACGACGTTGCAGGAAAAAAGACTTAATAGAAGGAGTAAAGACATACACGACATTTCGTATCTCGGTGAGCGCTGGACGATTTGATGTCAGTTCGTGGGTTGCCAAGACTGGGGTATGATGCGAGGTTCTTGGCCTCGAACCCGCGGGCGCGGATGAGCAGGAACGGAACGGAAAGGGACAGACGCCCTTCGGGGAGAACGGATAGGATCAATCAATCAATCGCCATGTAGTGTCAGACGAGATGGAGCAAGGAAACAAGAGGTCATGGTGAAGCTTGGTTGAACAGAGAGTGATATAACTTACACATGCTTCTAAAACATATTCAATCATGGAATCGTAGGCATGATATGGCGTGCACCAAAGGCGCAAAAATTCAAGTGACGACCCAGGGTGACAGTGAGGATTCGATGATGAATGGTTTGACAGAAGCGAGTTTGTGAGGACAAAGTGACGTTGGAGGAGTCGGGTGAAAATTAGAATTGAGATTTGAAACCCGAAACTGAGTATGAAAATGAGAATGAGTAAAAAAGCAAGAGCGAACGAGATGGCGTTTCTGGGGGGAAAGAAAGACCGAGAGAATCAAGCGAGAGTAGGTAAGTAAGGTGGACTTGACTTGACCTGGACTTGGGTTTGGGAAACCAGGACGGAGGGTGGAAATGGGCCGGATGCTGATTGTGGCTGCCGCCGCTGGGGGTGAGTAAGAACAGAAAGACAAGCAAGAGCAAGAAGCAGGCAGGCAAGGACGGGAGGGAGCGGATGTGGATGGATAGGGTGGCCAGGCTGGTGGAGAAGGGGAAGGAGAGGCAATACGAAAGGGAGAAAGCGCGAGTGAGCGGTTTTGGGGGGTGACGAACTGAAGTGAAGTCAACCCGCCTGGCTGTCCTGGCCTGTCGTCTCCTGCCTAGGTCCTGCTGAGCCGTGAAAAGAGAGGGGGAGCCCTGAACTGGGAAACTGGATTCGATGAATGGCAGGGAAGGCAGGGTTGGGGGTGGAGAGAGTGATTGAGCGATTGAGTGAATTTGGACAGTTTCGTTGGTGGCGCGTTTCGGTTTTCGGAGTGTGACGATGGAACAAGGGTGTGAGAGTATAAGATAATTTTATGCAGGGACTGTTATCGAAGAGATATGAATCAACTATTTCAAGCAAAAGGATTGAGAGGACTCCATGACAAAACAGTGACACCAAAGTGAGCCGATGTGATCCGGCAGATATGATGAGTCGGTCCAGGCACATAAAAGTCCGATTCGAGACCAACTCCAAGGTGCGAAAAGTGTCGGGGGCCACGATGCGAATCGACCAAATCAAAAGAGACCTACAGGAACAGCTACAGCTACGTTGAGCTAGCTCTGTTTTAGGTGCAGGAACAAGAGCAGCAGAAGGAAAAGAAGTCAAAGCGATGGCTGATGCCAAGCCGGCTATCTCTTGACGACCCGAGCATTTGGGAAACAGGAAAATCAAGAGAATCGTCTTTTTTTGATCTGGTATGTAGCTGTCTTTGATAATCTCATTGATTTTGATGGTTGACCAATTAGACAACTCAACTCATAACATGGTCCGGACTTTAAGACAGACGGATGCTTGTAAAAGCCCGAGTCGGGAATAATAACGGAGTTGGCCAGGTCCAGGTGAGTTAGAGCAAGCCAATGTCTCAGTTTTTGAAATTCCAGTTGGTGTTATTGATATCAATGATGAATGAGTGTGAGGGTAGCAAACAGTCTAGAATAACCTAACAGAGCAATCTGCATTAGTGGTACAACAAAGCTTGTGCTATCCATCTCCATCAATCACAATCAACTTACCTCAGAAAAGGAAAGGATAGAAAAGGATAAGATCAGGCAGTCAAGATTTGTCCCGTCCACTTCCCCACAAACCAAAAGCTTGTTGGTCAAGACTTGAACGTATTGGGATAAATGACCCGCAGTTGTAATCCTTGAATGTCCCTCTTTTTATCTCTCACCACCAAGGACATGGATGTTTTACCGTATCACTCGGACGCAAGCCGTAGATATGCAGGTTGAAAGAGTTTTCACCATCACCTAGTTCTTACTATGGTTCTTACAGAGTTAAGATACAAGGGAGTTGCCGTGACTTTAACTGTAACGGTGACCGCTGAACAGTCTACGATGAAAGTCTAGTGGTCAAGAGCTCCCATTTGCCAATCAATCAATCAATTAACCGTCCAGAGATAGAAAGGAGTTCGTCACTGAGTTTACATGACTCGTTGAAGCTTTCAGAGAGCATCACAAATACTACATCAAAAAGACTTCAAACTCAGTGGCCTGACGAAACGATTCGGATCTAACCTAGCATAACCTTGGTACCCAGCCAAGCTTCTGCGACCAAAGCTTGTCTGCCGCGACACGTTCTGTCATCCACTGTAACCTAAACTCAATGATCAACGGTGATATGTATTGCTGATCCGTCGATGACAATCAATTCCGCCCACTGCCGATGAATTATCGTGGTTATTGCCCAAGGATCGAGTCCCTGGCCCTCACTCTCTTTTAAACCCTTGCTCGTGTCACTCTTCTCCTCCGCGGAGACGGGGAGGCGCAGCGCACTCAAAATCCTACTCCTCGATGGATAAGGAGGGTTATGTCTCTGGGCGCCAATGACTGGCTGACACCCCAAGAGCTCACCTGTCGAACCGTCAGAGACAAACGGGTAGGGCAATCAGTCGCTGTAACCCACTTAAAGGCCTTGTCATTTGCTGAACCCTGGAATCATAATGAGACGACCCGACGCATTTGATATCCTGGAAGCAAGCCGAGGTAGGTAATTCGAATGTCTATCCGTCTTTGTGGCTGGAGCTATCTCGGCAAACGGCACCTGATTATCAGGTTTCGAAATGACGATGAAACTTGAAAGGATTTTCAATGCAATAATTCTTACATACAGCCTTGTTCACTGTTGGTTTGTCTGCAGATACTGGCATTCATGCTTCTGACTGAATGGCAAAGGCAGAACTTCGGACTCAACAGCAAGTCAACTCTTTCCCCTTGTCGCATCCCTGTTAGAGCTTGTTCGAGGTCAGAAGATCCTGGTCTCCTCGTGCTACGCCACTTGACATAATACGTAATCAAAAGCGGGTAATCCTATCCAGATCATTGCAGCCTGAGGCAGTCAGCTTCAAGGTTGAATCTCACTCAGAGATAAGGTCTCATCCATGAGAACACCGGCACATCTAAACGAAAACTACACCCTCTGACGAACCAATTTCTCATCCTAACTGCACCTGCTACGCCATCATGATTCGTGACAATGGATGAGCCTAACATTATGTCCTCACTACCTTGAGACTGCCAACACAAGCGTGATGGAGGGTCAATCAATGCCACTCAGACGTGAAAACCAACAACATAGACTCATACTGTGCAAGTAGCGGAGAGACGACCACTACGAAAGGACACTGACTGCCGCGAGGTCGCCAGCCTATGTTGTACAGATCGGCAACGCGCAGTCTAAGTAAGAAGGCCAAGCCCGCCCATTTACGTGATATCCTGATCCAAACACGCAGCCCAGTAATGTATTGAGTATGAATTCGTTTATCTAGGCATTGCTTGAAGGATTCAAGGAGTGCTCTGTAAAAGCGTTCTGGATGGAGGCTCTTTGATATCTTCAAGTAGGTATCTTATTGACAGAACACTAAGAACCCGTAATGACGGACCGTCGCACAAAATCTCATTGTGGGAGAACGGTCATACAATACACATATGTATTTTACACGTATTTAATACAACCGTTGTTGTAATTTCTTTTCCTTCATTTGGCTCGACATTCTGTTATCTAGGCATGGAGGTGAACTGTTCTAACTGAGAGTTTTTCCATCGCAATTGCTCAACAACTTACCAACGTCGGTCACCACCATAGCCATTATCGCCGTATTCGTTGCTGCCACGACGCTCACGTCCATGGCCTCCCTGGCTCTGGCGAATATACTCATCAGCAGAGCCTCCGCCAAAGCCACCTTCGTCTCGGCGCCCGTAGTTATCACCTCCGTATCCACCCTCCTCACGGCGGCTGTGACCGCCGCTCTCCTCTCGACGCTCATAGCCACCACTGCCGCCATATCCGCCCTCTTCACGACGCTCGTAACCACCACTGCTACCACCATAGCCGCCCTCGTCGCGGCGTTCATGGCTTCCTCCGTAACCTCCACCATAGCTGCTTTGCTCTTGGCGGCCGTAGCTGCTCTCCTCTTGACGTCCATAGCTGCTGTTGCCACCGTAGCTGCTCTCTTGGCGACCGTAACCACCGTTTCCGCCATAGCTGCTCTCCTCCTGTCGGCCGTAGCTGCTGCCGCCACCATAGCCGCCTTCGTCGTGACGACGACCACCGTAGCCACCGTCATCATCATCACGACGACGGCCGTGGCCCTCAGTTGAGCCGTGGTACTCATGTCGCTCAGTGCGCTGCTCGTAGCCTCCAGAGTAACTCTGGTGAGTCTCGGTTCGCTCTTCATAGCCGTAGCCACCAGTGTGGCGGCCGTCCGAGGAGTCTTGCTGCTCGTATCGACGGTACTCTGACTGCTGGCTGCCATCAGGGCGCTGTGTCTGAGAGTACTCAGCCTGGCCGTAGCGATCACCGTGACGACCATACTCTACTTCAGTTCTAGTGTAGGAGCCATCATCCTCGCGGTGACCGCTGGACTGTCTCTTAGTCTCGTCACTGCCGAAAGCACCGCCAAGGATGGATCCAGCCTGGCTGAGGAAGCCGCTGAGACCACCCTCCTCCTTCTCCTCCTTACGGGAAGAAGAGGGCATCTTGTAGCCGGTGTTCTGCTCAACCATGCCAGAGATAGCGCCGGTAGCACCCTTAAAGATAGCATCGGCCGCAGCGCCAGCAATCTTGTCCTCGAGGGTCTCAGGGCCACCGCCGTACAGCTTTCGCATCTGAAGCTTGCCAGCACATCCGTGGCCGTGACCAGTGTCGACGACACCCTCCTTGTGGTTCTCACCATTCTGAACGCCTTCACGGGTCAGCTTCTGGCGGTAATCATCACGCTGGCGGTCGCCCATGTTGTTCCACCACTCCTTGACACCTTCGTAGGAGCGGCGACGACCCTCTTGAACCTTGCGGTTTCCGAGGTCACGCTGAGCAGGATGATGCATCACACCGTTGACGATGTCATCGAGGAGTCTATCCACGTCGACACTCTCGTCATCGATGGCGTCCATGAGCTGAGGAACAACCCATTGCACCACAGCAGCAGCGTTTCGGCCAGCAATCTCGTTCAAGATCTACATCCAGGTTAGCTGCTGAGTAGGACCAACTGTGTGGCTTGTCTTACGTTGGAAAAATGATCCTTGGAAAGCATGGAGTGAGTGGGGTTGCTAGAATCATCGTCGTGGAAGACAATGTGCTGCTCACGCTCACTGCTGGCAATGATCTCATCAGAGCCAGTCTTGAGCTCATTGCGGATCTGCTGAATGAGAGGAACGATGAAAGGAGCAATGATGGAGAAGATAAAGACGGAGAGCTGCTCCTCCAGTTGCTCAATGATCTTGGGCAGCACAGGTATCTTCTCCATGGCGCCCGAAATGCTCTTCATGATGTCATCGTGGAATTCAATAGCAGGCATAACTTGCTTAAAGACATTCTGGATGTAGGTGGTGAATTCCTCGGGATCACGAGGAGACACAGTAGTGTTCTCCATCTGAGCAGCAGCAGCACTGTTCTGGAGCTCGTCAACCCGGTCACTCTGGTGCTTATCACCAAAGATGCCATCAGGGATCTTATCAAGAAGATCACGAAGCATGCTGGTGTCAGACTTGGCACCCTGCTGAAGAGTACCCTCGAGTTCCTCAATTTCGTTCTGAGTGAGCTTGTCGGACACTGAATCTGTTAGCTTTCAACCTCTCATTCATAAGGTGCATTAGCACCAACCTTCACCGGTAACTGAGTGGAGGAAGTCAACACCACCGAAAGTGCCAGTGACAATAGGATAGACAGGACCACGGGCACCCTCAATCTCGATCTGTGTGTTACGGCCAACATGGGGGAAGACATCACGCTCGCCGAGCTCAATGAGGGCCAGCTCACAGTAGTTGCTGTGGGCAAAGAAGTCTGCAGACAAGTTAGCTTCGTATAACGCTGGAAGAAAGCCAAATAGCTTGCAACGCAGGGAGCGAAGAAGTTGGGATAACTGACCCTCCAGGCAGTGCAGTCCAGTTCCCATAAGGCGGAGAGCCTCGTACTTGTCTGCCTTTCGCTGAGAGTCCTTGTATCGACGTCCAAGCTCGATAGTTCCAGTAAAGAGCTTCTTGACGTGCCTAGCAGAAGTCATGATACGTGCACGCTCGTTCGCAATGTAGTTCTTCATTCCTGTTTCGGGGTCGATAGCCAGTTCTCGATCCTCGTCGACTGGCCCACGGAGGCGTTCATCATACTGGCGAGCATCGACATTCTCGGCGTAGTCCTTGGGGTTGTCGATGTGATCCTCAGGGCGGTAGCATCCGAGTCGCTCGGCGGTGACCTCGAACTCGCCAGAGCCGTAGCCGAAGGTCATGAAACCGAGAACACAGAGAAGAAGACGGATGGCCTCAGCAGAGACAGACTTGACGGTGCCGACATCGATGGCCTGAGAGTAATCTCGAAGCCAGTTTCCAAAGTAGACTCGCGAAACGTTGATCTTGTTGAACTTCTTGCCATTGAGGGCCTTAGCCTGCGAAAGGATCAAGAGTGCATCGGTAATATCGCCGTGGCGCCCTGAAAGAGACCTTGATTAGCCACTACGGGACGGTGTTTGGTCGTAGTTATGATCACTCACAGTTTTGGCCTTCGACCTTGGAGATTGAAGCAATGTTACCAGCACCGAAAGCAAAGGCGGGAGAAGCCAGAGCAACGAGGATAACAAGCCCCGCCAGGAGGCTATGAGATCTGAAGGTGAACATGACTGCGGTTCACGTCTTCAAGCTGGGAGTATCCCAGGATGTTAGCTAATGTTGTGCTACAAAGATAGGGAAGAAAGAACCCCTTCTGAGCTAGCAGAGGGGAACACGATATTATCGTCAGGTAGTTTGAAGACAGGAAAGGAATGAGGATCGGGGGAGGGTCGTTCTGAAGTAGGAGGAGAAGGGAAAAAACCAGGGAGACGGTGGAAGATTAGTAGGGATCTAAGGTACTTTGCCTTACCTTATGCTTAAAGGTGGAGGAGGGGAGCTGAGGGGCAACCTCAGTCTGGCTGGGCCTCCAAGTGACACAGCTTCAGCTGGCAACCGAATAAAAGAAGCCCGTGCTCTCCATAACAACAGTGACAGACAGTGGGAGTCCAAGGCAGTCTAGGGCAAACCAGCAGAAACGAAACACTAGACATGACCTTATTTGCCTACGCTATTTCCATGGATAAAGCTTAACAAGACAACGCAAGCCACCACCACCCCCTCACTCAATCCTCACCTCACCTCACTTCATTGCACATGTCCAGCGCTAACACAGCAGAATGGTGAGACGGACGTATGGTAGTATGGGTGGGCTCCCTCCCGAGCTGGCCTGCTTCATGCCAAGCTCACTCGATCTGAAGATAGTAGCTTTGTCCAGCTAAGTCCAGTTTTTCCCGGCGATCCGCTGGGCATGGTCGGCAGTGGGAGGATGGTCTGGTCTGCTTCATCATGCCAAGCATGAAATCATACGCGCCCAGGGCCCGCAACCTTTGTCAGAGAATGATCGAGGGGCAGAGGAGCTGGGAATCTTTGCAAGCTGTGACAGGGTTCCAGTACATTGGTGTTGAGTGTGATCCTCACACAAGATAAAGTACCTCACCCCTCCATTGTCATCGGTAGCAGGGGTCTGTAACACAAGCCGACGGGACCGTGGACTGTCGTCGAATCAAGCTTAAGAGAGCGCGTGGCTGAAGGAATAACTCAGTTGATCACTGATCAAACATTAGCTTTTGCACCGGTAACGGTTGAGATAAGCCGAGTGAAGCTTGATCAGAAGACATCCGAAGGGCTCCTGGATAGCATGACCATTTTCTGAAGATCCAATACTTACTCTATCATAGCACAGGCATCAAGAATCTGTCAAACCATCTGCTGGTTTTCTTTCGGTGACGTTGAGGGGCTGTTCTACCCCTCATCGCGTTTGGTTGCTGGACGCAGATGCGACAAGAGAGAACAGTGACTTCCTATGGGCGATAGACATCAGACACAAGTATAGCTGTTTGATAAGGTGGAGGACACATACTAGGCAATGGTCTCACTGCCAAGTTTCAGTACGATGCGCATGAAAATGAACCTCGTATTGACGTGTTGTTGGCCCAAGACACAAAAGCTATCGCGTTTGCTCGCGTCTGATGTGCTCATCACCAGTTGGGTTTGTTCATAGGATGATTGGTGTAGTCAGGCAACAAAACAATATAATGAAAATGGGGCTATCGGCAGTATGGGCTATCATATGAGCAACGAGATCAGTCTCAGGGAAATAGCCTTGCGGTAAAGACATGTTATGCCTATGCCTTTATATCACGTTCATCGCTGTGCGGGGTCAAGGTTTCTGTCAAGGAACAAGAGTTTACGCGGTATCAAAGAGCAGATTAGAACCATCAAGGTGTTTTCACTCTGGCCTTTAAGAGGTAAAGACAGCGGATGATGTGCTAAGTGATGGAAAGCAATGAGTTGAGATCGTTGTTCCGATCGTCTCGAGACCGACAGATACTAGTGATTATGGTACAGTAGAAGTCAATGATGAAAGTGTTCTGGGACTACGTTATGTAGTCTTTATCAGCGCCCAGGTGGATGAGAAACTGATGCGACACGTATTTGGAAGATTGGGTACTACAGGCAAAGGCTGGCTAGCATGCCAATTCTCTTCACAGGATGGTAGGTGCTGTTGAAATCATCTGATGGCGGCTTGGGGACTCTCACGAACGCGCTGTAAGACGAAAAATACTGGGGCTATGATGCGGAAATAGAGAGCACTGAAGGAAACTTGCCTGGATGTGCTGAAGCCCTGCTGATCAAATCAGGACCACAGCACTCCAACCAACAATAACATTATAAACCAGAGTAGAAGGCTCAGGGCACAAGATGGGACTTGACGCGAGCAAGCAATCAACCTCTCCCTGCTTCAGGTGACTTGCGTGGGATGGCAAGACTGTGGCCGGTTGGGGTTGGGCTCTGCTGAGAGTTGCAAAGGTTCCGTCACACAGCGAGACGTCGGGGGGGCGCCAAGTGCCTGAAAAAGAGCTTCGAACCTTGAGCCGCCCGTAGTGGTGGTCGTCATTCCATCCGTGTGCCCCTGGGTACACCGTGCTGAAATATACAGGTCGAGGGTGAAGGTGCTGGAATGACCCCGCCTGGACATTGTCCAGCGTCCTCAGCAGCTTTCCAGTGACGGCGCCCTCGGATTGGATTTTGAGAAGCGGTGAGTGGAGGGCAACACACTCCGTAGGGTGTGACAGTGACACATCGCTTCAGCATGCCCTGAGAAGGGTCACGTAAAGCGCTAGAGAAGCCGCTGAAGGAGTCCTTTGTTGGTATCGCTGAAATATCACAGCTCTGGCGATTGCAATTGCGAGGGCCTCAACGCAGGTGTAAGTCGAAATTGACAACGAATTTACGATGCACAAGCAGCCAACATCTGTAGCATCACGATAACAACACCCTCAACGAAGGGAAGACCCCGGGAGCTTCCCTGATTCCGAAGCCCAATACTGAAAAATATTAGACGAGTACAGTTGCGATACATACAACATTGTGAATTCTGCACTTGCATCAGTAGCACCCAAAAGGCTGCACGACTGAGTGCGGGCAATTTGTTCCCTCGCTGCGACTGGCTGATTGACCAGTCAGCGCTGCCCGCTCAAAAGTTCATTTGGCCTTATTAACGTTTGCTTGTCGGGGGCTTGCGTTTGTTGTGTTTTGGATTTATATGAGAGAAGAGTGATGTACGCGAAAGTTCCCAACTTGGAGCGTTTGGATTCAGTCATAGAGGCTTGTCACGAGTAAGGTAGGTTGTTGCGTTGAATCGCTCTTGCATCTTGTTCTATCAGTGCTGGCACTTGCCTTTGCTGTTACAATTATTAGGTAGGTGCTACAGTGGTGGGCATTATGGCCTTAGAAATGGAAGACGTGGATGGGCTGGGTTGCCTTATTTTGAGTGAGAGCGGGAAGTACGGGAAGGTAGCTGAAGACTTAGGGGGAAATCTGGTGAGGTTACTGAGAGCTGCAAGAGGCCACTGAGCTTCAGAGGTGTCGGGTGCCGCGGGAATATCGAGGACAGTGGACGCTGCTGTAGTCTAATGACCAAAAAGAAAATCGAGTTCAATCCCTTGAGCCCCGTTTTCAAGGCCCCCGCCCTGAGGTGATGAAATTTTCGCCATTGTGCTCGGGGTGCTAGACTTGGAGGGTCACTTGAGTGGTTGACCACTAAGAATGCGCGCCTGCTGCAGCTTTTCCCTTTTTTTCGGGTAGGAAGGCGGGCGCTGATTTTTATTTTTATTAGGCGCTGCCTTTTTTTTTGCGCCCCCGCCTAGAGAGCCATTTACTGATTGCGCCTGGTGCTGACCCCTACATATTCAGCGCATCGCCCACCCCGCGCCCGTCCTCTCTTTTTCCCCGTTCTTCAGTACTCCCAGCACCCTCATTTTCCAGCACTTCTCAGTGAATCACTGGATTTCCATTCCCCTCAACGCGCCAAAACCACCTGGATTTGCACGCTTTGACACTCCATTGCAGTAACAGAACAGCGCATCGCGTCCCACTACTCATTTAACGCGTCCCATCATATCATCAGCGCCAAACTTCAGGTGAAAGGCATCAGAAGCTCAAATAACAACATTACCCATTATCCCCAGTATCATCACAAGAAACATCATGGCTCGCCCCAAGAAGTCAGCTGTTGAGAAGCAGCAGCAGCAGCAACAGCCTGCTCCCGTTCCCATTCCCCCTCAACACATTCAGCAATACCCTCAGCACCCGCAGCCCATTGCCGCTGTTCCTCAGCCTGCGATGCCCATGCCTATGCCTCCACCTGTTGGAGTTCCTCAACGTCAGGCTGTTATGCCTCAACGCGTCGTTGAGGCAGATAGCTTTCTGCGCGTGAGAGATTCGGTAGGTTCCCACCATTTCATCTTGTCTTTCGTCCTTGGTCGGACACCACGACCCAGGTACCAACTACACAGCCCATCCATGCCACGGTACAACTCTTGATGAAGTCGGTCGAGTCTTTCATCGCTCCTGGCAGAATGCGACATCTGGAGCGGTCACCGTATTAAGGCCACAACCAAACCATCTTGACAGATTTACTACCTTGTCGACCTTGGTTCATACTGCGCTGTGCCTTTTACAAGGCAAGGACGCGCTTTGACTTGGTTGTTGACGAGTAAATGTCTATACAAAGTCTAAAGAAGCTATGGCCACCGCGTCCTTGTATCCACTCAAGCTTCCCGCCCACTTACACTCGACCTTTCATCGTTATTACTTCTTGTACTCGAGAAACACAAAGAACACCTTACTAACATTACCTTGCAGGCTGTTGGGCGATTGACTACTATTCTTGAGTTTCTCCGATCTTTCACTGCCGACTATGTTCGTCAGACAAACCTCTTGCTTGGTGAGCCGACTGCCGAAGGCTCGCAGGACAACCTCCTTGCCAACTTCGAGCATGCCGCTCAGCAGCTCATCATGCCCATCCCTGAGCTGGCTCCTCCTGTTGAGGAGAAGAAGGAGCGCAAGAAGCGAACCATTGACCCTAACGCGCCCAAGCGTCCCTTGACTCCTTACTTCCTTTACATGCAGCATGCTCGCTCCATCATCGCCAATGACCTTGGTTCCGAGGCCCCCAAGGGTGCTGTTCAAGAGGAAGGCCAACGTCGTTGGGCTCATATGGGTCCCCAGGAGAAGCAGGTAAGCCACTCTGTGTTGAATATTATCTTCTGTAAGAGTTGCCTGCTGACATTATCCTAGGGCTGGAACAATGCCTACCAGTACAACCTCCGTCTGTACAATGCCCGTGTTCATTCTTACAAGCATGGCAATCCTCTGGCTAAGAACATGACTGATGAGGAGGCGTTGAAGTACGCCGAGGACTTCAATGTCCCCATGTCTGAGATCAAGGACGCTGCTCAGACTGAGGCACCTGCTGACGATCAGGATGCCATTGCTGAACAGCTCCAAGCCGTGGCTGCGGCTCCCGCTATCGACGAGCCTGAGCAAGTCGAGACCCCTGCTAAGACCCCCAAGAAGGCCGCTGGTGGCCGTAAGCGCAAGACAGCGACACCTGCTGCCGCCGCTGAGGAAGCCAAGCCTGCCCCTGCTAGCCCTGACAAGAAGCGACGACGCACATCTACCAAGGCTGCCGCTACCGAGCCCCAGGAGGAGCCTAAGAAGTCGGGCCGCAAGAAGACTAAGAGCTCTTGAGGTGTCCTTCATCTTTTCTTCTCTTTCTTGATAGGCACTTGGTCTGCTTGAGCTTTCGTTACTCTCCGTTGAGCTCCTGTCGCAAATTTACTGCGGGGAAGCATGATACCTAAGGAGAGTGCTATATACATAGGGTTCTCTATAGGCGTTTTGGGGGAAATCTCTTATTTGCTTGTACTCGTTCTCAGTTGGGATGTTGGGGATTAGGGATGATTAAAATCAGGGATTCATCGACGGTACGGCTGGACAGTTGGAAGGGTCGCTGAATTGTATGATGCTTATGTTGTTTGGACGTGCACAGCAATGCCGTAATGATAGCAATGATTTATCATATTATATTTTCTCATTTCTTCTGAAAGAGTGAACAGTAGAAGCCTCGGTCCTGCTAGATGTAATAAAGCCCCAATGCGTATCTGACTTGGTTGCAGTGACTCGTTTTCCAAGATTACAAGTGAGATTAGCACGCCAACGAAGCCATGGATAACACTATTTCCTGGTGCCTTTAATAACAACACTCGAGCTTGACTCTACTTGAAGGTCTAATATAGGTAGTTAGGCTTGCTGGAACCAATTGCTACGCTCAAGCAGCTATGCTATCTTTTGTCCTTTCACCATTGGTCAGGCCACCTGATAGTGCCAGGGCTCACTTACAAGGGTCTAATCACGAGTCCCTTCCTGCCGCTTTGCAAATACTACCACAGAGATAATTCATCTTCTTGCAAGAGCAATTTCGCTCATCTCTCTTTTTGCAGCTGAGTCTTTTTTTTTTTTCATCAAGAGTCGTCTCGAAATGCCCAGTGACACCCCTTCAGAGGCCGATTCCACGGCTCACCACCAGCCGCCTGCTTCGCACAGGACCCTTCGCTTAGTCGCGATCGCCTCATTTCTCCCCGCATTTCCCCTCTGTATTGCTCACGGTGTTCTCTCAAACGACGCAGCTCCTGCGGTCGGTCTTGTTCCGCTCGCGTTTTCTTCTGGTGGCAGCTTGTTCCTCCTCCGCCGACGAGAACGAGATGATGGACTTGCGCATAAGCTCTCACACCCTGTGCTAACCTTTGCTTTTGATGTGGTGCTAGCTGCAGCTTGTATGATTGTGTTGGTCTTCACATGGATTTCGAAAGGCCAGCTGGCGTCGTTGAGTATGCTGGCAGCTTATGCCACTATCCCCCTTCTCGTCAACTTGTAAGAGTCACCATTCGGCAGGACAATATTCTGTATGCCATCTAATAAGTACTCCAGTGTCATTCACCTTCTTATTTCTCTGGAGTCATTCTACACGGGCCTTGCTATTCATAATATCGTCCAGTGGCTCGCCTGGCGCACTTTACCTCCTGACTGCCCGCACTGCGATCATCGACTTCGTCCAGATTTCCCCCAGCTACCATGGCTGGATCATCTACGAGAGCGAAGACATGAAGACTATTCGGCGTTGTTTGTGGATGAAGAGAATCGGTATCACGATGACGAGACGGAAGAGACGCTGCAGCGTGCTGAGAGTGCAGCGCAGGAGGCTGAGACGCAGCCAGAGGTTGTCGATGTCAGGAAGAAGAATAATCGTAGGAACAGGACAAATACGCCTCCTTCTAGAGATGAACCCGCGTCTCCATGGAGCGCTTCATGAAGGATGAATGGTGGAACATGCTGTTATCAGATTGATATGGGTTAATTGGGTGAATCGAACAGACTGGAGTCGTGATGAACATATCAGCTCGGTCGTATTGACCTTTGAATGGCACCGCGTCTTGACATTGCAAGGTCACATATCCGGCGACATTAGCTACCAATACTAGTAAAATACCTTTTATCAGGTGTAGTTAACAATACCAAGACATTTCGTCTTCCGACAAGCGCTCTAGATTCAACCCTCCGCAGTAGCGCAAGCTGGTTGTGCAAGATTGTCGTATACAGACCTGTGATATATCCAGGTGCACTACCCACTGTAGTTTTGGAGCTTGTAAATATGCGACTCCAATCAGTGACAACCCAATTAGATTCTCATTACTTATTCAAGCCTCTTTAACCAGGCCACATCCTAGCTTCTTGGGGTAACCTTAACTTCAACTGGCAGCTCCGCATTTCCTGTCATTCCGGGATAGCAAGCCCATGCATATATATACCGTTATAGCGATAAATTTCGAGACATCATTCCACAATCAGCTATCGGTGTGCACGTAACCCCCACTGCGTCCTTATCGGAACGTGCCCCTAGAACATCGCCAGCTCCCGCAGTGGGACACAAAAAGTCTGGAGCCCCAGGTCGCGGTCCAGCTTCTGATGGTGGTTGTGAGTGTAGAGGCTAAATACCACGAGCCAACCTCTATCACGGCGCATTTGCTACGGCTACGTCATGCCAACTGCAGCTTCGATTACGTTTTCTTGAATCCGAAGCTCTAATTTTAACGTGCATCTGCATAGCATTGAGTCTTTCTCTACTTTATTTATGAAAAACAGCTTTCATATGAAATTTGCGTTCATTTTTCACTCCTCCTAATCCCTGAACCTTTCTTCTACAACCAGCTGTTCTCCCAGCTCGACTCGCCCAATCGCGCACTCTCTTCTCTGTTCAACGTTGTGGCTTACCAACATCTCGGGGTTTTCGACAGTCTTCACTCAGAAGGACTATTAAACTTCGACTACGTCCGAATTAGTCCTCGAAAGCAGCCATGGCTTCTTTCATTCGCTGGTCAGTCGAAAGTTTTTGTCAATTAGCAGTCCGTACTGATATATATTCAGGTACAACGCCAGGTTGGCTGCGCGTCCACTGCTCACTCAGAGTGTTACCACTGCATTCCTGTTTGCTACAGGCGATGTCACAGCTCAGCAGCTCGTTGAGAAGAAGGGCGTTGAGAAGCATGACCTAGTCCGAACAGGTCGAATGGCTCTCTACGGTGGCTGTGAGCTCCTCCAACCTTGAACCAACATCTGGATAATCGTTGACTTTTTACAGTTGTGTTCGGTCCTGTTGCTACAACATGGTTCGCTTTCCTCGCACGCAGAGTTAATGTGCCGGGGAACAAGAAGGCAGAGGTCCTCACTCGGGTCGCCTGTGATCAGCTTGGTTTTGCACCTGTCATGATAGGTGTATTCCTTGGCAGCATGGCCACCATGGAGGGCAAGAGTGCACAGGAACGAATCGACAAGGCTTGGTGGCCAGCGCTGAAGGCCAACTGGATGCTCTGGCCTGCCGTCCAGGTCATCAACTTCTCCCTCATTCCTTTGCAATACCGTCTGTTCTTTGCCAATATCATAGCGATTGGCTGGAACTCTTACCTGAGCTGGGTCAACTCCCAGTAAGAAAGGCTCCATGTTTTGAAAATTCCTCGCCAGTTCTTTTCACATAGATATAGAAGTGTTTCTGTATTCACGATGGATCGATGCTCTTTTCGAGAATTATTCGGGTTTGTTTTATAGGTCGGGGAGTATACGGTGAAGAGGAAGGAAAAGTCAAGCAGCAATCTCACAGGATTCGGATTTGTATCATGTTTCGATAGACACTGAACCTCTGTATAATAAGCCACTCAAACCACATGGCCTTTTGGCCTTCATGATGAACATTGGGTCTCATTCGACTTAACCTATCTTACGGGCACGAGGTGGGTTGCCAAGCGTCATGATAAAGCGGGAATCGATCTCCGAGGTGTCCATCGGAGGTTATGATAACCGCCGTAGGTTTACAGTTTCCGCCATGTTGAGTCACTAATAGATGCTGCCCTGTTGAAACTGCGGAGAAGCCCCGTGATGAAACTGGGTGCATTGGTTGGGGTATGTTCCATGTTTAGGACAGCGATAGGCTGGTAGACAAAAATATGGTACAAAATGGATCATGAGCATCTCATGAGTTGGCATAAATGGGTCACATGAGTGATTTGCTCATCCAAAAGGAGAGTGGGAGAAAGACCACTGTATACTTAGCTCATACTCAAAGAACCGAGACAATCGCTGAGATATATATTACTACAGATTCTTCTATTTTTTGGTTCTCTAATCTTTGAATGTGATGCTTTTTATGTTCTCAGCTGATCGAAGCCGTTATCGCTGCCTTAGGCCACAAATAGTTAGCGTCAGAACGTTGGCCCATCGCAGCGCAGCCTTTTCCCAAGCGGCCAAATCCGGGTTTTGTAGATAGAACCGAACAACATCAGGAACTCATCCTGACCCTCAAAACCGCCCCTCTCCTCCCTCCTCACACGCAGCGGCTCCTCTGCGCCTGGTAACACATCATGTTGCCTTCATCCATGCGCCGAGTTGTCTCCTCAGCCGTCTCCTCGACCCCTCAGACCGGTGTCGTTTCTGTCCTCGCCTCAGCCACTTCAAAGACCACTCCCGTCTTTGTTCGAAATCAGCAGCGACGATGTTCTTCTTCAAAACCTTCGAAATCCGATAACGGCGCCAACGAGATCTCAGCTGATCAGTCGGTACCTGCTGCTACGTCGCCCAAGTCTGGCAATGAAAAGCGAAAGCGAAAGAGCAACAAGGATGCTTCCGATCGAGCGGCTTCTATGAGAAAGTTGCCAAGCGTCCCCAACACGCATCACATGTCACAAGAAGGTAAGGCTATGGATATACATAGTTGAGACGGACGACGGTAGCTAATTGTCGCAGCTCTCGGACTATCAAGTTTCTTCTCACTACACAGACCTATCTCGGTTACTCAGACCATGCCCCGAGCGGTTACCGATGAGCACTTCGCCTCCATCTTTGCCTCCCGAGCCCGGAACAACAAGATGGCCGATACAGATTCTACTCTCTCCAGCGCTATCGAACAGTTGGAAGGTCCTATGGCTCAGATGACCATTGGACACGAGGGACAGGAAGGAATGCACAAAGTTGATATCAAGAACCCCGATGGTACCGAGTCCAGCATGTACCTCCAGATCGACACCATGTCAGGTGAATTCCTGCCTTTCCGACCTCCACCTCTGCCTCAACCCCAAGCTGCTGGTGAGGCAGACAGTGCCGTTGCCGATATCGAAGCCGCCGAGGACGTCCCCCAACACCGGATGTATAAGGCTCTTTTCACCATCGAGGAGTCCATCGATCCGGATGGCCAAGTCCGTATCATGGCTCACAGCCCTCAGATTGTGCAGGACAACCAACCGCGAAGCTTCCTCGAGCGTCTGGCTCTTCGCCAGCTCAAGTTCGACGAGGCCCAGGGCCGCCGAGACATGCACGCCATCAGCGTAAAGCGACAACGAAAGCTCAGGATGAAGAAGAAGAAGTATAAGAAGCTTATGAAGAGGACGCGAGTCCTGCGCCGCAAGTTGGACCGAACTTAGACATGTGTACATATTTCCCTGGTCGTTCGAGTCATGTTCCTCTTTTTTATCTCTCGCATACGGGGCATATCGAAGGACATTTTTCATTCGTGGTGTCTGGGCATTGAAGAAGAAGATCTCTCACCTTGAGTTTGGACTGTGGCATTGCGCTTTGAGACTTTCTTATGTTTCCATAGACTCGCGCAGGTAACAATCATCATTTTCAAATGCGTTGAGATATCTTCCGTGGTGACTTCAGCCTCAGATGCGCGAATCATGTATAAATAGCTGTACAATTCACCTATTGGTCCCCAGTCATAACTCGGGTCCCAGTGACGTCGATCTTGATATTAAAAGCTCATGTGTTGTGACTGATAGGTTAAGAATATGACTTGGTGTTGGATATGCAGCAAGAGTCAACAGCTCATATCAGATGCCTCCAATGAAAGACGAATATGATCGAAGAAGTATCTTGTGAGTCATAAAGTCAATCAACAATGGCTGTTTTACATTCTTGTTTCCAAGGCCATAAACAACGCTCATTTGCGGCTCTTAAAAACTACACTGGGCGCCACTATATTCAACCTCTGAAGCTAAGTTCGGTGGAGTCCCCACTCCAAAGTATCTTACCGACGTTCACCGCCCGGCAGAAACTTATCGACCGCCAAAATTTTGGGTTTTTGAGACTCTGGGTCCCACCTCGAAAACGAGATCGCATTTGCGCCAGCGTATTTTCAGAGCAATTGGTCTGAAGAAAAATCTGAAAAGATGCAGCGCAAGGCGGTGTAAGTATTCCTGTCTATGTTCTCGCTTCGAATCTCATAAGCTGACGTCAATATAGTGACTCGCGCATTCCAGCACTCATTCAAAATGGCCTGCAAGAAAAAAAGAGAAGCTTCTTCGTCGTGGTGGGAGACAGGTCGAAGGACGTGATCGTGCGTCTGCATTATATCATGTCTCAGTTTGATATCAAGCAGAACAAATCAGTCCTTTGGGCTTACAAGAACAAGCTCTTGGGATTCACCAGGTTAGTAGACCTTGACAATCTCTTCCCTCGATGCGACGCAGCTAACCCAAGCTTTACAGTCACCGAAAGAAGCGCGAACAAAAGATCAAGAAGGAGATCAAGCGAGGAATTCGAGAAGCCAACACCGAGGACCCCTTCGAGTTGTTCGTATCGCTACACAACATCCGATATACCTACTATAAGGAGACCGACAAGATTCTCGGTCAGACATTCGGCATGTGTATTCTACAGGACTTTGAGGCTATTACACCCAACATTCTTGCCCGAACGATCGAAACTGTCGAGGGCGGTGGATTAGTTGTTTTGCTCCTCAAGGGCATGAACAGTTTGAAGCAGCTTTACAGCCTGTCCATGGATGTCCACTCCCGTTATAGGACAGAAGCCCACGACGATGTGGTGGCGCGTTTCAACGAGCGATTCATTCTCTCTCTGGGAAGCTGCAACTCTTGTTTGGTTATCGATGATGAGATGAACGTTCTCCCTATCTCAGGTGGAAAGGGTGTCAAGAAGCTTCCTCCTCCAGACCTCGACAACCCCAAGACAGAGTCGCAAATTGAGCTTGAGGCTATGAAGGAGCAGAACGAAGGACGACAGCCCGTGGGACCGCTTATTTCTCTCGCCAAGACTGTCGACCAGGCCAAGGCTCTTATCACCTTCACAGATGCTATCGCTGAGAAGACACTACGGAGCACGGTTACTCTCACTGCTGCTCGTGGTCGTGGAAAGTCTGCGGCCATGGGTGTTGCTGTCGCAGCTGCTGTTGCGTATGGATATAGCAACATCTTCATTACCTCCCCTTCGCCTGAGAACTTGAAGACTCTGTTTGAGTTTGTCTTCAAAGGTTTTGACGAGTTGGGTTATGCTGACCACGCCGATTACTCTATCATTCAGAGCACAAACCCCGACTTCAACAAGGCCATTGTTCGAGTCAACATTCACCGACAACACCGACAGACTATCCAGTACATTAGACCTCAAGACGCCCACGTGCTGGGACAAGCCGAGTTGGTGGTCATTGATGAGGCTGCAGCTATTCCTCTGCCTCTTGTGAAGAAGCTCATGGGCCCTTACCTTGTCTTTATGGCCTCCACCATCAACGGTTATGAGGGTACAGGTCGATCACTTTCTCTCAAGCTCATCAAGCAGCTACGAGACCAGTCGCGCACTGCTTCCACAGCTGGCGAAGGCATGGAAATCGCTGACCGATCGACTGGTAAGACTTCAAAGACTGAGGAGTTCCAGGCTGGACGAAAGCTGCGAGAGATCACCTTGTCTGAGCCTATTCGATATGCTCAAGGAGACGCTGTCGAGAAGTGGCTCAACACAGTTCTCTGCCTCGACGCGACTCTGCCTAAGGCCAAGTCGAATATCAACGGATGCCCCGACCCTACGCAATGTCAGCTCTTGAACGTCAACCGAGATACCTTATTCTCCTTCCATCCTGTGTCCGAGAAGTTCCTTCAGCAAATGGTTGCGTTGTATGTAGCTAGTCACTACAAGAACTCACCAGACGATCTTCAACTTATGAGCGATGCCCCTGCTCACGAGCTTTTCGTCCTTGTTCCTCCTGTTTCTGAGGATAGCGCCAGACTACCCGAACCTCTTTGCGTCATTCAGGTCTCGTTGGAAGGAAAGATCAGCAGGCAGAGCGTCCTTAACAGTTTGAGCCGAGGACAGCGACCCTCTGGTGATCTCATTCCTTGGCTAGTCAGCCAGCAGTTCCAGGATGAGGAGTTTGCTTCTCTGTCTGGTGCTCGAGTTGTTCGTATTGCCACAAACCCTGAGTATGTTTCAATGGGATACGGTTCCAAGGCTTTGGAGCTGCTCGTGGACTACTACGAGGGTCGCTTCGCCAACCTGTCTGAGGACGAGGATCAGATTATGGAGGAGACAATGACTCGAGTTACTGACGCTGAGCTCGCCAACGCCAATTTGCTCGACGATGACATCAAGGTTCGGGATATCAACAAGATGCCTCCCCTTTTCGCCAAGCTCTCGGAGAAGAAGCCCGATCGACTTGACTACGTTGGTGTAAGCTACGGCTTGACCCAGCCCCTTCACAAATTCTGGAAGAAGGCCTCTTTCGCGCCTGTCTACTTAAGACAGACTGCCAACGATCTAACTGGCGAGCATACTTGTGTCATGCTGCGGCCGCTTGAGAACAGTGAGGACCGAAGCTGGCTCGGGGCTTTCTCCAGAGATTTCCAGAAGCGTTTCCTGTCTCTCCTGTCATACCAGTTCCGCACATTCAGTCCTATCACTGCCCTTAGTATTGATGAGGGCGCCAAGTTGGGAGCACAACTGGACTCTGTTGAAATTCAACCATTGACCAAGGCTGATCTTGATATTTATATGAGCCCTTTCGACCTGAAGCGACTCGAGTCATATGCCAACAACATGCTTGACTACCACGTTGTTCTCGATCTTGTTCCAACCATTGCCCACCTCTACTTCACAGGACGCATCAAGGAAGACGTCAATTTGCAGGGGGTCCAGCAGGCCGTCATGCTGGCTCTTGGACTGCAGCGCAAGGATATTGATGTTATTGCCCAGGAGATGAACATGCCTACCTCTCAAGTCCTTGCCATGTTCATTAAGATGATGCGAAAGGTTACTAAACACTTCGCCGACCTCGTCTCCGATGCTGTTGGCGCAGAGATTCCCAAGGTTGAGCGTCTTGGTGTGAGTCGCGAGAATGCTAGTGGCGCACACGACGATGAGATTGTTGATGAGCGGTACGTTCCTCTGGCTACAACATTGGACGAGGAGCTTGAGGAGGGTGGTGATGACGCCTTGAGGGAGCTAAAGAAGAAGCAAAGAGAGCTCATTGACTCTTTGCCCCTTGACCAGTAAGCTACACCGAATTACACATGGAAGGACATCAGCTAACAAGAAACAGATATGAGATTGAGGGAGATACTCCTGCGTGGGAAGAGGCGGAAAAACAGGTACTGAGTGCGGCCAAGCAGGGCAAGTCAAACCCCGTCGTCAGCGTAAAGTCAGCCAAGCAGAAGAGAAAGGCTGGTCAGACAGCGGCTGAGGTCTATGAGGAGGCATTCGGCGAAAAGAAGAAGAAGAGCAAGAGGGTGAAAAAGTCGGCGTGAGATAGTTGAAGAATATCCTAAAGTTAGGTTTGGCACATGGAAAGGCGTTTTTGCTCGATAGACAGACGTGTTTAATCAATATACTGTTTCAATATAACTGCATCTCACCGGGTAACGAGGAGTGTTGGTGGTTGAGTAAGGACGTCGCTTGGGTTAACATGAAGGGGAAGGTTGTATCACAAATACTTTCAGTCGGACAATAATGTCTCTATAGAAATCAGGGGTATCAATTTGTTGCTGCGCTACAGTTATAAAAGAGCTCTATGGTCTTATCATCAAAATGCCAAATGATCTACATCCAAAGCCAGTTGAACATCTTCACTCTTCCACCAGGGAAGTCCAGGTTTTTATCCTCCAAAACTACACCCAAATCTCATTCCCGAGAACTCCTCTTAGTCAACAAAATCACTATCACGTCCCAGGTCCATCATAGGGTGGAACAAGTTCAAGATAGGGGCTGCAGGATCTTCATACCCTCGAACAACGAGCTTGCGTTCAGGAATTTTAACCTCAGCTTCACCATCGGTCTCCTCGATGACATCACCGTAGAATAGATCTTCGGGGTCAACCTGGGAGGTCTCGTTGGAAGCGTCTTCGGCGGAATTCTCGCTGTCAGCATCATAACTATCTTCATGGTTATGTTGATTACCCCCGTCTCCAGGGGCTGCATCTGCAGACTCGAGATTGTCAATAGACGTGACAGATTCAAGGTCTCCCATCAAATCTTGCCGAATCAAGAACATGAATCCCTCAGGTTCCTTGCGAGGCGGAATAGGCTTCTTCTCAAAATACTTACGAGCAAACTGAGCCTCCCACCCCTTCAACTTCTCCTGAGCGACAAAGCCACGGGCCATTCTGATTGCAGGACCCTCATTCCAGGCGTCTCCAAAACCCCATAAGATATTCCCAAACCACGAAGGGCAGGTGTCATTGTTTGGGCAGCCTGTGAGCATAGGCTGAAACTCTTTGGTAAAATACTTGCAATCCCATGCTTTCGGGAGATCTCGTCCCTCGCGGTCGTCCATTTGTGCCAAGGCGTGCCAGCTGTTACAAGGTATGAAATACGTTCCAAGATTATCACCACAGTGACAGCACCGGGAGACGATCTTCTTGCACATTGTTAGTGATGTTCTTTTTGGTTGCTAGGAGTTCGGGCTGAAGTAATACGGTAATAAGCTGTGTTTCAGGTATGGACAAGTTGTCAATACCTGGAGGGTGTGTGTAAGGAAGGGGGAAGGTTTGGGAAGTGGCATTTGGAGAGAGGGGAGAATTGATATGTTAGGCCATGAACATTGTAGAATGAACAACAGAGACCTGAGAGAGCAGTGGCGCACTGAACATTGAGTAGCGATCAGTGGCAGTGAGTTGCTGTGTGAGGACAAAGACGTGATTCGCTGGAGAACATGCAGTCACTTGCTCCTATCCACGACTTGGACTACGTAAAATGGAACAGAATGTAAGCTACTATTCAATCAAAGCTCGAGATAGTCAACTTGGATTTTAGGCCAATTATCATTTCTGAGTACTACTATGTAGTCATCGATGATAGACAACCGACTCAAATTCACAGCATCTAACTACGGCTTCAAACCACCATAAAACAAGATAACAAATAAGCAAAAGGGCAAAAGAGAACATACAACACCAGGTATTCGCTGGTCGTCACCGACCCAACTACTAATCCGGCGCTTCGCGGCTTGACTCTGGGGGAGCAGACGGGACCCCGTATTCTCCACGAGCTGTGGTCGTATGTGATCGAACGAGAAGCACAACAACAATATGAGCGTAGATCCTGGTAGTATATCTAACAGAATCTTCTGTATTGTTCATATCCTACCCATCATGTTATCCGGCTCAATCTCCGGGAACCTCGGTTCTCAACTGGAGTCTTGCTGGGGCAGCTGTCGTTCGGACAAGTCTCAGGTGTTAAGGAGCTGCAAACCTCCTGAACGACTCCAAGATCGTGAGATACGAAATATGCGACAGGAGGGATCAAACCTCCACTCTCACTGCGAACTGCTGGATCTGCGTTAATATAAGGTCGGCAATACTTCCATTGAAACGTGACTGTGGCCCAACATTCTGGGCATATAGCGACGTGTTCGCGACACATGATGATTTCTGCTCTTTTTCTTTTCTTTTCGGCGGGGGACTTCGGTTTTATTGTGTCATAGAATTCGTCGATAATATCAAGGTGTGGTAGCATGGACAAATGTGAAATGATCTAGGTTGGATGGAACTTATAGACGGATTACCATTGTGAACAAGAGATGTTCATGGATTGTTCATCCCCATCACAATTACGGCTCTAGTTCGAACAATGACAGACGAATACATTACAGCCTACAAGATGAACAGTGATCGAGTTATTCGAGTGACGATGAAAACCAGATTTGGAGAATGCCAGTATTCCACGAAGATTCAAGGCGCGCTCCCATAACACATCATATCAAGGATTGCTTAAACAAGGTACAGCAAGTCCAAACCATCAATAACAGAATTTCTGAGCTCACGGCAAGTCCCGCACTGTCACCATTTCAGAGTATCTATTACTACGATTAGACGAGCAAAGGTTGACTGATAGATAGGGATAGAAGAAAGATGAAGAGAGGACAATCAGCATAAACGATTTTGGCTTTCTGCATATTCAGAGACACCCCTCCACCAGTAACCTTTCTTCATCATAAACAGTGTCTTTCTGTCTGGTCTTCTGACGTTTTGTGCATCAGTTTACAGCCATGATCTGATAGGACACAGTATAATACTTTCAAGGCACGCCTTTGTCTCAATGAAACACAACTGTGTTAAGTAACAGGCCATCATTGCAACCCCACCGCGGGGTATCAAATATGGGGAAAGAAAATGATATCTCATGAGATTTCCGAGTCCAACCCAGGCCATGGTAGATACACGCAAGTATTGGAAGCCACATTTTTTAACAAGGCTTTGTATAATCGTCGAATGAGAAACTAAAGACACATTTCCCGTGCTTGAGTCCGCAAAGGCGCAGCACCAATCCTCAAACTTCTAATCCGATTACCATGCACGTTCTTGGGGTTCCAACCTTCAGTGCTCCGATCTCGGCGGTAGCTCCGGCACGGTAGGCAGTGCTCATGATTATTCCCATGTAAGCAATCCAGGTATAAAGAGGTAGGAAATCCTCTTTCTTTAATCTCTTGGACTCATTCATCCAATTCACATATTCCTCAATCGCAATAATGGCCGAACAGAAAGATAGATGGTCTGCCAACGTGCGTATGCTTCGTCGTTGAGATAGCTTCACACTTACACAAGTTCCAGGCTTATCAGCACTCAGCTTCTTTTGTCCCTAAACTGGCAACAAAAGTTGTTCAATGGCTTGATTTACACAAAGATGATGTTCTTCTTGATATCGGCTGTGGAGGTACGTACTTGAGTTCCAAGTTGAACCACAAAGCTGAGACTGGTCGTCTAGATGGCATCTTGAATGCCGAATTCGCAAAGATATTGGCGCAGGGAAGCGGCTCAATGCATGGCGTTGATAGCTCAGCTTCTATGATTGAAGCTGCTCGAGAGTTGTGCAAGGATTCCCAGAACTCTACCTTTGATGGTAAGTCATCCAGACAAATTGCTTACCCTTGATTGACCGCTTGTAGTCTTGGATGCTACACAGCTCGTCTCCAAGCCAGAACTACAAAAAGGAGCTTTCACCAAGGTTTTCTCCAATGCAGCTATGCACTGGATTCTCCGCCCAGAAGATACTCGTGCTCAGTTCTTCAAGGGTGTTTACGCTTCACTGGCCCCAGGGGGTTCATTCGTCTTCGAGATGGGCGGTTTCGGCAACGTTTCTGAAATGCGAACTGCTGCTCTCAGTGCTGTAGGTCGCCGCATTGGTATGAAAGCAGCCGTCGCAGCAGACCCATGGTTCTTCCCTGATGAAGCTTGGGCCACAAAGGCGCTGCAAGACGCAGGCTTCGTTGTTGAACGGGCAGAGCGGGAGTGGCGGCCAACACCAGCTGACAAAGGCGGTGTTGAGGGCTGGATCAGGCTCATGGCAAGTCAGTTCTTAGATGCTGTCTCGGATGAAAAGGAGAGAGAAGAAGCTGTGCAGGAATGCGTGGGGGTGCTGAGGGAGGTTTGTCGTAATCCCTCTGGTGGGGAGACGATATCTTATGTGAGGCTCAGAGGCGTAGCCAGAAAGCCTGAATAGGTGTCATCCATAAGGTGCTATTCATAGTAACTGTAGCACGGGGCAGCGTCAAATACAAAAGCATATGCATCTTGATAGAAACCTCGTTAGCAGTATTGAAATTACACCGATATCGGTGCATCACCGTGAAGAACTTCTAGAACCATGGCCGTGAGAGTGTAAGTGGTGATTAGTCAGTCACGTCAGTGAAGCTCAGAAATTTCTAGGCGACTTGCGTCAGCGTATGTAACTGCGAATTGCTTAAGTTTCAAACAATCACTTGCCCCCAGGGGCAATAAAGCCCAAGGCACCTAAACTTTACGTGGCCTATTGACCTCCAGCAGTTCCTACAAAATATTTACTCCCTAAACATAATGAATCCTTTTGTATTACACCAAATTTGCATTCTGGATGATACCTAGCTCATAACGCCATTTCACTCTATCATACTGAAACACCTGCATCGATCGTGAAACCACCACAGCTTACCCTACAAAGGCACGACATCGTCATGCCCGAACACGATGCGCTCGTGTTGTCGTATAGCCATTTGGCCAAGCTTCCCAGAGCAAGCGATGCACTGCAGACCCTGAAGAAAGTAGCTTCCCTAGTGAAGCCTATAATGCGAGCGCGCAACTGGAAAGTCCGAGAGTTGGCCGAGTTCTATCCTGAGCAACATAATCTTCTGGGTAGGTCATAGATGAGCTTCTCCAGGTTATCTGCCGTATTAATGTAGCCCATAGGTCTCAACATCAATCGAGGAGCCAAGATATGTCTTCGTTTGCGACATGCTGGAGATAAGAACCAGTTTATGCCCATCGAAAGTGTTGTTGATACAATGCTACACGAGTTGTCACACATAGTCCATGGCCCTCACGATGTCAAGTTCCATGCCCTTTGGGATCAACTCAGAGACGAACACGAGGGCCTGGTTCTTAAAGGCTACACCGGAGAAGGCTTCCTTTCAGAGGGTCGACGTCTAGGAGGCTCAAGGATACCACCTCTTGAAGCTCGTCGGGTGGCACGAGAGGCTACAGAGAAGCGACGAGCTCGTCCTGGTACCGGATCTGGCAAACGTCTAGGGGGCTCTGCTCCTCGGCCAGGTGAAGATATTCGGAGAGTAATTGCGGATGCTGCCGAGCGGCGGAGCAGGATTCTCAAGGGTTGTGGCACAGATAACCTCAGCGAAACTCAAATTCGTAACATTTCAGACAATGCCACAAAGAATGGTTTTCGAACACAGGCCGAAGAAGACGAGGCTAACGATGCAGCCATAGCTCAAGCCCTGTGGGAACTTGTGCAGGAAGACAAATCGGTTGAATACGGCAACTCTTATATTCCTCCTACGGCGGACAATCCAACTGGAAATGGAGGCGGATCAGTAATCCCGCATAAGGAACCTAGTGGTAGTTCGGAGAGGTCCAGAGAGCCTCCAGGCTGGACATGCAGCACTTGTACTCTACACAATCCTGCCAACTACCTCTGTTGTGACGCTTGTGGGATGGAGCGATCCGAGATGAGTCCAAGGACACAACAGGTTAAAGACAACCGCCGATCCAGATCGCCAGTATCCCAACCTGCTGTTATTGACTTGACGACTTCAAGTCCGCCGCGAGATCGGCAGAAGTCTGCTACGACATCGCGGAATTCATGGCCAAGAGTCACAAGTCAAGAAGCTGCGTCGTCGGGACCGCAGATATGGGAATGCAGTTTTTGTGGGACAGTGATGGAAAAGAAGTGGTGGACTTGTTCGACATGTGGAAAAATCAAGGACAATTCACGATAGTTAGTTTGAGAATTGCATTGCTGTTGGTCAACGATACGAACTGTAGCGAATCAATGCTTTGAACCCCTGTTTCTCGTGTCTTGGTTGTCGATCAACAATGACTTCATCGACGCTGGGTCTTGCTCTTTAAGGATTAAGTCTGCGACAGTCTTAGCTATTGAGTGTGGACTTTTTCTCGGAGCGAGGCCAAGACGCAGGGGCCAAGTTAACCAAGATCGTATTGAGATTCCAAGAGAAAAAAAAGATGATATTAATGAGACTTTGCAGGATCCGGAAAGGCGCCGATTGGAACTGGAGATGATCTGCAAGGCGGGCTTGGACGCCATCGGAGCTTGTAACAATTAGACCCTAGCAGAAACCGGGCGGGTTGGGACAGAGGCATTCGGGTGAAACAACAAAAGATGGAGGGAAAAGAAGTGCTTACGCTTAAAGCGGCTGATGAGGAACAGCCAAGCAAAAAGGTGCAGCAATAACTGTTAGGTAACTTGCATGAAGATGCTCTAGGATGCATCTGTGAGAGGCCATCGTGGTTCGAGCTTGGATTTAGTTGGTATGCCAAGAGATTGATGTGTTTGCATCCTCCTGGGTGAATGGAAGTTGGTGATTTGAAATGTGAATGTGCAAATGACAACCAGAGTTTTTCGTGCTGGAATCAATTCTGGACTTGGCCATAAGGTCTAGATGCCGGTGGACTCAAGGCCAGACCACTCGATACAACCACAAATAGACGGCAGTCTGCAGCTAATTGTCCGGAATGCATCTGTCGGAGGATAATTGTGCATTTCATCGTAACACAACCGCTTAGCTGCCAGCTGGCAGAGTAGATTCCAGCACAGTTGCTAAAACAGGCACATTTGTTGCCCTCGACGGCTAGCTGATAAAGGACAAGCAGTGAAACTTGATGAGTAAACCCCTTGAAATCGGCACGACCTGGGTCTAAGTCACCATCTTTGTTTGTGTCCCCAACGTTAAAATGCAAAAAGTGAAAGTGTCTGCGTGGTGCCTGAAAGGCCGGAGCACCTTATTCGTCGGTTCCCGCGATCTCCTGTGTCGTGCAGCACATCCATCCCTTTCAAAGTGGGGAAGCTCGTCCAAAGCCAGCATCAGCGTGGATGGAGATGCGAGTGCAACTGCAACCACATCAGGCGAGATAGTGTTGTACATACTGTAACAAAGCGTTGTGCACCAGGGACCCATATTCCACATTCAGATCAGTTGACAGCGAACATATTGACGAGGCGGTGATGCCTTGAAGGATCCAATGCTTTGAGTCTTATCGAAAATAGCCTCATTGGGTACCCGTAAGGTATTAATTGATTGTGCCTCGATTATAAGAATCTCTAGCGTCGAGGAGCTCCCGCTGTTGATGGTGAGCAGATGACAAGCAATTCGTCCCGTGATAGGGTAGGTCTGCGAGAATGCAATGGATGGCTGTAAAGGAGGGTGTTCGTTGAACGCTATGTTGCAACGGTCAATTCAAAAATTCCCATGATGATGATCAGGGTCATGTTTAAATTTTTAATATGGCCAATCTGAGTTCAGGATCCTAGAGGAGGAAGCCGATGTGGAAAGGTAACTCTCGTGGTTCCGCAGCCAACGTTGGGCGGATGAGACGGATCAATAGACTTTCGTGGCATTCAACTCTGGTCTGTTTCTGTTCTGCCCTGTCTGTGGTTGCGGGGATCAAGGCTATCCATTCCCACGGGATGGCCCTTGTTCTTACTGTAGATTAGGCCGCCCTATTCTCTTGCCTGAATTGGTCATCGGGCACATGTTTGAAGTTTGTTGATCGATGAAAGAAACGTGCTCGCATAGTATCGAGCTTTGTGCGACCGTGGCCGCGATCGGCTTCGGTAAGGTTATCTTGGCCGATTCGGCCTCATCTCTGCATAAGGCTGGGCTGGGCTGTTTGTATTGTGTTGGACTTGTACTTGTTGTACTGTCCAATACTGTGCTTCCTCGAGCTCGAGATGCGACAGACTAACCGGGGCCTCCCATGTTGGTGAGCAGGAGGATCTCTACTGACACGCCAGAGCTAAAGTGAGCTAGTTTACGATTCTGGGCTCTCTTAGAAGTGATATTCGATTTGTGACATTCAGGCACCGGATCGCATGTTGTTGTCTTTTCGAGGACCTCGAGGGATCTTCAGCAATCGAGTTAGTGCCCATTTCGAGACAAGGTCTTTCGTTGAAGAACTGTTCACCGCAGAAATCAGGGCTTGCGACTGGAGCCATGCATGCCATGCCATTCTCATGCTCGATCGGCATTTCAAGAACAAGGGAGGGTGAAGTGGGCCCGGCTGTGGAGGCGATCCCGACCCTGGACAACGCCACGGCGCTCTCTTAGGTGAGCAGCCGGCTTCAACCGCCCCACTCTACAGCACCTCTTAGTGGAGAGGATCCGCACGCCTTGCCCCCCAGACCCTCTGCGAGGCGCTGAGAGGGGACCTAAGCGACTACCAACAGGGCGTTAGATCCCCGTAAGAACCCTCCACTCTAAGGTTGTGAGACCCCCGCCCGCTTGTCCGTAGCTCGCTCGCTCATTGTGTTGGTGGTGGTACCAGCTCTTGCCTATCCTATCACGTACCCCGGCGCCAGGAGGAAGGTGACGGGAGGTGTGTCAATTCAGGGTCCTTCCTGTCCTTGGGTGTCGACTTCTTTCCTTCGCGGCTTGGAGTGAAAATCAATACCTATTCCTTTCAACGCTGTTGCACAAGAAAAAATCTTGAATATTTTATTTTCTCTTCCACTCTCTGTATCTTCTCCTACATCAACATCTGATTCAACCTCAACTTTTGTTGTAGAAGCCCGGTCTTCTCCACCTCAAGCCTGGGCTTCCAGCTCATCCTGTTAAAGCTGCCATCTCTGTCTCAGCTTTACGATTCACCTTTCCATCTCAGCTGAGCTGTCTCGTTCGTCCACTGGTTTCCCGGTTCAACCTCACCGAGACGCGGTATATCAGACTCGTCTACAAAGATATCAACTTCTCGTAACTTACCCAACAACGGCCTCCCTCCTGTTCCTGGCCCAAACGAGTAAACCGTCTTAACACGCCCTTCAAAGTCTAATCCCGCCTCCGTCGACGCCGTCCCTAGACAAGCTAGGCTTGAGCCACGGGTTGCCTGACCTTTACGGCACTTTCCCCCCTCTGCGCCATGCCAATTCCCCGTCGCCGGTCACTTGTCGATTTGAAGTAGATCAACTCCACTGATTACTTTCTTTTGGACCTTGTCTCAAGGTCGAGACCGCCGACGCCCCGGCCATTGCTTCCTTCGCCTACGACCATTGCATTCACAACTTGCAACTCTGAATATTCACTCTCCCTTGTGATATTGTGGTGCGGCTCCTGATCGTCTGCCCTTCGTTTAATACCCAAGTCGCACGGAACGGCGTTCAGTCTCCATGACTTATAACGCAGCACCGACATGAGCCCTCCCGAACAACCTTGTGAGAACAGCCAAACTCGAGCTATTAGGCCCGCAGCAGCTGTGCATGACACCGGCTTTCCCTTGGCTCGCTCCGAATCACATCAAAATCAGATTCAAGCTCCTATTCCGACCACATTTGATAATGCACGACCGAGAGCCACTTTCGACTTGGTGAATGATACCAAGGGCCATGATGCGACCCCTCGACCATTTGCCGGAGGACGGTTCCTCAGGGATTTGGGAGATGCTTCGCGCTCACTCTCACAAAGCCCTTTCCGCCTAGCCATGCCGAGCATATCTCCTGGCCAGCTCGCCTTCTCCGCCATGCAGTACTTGCCAGTACCAACTCTCGTTCTTAGTAATCTTAAGACGGTTGTCCTGGCCAACGAAGCAATGGGCCGAATGTTAGGGCTTATTACGGAAGATTCGGATGAAGAGGATACTCTGCCGACCATCGAAAGCCTTCGCGGACAGACACTGTCTCAAGTCGGTGTTGATATCCTCCAGGATGGACAGCCTGTATGGGCAACGTGGGAGGCTTTCCTTGATTCTCAGGTGGATGAAATGGGAGTGCGAACTGCAGCAAGGGATCCACGGCGACCATCACAGTCTGGCGGCGATGAGACGCCAACCGCAAGCACGATGCCTCTCCCCGAGAGGGCACCAAGCCCACCCGCACGCAAAACACAGGACTCCATAGTGGAAGTTGTTATCACACGCAAAAATGGCAACAAAGTAGCGTTGGATGGTCGCTATAACCCTAAAGAGTCGGATTGTCAAGTATATGCTAAGATGATTATTACAATATGGGAACTCGAAGACCACCAGACGTTCTTCACACTCACCTTCACCAGCACGGAATCCCCATCATCCACTCTTCACAGCACGAAACGACCAATCGCGAGACCGAGTATCCTCGAGGCTGCCGAGCGCAAATCTATTGCCCACTCGAACCCGTCCTCAGTTGCGTCAAGTCGAGATTCTAACTCACCTTCTTTCCACAGCCCAGGAATCGTCACCATGTCATCTAGCCCTTTCCCGCCGATGGGCCCCCCTTCTGTCGCAACTAATTCAAGCACGCCTTCTCTTCTGCAAAAGATGCTACTGATGAAAGACGCACTGCTCAACAATACCCAAATGCCCATTTTAGCAATGTGGAAAGATGGTAGTGTCACTTTTCCCAACACGGCTGCTCGGAAACTCTTTGAGAAAGAAGCCCCGCTCGATACATCTCTTAATGGCTTTGATCTCATGCGGTATTGGCACATTTATACTGAGGACTTCTCGGAGCGCTTTGCGGTCGAGGATATGCCTATTTGCAAGCTGCTCAAGACGGAGAAGCCTTTTAGCGGATTTCGTGTTGGCATGTACGATGAAAATAGAAACAAGCGGATTTACGATGTCCTTGGCGAGGCTATCCGGGACGATTCCACTGGCGAGTTTCTTGCTGGTGTTGTTACTGGACGTGACGTTACTGTAATGACAGAAGAGATCACACAAATAAAGGAACGGGATGAAGAGCGTTTCAAGCTCATTTGCGATACAATGCCTCAACTGGTTTGGACAGCAACACCTGATGGCATGGTCGACTTCTGGAACACTCGGTTCTACACTTACACCGGGCTCGCTCCAGAGAACAGTCTTGGCAAGTCATGGGTGAACGCTTTTCACCCCGATGATCTTCCTGAAGCACACCGGAGATGGCAACACTCGCTAGATACGGGCGATAGTTATGTGACGGAGTACCGGTGCCAGAATAAAGATGGCAACTGGCGTTGGTATCTCGGCAGGGCACTGCCTCAACGCAACAAAGAAACCGGGGAAGTCGAGAAGTGGTTCGGTGAGTTTCTTGATCGACTAAACTGGAATTTCGAGTCTGACCATAGGTTTCATAGGAACCTGTACCGATGTCCACGAAAGTATTCAGACCAAGATGAACGCGAAACGCACACGACAACAACTCCTCAGCGTCATTGCCCACTCTCATGTTACCATTTTCACAGTTGACCCGAACCGAAGGGTTACAATGCTTGAAGGCGCATTGATCTGGAACAACACTCACGAAGAGAACCATGATGGGACGAGGTGGTTCATTGGAGAGAACATGTATACTGTCTTCAACCGCCTGACAGCGCAACTCGCAGACGGAGAACGTCCTGAATTCCTCGAACCCATAGAGCTCCTGCTCGATGGAAAAGCTACCGAAGACCTCAAGGAACACGGCATTGGTGAGGATGGGCAGCAAATTGGATCTCGACACGCTTTACTAACCTCGAGTAGACGACCGTTGGTACCGAACTCGTTTCCTTCCTATGTTTGGTAAACGATCACAGGAAGGAGATGTCACGAATGATACGTATATCGAAGGGGTTATTGGCGTAATCATGGACGTTACCGAACTGAAAGTTCGCGAGGAAGCCTTGGAGAAGCAGTCCAAAGAAAAACGAAGAGCGATGGCGAACGAAGCAGCTGCTAAGGAGGCCAATAGACTGAAGAGTCAGTTTCTCGCCAATATGTCTCACGAAATCCGAACACCAATCACTGGAGTTTTAGGGATGGCTGAGTTACTAACCGGAATGGAGTTGGACGCAGAGCAACAAGAATACGTCGAAAACATTCAGAGCTCAGCGACATCTCTGTTGACTGTCATCAATGATATTCTAGACTTCTCCAAGGTGGAGTCTGGGCGGTTGGATATCGAAGAGGTGCAATTCTCATTATCCCACATCGTCAAGGAAGTGGGGAGAATGCTTCAGTTTGCTGTTGAACGAAAGAACCTCGACTTTCAATCAGATATCGGAGACGGCATCGAAAATGATTTGGTCGTCATTGGTGACCCTGGACGTGTGCGGCAGATTCTCACCAATCTTCTTACCAACAGCATTAAATTCACGAATCAAGGATACGTTAGGTTTTCAGTCACGGCTGAGACAGAGACCTCAGAGTCTATCGAGGTTCGATTCACCGTAGAAGATTCGGGTATTGGGATTCAGGGCGACGTTCGCAAGAAGCTTTTCCAACCCTTCAGCCAAGGCGATGCCTCAACAGCCCGACGGTTTGGTGGCACTGGACTGGGATTGACCATTTGCAAGAATCTACTGGACCTCATGCGCGGCCGTATTTCACTAGAATCGAACGTTGGTGTTGGAACTCGAGCAACCTTCTGGATCCCTTTCAATAAACCAAGTGGCCCGGCTGAGGCTGGCCTCGCTAATGCTGGTGCCATCCCTGACCGGCTGCAGTCCGAACTCAGCTTGTCTTGCAACAGTTCAGAATACGACCAGATTGTTGGCACTCCCCCACCCTTTGACGGAATGCAGGCCAATAATGCAGGATCACGTCGAGGTCGATTCGGTATATCATCAACATCAAGCCCAGACCAAGAACTTCCAGCATCAGAAAGAGCTAAGATTCATGTTTTGGTAGTGGAAGATAAGTAAGTATTAAGATGACTCTGGAAAACACCATCAGGCTAACCGACCGAAGTCCTATCAACCAGAAGATTGCTACGAAAACCATCGGCAAACTTGGTTTCCAAGTGACGGCTGCCTGGAACGGCAAGGAAGCCCTGGAATACCTCGCCGGTGTTCAGAAAGGTATCAAACAAAAGCCAGATATTATTCTCATGGATGTACAGATGCCCATCATTGATGGCTACAAGTGCACTCATCTTCTAAGACACCACATGCCTTACAAGCCACTGGTTCAAGATGTGCCGATTGTGGCCATGACGGCATCGGCTATCCAAGGTGATCGTGAAAAATGCACCAAAGCTGGTATGGATGATTATCTCGCCAAACCAGTTCGGGGTGTTATCTTAGAGAAGATGCTTTTACGATGGTGTCACTCCCGACGTCGGACATCGGCGACACCGGACCCTACTGCTTCAGACTGTTCAGAGATGAGCGAGCACTGCGACAATGCTGATATTCCGAATATTGGTATCGACGACGACGACATGCCGCAGACATCTGAGGAGATCAATGGCAGTCCTATCACACCTCGGCCATTGACCACCAATGGATACCAGAACGAGCCGTCACCCTTTGATTCTACCGGGCTAGCAGTGCAGGTCCGACGACCAGAAGGAGAGACAGAATGGTCTAACAGGCTACAAGAAACAAAACTCATCGACGCTGCAGGGGGATCGTCAAGCTACCGGAGGAACTCATACCACGAACTACAGACCGGAGATTCGTTGACAGAGGAGAATGTCAACAAGTTGAAGAGCGAGAATCAGTCGACGACACGTCGATAAACCAATGAAACCATCGACCGTGCTCCGGAACCGACGACCAATCGGTTCATCGCGACCGAAACTATTGAAACACTTTATTACTCGATCGCCGATCTACCTTCGCCCACAGCGGGAAACAATATCCGATAAGCGCGGATTCATTTTTACACTCTTCTTTCGGCTACACAGCATTGGCAACAAAAGCATGCATGCATTGATTGCATTACACACGGTGGGAATGGCGTTGAAACGGGATACCGCTCACATTTAGCGAGCAGAAGAATCAGTGGAGAGCACACTCAGGCCAAGATGCCCTGACTTTTGTGCTCCTTTGCGTGTTTTGTCTTTCATCAACTATAGACGGACGGGTTCCAGCATTCTGGCAAAAAAGGAAAACGGGAGGACCTTTCTGATTGCCTGTACATGCTTTGGCAAGAATATGCATCTATGGATTAAGGATTGGGAATAAAGAGTTGAAAGGGTCTAGTTTTTTTGTTACGAAACAGTAGGAACAACGGATGAATGATGGAATGGTTCGATGATACCTTTTTTGACTTTTTAATATTTACTATTTCAATTATTTGAAGCTGGACTTGAAGAAGTATATTCAGTCCAAATGGCCCATACAATCGCTCCTCGCTCGCTATGTTCAGACTTTAATAATGCCAAAGAGATTCCTGTCTAATGGTTATCGTGAAAGTCGTGAGATTTATGCACGGCATTGACAACGCATACAATCGATTGATGCCTAATACGATGCCTCGGGCATCTCGAGATGTCACGTTCCAAGATCTTGGCTTGATCTAGACCTCGGTCTCGATTCCCGGCTGCTTAGACGAGTGGTCAAAGACACCGGAGGCTTTGTCCCCAACTCGATACATCTTATTCTTGATCCACTTGGCAGTTCGCGGGATCTAGGCCTATCTGTTAGTTCTAGTCTTATGCTACGCCCCCTCAAAAAGCGGGAGGGCAGAAAATAGAAACGAATATGAAAACCACGTGGGACTTATACAAGGGTATCAGGAGCTTACCTTCCATTGCATTAGACCCCGGTGCTGGCGATGCAGGCGTTTGTCTCGACGGCGATAGTCCCTGAGCTGGTCTATAGGACCCTGTTTTTGATCGGCGCTCCCATCTGGGACACTGGAAACTTGACCGTTTTCGTCTTCTGTATCTGAGGAGCTGGAACTGGAGTCCGAGTTGCTGCCTATAGAGCCTGCACGGCGGGCACGCTGGCCGGAGCCCTCTTCATCAGAGTCATCAGACTCAACAATACCAGCTTCCCTTTCCTGGTGGCCGACTTCAAGATTGTCGCGAGCAGTTTCGATCACCTCAACAACATTCTGAAGGTGTTCGTCTCGACTCGCCCATCGAGAATGGGCACTTCCCTGAAAAAAGATGTTAGCAACTAGATAAGGCCTGCCAGATACTTTTTACATGTGCTAGTAGGGTGCTTACCAAACCGGACCAGAATGTGAGCTTGAGTTTGATAGTGCCCAAACGTTCACCGCACTCCTCTAAACAGCAAGCTGTAGCACGCTGGAAATCGCCTTTCCAAATGGGCAATTCCAACTCTGTCTCTTCTTCGTCGGCAATATCTTTAAGCCAAAGGACAGCAAATGCAGCTGTATCATCTCCAAAGAATCCCTTCTCCCGGAAAGCGATTGACATACAACTGCTATATCTCTTAGCAACCGCCAGAGCAAGCGATCTACCTCGTTTCGATTTCCAAGTCACTGTTCCTTGATCGTCACCATCCTCAGTATACATCTTTGCAGTACTGATACTGGTCCGGAACTTGAGCTTCGATGAGCGAAGTTCCTTGGGACAGTCTACTACGGTGACAGTGGGCTGAACCTCGATTGTGCCGTACTGCCATCCTAGGAGATTTCGTGGTGCTTGGAGTTGAACACTTCGGAAGACCATTGAGATACGGACGCGCCCATAGCCAATGCCTCCTGTCAGGGGCCAAAATCCCATGACTTGGGAACGTTCACGGAACACTTCTCCAAGAGGCAAGTGGATGATACCTAGCAAGGGGTCATCCTCCTTCAATCGAGCATCACGGACCGTGACAAAAACTTCTGCTTCACGCCAATCGCGGATGAATCTCTCGCAGCCAGCGTTATAGAACGGCTTAGAGTTCTGAGGTTTTGTCCTTGTCTTAAACGTCTTTCGGTGATTGAGGATGATAGTACAGTATGCACTTGGCAGACCATCACCCGAGTCCTCTTCGTCGGTCGCCTCAGCGTCGTTTTCGGACTTGCGCTTGTTGAGTCGCTCCAGCTCAAGACCAGTGATGTTATGCACTTGGATGCTGAATAGACCACTAGGGTAACCGTCAGGTGGAGGTGCAGAAATGATCATGGCATCTTGCTCAGCCTTGAGCTCTTGAGCTGTCTGTTGCTCAAGCTCGCTAGCGTCTCGCTCCTTGCCTTCCTTGAACATGGTCTCGCGAAGCTTGCGCTCACTTGACTCTCTGACCTTCTCCTTAAGCTGATCCATAGTACGTATTTCAGGGTCATGAGTCTGCTTCTCAAACTGGCATTGCTGGATCCTGGTCTTGGAGAAGTATCCAACGCTCCACTCCAGCTTGCCGGGCATGCCATCACCTGATTTCAAAGCCCTGAAGCCATCTTCTCGATGTGACATTCTACCATTAGACTTATCATCCTTCATCAGCTGCTTGATAGGAACTTCAATTCGTCCGAGGTCGTCGTCCGCCGTCAATCTATCGGAATCCCACAGCTGAACACGAAGTCGTTCATCGATATTGAGTTCCTGTGGTGTCACGAGAACAAAACAAGTCTCGTCCCAGACAGGCTCCATCTCGTTCTCCAGTACTCGTGTCGTCCACATCACCTTACCAAACTTGGCCCAGCCGACCGAGACGTACCCGTCTGAGCTTCCTTCTTTGATAAGTGGAATACCAGAGTCACCCATCTTGAAGTCGTAGCCGCGCTTGATGTTGACGACCAGAACACCAACAGCGTTGGTATCCTTCTTGAAATCATCACCAGCAAGCATGTCCTTCAAGTCCAGGGTAAGGCTCTTGGGGGCAACGTACTCAGCCATGGCAGCATCAACGGCGGACTGAACGAAGTTGCTGATGAATGGCACGTCCATGATATTGATAGCATGCTTGCTCAAGGGCACACAGCTCAGGTTAACCTTTGGCTGTCCGAGGAAGGTGAGCGTGCAAAGAGAGAAGAAGGGAGGATCAGGAGTAAGCTGAAGGCGCATGCGCATGGTACCAATCATACCTTGGAGATCGACCCAGACAGGAATTTTGAGGTTTCCAGGTAGGTAAAATGCGAGGTATAGATGCATATCTTTGGTTCTCTCCTTGAGAGACTTGGATGAAGATCGAGTGCGGTAGGCAAATGCAACTTCGAGGTTGATAAAGTCTCCTTCCTCGGCCTCCATTCCGTCCTGGATCGTGGCACTGCTGTCGCTATTCTCGCCGTCCTTCTCCTCAGTGTCATTCTCACTTTGTTCCCTGGTCATGAGCTGTCCTTCTTCATCGACTGCCCTAGCTGCGGCTCCAGTAGGCAGCCATCTTATACCAAGAATACGCAGAGACTCGCTTCCCTGGCCTATATCCTCCACACTGACCATTCGAATCAACCTGGGAAGCGAAGCTTGCATAACATCTTCCAGGGTGTCTGCAAGACTGGCAAATAGATCGGGGTTGATCAGAGGCCAAACAGAACCGATCAGAGAGTTGAGCCAGACTGTGGTCTCAGTATCGTTCTTCTTGGACGCCTTTACAACGCCTCGTCGATGAGCATCCCAGACCTCATCTTCAAAAATGTTGTTGACTTTCTTAGACATCCATTCTCGGACGGATACCACAAGAAGCCATACAGCTCCAACAGTGGCTGCGGTTAGAATTAACCAGAGCGAAGCGCCAACGAGTAAAGAGGATTTTGTTTTCCCTTCTTGGAGAATACCCTCTCGAACGAGCCTTTCAATGCCAAATGCACTGGCCACGATAGTAGCCACACCAGCGAGCCCGAATGTGACACCACGCTTGCTGATGGATGAAAGCTCAAGGCGCAGAGCATCGAAATCGGGCGGGGGAAACAAGTCGCCCATGGCATCGTGACTTTGCTGAATGTCCCGATGTTCATCGCGAAGCTGCTCATCTGTCTTGTTCTTGTTTTCTGACCCTGTAGCTGTGCGTTGTGTTGTGCCGAAGGGGGGTTCATTAGTGTCTATCTCTTTAAGAGCTTCATCTGTGAAATCATGTATAGTGACAGGAAGATGTGTGACGGGGTCCGTAACTTCTCGCTCGGCTCTTTCTCGCTTGCTCTTCTTGATTTCTTTCCTCCGTTGTTTGGGATCTGATGATTGGGGACCGACTTGTGAAGTGTCTGTCATTTCTTCTCCGTTGCCTTTCTCTTCATTATCGTCCTTTTTATTATTATCGTCCTTGTCATCCTCGATTGACTCTAGGTGGGGCCCGGCATCTTCTCTAGACTTTTGCTGGAATTGATAATCATTTGAACCCGCAGCCTCTGACGGGTCAGGTTTTCCAACTGCGGCATCTTGACGTGCAGCTCTCTCTTCTCGATATTTGGAGATGGTTGGAATAGGATGTCTGGCGCTATATGGAGCTGTATAGCGACGGTGCTCCTCCGCGTCGTCTCTTCCAGACATGGCGGGTCGCGGGTAAGCTTAGAACAGAACGGAGTAAGGTAGTGACAGATTGGTGATATACAATTGGCAAGGAACCGGCGATCGTGAAGAGTCTTGGAGATGCAAGAGAAAAAGCTTAGTTGATCAGTTTCACGGAGAAGTTGAAAAGACCAAGAGAATTATGGAACAAGGAGAAGAACGACAAGAATTAAGGCAGGTAGTCAAAGGTTACTGTCAAGTTGAAGGAAGGTGCAATGGAAGATGGTAAGTTACTACGTCATAAGCTAGTGGGCATGGATGATATGCCGAGCTTTCCTTCTTGGCGGAACCATTTGTATACATAAGAATAAAAATAAATAGATCCACGATGGCTCGAGCAAGTATTTGTGGTTATTTTGAAGCTTGGCGAGTCAATGCTTGGTAGTGAAAGTCTTAGCTTGGCTGAATTTGGGCTTGACGACGCTGATGCTCATGTATAGAATGCAGTTTTTAGAGGCTAGCTAAACGTCGAAAACTGTGCCACAGCCTAAGAGGCGTTAGCTGAAGTTAGTGCATTTGCTGTCGATTGTGTCGTGTGTCCTGTTTATGTCCGAATGCATTCACCGGCCGCTAATTCTACCTCAATTAGTTTGTGTCTCCCAATCAATCTGTCCTTCTTTGACTTGCTCTCACATTCGTAAAGAAACAGGACTCGTACTGTTGGTCTCTTGGCATTACACCAACACGTCAGCTTGCGGGGAGCTTGAATCAAGCTTGCCCTGGTAATTATTGGTGGGGTATCGAGATCGCCAAAGGCCAAAATCTTGTCATTGAATGGAATAGGGCTACCGATATAGCTAGCACTCAATGTTTATCTTGAGCCGTGTTGGTCAATTCTATGAGTTTCATCCTGCCTTAAAAGCAGGTTTTGGTTTGCGATTGCACCACACAAGACATGAAAAGGACATGATGCTCCGTCCGTTGCAGTGATGAATACATACTGACGATTCAGCATTTGAGCCACTAGACGCATGTGTCTGTGTCCGCCATTCGGGCATTAGGTTGGCCTTATTACCGGATTACAGAAGGTTGGTTGTTGGTAGGTATTTATTCTTGGTTCTCTCGTGGCATCGGCCCCACTTCTCCGGCACGGATACGGCGTCGGCCTGAGTGCTCCGGGACAGAGGATGACAAAGGCAACCATGTCGCACTATATCGGGGTTTGGTGTTTTAGAAGTAGGCAAATCGGGCATTAGTGATTATTAACCCCTATGCAATGGAGATGTTTGACGATGACAGTAGTCTAAATCGTGAGTGTTTCTGCTTCGATACACCTAATCGGTGCTACTAACACCAACAAGGCAGTTGCTCAACAAAACTGTCGCACGATAGAAATATCTCTCGTTCTTCAGAGACCTATAGCAAATGATTTTGTGATAGAGGTTGGAGTGACAACCAAGTCTTGTGCGATGTGAAAGTGATGAGCGGTCTGCTTACTGCACCCACTAAGCTTTCTGCGACAATAGCAGAAATCTTGGCTTTTTATTTCGAAACTCATCCGATGAACCTGAGGAGATGCGCATTATGGATGGGTAGAGGACATCAGATGACAGTCGTTCGATTTCTTGGGGATTGATACAGCTGAGAACCGTGACGAGATTTAGCCGTGCATTCGTTAATCGTCTGTTGGTTAGCTAGAAACTCTGTTGGTTGGTAACTTAGTGTCACCTTGTGAGCCGCGATCAATTAGTCTACCTGCTGATTCCCGAAAACTCGGTCGTCATAGTGAGTAGAGGATCAGAAACAATCGTGCGAGACAAGGGCCAAGAATAAGAATGTGCACTTGGGGTCGATTAGTCCCAAACTAGCGCCGTCACAGTGCATCACAAGTGGTTGGGAAGAGCCTGTCGTTGGCTGCATCTCGAGATTTTAAGCGCCCAGAGACTCGAACCCCAGGCGCCTCTTCAGGGTCCTCGTGTCGGTGACTGGTCCCGGGGGCCGTTGGTGGCATTAGGTGGTGCAGTGTTCCAAAATTAATCGGCCAGTCAGACGCTATAGCACAGAATGCCCAGGCCTCTAATAGGCGCCGGGGAATCAATATTGTCCCCATGATGATGATGGTAGTGAGTTGTTTAACCACCTAGTACGCTGTAGTGGAGGTAACAGATCTGGAGTAAAAGCAGTAAAGTCCCCTGTTTCTTGCATTCGTTGAATCTTTGATTGAAATATTTGAACCTCTTCTGCGACGTTTAACCTCCTTATTCAGACACTATACCGACCGTCGCAGTAACAATAAGAAACAGCCCCGGTCTCAGCCTTGGCGCCCCCCGCGAAACACTCTCATCTCTAACCAAAAGAGTCTCCCCCGACGCCAATTGTCTCATCCCAACCACGAAACCCGCTACGATTCTCCTCTGTAACGTTTCAACTTCCGCTGGTGAATTCGTAGCATCTCGGCATCCACATCTTCCGTACCCGATCTGGCAACTCGATACCTCCTTGTACCCGTTTAAACAGATCCCCAGCGCATCAGATTTCGGATCACGGTTCCTACTATAGCCTCGATATTCTTGGCCAAACCTGTCAATATTTTCACTTTATGAACCTGGTCCTTCCTGCGATCTCATCTGAACTTTCTTCATCTTTCTTTTCTCGGGTCGCTCGCCATTGTTACTCAGCGTCCTCGCCAACATTCTCTCACCCCGGGCTGCTCAGCCACGACTTTCGCTTCCTCTCGCTGCTGGATCAGTCTCTTTTTTCTGTTTACTATTTAAGGGTTTTTGGATAATTTACTCGATATCACTCTCTCTTTATCGAGAGGAGATCCTCTATAGTCCTGTCGCCGGCCGACTTTGACTTTACTTAATTAACACTCAACACATACCGCAACGATGGGTTCACATATCGGATTCCTCGAATTAATAAAGAAGCAGTTTACGGCCAGTAAACTCTTCTTCCACTTTCTTTTCTGGACATTTCATTGGGGTATTTTTGCCTATGGTTGGTAAGTTGAGAATAACCATCCACAGAATCATGGTTTATAACTGACTGATATAGGTGGAAACAAGCCGCAGATGCCAGACTAGCAGGTCTCAACACACTCAAATTCTCAGTATGGATCTCACGAGGTGCTGGCCTAGTTCTCAGCGTCGACTGCATGCTTATCCTACTCCCCGTATGCCGAACCATCATGCGCTGGGTTCGACCCAAGATTCGCTTCATCCCACTTGATGAGAATCTCTGGATGCATCGCCAACTCGCCTACTCCATCCTCCTCTTCACCTGTCTTCACACAGGCGCTCACTACGTCAACTTCTATAACGTTGAGTTGACTCAGATTCGACCTGTCTTGGCTCTTCAGATCCATTATGCTCAACCTGGTGGTATCACTGGCCATGTAATGCTTCTCTGCATGCTGCTGATGTACACGACCGCCCACGCTCGCATCCGTCAACAGTCATTCGAGACATTCTGGTACACTCACCATCTCTTCATTCCGTTCTTCCTCGGTCTTTACACCCACACCGTTGGATGTTTCGTGCGTGACACAGCTGAAGCTATCTCACCATTTGCGGGTGACCAGTTCTGGGAGCACTGTATTGGTTATCTTGGATGGCGATGGGAGCTCTGGACTGGTGGCTTCTACCTTCTCGAGCGTCTCTGGCGTGAAGTTCGTGCTCGACGTGAGACCAAGATTACTCGAGTCGTCCGCCATCCTTACGACGTGGTTGAGATCCAGTTCAACAAGCCGTCTTTCAAGTATAAGGCTGGTCAGTGGCTGTTCCTCCAGGTGCCTGGGCTTTCCAAGTACCAGTGGCACCCTTTTACCATCACTTCGTGCCCCTTTGACCCTTATGTGTCTGTTCACGTTCGCCAGGTTGGTGACTTCACTCGAGAGTTGGGTGATGCTCTTGGTGCCGGTGCTGCTCAGGCCAAGCTCTACGACGATGTTGACCCCATGGGTATGTACGAAGTTGCCCTTCAGAACGGTGATCAGATGCCCGCCCTCCGAATCGATGGTCCTTACGGTGCCCCCGCCGAAGATGTATTCGAGAACGAAATCGCTGTGCTTATCGGTACCGGTATTGGTGTGACTCCCTGGGCTTCTATCCTCAAGAACATCTGGCATCTCCGCAACTCACCCAACCCTCCCCGCCGACTTCGCCGAGTCGAATTTATCTGGGTGTGTAAGGATACCGGTTCTTTTGAGTGGTTCCAGACTCTCCTGTCATCTCTAGAAGAGCAATCCAACGAAGCGGCGCGCATGCCTGGAAGCTCAGGCGTCGAGTTCCTCAAGATTCACACCTATCTCACACAGAAGCTGGATATCGACACTGCTCAGAACATCGTCCTCAACAGTGTCGGTGCTCAGATGGATCCTCTCACAGAACTACAATCACGAACCAACTTTGGTCGCCCTGATTTCCCTCGTCTGTTTACTACCATGCGAAACGGTATCTTGGACCGAACCTACCTGAACGGTCTAGAGTCCCATATCAGGACGACAGTTGGTGTTTACTTCTGTGGTCCTTCATCAGCCGGTATGTTATGACCCCCAACATCCACCTTGAGATAATGCTAACTCTGTCTATAGCTCGTGATATTAAAATGGCGTGTAAAGCAGCCACAGTTCCTGATGTGGACTTCCGATTCTGGAAGGAACACTTCTAAGCTCGCGATCGTTTTGAATACTTTCTTCTTAATTTCAGGATACCATCAAATAAAATTTATTTGCATACACCAAAAGATAGCTTCAAGCCTTAAGTCACCTAGCGATTTTGATATTCCAAAACCCAAAAAAACGAACCCTTACACAAATCCTGCTTCCCCATAAAGGGGCCTCAAGCGCTCTCCTGTGTGATCTTCGTCTCTCCTGTATGAGGGCGGATGATCAATGTATCATAAATCAAGTGTCACACACGGATCAGCTTGTGCCGTGAAGGGTGGCGATAATAGCACTCATATGAACATATGTGACAGGGCTACGTTTCATAGTATCACCCTTGAGCATAATATGTGATGGTATATATAACTAGCCCTTATCCTAAATGCAGCCTATGATATGCAACCCTATTGTTTAATAAGTGTCCAATAGCTACCATTGTGCTACTTTAGTACACGTAGAATTGTTGTGTAAGTGGTAGAGTTTCTGCGGGCGCCGCCACACAAACCTCCCCATCAGCCTCAACTGTATAACTCTCTGGATCAACACGCATCTTTGGCTTAAGGTCGTTATGGCGCATATCACTCTTGCCTATATTTCTGCAATCCTTGACTGCCTCAACGCGACTACGCAGACCATATGAAGCAACAGCGCCTGTCTCGATGGACGCTGAAGAGACGAAGAGGATGCTCGTAGAGGCGCAGTGGGGTGAGAACATCGGACGAGCAATGATGGGCTGAACTGTTGGGATGGAAGCGTTGGGATCACCCTGATACAGAGTTAGTAACTCACTAAGTTGCAAAGTTAGAAGAGGGAAAGTTACCATCTGAGCATATGCGATATGTCCACCTTTAAGGACATGGCTAGGCTTGGTGCCAAACCACGCAGGATCCCAAAGAACAAGATCAGCAAACTTGCCAACCTCGATACTTCCAATGACATGTCCAAAGCCCTGAGCAATAGCCGGGTTAATAGTATACTTGCTGACATAGCGTTTTACACGCGCATTATCAGCATCTGTTCCCTCATCTTCCGGCAACCAACCCCTCTGCACCTTATTCTTATGCGCAGTATTCCATGTTCTTAAAATAACCTCTCCGCAACGGCCCATAGCCTGTGAGTCAGAGCTCATCATGCTAATAGCGCCTTTGTCGTGTAATACATCCTCGGCAGCAATGGTTTCAGCACGGATACGGCTCTCTGCGAAGGCTACATCCTCAGGGATGTTCTTGGATAAGTGATGACAGACCATAAGCATATCAAGATGCTCATCGAGGGTGTTGCGTGTGAATGGTCTTGTAGGGTTGGTCGATGACGGAAGAACATTTTGATGCTCTACCACGGAGATGATGTCGGGAGCATGGCCACCTCCTGCACCCTCTGTATGATAAGTATGAATTGTTCGGTTCTTGAACGCAGCGATTGTAGACTCGACAAAACCGGATTCGTTGAGCGTGTCAGTGTGAATAAGACATTGAATGTCAAATTCATCACAAACACTGAGACAAGCATCAATGGCAGCAGGGGTACAGCCCCAATCCTCATGAAGCTTGAGGCCACAAGCACCAGCGTTAACCTGATCGCGCAGACCCTCAGGAGAACTATCATTACCTTTACCCGTGATACCAATATTGATAGGAAGTTGATCACAAGCCTGCAGCATCTGACGCATGTAATGAGCGCCAGGAGTACAAGTAGTTGCGTTCGTTCCAGCACTATAACAACGGTAAGCTTCCAAGATAACAATATGAATGCACATTGGACAAACCTTGGACCTGTACCACCGCCAAGCATCGTGGTTACACCAGATGCAAGAGCTTCGGGTACTTGCTGAGGACAGATAAAGTGAATATGCGTGTCGATAGCGCCGGCGGTCACAATCTTTCCTTCGCCTGCTACGACATCTGTGCAGCTGCCGACGACCATGCCCTCTGTTACGCCATCCATAACGTCTGGGTTGCCTGCTTTGCCGATACCAACGATCATGCCCTCTTTGACTCCGATATCTGCCTTATAGATACCCGTCCAGTCCACGATGAGAGCATTAGTCACAACGAGATCGAGGGTTTCGGCATCGTGTCGTCCAGTGGCTTGACCCATTCCCTCACGCAGCGTTTTACCACCACCGAATTTACATTCATCGCCGTAGACAGTTTCGTCGCGCTCGACCTTGATCCAGAGATCTGTGCTGCCGAGGCGAACGAGGTCTCCTGTCGTAGGGCCAAACATGGTGGCATAAGAGGCATGATCCATTTGGAAGACATCAATGTGAGCCATATCGCCAGCAGGGTCTGGCTTGTGAGCGTATCCAGCTTCTTGCAATCGAGCGAGGATTTCGTCAGCGCGTGAGAGGTCAACAACTCCTGATGCAAGGTTGTTACCACCGCGGATAACACGGTTGCCACCAATCTCAACGAGAGTAACAGTCTTGGTATCTCCAGGCTCGAACCGTACTGATGTTCCAGCAGGAATATCGAGTCGATAGCCATAAGCACGAATACGGTCGAATTCAAGCTGTGGGTTGGTCTCGATGAAGTGATAATGAGATCCAACTTGAATAGGTCGATCACCTGTACTCGTTACCTGAAGACGAATTCTCCTTCTTCCTTCATTGAGGGTAATCTTCCTCGTCTTGACAGGAACAACAGCACCAGGCTGCTTATCGAGTTGATACTCTTCAGTAGCTGCCATAGGAAAGATACTGTTGTCTGGCACAGGGAGGAAACTTCCATATAGAGCTCTTCTCAAATCTCCATCATCTGAGCTGATGGGATTATGGACTGTGACGAGGTATGTTCCTGATGGAAAGGTACCTTCGACTTGAATCTCATGAAGAGTCGTGCAGACTGAGGGCAGCACATGCCGACGACCTAGCATCGTGGCGCCGAGGGCCATTAGGTCAGAGACAGTATGATTTCCATCTCTAATGAGTTCATGGAGGTTATTGGCGATGAGAGCCTGAATTCATCGTGTTAGTCAAGTCAAGTCAACTTCCTGATTGACTCATATTTCTCATATCGAGTTCATATTATACTCACCACAGCTTCAGAATGATTCAGCTTGACTCCTCTCGCCAATCGTCTCTGAGCAAGCAATCCCAGCTGCGAGATGACTAGCTTGTCGATCTACAAAGTATGTTAGAGCTCTTTCATGTGCTATTCTCATACTGCCCGCAACAACCCTGCAAAAGCAATGTCTCCAGCCAACGACATGACTCCGCAGACTGGGTCTCTTAGCCTTGGCGAATAAAGACGAACCTCTTTAGGTACCAGATGCATGTTTGCGATGATAGACTCTTTTTTCTGGTTACTTATCAGAGAGATCAGAGAATCTAAAGAGTGAGAGTGAGAGGAGGGGCCAAAAGTGTATGGTTAGTTACAGTAAGGTAAGGTAGCTAGCTATCTCGGCACGGAATAGCCGCATCAAGAGTAGCCTGACATTTTTACCTACAAACGGACTGGACTTTCTAGCTACAGTTACGGTGCTTCCCCCACTGTAACTTGAGATAACGGGCTTCTTGGGGTTGGTTTCATTGATAAGTCGAGGCCGATCGATTGGTCATTCATTTGCGCCCGTAGTTGACGTGGGTTTACATCATTCAACTCTTCTCAGTCGATTATTGGCTCTCAACTTGTTGATTGTGTAAACCTTTATACATCATCGATAACGCTTCAACAGAAAACTACAATTGGCTTGTTGTTTCGGAAGCAGTCAAGTAGTTGAGTGCCAATTGCACCTTCAACGCAAATGCAATCTTGTTAATTGCTGCATTTTCTCTTCATCATCGTACTCAGAGAGTAAATAACGACTAGTGGTATCCCGATCCTAGGTAAACATTAACTCATCGCCTGAACTCCATCATGTACCATCCAACGCCTTTGCACGAATCAAGTCTACCACAACAGTAGAAGAGTCATACCTAGGGATCAAACCTAGGGGGACTCGGCCAAATAAGATTTCTAATCCTCCTCCACTTCCTCATCCCATTGCTCTTTTTCTTTGTTCATCAGTTCGCTCATGTCTGCCGGCTTGAAAATCGAACTCTCCGGATCTGTAATTCTCGGAACCTTGCGAAGGCTTTCATCATCAAATACTGATCCAATTGTGTCGATCCATCGCTTTCGTCGCTCCATGAGCGTCTTCGTAAGATCGCCAATGCCCGGACGAGCGGTACCCGCAGCGCCGCCCACAAAGTGACTACCGCCACCTGCACCTCCGGGACGCTTCGTCTTCTTGCTCTTGCCCATGGTGCGTGTGCGCTTAAGGTATGCAGCTTGCACTTGGCCGTCAAGATCCTCGAGGATGGTCTGATACTCCTGGTACGCCATACGTTCTCGTACAAGGTCCGTGAGACGAGCTTTGCGCGCACCGTTGATCAGCATCTGCTCCTTGAGACGATTTTGCAAAAGTCTCAATCTAGCTGCGACCTCGTCGTCAAAATGGCCATCGTACTCTGCTTCGAATCCATCAAGAGGAAGGAATCCAATGTGTCGGAGTTCCTGCTTGATGCGTTCATCAACCTGTGAATATTCCAATTTTGGATGAGAAGCTTTCTTCCAGGCCTCTGTTGACGATTCAGGCATAAAAGCTGCCGGCTGCTGGTTCGGTTTGTCATCAGAGGATGCAGGCTTATCTTCGGCGTCTGCATCACCATTCATGCTAATATCTCCATTGGTGGTTCCATTTGTCGTAGGCTTGTCGTCTGCAGATTGCGCGCGGGCTTCAGGTCGAAGCGTTTGCATTAAGCGGGTCAACCAAGGGCCTACTGAAAGCTTGTCTGTCTCTCCGACGTCATCGTCCATGTTGTCTATGCTTCCTCGTGGCTGATTCGGAGGAAGCTTGTCCCGCCCTTGTTGTGGTGTATCGATCGACATTGCGCCGTCCTCCTCAGCCCATATCTCTGTATAGTGTCTCTTGCCGCGCTTAGGCATGACGAAGGGTGTCACACGATCCCCTCGTTCTCGTAGGAAGGCTAGATCCTCTTCGGAAAATGGTCGGAAGAATGGCTCAACGTACGTCGAGAACGTAGAGAAGTTGATCTGACTGTTGGGCTTTGCATTGCTGAAGTCCTTGTCAGGAGGATCGCCCGCAATAAGATCGGCGAGATCTGACGGGGGATATGTTGCAACTGAGTAGATCTCTTTGCGTTCTTCATCGGGCATTCCGGGATAGGTCGCTCGAATTTCGTAGATGGTGGGGTCAGGGAAGGTGGAAGGATCTTCGCCGAATGTCATAGCTTGGGGTTGTTCGCGACGAGGAGGCGCACCCTCGTCTTCAGAGCTTGACTCTCCTTCCTCTCCTTCTTTTTCTTCGGTCTTGGCCTTCTTGTCAACATCCATGGCCGATGGTGAGCCAGCATGTGTAGGTGACAAAGGCGAACTCGGATCGCGGTCGTGTTTACGGTTTTTCGAGTCTCGCATCGGTGACGAACGTTCTGTAGAAAATTAGTTCGGAACCCCATGTTTAGGTAATTAGTTGCCAGTGCCAGCAACTGACAACTTCTGTGGCAGGCGCCTGCCTCAGGCTAAACACATATATCATGGAAAAACATACCGACATTGCCTTCCTGCGGCGCAAGTGAATCGGGCTTCTTTCTTTTATGTTTTGGTCGTTTTCCTTCTTGTTCACCATCGGCGCGACTGCTATAATCTTCGGATGGTCGCTTTTTACGCTCATCTGCCAAGTGCCTCATCCCGCGATCGTAAAACGTCGAGCGCTTTTCCATAATATTGGATAAGCTCTTGAGTCGTTCAATCATGCCATCAAGGCTCTTTGAATCTGGAATGGTCGCATTTGAGGCGGATTGATCGACGATATCATCATAGGTAAGATTGCGAAAAAGGATGACTCTCGTGTTAAGATAGTCTGGATCGTAAAACTCCTGCGGTGGTAAACTAGCTGTCGCGACTGGAGCAGGCGTGGTGTTGCGGCTCTGCTTTGGTATGGCTGAGTTCTTCTTGCCCGTCCCCTTCTGACTCGGCCCTGGAGGCATGATCGCGGGTGTTGGGGGGTACAAATGAGCGTGGTTAATATGCGCTTGATTGGGTTCTTGGTTGCGCGTGATCGATCAGATAGAATTGAAGGTTGAGTGGAAGGCTTTGATGATTATTGCGACAACGGAACAATAACAGGCAGGAACGACACGGCTCTAAAGCACGCGATTCTGTTAAAGTGCGTCACGGTACAGGTTGGGCGCCGGTACGTACCTGCCCCTTGATGTTCTCAGCTGAGGGGAAACAGCTGCCCCGGATGAGACCCTTGCACTTAAAATAGCAGGCACGGAATATGTTTGATTCCGTTCCTTTCGAGATCGATCTACATGTATTAGAAAACAATCGATTGAATCGCGAAGTCTCTGGTTTCAGTACAAGTCACTGTCGCTAACAATTCTTCCTGTTCCTTAGTAATTAATCCTCGAAGCACATTCTGAAGTCAATAGCTGCAAACAACACGACAACTCGCCGACACTTACATGGATGACGACTCTTGCTACAGTAATAATTCCAGACTCCAGAGGTTGAATGAAAAGAACCATAATTGATGCAAGAGCTGGACCACAGCAATCCAATTTCAGATGCATATATTATCTTCCAGGAAGCCCATTGATTGGATTTAAAAAATACAGCAACGAAAGGCCTTCTATTACTGATCTCAGGCACCCCCTAGGGCGCAGGAAAGCTTCTGACTTTAAACTTGGGTGCCGAAATTACTTAATCTATAGGCCCGCTACCTTATGCCAAACTTTACCTAAGTCTTTTTGTCATTAGGATAAAACATCCTAAGTTTTCTTGCACCTCCCCCTACCTACGAAGACTTCACCTCAAAAGCCACCAAGTATTTCGGGGTTTTTTAAACCAAGTCGACTGCATTCTTGCCAGCAATGTATGTTCAGAATCAAGTTCGCGCTGGCTGTCCTGGACTAGATAAATCATGCATAAACCATGCAATGACTCGCCGTGCAACCTTTCTATAGGTGCAAAGAAGTTGCACGTTCTTCGATAGCTCTTCTTACTCGCAGCAAACTAGAAGAAAGCCTCTAATTTCATTCAAAACATGGACTACGCAATTACGGTAACAGTGTTTCTGTCGTTTCGATAAAAACCAGTATTCTCAGCATGAGCATCATCTCTCAACAAACCATTCATGTTTAAGGGATCCGTGGACAATTGGTTTGGCTAAGAGCATGACTATTCGGAATTATTGTCATTGCTTCCCAGGACACTTGATTCTTTGTTGATTTTCAGATCCATACACGGTATGGCCAGTGCAGCCGATAACTCCCGTACAGTTGAATTGGCTTTTCTTCATTGCAACACAAAATCTCTTGAATCTCATTCCAATCGTCTGGGTTATCTCATTTATCCGTACGTCAGTGTTGATGGCCACATGTGGTTGACTACCGTCGTCTGATTGGTCGTTGCGTTTCCCTTTTGGAACGACCCGACTAATACGAAAACACCAAGCACGTCTCATCTTCGCAAATGACAGTTTATGGCATTTCTGTTTCTTTTCACATGATGAGATTGGTCCCTGCTTAAAGGGTGTTTGCTCTTCGAGTGAAGAGCAATGTCTTGTTCATTGGCATTGAGACTCAACACCTTTCATCACCACAACCCATGTTCGAGAAGCCATGTCATCCTCGGCTCTTCAAGTCCATGATCGTCAACTATACTCAGTTGAAACCACTTGCTAACTATATACCCCACTCACACGCTACGAGCTAGAGTAACTACTCATAGCGAACGAAGGATGGCACATGTTTGCCGCCGCCGCAGCCTTGCAAGTCCCTTGAAACTCTATCAACTCTGAACATGTGCTTCAGTTATTGGCTCCCACCACCATCACCCACCTTATAGCTCATGCCTAGAGTGAGCCCTGGCGGCGGGGTATCGTGGCTATCTGGTGGGGTTGAGCAGATCAACAGGGACCTACATACACATGAGCAAGTAGATTCGCGTTGAGCACATCGTGTGCGAGGCGTCAGAGCTGCCGACTACGTACAATGGCCGTTATACCGAGACAATGTACCCGAATTGGTTTTCGAGCCAGGTCTGCTTGGTTGTCAACTCGCGTGCCTCGACCTATATAGCCCTGGCTCGCCGTGTCCTTGTTGCTCGAGTTTTCATCCGTCTACAACTTGGTCGTGTGAACAGCTTTCAACACTGCCTCAATAGCTCCCTTCTTTCAACACTTATTCTCTCAACATACAATGAGAGAGTACCATGGCTTCTCATGTAAGCCTGCACCGGCTCCTCAACCTCAATGCCTACTAATTAACATGCCAGGGTGGTAACATGTTATCTTTGGCTAACGCTCAGTCTCTCCTGGCCGGCATCGTTGCTACTGCTCTCAGCACGCTCTGCCTTACCTCAATCTTCTCCAGTAAGAGTCAGGACGAAGCCCCAGGCTTGATCAAATCTTTCTTCCTTTTCTTCTACTCCTCCTTCATCAAGCCTCACCAGGGCGGCAAAAAGGGCAATCAACAAGATGCCCTTGAGAGCTTCTACAAGAAGCAAGCCGGGGCTTACGATGCTACCCGAAAGGTCCTCCTCCGTGGTCGTGAGGACATGCTGGCTCTTGTTGCCGCGCAGATCCAGGCAAAGGTGATGGACGCTGCGCCTAAAAACGGCAACAAGAACAAGAGAATCTGGGTTGATGTGAGCTACTATGAAAACCATGTTGCCACAACAAATGACTGATATGTGATACAGATTGGCGGCGGCACCGGCTTCAACATTGAGGCCATGGGCGCATTCGTCGATGTCCCTACCTTCTTCTCGAGCGTATACCTCGTCGATTTCTCCCCTTCTCTTTGTGAAGTGGCAAGAAAGCGATTTGAACGCCTTGGCTGGAAGAATGTCAAGGTTGTCTGTGAGGACGCTCGCAAGTTCCGTCTTGAGGATTATGAATCTGGCATGCCTTCGAAGCCGATTCCTCCCCGTTCCCCGGCTCTGAGCTACTTCGACAAGCCTCGCCCTGACTTTGGCGGAGCTGATCTGATCACCATGTCTTACAGCTTGTCCATGATTGTATGTCTCACTGTGCTTCAAACTTTAACGACACGCTGACACGTGATAACAGCCTGACTACTATTCGGTCATTGACTCTGTGATTTCTCTTCTCTCACCCCAAGGTATCTTGGGAGTGGTCGACTTTTACGTCCAGAACCAGGTTGACTTTGCTTTCCGAAACTACACTGGTGGTCTTGTTGACCGTCACGTCAACTTCTTGTCACGAAGCTTCTGGCGCTCTTGGTTCGACCTTGATCGTGTTGGTCTTGAACCCAGTCGCCGAGATTACCTCGAGTATAAGTTTGGTACCGTTCTCAACGTCAACACTCGCAACAAGGGCCTCGGAGCTATTCCCTACTACATCTGGCTTGGTTGCCATAAGAAGCCTTTCTCGTCGTCAAGTCTTCCTCATGAGATCGTCGAGCGCATTGATGCTCTGGTTACAGAATCTCCTTACCTGTACCCCGCTAACCACGGAGATGCCCTGACCCGAGCCATCGAAAGGTCTGCTCCTGAGATTCGATCTAAGGCGTTCCTCACTGCTGTTCAGAACCTTTCTTCCAACCTCCCTCTCCCTTCGTTCTTCTACCAAAACCATCACTGGCGCATCTACTACGATGAGCAGCTCCCCAAGCATACTCAGTTCAAGGACGAGTACATCTATGCTTTCACTTGGGAGGACACTCGTGTTGATGAGCGCCTCTTGAAACTCGGTGCTGACGACAAGGTTCTGGCCATTACTTCTGCTGGTGACAACATTCTCTCGTATCTCCTTCAAAGCCCTGCCCGTGTTCATGCTGTCGACTTGAACCCCACCCAGAACCACCTGCTCGAACTCAAGGCTGCTTCTTACACTGCCCTTCCCTATGAGGATTTCTGGAAGATCTTCGGAGACGGAAAGCATCCTCACTTCCGTGAGTTGCTCATCGCCAAACTCTCTCCTCATCTTTCTGGCCGCGCATTCCAGTACTGGCTCAAGAACGTCCATGTCTTCCAGAACAGCGGTGGTTATGGTCTGTACGATACCGGAGGTTCTCGCCACGCTATCCGTGTCTTCCGTTGGATTGCCCGAATCTTTGGTCTGCAGAAGGCTGTGAAGCAACTCCTGGAGGCCAAGACTCTGAATGAGCAGCGAGAGATCTGGCGAAGAAAGATCCGTCCCGCTCTTCTCTCTAAGCTTGTCTGTAACTTGGTTGTTTCTCAGGAGAGCTTCCTCTGGGCCGCACTTGGTGTTCCTAAGAACCAGCTGGCCATGATTGAGGCTGATCACGCTGAGTCGGACCTTGTTAAGGGTCCCAAGCCTGCCGCCAAGAACACTCGCTCTCATGCTATCTGGCACTACATGGTCAACACTCTTGACCCTGTCGCTGAGGAGACTCACATAGCTGCTGATAACCCTTACTATTACGTTTGCATGGATGGCAAGTTCTCTCCTAAGTGCCACCCTGATTATCTCAGCCCCAGGGCCCACGCCAAGCTCTCTCGCCCCAACGCTCTCGATGGTCTCCGTATCCACACTGATGAGCTCGAGGAGGTTATTGCACGCATCACCCCCGGTACTCTGACTGTTGCCGTCGTCATGGACAGTATGGACTGGTTCGACACTGGATCTCGAGCCGCTGCCGCCCAGATCACTAAACTTAACCGAGCTTTGGCTATGGGTGGTCGTGTGCTGCTCCGTTCTTCTGCCTTGACCCCCTGGTATATCAAGGAGTTTGAGGCCCACGGCTTCTCACCTAAGCGGCATGGTGCTCGCCTCGATGGAGCCTGCATTGACCGTGTCAACATGTATGCTAGCTGCTGGATCTGCACCAAGTCGGAGAACTTGCCTCCTCCCACCCCCGAGATGGATCGTGCAGGAGGCTCTGAGATTACATCTTTGACTATCTAACTCGGACAGCTGGTATGGACTGAGATAGGGATTTGATATTGCGGAAATTGGTACAGAACAGAATAGCGAGCCTGAACAATATAATTGATATTGCGCAGCTGTCTTCTTAGCCTTCGTTCTGCTAGACTGTGAAAGCGTTGGCAAAGCCTATAAATCTCACAAACACGTTGAAAACAACAAACGAGAACTTTAAGTTCGGAAGTAAAGTAAAAGAGCCGTCTTGTGTGAAATTGACGCAATCTTCGTTAACTCAAAGGAAATTTTTCTATACAGGTGTCTGCAGTCACAAATCTGCGCGACAAGTAATACTATCAACAGCATCCTTCATACCTTACACACGCCAATCAACGCTCAGCCACTTTATGCCTTCCACACTCGTCGGACAGCCTCGGTGATACCAACGTCGTTGGTCTCGAACTCGTACAGTCCAACACCAACAAGAACAGTCGCAATGTTGAGGAGCCAGTTGAAGATCTTTCGGAGGCCGGGGTAAGTCCTTGAGGGAATGTAGTCGATGACAACCTGCTGGAAGCCCATGTGGGAGTGGAGGAGCAGAACACTGCAGAGGATGGCGTCGAGAGTAGGGTTGAGAGATCCGGCGGCGAAGGGAGCGACGGTCAAGGGGACGAGGCCAGCGGCGAGGAGACGCTCGAAGGTCCAGTGGTAAGAGCCGTGGGCGGCGTTGGGCTCAGGGATGGGAGCAGGATCGTTGACTAAATATTTGTTAGTTATTATATTTGCATCATGTGAAGCCGGTCAAGTTGCGATTCGGCTTTTGGATGTATTCGTACCACCACCCTCGATGCGCTCTGTGAATACGTTAGCATATGTTGCTTATAATGAAGATACTGGTACGCACGAGGTCCGGGAGGGAGAATAGCAGATCGCCGAGCAGTGTTGTGGAAAGCAGCGACACCCTTAAGCTGAGATCGGATGCTAGGCATAGGCATGAAAGTGCTTCGGGTCGCGGGGACAGCGGCCAATCGAGAAGCCATAGCGGTCTGCCTAAGCAGAGAGGAACGCGCAATTGAGGCCATTTTGAAGCGTTGAGTGATCTATTCTTGTTGGTGTTGTCGCGGCGCTCAATTGGTGGCTGCTTCGAAGGGCGTTAGTGGTTTAGAGGAAGAATTGAACTGATGATGTCGACCTCAATCAATTCGAACTGGCCCGGAACTGGATGTCCTACCATTGCCGAGGATCTCGAATTACCTCTTTCGTGATTGGTGCAAGGCGTCCCGAAGGTTTCCCTGTGGTGTGGATATCTATGGCCGTCACGGAGCCAATAGCGCTGTTTCGCCAAAGTCATATGTGATTGGTCGACATTTGAAGATCTTATCGAACCTCGCCTGGATTTTTTTGGGCTAACAGCTTCGAGCTATGATGCCCAGGTTTGTTTGAGTTGGAGTAGAAGTTGGATCCTAAAGACATTTTCTTTTTGTGTCATCCCAATTATTTCCAACTGAGCAATTGCTCAACCGTCCACCATGGCGAGTCGTGCCATCGTCTCAAAACTTGCGCCCTCACGAACAACCATATATTCGAGATGCCTTAATGCTCAACGGTCCCTCCAAGTTCGCAACGTTGCGACGACGTACCTCAAGAAAGTTGCAGAGGGCGAGGAAAGATGGAAAGAGAGGGCGGAAAAGATTGAGAATGGCGAGATTCCACACACATGGGATGTTCTTCAAGAACGAGGATATATCAAGGATGTGGCAGGGTATGCGACACTACCCATGATTCTCGACTCGACTATATATCTAACTTATACTTTAGATCCCCCGACAAGATCAAGGAGATTATGCGAGTCAGGAGAATAGGCTCCTACGTCGGTATCGATCCCACCGCCGACTCGATGCACGTCGGTCACTTGCTACCCCTCATGCCCATGTTCTGGATGTGGTTCCATGGTTATCCTGCTGTCACCTTGATCGGTGGCTCAACTGCCCGCATTGGTGACCCAACCGACCGACTCGAGAGCCGAACAATTCTTTCCAATGCCGATATTTCCAAGAACATCACAAAAATCCACGTCCAGCTGACGAAGTTATGGAAAAATGTCCACATATTAAAGCAGAAGTACGGATATGAGGAGGATTGGGCTGCCACACATCGTTTGTTGAACAACAACATGTGGCTAGGAAACCTTACTCTTTATGATTTTGCCAAGAGGATTGCCAGACATACAAGAATCGGACCTATGTTGGCTAGGGATACGTGAGTTCTCCTCAAACTCAGAAACTGCCATTCAGAGTGCTGACAACACTTATAGTGTTAAGCGAAAGATGACTGAAGGAGACGGCATGTCTCTCGGCGAATTTATGTATCCCCTGCTTCAAGGATGGGACTTCTGGCATATGTACAACAAACTTGGCATTCAGATGCAGATTGGAGGCTCAGATCAGTACGGCAACATTACTGCTGGAATTGATGCCCTCAAGACTATTCGTGAGACTGAAGAGGCACCTCACCTGAAGATGCCTTCAACCTGGGACCATGAGCCAGTAGGTTTCACCGTGCCGTTATTAACAGATTCTGCTGGCAACAAGTTCGGCAAAAGTGCTGGCAATGCTATATGGTTGGACGAGTTTAAGACAACGGCATTCGACTTGTACGGTTATTTTGTTCGGCGGTCTGACGAGGAGGTTGAGAATTTGCTCAAGATGTTTACATTTATGCCTTTGGAGCAGATCTCCAAGCTCATGGAGGAGCACCGAGCGGCGCCCCAGGAGCGAAAGGCGCAGCACACCCTGGCTTTCGAAGTTCTTTCACTTATCCACGGTTCTCAGAAGGCTGTTCAGGAAGCCAAGCAACACGAGTTCCGATTTGGTACCAAGCTACCCAGCGGTATTGTCAGCGAGCCTACTCCAGATACTGGCATCGTCACTGTCAACAATGCCCCAAGAAGCGATATTCAACTTCCCCGCTCCATCATGAGCCTCTCGCCAGCAAAGATTCTCCACGCTTGTGGTCTCGCATCCAGTAGCAGTGAAGGCCAGCGTCTTCTCTCTGCACAGGGAGCCTATATCGCCGCGCAGCCTGGCCAGAAAAGGGGACTCGTCCCCGGTAACCTGTCCTGGACACCTATGAAGGCTTGGTTCCCCGACGAGACTTCCAAGTTTCTCATCGACGACCGCATGCTCATCATGCGCAAGGGCAAGCACAACGTCCGAATTGTCGAACTCATCGGCGATGAGGAGTGGAAGAAGAGCGGACAGATCTACCCCGGCCAGCCCGGCACTGGTCTCATGCGCAGAATGAAAGAGGAGCTCAAGAAAGATATTGAACAGAAGGGTAAGGCGGTATCAGACAAGGAACTTACTCAAATTGCTCTGAGGAAGAAAGGCCAACTAAAGGTAGCCAATAACTCAGATATTGAGCTGCCTAATAAGCACGATGTGCGTGAGAGGCGGGCTCGACTTACATGGGATAGGAGAGACAAATGAGGAGATGTCTGTGCAGGATCGGCTTGTATTTGCCGTGTAACATAAAACTGTACTATATTGTAATCTGCATGATACCATAGATATGATGTAAAACGTTAAAAACGATGGGTATAAAAGTTTGAAACTGGATCTATCTATAAAAGACTGCCAGGTCCCCCTTTGGAACTGGCAACTTCTTGAGTTTCTCCATGATTTCGCTGTCCGTCATGTTCTGCTCTGTGATAATTTGGTCAAAGTGATGACAGCCATCCGTATACTTCTGCAGTGGATCTCCTCCTGGGACCGGACGGCTTTGTCCAGAGGCCAAGGCAGCGAGATATTGCTTTGAGACGACAAATTTGTGAACGCGGTATATGCAACCCTTTATAACGCCGAACTGGACAAATCTGCGAACGTCAACAAAGCGGAGGACCTCAAATCCCGTGTCTTGGTGCACCTTGAGCCATTCCATGACGGACTTTCCGGGAGCAAAGGTGGACATGAGTTTAATGAGATGGTAGTTGCTCACAAGGCCACGTCCATGAGATACATATGCCGCACATTCATCAACCATCCCATCAACATTTCTGATAAAGTCATGGATTCCGGGTCGTGGAGCGTAGCATGCCGTGAAAAAGAACATGTCAAGAAGTAGGATAGTGTCGTAATAGAGGAGATGGCGAAGGGCAGTTTTTGCTAGCTCAAGTGAGACAGAAGCAGCGTGGGCGATACGTCGAACATCAGAGACACCGTCGATATGAGATATGACTTTCTGAAGTGTGAGGTCCCAGGTCGGATCCATAATGTCGGAGAATTTGGCCTTTGGGACGGGGACATGCCAGCCTCGAACCCTGGGAGGATCCATGTGGTGAGGGAAGAGCTTCATGTTGATAGTGTTGGCTTCGTCTGCAAATTCATTAGTATCAAGTCTGTTCGAGCGAAAAAGTGAGCTTACCGACTGGAATCATGCACTCTCCATAATTGTCCAAATCCTCTTTAACAATCTCAAGTAAACTATCAATCGGTCTCCTTCCCGAACCTTTTGTCTCTGCGTTTTGACTCAAATACTCATTCTGCTTCTCCATCTCCGAAAAGGTAGAAGCTAGGCCACGAACGACGCGCTCATAAGGAACGTGGTCGACATCAGCGTCGAGCACAAGGCCGAAGTTAAAGATGAACTCATTTCGAAGGTATTTTGTGTGAGGAATAACAATTGGATATCCTAGGACAGTATATTTTCCATCGGGTGTGTTGATGGTGAGATAGCGATTGCAGAAGGCTTGTCTAGGGATGATGTACTCATGAAGCACGTCGAAGTCGATGAGAGGGGATTTGGTTGAGCCTTCGACGGGGGTTATGCAGCCTGCGGGAGACTGTGCGACGATCTTGGGGCCTGAAGGGTATTAGAAACGACATATGAGCTTATGGGTCTGTGACTGTTTACCCTCTTGAGGGAAGAATCTGGCGTAAAAGATGCCTTGGATCATGATGGGCTTTGGGTCATTGTCTAGTGTTGGATTAACTCTGACCATCCGCCGATAGTATATATATATGAAAGAGACGATACCTTGTCTTCTAAGTGATGCGACTCATTCCATTTTGTCAATGATTTGAGCGTATCTTATTGAAGCTTCAGGTGAGAGTTGAAGTTGGTTTAGTGAAGCTATGGATGTTCGCAGTTCAACTCAATTGAGATCAAGACCAAGGCCCCACGTTAGTTGGTTACCCTGTATCAGTCCAACACCCTCGTAAAAGAAAGTGTGGTATGTTCATTATTAAACGTCAAGATGAGTGTAATTAAACAAGATCTCCTGTCAAAGTCTTCTCATCATCTTCTAACTAATCTCGTTGTTTCGGAACTTTGCGCTGTTTAAGCCTCTTTCAACAAACGGAACTAAATACTTGCGAGAGTGAGACGGGTGCTTGAATCATGAGTTTATATGCAGCCTAAAGCCACAAGTGTCACCCTTAAGGCACAAAGGATGTATGAAAGGGGGAATAATTTCAATAGATGACGCCCGAGTTTTCGGTTAAAGAGGCTGAGATGAGGTCTAGTTCCTATCTTCCGGAAATGATGTTGACTTGGCTGTGTTTATTGGGATCTAGCTACAGAAGATGATGGACGTCGATGGAATAAGCTGATATGTGTTCATATGTTTAAGAGGGAGCCCTTTAAGTAAGAGGATACTTTCCTCATAAAAGGCCTTTGATACATATACATACTTATCGTAACTCACATGCAAAGTCTCTATTTTCAGAAGATTTCTTTTTTTAAATTCTCCAATTCCTGATTAATCGACTTTACTTTTATTTGATAATTATCCACAGCGCGTCATTGGTAGTAGAAGTTGCCCCACGTCACTACCGACTGACAATACCACCTGAGCCTGGGCTGCCTGCGCCTGCGCCTGCATCTGCAGTTGATCCAATTGAGTAACTCAGCACTTACCGTATGGGACCGGGCCTTGACGTTTAGTCTACCCTTCTTCTCCAGGCTTTGCTCAATTTACCTGCTTTCAACTTCGCCTTCACCCATCGTCTAAGCTCAAGACTACACTTTTCCTCCCAACATCCCCAGGCATTAAGCTATTGCTATTTAACAGTAACAGCATATTTGGGGGCAGCAGTCACGACCACGTATCCTTTCTTCTACACTCAAGAGCTTCCTCCCCGCTCTTGTTCCATCCTCAAACCCCCCGCTATCGCTACTCAACCCCCTCGTTGCGCCGCGCCACGCCATATCGCCAGTTCACACAATGGCCGACAATCCCGAGCCGAGCGCTGACTCTCAGATCACCTTCAAGGTGAAGACTTCCTCAGACAGCACGCATAGCATTACTATCAACGACACAGCAACTGTCCTCGACCTCAAGACTAAGCTCGCGGGAGAGGACTATGAGAACATTCCCGTTGAACGACAACGCCTAATCTACTCTGGCCGAGTCATGAAGAACGACGATGCTCTGAGCACTTACAAGATCAAGCACAACAACACAATCCACATGGTCAAGAGCGCTGCCAGCAATCAGCAGCCCAATCAAACTCCCACCGCTAATACCTCCACATCGACTCCCGCCCCCACCAACATGGCTTCAGGCACAGCCAACCAACCTTTTGCCAACTTGACTGGTGCTCGATATGCTGGATTTGGGAATGGCCTCCCCGGGCTTGACATGTTTGGGCCCGATGGTGGTGTAAGTACCATGTCCTGTGTATATTGACTGTTGCTGACACATACTCTTAGATGGGCGCCCCTATGGACGAGGCACGAATTCAACGACTCATGTCCGACCCCAACGTTCAACAATCTATGAACGAGGCCCTCAACAACCCCGACTTCATCAACATGCTGATCGATTCGAACCCTATGCTTCGAAACCTTCCCAACGCTCGAGAAATCATTACATCGCCGTTTATGCGACAGATGATGAGCAGCCCCGAGATGATGAGCCAGGCAATGCGTATGCAGCGAAGCATGCAAGGAGGAGAAGCTGGAGCTTTCCCAGCTCCTGGTGCTACTGATACCACACCTCAGGGTGCAGCCAGTGGAGGAAATGCGCAGGGTCAACAAGGCCAGGCAAACCCTCTCGCCAACCCATTTCTATCAGGCATGATGGGAGGTCAACAGGGAGGAAACCCTCCTGACATGGCTCAGCTTATGCAGCAGCTTCAAGGACTTCGCTCACTGTACGGAGACATCGGCCAAGGAGCGACCGCGACGGGACAGACGGGACAGACTGGCACAGGGAACGCACCCAGCCAAGGAGCGACGGACAGTTCGGCCGATGCGCAAACTTCTGGAACAACGCCCAGCCAAGGTGGTGCGCAGCAGGGCTCGACCACTAGCCCACCTCCCGCGAACCCATTTGCTGCGCTATTCCCCCCTCCCGGAGCTGGCGCCCAGCCCAACAACCCCTTTGGCATGAACCCCGAGATGATGCAGCAGATGATGCAAATGCTTGGTGGTGGTGGAATGGACTCGGCTCCTGCGGCTCCTGCTGATAACCGACCTCCGGAAGAGCGCTACGCTGAGCAATTGCGCCAGCTTAATGATATGGGTTTCTTTGACTTTGACCGCAATGTTGCGGCCCTGCGTCGAAGTGGCGGAAGCGTCCAGGGTGCCATTGAGCATTTGCTTAGCGGACCTTGAGCGATATGCCCAGCGTGGAGAATTTGGGGTAGAATTCAGTGTTTGCCCACTTCAGCTGGGAGGGGCATTTGAGTCAAGATTGGCGAGACAAGCTGAGCAATACAGGTTGATTGGGGAAATATCCTCTGGGTGAAGCATGGTGTGGTCATAACTATCAGGTTTGGAACAGAGAGTATTTCGAACTTCAACGACAACTTGTTTTAATGTGATTTGTAATTATCTTAGCCATGACTCTGATTATAGTTTCAATTCATGAGGCTGGAGTGCTAATAGGGATATCATGGATATTCATGTTGATGTAATCATATTGGTATAGTCCACCCTGTAGTTAGTTAGGGGCCGATCGCTGGGGGAAGATGCCTCGGCTCATGGATATCTTCCCCGCGTAACCCCAGACTCCGGCCGCGACAAGGTAACCGACGTCAGCTATTAAATCTGTTCTTCTTCTTTTGCGACATCTCTCATCTCTCCCCAACTTGTCATCCGTAAACTGTATATTGTGATTTTTTGGTCAACGCTTGGTTTCATCCTCCATCTAGTTACGCGACGGAACTTCACTCACAATACCCAGCCAACATATATAAGCACCCACATCCATCATGCGCGGCATTCAAATCACCGAATATCTCAAGGTGAGCTTCCAATGTCACCAATCACTTTCATCGAGCACACTAACAATTTCAAAGGGCCCTGATCAGCTCAAGGTCTCAGATCTTCCCGATCCTAAGCCCACAGACGATGAATATCTCATCCAAGTCCACGCCGCCGCCGCCAACTTCTTCGATATCTTACAAATCCAAGGAAAATACCAAAACCAACCCCGTAAGCTCATCCCCATGACCCTTTACACACGAAATCGCTAACACCATATAGCCTTCCCCTGGATCGCTGGCGCCGAATTTGCAGGTACCGTCATCGCAACGCCCAAGGATAGCTCCAACCCCAAGTTTCCTATTGGATCGCGAGTCTTCGGCGCATCCCAGGGCGCTTTTGCGACAAAGATCAAGGCTATAGAAGATACGCTTCTGCCTGTTCCCGATGGCTGGTCGTTCAAGGAGGCTGCTGGCCTGTTTGTTACTGCACCTACAAGTTATGGCGCTTTGGTTGTGAGAGCGGGTATTAAGAAGGGCGATTATGTGCTTGTTCATGCTGCAGCTGGTGGTGTTGGTCTTGCAGCTGTTCAAGGTATGAGATTCTCAAAGTGGCGATGAGATGTAAACTGACATGAGATAGTGGCCAAGGCTTTTGGCGCGACTGTTATTGCGACAGCTTCTACACAGCATAAGCTCGATATCGCAAAGTCTTATGGTGCCGACCATGTTATTTCTTACAACGACGCTACATGGCCTGCAAAGGTCAAGGCTCTAACCCCCGACTCTCGTGGTGTCGACATCGTCTACGACCCCGTCGGTCTAATCGACCTTTCCACAAAGTGCACAGCCTGGAACGGCCGAATCCTCGTCATCGGTTTTGCAGCTGGCAAGATTGAAAAGGTCGCCATGAACAAGGTTCTCCTTAAGAACATCTCCATTGTTGGACTGCACTGGGGCGCATACTCCATCCATGAGAGGGAGACGATACCCAAGGTGTGGAATGGTATCATGGAGCTTGTTAAGCAAGGTAAGCTCAGGGGTACTGAGTATACCGATGAGGAGTTTGTTGGTCTCGAGAGGACTGGGGCTGCTTTGAAGGCTCTTGGTGGTAGGGGGACTTGGGGTAAGGTTGTTATAAAGATACCTGAGGAGGGACAGAGCAAGCTATAGATGGAGCTGTAGGTCATATTTGATCAAAGGGATAGATTTATGTTGCTGATCATTCGATTCACTGAGTGAGTAACTATTGAGAGAAGACTTCATTCAGCCTTTTGCATGAAACCGTTAACAATGGTCTAATCTTATTGTAAATCCATCCCCGTGTATCATTTCCCAATTCATCATCGTGATCTTCACCTACTCTAATCTCATGTCCAATGATATTATCTCACTGTTGCTGTTGCTGAACACCAGAAGCCATTTGCTGAAACTTCTCCAGCACCTCTTTATCTACATTGACGGCCCACTGCTCCTGGAAGGCTTGCTCACCCCCAACCCTGTTCACCAAATCCTGCAGGCGCATCTTGACAAAGTCGAAGGCGTGAACGGTATGAATGGGATCTTTAGCTTCCATGTTGCGTTCTGCGATGATTTTGGGGGTATCATATTCGGTGGTCTCCAAAGGACCCCATATCAGAGTATCAGTTCCGTTGGCCACGCCGTCTTGGAGATCGGAAATCACATTGATCCACATGTCGAAGTAGTCCTGGAGTTTGCTCAACACAAGTTCTTGAACAGGTGATGGTAATTCCAGTAGTCTTGTCAAGCCAAGAAGGTAGAGCTTCTGTCGCTCAACATGGTCCATACTCGACATATGTGAGAACCACTCAGATGAGAGCCAGGCCCAAACTTGATCAAGCGAACCCATGTTGGTCAACATCTGGCTGAACAGTGTGGGTTCAGCGAGAGCTAGGCGTCCTAGAATAGCAAAATAATCCGTCTCGGTGATAGTGCTGAGTTTGCTGACCTTTCGGTTTGGGCCTGTAGTCTGATGTGATTCCCAAGCGTCATGTAGGTTTCCGAGGATTTTGTTCATAAAGCCGATTTCAACCATGTCCTGTAAGATAACTGAAACTCCGGTCGAGCCGCCAAGCTCTACAGCGGCTCGGATGAAATTCTCAATGCAACTTGTACCCATACGAACTTGTTCTCGGCTCTTTGAATCTAAGATATTAGACAAGGCGCTCAATGTCGGGCGACGCAAGCGATCTTCCAGCATAGAAGCAGGAGCAAGAAGTATATAAGACTCAACAACTGTTAGAGCCAGTGAGGCCGTCTCACTGTCATACTCGAGCAGTGGAAGAGCAAGTTCTGCAATGTTTACCAACTCAGGAGCCAAGGGGGCATAGCTCTGCATGAGAATATTGTTCCACAACTCCAAAGATTCATCAATCAAATGGAGATGTAGGTCTGATCCTCGACGAGCTGCTTCAGAGAGGAGTGGCAACATGAAATGCTGGTATCGTTGTGAATCAGGGCCCATGCTCATAACCAGGGCCGCGAAAATTGATGTTACCGCTTGTTTGATCATGTACTCTTCAGCCCCCGAGTTCTCCCAAACCGTAGGAAGAGCCGACATGAGCTGGTCTCCAAACTGTGATACTTGCTCTTCCATTCGTGTAACCAGGATTCTAATAGACTCAAGGATAGCCAACTTAGTCTCATCGACATCAACACTCTGGACGAGGTTGATGAGTTGTGATAAAACATCAGAAGTGTACGGTAGGAAAGCGTCCACATTAAAGTCAAGCTCATCGGCAATCCATCGTAGTTGTCGGGCAGCTGTAATTCTGACAACCACGTCATTGGTCTCATCCTCAGGGTTGAGGAAATGCCGGTAGATCTGGTAGACAATCGGCCTACTTGAGTCATCGAGCTTGATAGGAGCCCACTGACTCACAAGGATGGCGATTCTTCGTCGCAGTACCTTGCAGAGGCCGCCTTGCAGACGTGCGTCATTGACAATTGTTGAAGACAGAACAGCATCAAAGTCAAACACATGATGAACATGAGCAGCAGCAAGGCCCATTGCAGTGTACACTGCTTCTTTGGTAGCAATATCGGCGTGGGGATCCTGCGCTGTCTGGAAATAAGACAATAGGGGAGGGACTAGCAAGTCCTTATAGTTTGTGAGGAGATCGAGGAACAGCTTTTCAGCACACGGTCTTACTTCCCACTCATAAGCATTTCCTTCGCTCTGTTCCTGTTGTTCCCACTCCTCTGGATCTTCCTCCCAACCTTCGAGATCCGACTTACGGAAAACAAAGAGATGGGTGATGATGGAGTTCACGATTTGAATAACGAGATCAGGTTTCAAAAGTTCCGTCTTGATCAGGTTCTTAGCCTTTTCCTGCTCGGCCTTTGTTTCTGGGCTTCGCCATCTAAAGGTCTGGACATGCTGGAATCCTATTCGAACGCATGACCTAAGCAGGAGAAGTCCTTTGAGGGCCAGTCTTTCCAGTACAGGGCCCTCGACCTTGGACTTTGCAGATCCGGTCTCTGATGGGCCTTGTCTGATACCGCCAGACTTGTCGAATACCTCTGCAAACTTCGCAACCAGCTCCCAATATGATTGCACCAATGGGATAGAGTTGGGGAGAAACACAAAGCTGGCGGCATGCTGCTCCGCCATGTCAATGTGCAGCTTCGTAAATTGGAGCAAGTGTTTGCCAACAACTTCTTGATAATTTGGTGGGACGGCCGAGTCGTGACTAACAAGGTTGAGCAGCTGCCCGAACTGGTTCTGTGACAAAGTCCAGAATTGCTCAACGGTGCTGTCACTGTGGGGGCGCTCGTAGCCCATAATAACAAGCCGACGAAGGACTCGAAGAGCAAGTAAGCTGTTGAGCATAGCCAAGTTGACTTCCTCCTGACCTCCTGGTCCACCAGTAAGGAAGCCCATCCATGCCTGGGACTTTTCTGAGTAGACTTCGCTTAGAACGTGAACAATCTCAGGGGTGACTGATTGTAGAGCGGTCTGGTTCTTTCGCATTCGTGCGGTTCCTAGTTCCTTCACTACTCGTAGTAGGATCTCGAGGATGCCATGAAGATGTCTTTGGTTACCATTTCGGGATGAACGTAGGAGTTCGATAATATTTCCCATAGCATCTGGCCATTCGCCAGGATAATCGATTCTAACGATCTTCGCGACCACCAGAGCATTGTGTAGAGCGAGGTTGGTGTGCTCTTCCTCGATAGAACCTTGGAATAGTCGCGAGCGTATCAAGCTCTTTTCGTCTGGTTTTATACTGTTCTTGACATGGTTAAATAACCGCCAATACCGGTCAATACCATTCTTGAGCTGGATGACGGCAAGAAATCGAACTTCGTAGGCGAGGGACTTGTCGAGGTAGACAGCCTGCCAGATTGTTAGTGCCTAGAAAAGAGTCTCGATCTTGCGTATAGGCTCACCTGCAAAGATGAATAGTAGCCTGGTCGAAGCTCCCATGATGTTAGTTGTTGCCCTGCCGTTTGACGCTGCGCATAATCGGTCGAAGTGGCTGACTGCAGTGTCTGATAAAGCGACTGCAAAGACAGCGGATTCGCATCGCCTGGGACTTCAATAGCGAAGCTCATGGTGAGAGCCAGCAGCGGCCTATGTCCGTGGGAGCCGCAGGATTAGTTAGGACTTTGGAAGCTTGACTATGGTATTATTTAATCAGAGGAAGAAGCCCTCGTTGCGTGAGTGCGAAGAGAAATTACGGTATGAAGAAGAGTCGTGAATTTTGGCTAGTCGAGATACTCACGCAGTTGCTCTGTTTGTATGGATGGCGGGGTTCCATTAGGTTGTTAGCGTTGGGGAGGGGTCACACAAAGACCCCAAAGACCCATGCCACAATGTCCATAACCACTATAGAACAAAGGGACTATACATTGGCCTATGATCTCACATGTCACTTATAGAAGGATGATCTGATATAACTTTGGTCTGCCTGTATTATCAAAGAGATTGCCCTCCTTATAAGTTTATATGTATATTACATGGCCCTGTATTATATTGTTAACCGCTACACGAGCTGGACATGTCCGCCGACTGCCGATAGGCGATAGCTGACCGCTAAGAATAGCGGCCCGCCAGTGTCCGCTAGGCTCTAAACAGTAACGAGCTGGCAGGCGTCCTTCAACGATTTCAGGTGGGTTTTGAATTTTAGATCGTCATATTTCCGCAAAAGCATTGAATGACGATTTATCACGCGCCATTGCGCGTCGAATTGGCCATGATCCGCTCGAGGACCGCCCGAGCGGCTTTCAATACATCTCTAAGAAGACCATGGATGTGCCCACAGTGCCTCTCTCGCAGTCGATTCTACTCTCAGGAGTCCGAAAAGCGAGAACCTCCCGACCATCGTAAACTCGGTACCAAACAAGAACTCTTTATCAACTCGATCTACAGCCCCGGTTCCCCCATATTCCTACCGAATGGCTCGCGAATCTTCAATCGACTTGTCGACTTTCTCCGCAAACAATACGTACGATATGGCTTCGAGGAGGTTATTACGCCAACCATCTACAAAAAGTCACTATGGGCCAAATCAGGTCATTTGGAAAACTACGCCGACGACATGTATGCTGTAAGAGGAAATACAGAACCGCCGCCTGCGCAACATGAAGGATGCTGTGGGAGTGGTCAGAACGATCTGAAGCCAGACGAGGAGGAAGAGGGTGACTATGGTCTAAAGCCTATGAACTGTCCTGGCCACTGCCTCATTTTCGCCTCCAAGAACCGCAGTTACCGAGACCTTCCAATTCGATATGCCGACTTTAGTCCTCTGCATAGAAACGAGATCTCTGGCGCATTGAGTGGACTCACTCGTGTTCGACGTTTTCACCAGGATGATGGACACATTTTCTGCCGACCAATTCAGGTTGAGAAGGAGATTAAGAAGACTCTAGACTTTGTCAAGGTGGTGTACACTGTTCTGCGATTCGGCTCCAATTATCGACTTGCACTCTCCACACGGCCAAAAAATCACTACATTGGTACTGAGGAGGAGTGGGATCAAGCTGAGAACGCCTTAAAGCGAGCCCTGGACGCATCAGGCATGGAGTGGGGTGTAAATGAGGGAGATGGTGCTTTCTATGGACCCAAGATCGATATTGTCCTCACAGATTCTGATGGAAAAGAGCATCAGACGGCAACTATTCAACTCGACTTTCAACTCCCCAAGAGATTTGAACTAGAGTATCAGGCCCCTGCTCCAGAATATGAAGCCAGAGGCAAGACGACCACAGATACTTCTCTACTCGATGAGTATGGCCCTGTTCGCCCTGTTATGATTCATCGCGCTGTCTTGGGCTCAGTTGAGCGCCTCATGGCTCTCCTGATTGAGAAATATAATGGCAAGTGGCCTTTCTGGCTGAACCCTCGCCAAGTCATCATTCTCACCATCAACACCGCCGAACCCGTCTTCGAATGGGCGGAGGAAGTGCGCGGCGTGTTGGTTGGTAACAATGATCAACTTTACGCGCAGCTTGAGAACGGCATCCTTCCTAGTCAGGATAACGCCTTTCGACCAACTGGGCTGTCGGTCGACATAGATAATAGTGCACGACCTCTGGGCGCGAAGATCAAGGAGGCAAGAGAGAAGAACTATGGTGAGATCCTCGTGATCGGACAGAAAGATGTTGAGAACAAGCGGGTTTCGCTGGGCAAGGAAATGCTATCACCAGAGGAGGTACGTGAGCGGTTCAGGACCATGGTAGACACATTTGCCTAGACATATGCGATGTAGTAAAACATGTAATAATAACTGTAAAAACACATTTGTAGATACAATAGTCTCTATATCAGTCTTTCTTCCCTAGTCGTGCTGATAGCGCGGCGCTGCCATTATGGCGCGGCTCGTTGCTATCGCGATTTGGGCTGGTCAGGTGCTGATATGTGATAGTCAATCAGTTCCATCGACTTAATGCCCAACGTCGTCGAGCCTGTCCAGGCTCTTGATGTGCGGTAGCTGTGAAAACCATTCAAGCATGTAATCATCCCCTAGTACGACCTGGGTTCGCCGCCTGTTGATATAGAGCCCTAGAAAGACAGTCAGTACCTAAGGTAGTTTGTTGATCGCAAAGTGGTTACCCAACTCACCTCTTATGCTTCTCATCGACGTCACCGCCAGCCTGTTCAATGCGATCAACCATAGCCTGTCGCTCTGAGAGCTGCTCACGCATATAGTCAACTGTCCGCTTTAGAACCAGGCCCTCGGATCTCCCCTGTCCTTCTAAGCCAGGCACCAGTTCAGTTAAGCGGTCGAAGCCTTCACGAATCGCTTGGCGTCGCTTCTGCTCTGATTGATGCGCATTAGCAAATATCGTCTCAAAGAGCACCCAGGAGTATCTAAGATATCATGCGACATCGAATATCACGTGTAAACAGTTCACATACCAGATGCGATATGGTTCTGCTTCTTTTCCTCCTCAGTGAGTCGCGGTTTCTCATCGGCGGCACCGGCATCGCCATTAGCGGGTGACTTGTTATTTGGAGACGACATTATTTGGCTGAGTAGTGATAATGAGGAGAATGGTAAGGAGACGTAAACAAACGTGCAAAATTTGTCAAGATGCGCATAGAACTTTCATGTGAGAGAGGATATGTAGGTCGCAAATGACGTGCAAGGGTGCTGCCCCGGATTTTCCATGTGAAAATGACACTACAGGACCCCTAGTCTGGTCCTTGTATATTGACATCGAATATGGAAGGCGGCGTTCTCCTGGTTTGGCGATTGATTCATGTCTTGGGCTGTATGTTCCTGATCTGCAACACCAATATTCTAATTAAGTCACGGTAATTATGTAATTATGTAACTTTAATATATCGTTGTCAGTATATTCATGAGACCCAATCTGAGTTGGTCAATACTACAAATGCAGCTTGTGCTTGTTATTAATGGAATCTGTCTGTTAGCTCAGTTACCTTAGATCATGAGGAGCGGGTATCATATGCCCTCTGTTGCTAAGACTTTAAAGACCACTTCTGGAAACCCGAATAGTTGAGAAGAAGCCACGGAGTAATAAAATAACTGACAAAATGAGGACTCGTCAAGCCACGTTTGTGTAGCTCGTTAAATTGCATGAGTATCCATTCTATTTTCCTGGTATCCTCTATTCTTACCCATCACCTAATCCTCTTCCTCTCCTTCACCTTCAAAGTCCTCCTCTTCCTGTCTGAATATGACCTTCTCCGCCATAGCCAGGCATTTTCTCACTGGTAGTCCAATAACATTGTCCACACTTCCATCGATTCTCTCAACAAGCAACATGCCGCCAACGCCCTGAACAGCATAGCCACCGGCCTTATCTGCACCCTCACGAGTCTTGACATAAGCCTCAATCACATCATCAGGAAGTCCCTCAGATTCACTCAAGAAGTACACTTTGGTCTCTTCTGTGTAGGTGTCGATGACATAGCCCGGATGTCTCGCATCTTCTCTTGGGGCGATAACTACAATCGATGTCAAGACCTTGTGCATTCCTTGGTCTCGCAGGTGCTTGAGCATACGAATGTGATCAGCTTCACTTCGAGGCTTCTCCAGAATCCGACCATCCTTAGTGGCGATAACAGTGTCCGCAGCGATGACAAGATCAGGGTCAGGTATAGATTTCAGAGAAACTTCAAGTGCAGTAGTATAAACTTCCATACACTTCTGGTGAGCAGTTGCAGCTACATATTCGTAAGGACCTAGTGCAGCTTTGTCGAGATTCTCGGGTTTGGTGGATGGGAGAATCTCAAGGTTTGTGAGGCCAAACTATGTATTGTGAGAAAAAGGCCATCAACATTAACTGGAATGTCTCTCTCTCACCTGCTGTAGCAATGCCTTTCTTCGTGGTGAGGCAGATGCAAGAATCACTCGCTTGCCGTTGAGGTGCTTAAGAATGGGGAGCTCTAGCGGTATGGGACCTTTCCGTAAAGGCCGCTGAGGAGTACCCTGAGTAGCGGTGGACTTGTCGTAGTCAGGAGGAGGTTCGCTTGGTGTATCAGCCATCTTGTCTAGCTGCTTTAATTCCTCGTGTTGGTGAAGTGAAGTTGTAAAGGTTATGGTCCCCGAAATCAGATCTGAATCTTGATAATGAGGTCGATGTGGGGTTGAACAATGGGAGCTTCGAGCTTAGCAAACGCCCCGTTTGACTGGGTTCTTAGCCTGTAATAAGCTGCCCCTCATAGCAACTTTGTGTTCATCATGGCAATTATTTACCTGTCCTTAGCTTTGAGTTGAATATTTGAAAGCTTGGGTTTTAATCCCCCATCCTCTCCTCGAAGACCAGTGCATTCAACTTTTACCTATTACTACCGAGAATCATTAAATCTATTAGGTATCAACTGCTCATAGTGCTTAATAAAGCACAGGCTTCATGATAGACGAAGCGACCATAGCGTAGGCGATCTCTTTCAATTCGTATCATGGATACCGGTACTTTTCAAGTTCGATGCATGAGACCTGAAGCTTGTTAGAACAGTAGCACTGCAGAAACGCCGCTATTAATTGTATTATGCAATTGTGCCGAATAATAAGTCATTGCCTGTTGACATTCATTATTGTTGAATTCTATTATCATTCTCTGCCTTGTTGCCTTAACCGTTTTCAGGCACATAAATAGCTCCCGGCAGGTCGAAGTGGATACCTCCACCATTGGCCTTGGATCCATTGAATGTGCCTCCAAACCTCGCCCTCAGCTCCAAGGAAGCCAGCCCCATTTACCACCACCTCAAAATCACCAGCATCGGAGCTTTTATAGGGCCTGCATAGACCCGCGATAGCCTAAAGCAAAACGGGATCCTGCAAAACATTCAAACGGTGCCTTTTGTACCCGTGCATCCTTTAATTTTTGCCCTGTTTTTGAGGTCCGACCCTGGACTAAGTATCTTGCTTGACGCGACCATTGGATCGCACGCGTCAAAATCCACACAAGCGCCGTCGCAACGACCTCGATCTCCAGGTTTGCGATCCTCAATTGCCTCCCAACGAAATCCTCAAGGAAAATATACCGTAATTATCTTTGATGCGCTCGATTAGGCGACCCTATCGGTTATAGTCACAATGGACAGCAAACGCAAAGCCAATGGCGCTGCATCGGTCGACAACGATGACAGAGGCTCTAAGCGTCGCAGACTTACTGTAAGTCCGACTTGTCACTTCTCGCGAACTTGGATCTTCGCAGTTCGCGCAGATCCCCTCATAGCACACCTTGACATTCCTTCATACTCAGCTATCGCCCCTTCGATTTATTGACTGACATTGCGTGCCAGGGCGATTTCGATCTTTCCAAAGGCGAATCTCGGGAATCAACAACTGCATATGGCCTGTCATTCCTAGAGCATATTCGAAAAACGGCCGACAAAGCGTAATTCTAACCCGGTTTTCAATTGTCATTACCGTACTGACTCATCCTGTAGTGGGCGTCTTGTCGCAACCAATTTCGAAGAACTTCCACCCCGTGAGGAAAATGCAGACTATTACGAACAAACACGCATGCCTATCTCGTTATCCATGATCGAGCAGAAACTGAACGATGGCGAATTCGAGAACTTGTCTGAGCTTGAGGGCTACTTTAAGCGCATGATCAGCAACGCGAAGGAGTTCTACCCCCGATCGACCGAGATATTCGAAGATGCGGAACGATTGAGAAAGGCTGTCAGCAATTATATGACCAAGAAAAATCCAGCATATCATGTTAGAGGTTATCAAGCTGTGCCGACCCCGTTCCCGGATGACGATGGCGAGGAGGCCAATGAAGACAACGAGGACGAAGAAATGAACGATGACGAGAACGAAGATGAAGATGAGCCCGAGGAAGAAAAAGAAGACGAGGATGAAGACGAAGAGGAAGAAGAAGAGGCGCCAAGCTCTCGTAGACGAACCATCACACTCAAGCGGAGAACACCTGGTCGTACACCCGGTCGAAGAGCGTCCACCAGAGGCAAAGAGACCCCGAAGCCAGCAGCGCCCGCCGCAAAGCCAGACCACGTCTACGAAGATGTGCCCTACAAGGGATTGTCATTTCAACAAGCCCAGGAAAAGCTCGTCGAGGAGCTTATTCGACGCGAAGACCCTGGATACGATGGCCCTTACTTCGAAGCTTTCATTAACCTACCGCCTCGGTCTCTTAAAGAGTACTTCAAGGTTATCAGTGACCCCATGTCGATCCGAAAACTGCAGAAGGCGGTCAAGGGTTTCCACGGTCGTGGTGGTTCAACTGGAGTTAGCGATTTCAAGTCATGGGCCGCTTTTGAGGAGAAGGCAAAGTTATTGTGGACCAACGCGTACTTTTACAATGAAGAAGGTAGTGAAATCTACTTGGTTGCGCAGGATCTCGAGGTCGGTACTATGTTGCTTGCGTTGGTCAGCATTTCTAACGGCGTTGCAGAAATTCTTTTATGATCAGTTAAAACAAGCACAGGCTGTTGTAACTGAACCTTCTCAACCGAAGATCAAGTTAAAGGTTGGCGGATCCAGTGAGACGCCTACCCCCGGACCCAAGAAGATCACCATCCATGTTGGAGGTCAACGAGATTCTGCTGACTCGCCAGCGCCAGCTCAATCGAAGGAGGCAATAACAAATGGTCAAACTGTGAACGGTACGGCACGCACTTCAACGCCTGCTCAAGCTGTCAACCCCCAACTAGAAAAGGCCAGAAGTACATCGTTATCTGCCGCGCCATCTCCTAGTCCTTCTGTCCAGAGTGCTCTCAAGGCAGAGGAGGCCCCAAGGGCATCACCAGCAGTTACATCACAACCGCCTAGCGCTGCCCATAGCCAAGCGACTCCTGCGGTTCCTACGGCTGCTTCCGTTGCTGTCCCTGCTCCTGTACCTGTGGCACCGCCCCAGCCAATCAATAATCCGCTTGTTAATGGGTATATGGACCAGAAGCATCCTCGCCGTCCTGGTAAAGGTAATTCACCCAAACACACTTACTCACGGCAAACATTAACAAATCCAGGTCTTGACGATGCTCTCATTGAAAGTATGAAGATTCAGGTTCACCCCACTCTTCAATCACACAGTCCTATATTGGCAACCATCAGACCCAACCCCAAGGAAATGGAACAGGCTGCCACTCTTAACCTACCTCCTCATCTCACCCGCATTCTCGCCGTTACCGCAATACCCAGCCATTTACAGACTAGACAATACAGCCTCTGGACACTAGTCAACAAGCAACCACTCAAGCCCATCCACCACCAAGCTCCCGGGCAGCAACCTCACGAGCGCGCCTTCGAGGCAATGCTACATCCAGGGCTCAATATACTCGAGTCACATCTCATCGCTGCCATTCCGCGTGATGAGCGCGTACCGGGCGGTCCAGAGGTTGAATTAGAAGTCTTCACCATCTCGATTAATGTCTTGAGAAACTAACCGTACCGAAGCCACAAGTAAGGGCATGGGGAAAGCAGGCATCTGCGGGGTGATTATGAGACCGCCTACTAAATCTAGGGTTGGTAGCTACTTCTCTGAATAGGATGAGGGAAGCGTTTGCGAGTGCAAACAATATCCAATGATGCCTTTTATGAGCAAGATACGGGAAGGCATGGGATGGTACTGGTGTTGAGCGGGTATATGGATACGTCTTTCTTTTCTTTGTGGAACTGGCCTAAGGAACAGGCTTATAGGGAGCATTCAAATGTTTATGCTGCATCATTTCACAGCACTGGTTAGGTGGATTCGGTAGAACAAGGCAATCCTTATCACACGCTGATATTCTAAATCTCCTATGGTATCTCAAGCCAAAACCTGTTCCATGCGCCACGCCATGCCAAGCCCTGCATAAATTTCGCTATTTGTTTTGTCTTATAATACAAGTCTAGCCAGGCGCAGGCCGTTGTCTCAACTGCATCAAGTGCTTGAGCATAGTCTGGACAGCTACGTACTGACGTGTCTTAGGGTCATAGTAACCCGCAACCAGAACTGCCATAACCGCTGTCTTTCCCTTGAGTTCGACAATACCGTCGACTCTAATGCATCCCCTGCTTGGCAAACTCTTGGTAGGCTTCCAATAGCGCAGAAAAGCGAGAGCGCCGGCCATACTAGCAGCCTGAAGACGAGGATCGAGTTTCGCATCTGGGCCAAATGCAGCGCTGATGATCTCGTTGAAGACTGGGGGAAGATGTGCGGTATGTGCCTTGGGATCGTGCTGGACTGCCGCTCTGGTGGCAGCCTGGGGAGGAATTATGCCTGGAAGGTTACCGACTGCCACTTGGTGCCAACCAGATTCCGGGGGATCAGGGTCGCTAAAACCGATCGCTTTTGAAATATCCAATGCCACTTGTTTCGTTAAGAAGCTAACAAAGGTCCAGCAGCCCATAGCAAGAGCTTTGGGGTAAAGTGCTTTAGCAAGAAAGCTAGCAGCAATTGAGTCAATCGGTCGATCACCCCAGAAAATGCCCTCCTCATCGATCATGATTCTTCATCGAATTAGCAAGACAAACATCAAGTACGTATGTAGAAGACTCACCCAGAGACATAGTGTATCGGCGGAGGAGCAGGCGGGAAGATTATGTCAAGCCAGTACTTTCTCACAGTTATTTCCCCACCCAGAAGCTTATTGAAGGCAGGGTTCCGCTCAACGCCACGCTTGATCTCGTTTGCCAAACCATCTATACATGTGTTAGAATGTGAAACTTCTTTGGAATGGCTTCACTCACTCTTGATCTCCTGAAGAAGCTTCTTGTCCTGGCTGACTTTGACGAAAGTTTGCCACTCTGGATCTGAACCTCGATATGGTGGTTGCTTAACTTCTTTGGTTGTGAAGGGGAAAGGGAGAAATATCAACGGTTCGTCAGGGTCGTGGAGCGCTTCTGCTTCCTCCTTCTCTTTTTCAGACAGTGCCTCCCATTCTGCGTCAGCCCAGTCGAAGATGGGATCGAATACAACGGTGATGAAGATTTGCCAGCAGGTATATAGCACAATAGTCGTGAAGATCGCACGGCTTCATAGAATGTTAGCGTTGCGCCTTTCTCAATCATGGCAGCTTCTCCTGCCAGACATACCGTAGTCGTGATCGAAACATGGCCCATTTTAACTTTTTCAGTATTCTCTTGACTTCCTCGTCCCCCATCCGGTTTGCGCTTCCGTGGTAGACTGGGTTCACCCCGTTGGCGTTCGTTGAAGGATCGGGCTTAGTGAAGTAGACTGGTACAGGTTCTGATTGCCTTTGACGCCATGGCAAGAACGAAATCCGCCTTTTGAGAGGTCGAATCTGGCTGGCGACTACTCGTTGGACTGGGAATCTCGTCGCGGGGAGAGCTGCTTGTCGCAGAACAGCTTGCCGAGCTAACATATCGCCTCCTCTGCCGCTGCGCGAGCGAGGGCACCGAATGGAAAGGTTTAAAGTTATAAGAAAAGAAATGCGATAAATCTCGCTACTAGATTAGTAACTCAAGGAATGACATGCATCGTGATAATGTCGACAACTACCTTAATTGCAATGATAAAATGCTGTCCCGCGGTTACGAGAGGCTTGATAGTGTAATAGGCAAAACTGTGCCAAATACGGTAAACACTGTTTCAATCGCTGCTGTAACCCACTAATTGGGGGCTGACGCACCGTATGACGGAACAACTCGAAGCCGCAACCCGACACGTGCATCATCCCGGATTCGCGTTGCCTGTATCAAGCTTGCGACGTTAAGCTATCTCAGCCTGGCCTCCAGCCTCAAGACAACCAAGCTTCATCAATCCGCATCAAAAATGAAGCTCAACATTGGGCTCAGTGCAGCCTTTGCAGGCATTGCTGCTGCATCTCAACAACCCGCCGCTGACGGTACCAAAGTTTATATCCTCCGAGGATCCCATCACATCGAGCCTACGACGAGTATTACCCCCAGCGAAGCCCGTCTCATCCTCTACCAGCGCCTCGCCCCCGAAGGACAGGACTTTTCATTTCGCGATCTCACAGACTCGGACGATGAAAGGCGTGTCATTTCTTTAATGAACAAGTATGGAAAGGCCCCTGCGCCATTGCTTTCCGATGAGAAGACCGCGACGCCGCGCCAGCTCGCTATTACCATTGACGGAATGCCCACCTTCGAATACGAATCATTCTTTGGCTGGCTCTTTAACACACAGCCCGACTTTACCACGGATATTAGCAAGGAAAATGGCGAGCACCCCGAGGTCTTTGCAAATGTTCTCGCCAAGATGCCCCAGTGTCCCCTGAGCCAGATTGTTGCCTTGGACGAGAAGTGTTTCAACGGTCAATCTGCTTATGCGTCATACAGCAGGTCCCAGGTAACTAAACACATCATTCCTATTATACCGAGCTATTTATCTAATGACGCGATAAGGATGGTGACCACCCCACTACCCTGCTAAACGAGCTTCCCAAGCTTCAGAAGCTCGCCGAGTCGGGCGAACTACAGACCATCCTGGTCTTCCTTCCCCTCAACGTCGACTCTGAGGACAAGTCCGACAAGGATCAAGAGCTTCGACGTCGACAGGCTGAGACCGTTATCTCGTCTATTGAAGAGACAGCCGAGTCACCGGCCGAAACCTCTACCACACCCGCGAAGCCTTCGAACCCCATCAAAGCTGTATGCTTCACCTCGGAGGATAGCTGCATGGAAGCCACTGGCAACTGCACAGGCCATGGAAAATGCCTGAACAAATACGGCCAGAGCAAGGACGCTTGCTTCGCCTGCCACTGCCAAGTCACAAAGTCTGAGAGCGGCAGTGTCACTCACTGGGGTGGTAACATGTGCCAGAAGCAGGACATCAGTGTCCAGTTCTGGCTCTTTGCTGGCTTCACTCTCGCCCTCCTTACCATCCTGTACATGGCCATTGGCATGCTCTTCAGTGTTGGCGAGGAGAAGCTTCCTGGAGTCATCGGCGCTGGTGTGTCGAGGTCCAAGTAAAGTTAGAATGGTGGATATGCGGAGAATTATGGGAACTGTCGGGCTGCTGGAGTTGTGTAAGCCGACTCAGGGAGTTTTCACAACATAATGACTCCAGGGCGGCATGTATCATCATATGGTGTATTTGACATACGGGCGTACAAAGGCTAGGAGCTTGTATCAGGTGCCTCGATAAGGGGCTTCTTTTGTTAGAATGCGTTTCGATTTTTGCGACCAGTTCATTGAGTACCAGAGCATGCAATTATTCGAGTTATGAGAGTGCCTTTTCACATGTCGTGATGAGTTAATGCTGACCCTCTTTCACATGATTGATTTTTCAGCTTGAACATGCCATGACGCGTGTTGAGCAGGGTTCCTGGTCTTTCAATATTGTCCCTTGCCAGTCCATATGATGTTATGATGTTATCTTTAAACGCTTCCTCCGTCTCGCGCGAGTTGGACTTTTGCGTCTTGAGTGATTGTTGCTCTTAGTGATGGTCGTTTCTCACAGAGATGAGTTGTTTCATAGGAACATGTCGATGGAGCTTATATGTATATCTTGGCAGTGTCATTGAGCTTTTATCAAGCTGTCACTGACATTGGCAGCTCAGACAGGCTTATGAAAATTGCATCCCAGCACATGCTTCTCTTAGTGGAGCTGAGATGTATGAATAGCGGATTTCGAATCGAGCTTTGATGATATCATGCATCACCGGCTTAATGGTTGATAAGAAGAACACGTTGATATAACATCTCCACTGATCCAGCGACTCAATTGAGTTCTTTTGTGAGTCTTATCAATGTATTTCTAAGCTTCAACCGGCATTCACCCACCAATTCCGACCGACATGGCCTTCTGAGGCTCTTGGAGCTGAAGCCCCTGGACCCACCCTAAACCAACCGGACTTTCCAAGGCCCCATCCCGGTTTCGACGTCTTCCCTTATTAACCTACTGATAAATACTAACTAATACTACACGACTTAAAGAACCGGGTTTTTCTGCTTTTTGTCAAAAGTCCGCCGGACTTGTCATCATACACCGCCTTCCATTCCTCTCCTGCAAGCTCTTTATGCACGGCAGATCACCGTCATGATATCCAATACAGACAGGCCCAAGCCCGCAACCGCTAAATGGGGTGCTGCTTGCGCTCAGTGTTCTACAGCGAAAGCTAAGTGTATTCGATCAAATAATACGCCTGGATCAAAGTGCGATAGGTAAGCTTATTTTTTACACCCCCTTTTGCACTTTACTGGTTTCTCGGACGTGGTAAGCCACGTGTAATGCGGCTCCGAAGGGCCCGACGTTCTCGGGGGTCTATGACCGCATCTTCGGCCGTCATTACGGAGCCTCTCCATAATTAATCCCGGGACCGCGGTAGAAATGGGAAAATGGGACTGACACATGCTTTGCAGATGTGAACGACTAGTCAAGAATTGTACGGAGCAGGTTCATAGACCCCGGAAAAAGAGAACTGTCAAACCATCGTAAGTTAACCTATCATACAACCCTAACGATATACAGCATCCACATATCGTCAGTCATTGACATGATTTAGACGAACTGCTCAAATAGAAGAGAGACTAAATGGACTAGTCAATCTTCTCAAAGCAGGTGGCCTCACTAATGCCGACCTTGCAACTGATACTACTTGTATTCCAACTGAGGTTGACCCTACCACTGCTGATCAACGGAAACCCTCAACGAAAGAAAGAGATTCTTCACTTACTCCTGAGGCTACAAGTTGGTCAATACCTGATACTTACAACTCATATGCTCCTCCACAATGTATATGCAGACAGACCAGCGGAGTGGCCCCCCCTCCTCCCGCCTCAGATGAAGAGCTTTTGAAACTCTATCGAAAGGAGTTACAAGCTCTTCACCCGTTTGTCATCATCCCCGATGGCGTCACAGCAGCAAAGCTCAAGGCAACACGGCCTTTCCTCATGTCATCTATCCGCATGGTCACATCGTATCGCAGTCTAAGGTCGATGAGGGCTCAGATGTATCATCTGATGAAGTACATAGCAGACCACATGCTCATCCGCTCTGAGCGATCTCTGGACTTACTACTTGGAATTATTGTCATAATTGCGTGGTATAAGTATCACTGCTTCATGCACGCACAGTTAAACAACCTGATCGCCTTGGCCTCTACTCTCGTGGGTGAGTTGGGTTTGCACCGCAGCCCAACTGTTCTTGAGCGGACCAGCTTGATGGTTGTGACACCGTTCCAGCCGGCAGCGAGAACCAACGAGGAGAGGAGAGCCTTATTGGGAGTATGGTACTTATCTTCATCGTGAGTTGTACTGCTATGAGTAATCGGTTCTTTTTGGGACTAACTGTTGATAGGATGTCTCTCGGGTTCCTACGGATAGAACCCATGCGGTACACTAAGTATATTCAACAATGTCTAGCTGTTCTTGAGCAGGAGAGGGAGTACGACACGGACATGCGCCTTGTGACGCTTGTTCGGATTCAACACTTGACGGAGAGGATCGCGCAACTTAATGCTCCTGATGATCCAGCGGAAGAAGTTGTTGGTCTCCCAGCGGCACCATTATCAGCTTACGTTTCTGCGTTCCACAGTGAACTGGACAGAATAAGGAATGGGTTACATCCTGAGCTTACAAACGACAGTGAGTTCTACTGCTGGTACGAATTTTGTTTCTGATTCACTGATGTTGACTTTTCCAGGAGTGATAAATATGTTTCTAAATACGGCTATGCTCCGGCTGTATGAGCCTCCTATACTGGATGCCCCTCGAATTATCTCGATGTCAGAATCATTAACATCTCCAACATTGGGGGCTGCTTCAGCTCTCGACATCTTTTACCAGTCAAGAAACGCCTTAAAGAAGTTCTTCGATGATTGGCTTATGGTCCCAATTCCAGAGTTCTACAACCAGACAACACCGGTAGTTGCACAACTTGTCTACGGGATGACAATGCTTGGTCGCTGGGCCAAGTATACAGCACCGATTCCTTTGACAAAGGCTACTACACCAATGCCACAGGACACAAGCGCACGAGACCCCCATGATGAGATTTATAAAGCAGACTCTGCATACTCGGCGAGTGTTAGCCCTTCCGTTGCAACACCGTCGGTAACGACGGGAAGAGATTCCCAAGAAACCAGTCCAATTTCATTGCGGGAGGGTACAGACCCGAAGCTACCAGCTGCAGTGGCAGCTCTTCGGTCACAGATTCAGACCCAGCCGGGACTGTCGTTAGATGTCACAGGGATATTATCAGCGATATGTGCACGGTTCGAAGAAGCTAACGCATCGTTCCAGATGGCTTCAACAGAGCCTGGTTCTTCGGATCACAACCTCTGGAGTATGAGCGCAATCAAGGTCAAAATCACAAGGGCAAAGCTTGAGAGATGGGCAGAGATCGTAGCAGCGGGTACAGAAGCCCTCAGGATACACGAGGAGGTCCGAGACACAGCCATGGCAGATAGTAGCACTAGCGAGACCGGAGCTGGTGGCACAGGAATGGCCATGGGCCAGGATATGCAGCCTGATGTGTTCACAATGCCGGATTGGAACCCTGAAATGCCGTGGGCTTCGGAGATGCTCCAGGGGGTCGATCCCTCGATATGGTTCGACGGTTATTTGGATTGGGGCGCTGTCGTCATGAACTCCCTGGGGAACCTGGAACATCAGAACCAGTCGTGAGACATAGCCGCAGGGGCGGTATCTTATATGTGATATATCAGATGAGGCAGAATCCTAATTGTGACTGATCTCAGTGGTATTATAAGTCACTTAAGATCTGTTCCAAGACCTCAACAAATCTTTGAAGAACAATTGCCTCCAATAATCTGCCTCCACTTGCTCACCGACTGAAAGTCTTTCGTTGGTACAGTATTTTGCCATTGCCACAAAGGCTTATATTATCCCAACGCTAGCTTACACTCCCGACTCACCGCTTACAACAAGCCCAGGGGGGGAAGCCATGTATCTCCTGATAGCAAACAAACCGAATCAGCGCGCGTTCTAAGGAGAGCTGAATGTCAGAGCCTTTTCGCCTAAACGACGGCCGACTGCGCTTTCATCGGTGAACAAACAAAGAACGGTGTGGAAGAGTCTTCATCCAGACTGAACCGCCTTGAAGGAATTTGATGAACCATTCCAAACAACAACTTGACTGGGGATGCAGCTTTCCATTGCCAGTAGTTGGGATTGTTGCTTCGGCCTGGGAAAGGGCCCTCACAGCATGATGTAACCACATTGTATCGGTAGTCATCAAAAGAGACCTTGAAGGGTCTTTTATAAAACAACTAAACAGGGCAAAGCGTTTTGATTCATTAATGCTTGGCCATTTTTGGGATGATAGATAGTTTGACAGTTTAATAAAGTCCAGAATCATCAATTCAGTCCCTCTCTCGTGTTGGCAGGATACAATTGGTCTAAGCGAACAGCAACCCTGTAGTCTTTCAGGTTGCTTATGCGCCATATCACCAAACTCAGAACTGACCGTCGCTGTCGTTCTCTTTGTAGGATAGTTTCCGATAACGCACCCTACCACAGACTTTCCCCCTGGAAACTAGTGGTAGGTGTTTCGGGTAGCAACATTCGAGCTCTGTTCGCTATCAAACTGAAGTGTTGTGTATTATTTCGATGGGAATGTACTGTCAACTACATTGGTACACTACCGAGGCGTTGAATTGCCTGACGATACTTGAGAACTCTCATCCAAGAGGTTTTTTTTGCCTTAATATTTCGTCAGACCGGTTCAGAGGCAAGATACGGAGGGCTGCAAGACAGGGATGGTTGCATTCTTTAGTTGTGAGGAATGGATGATGTGGCACATACAAACCTGCAGATCAAACAATCGTAATAGCCACAGCTTTCGGGTCATACTCCATGACTCGATGAGCAGGTATCATTCGTTTACGCCTTGTGTTTCCATTGAACTTTGTTCGGGTTTAATCTTAGAATATCGAGGAGATCTATGGGCTGATCAGCTGGCTCGAGTTACCATAGTTCCGCGAGGCTTCTATGAGACAGAGAGTTATCCATAGGGCCTCTGTCTAACCAGCAGAAACAGTCTTCTTTAAAAAGTCAAGCCTTTCGCTTTGGCGAACCACCCAACATAATCATCATTTGCATATTAGCCTTTTTGTTGAAACGATCCAATGCCGACACACTGCCATTACCTCCAATCACGAAGCTGGGCAGCTCACATATCCAATTGGCCATTGCCATCAGAAAAACAAGGAGGTATGGATAGACAGTCGCGGACTCCGGGATTCTGCCATCGTGACTCTTACCAACCAAACAGATCACAAAGGACACCCACCTCCTATCAGAGGCTCATCTGAAATCACAGAGAATCAGCTCGAGGATGTAAGACCACAAGAAGACTTAGAAGCTGGTGTAGTCGGGCTGCAAGACGAACTGAGGCCATCCAGCGAAGCCCAACGTATGTATCTGCCTTTTCCGCTGCCTTTTATCATCCTCTAAGCCCCCTTCACCGTATTCTATGATTGATTGAATCGTTGATCGGTTGACAAGGCAATTGTTTGTAGTTTTAGTATCCTCAACACCATATAGAGAGCTACCCCCGAGGAGGAAAGTAGTATGGATATGGTTTTGTGTACGTCAACACTATTCCGAAAACCTTCACCCTGTCTTCATATCAACTGACAATCTCGAGTGTTGTTGTGGCCATGGAGGGATGAAAGTTAGCGTCGACCCGTGTCCTCGTTGTGGAATGCCTCGTTGTCCAAACTGCGATACTCAGCGATACAACACTCGCTGAAAGCGAAGACGCTGAGCATACTTTTGGACATTTGGATTGAAAACAAGCCTGCCAACCTATATATACTCAAAAGTTATTCCCTTAAAAATCTGGGTCTTCTATCGCAACTCGAGATCTTTGACAAGTACGTGAATCCAGGTCAAGCCGAGCTCCGAAATGACTTATAGGAAGTTCAGATGCCTGATTTCCAGGAGTCAACATCTAGACTCTTAGAGGAAACTGGGTGTTAGTGGGCCCAGTGACGATGAGTTTGATGAGTTTCGTCGAGTTGCTCTCTTGATCAATTGCTAACTGATATGGAGCAGATTCAAGGGACCAGCACGCCTCTAGGAGTAATGCAACCACAGCCAGAGCCTCTGGAGACACCCGGAGCGTTCCAAGTGCCTGGAAAGCTACCTGCTGTTCGAGGAGCATTCCAACGCTTTACTGCTGCTACTCTTGACTGGACAGCGGAGTGGTCTCAGACTGACGAGTGGGCCAAAAAATACTGCAGCAAAACCAATGCTGTAGCCCTAACTGAAGACAATGCGTTAGTGGAACAGCTCAGAATAGGAACTGGCGAGGAGTTTGAAGAGGATGTGTTGACTTTCTTCCAGTCCAACCTGTCATCACGAGTGCTGAAAGGCCAGGCAAAACGGGTAAAATCATTTTGTGATAATGCCCACCATGTCCTCGACAGTGCAGCCCCAGAGGACATCAATACTGTCAATAGCCAGAACCCTACAGCTTGGGTATCTGACCGAGACTGGTACCCTGAGGGTAACTTTGGACGAGTGTTGAACAGGAGAGAGCTCTACGCCGTATTACGGAAGAAGGTATAGTCACGCATCCCTATCTTAGGGAATATCAAAAGCAGCCTATAGTTAGGCTTCAGGTACAGCCACATACTGACCCTCCTGCAGCCCTTTATTAGGAGTGGCCAGCAAGCCGAGACAGGCCCACCTCGCCGCATGTAAGTCAACTCACCCACCTCAGTCTGATCAGAGTGTATCTAACCAAGATTGGATTCAAGCTATGTCAACAAACCTGATGGATCGAGTGTCATGGCACTTATCCGCACCACATCTCCCTCCCAAGTTCCTGGGTTCCAAGAGCTATTGGCCAACTACATTACAGCCTCCCCAAAGCCAGTCATTCGATCAAGGGAGATGGTAAGTGAATCTTAACACACATTCTTGAAAATGACATCACTTGCTGATTAATGGCTGGTTCAATAGACATGGTGGGGTGCAAGGTCTTTTATATTCTCCTTCAGCCTTCCTTTCTTTGCCATCAGTATTCAAGATCTCCTTGATACTCGATCATTTTTCAATGGCCAAGTTCAACTTCGACGTCGATATGACCTTTCCTTTTTACAACTAGGGGGTCATGAACAGGAACATTACGATGAAGATGATGCTTTTCAAAACGAGCCATGCTTGGTTGAAGCTGTTTATTCAGTTGTGGTGACAGGCCGCAGCGACAAATATTGGGCTGCAGCTTGCTTCAATGACGACTTCTTCGACAACACCGATGATCAGAGACTTTCTTCCGAGGATGATACAGAGCATGTGGATGGAAGTACAGATCCTATAATCTTCAAGGAAGAGGGGAAGACTGAATCACCTCGTGCCTATGCTCTTGCTGCATTGGCAAGTATTGTCCTGAAAGTCGCAGATTACCACAAAGACGTCCAGGACCGGTTCGAGGCCAGTTTAAATCGCCATGTAAGTCTTTTCTCGACACCAAGAATATGTGGTGCCTGTCGAAGGAACCTGGTGCACGGCTGTGCTGCTCCTGATAACGTCCATGTCTAACGTTTGGGTTTAGCAGAGTTCGTCGCGCAATGGGCCATTTGAGTCGGCAGCTTTTGAGCAAATGCAAGATTGGAGAAAAAAGTACCTAGAGGTACTCGACATTGTCATCCAGTACAACGCTCGAATCATTGAGAAGCTCGAGCACTTTTTATCTTACCACCTTGTCATCAGCTCTGATGGGTTGCCGCAGCACTCGTTGTGGCAGAGCGTGCATAGCGAAGAACGAGCGTCGCAGTCTCTGAACGATATAATCGCCAGTTTATACAGCCTTCGCGATATTGACAGTGAGCTACGGCGGTTTCTCAAAACTTGCACTGAGGCAAGACGCGAGGTGAGGACCATGAGCCAACGGCACCATACCGTTGGAAGTATAGCACAACTAGACTGACAGGTTTGCAGAGAAAAGATGACCACGTGAAGGAGCAAGCGAACAGAGCAAAGAAAAACCAGCGAATTACTTTCGCAGCATTTGTATATCTCAGCCTTTCCTGGCAATGGGTTGTTGCATACTAACACTCCTCGCAGGTCCTTGGCATCTTGAACTTGATCGCTCAGATATATGCCAGCCGGCCAGACAAAAACAGCAACTGGTTGGCGTCGCCTGGGTTCCTCATCCTTATAGGGGGGAGTTTTGTCATTTGCATCGTCATATGCCTCGTCCCATTCTGGGCAGATTTGTCCCAATATCTTGCTCAGCTTGGCGGCCATATGTCTCAGCGCCTATCAATAATATATCAAACAGCTTTGGAGCAATTGAGGTGCCTGGGGGGTCTGTTTTGCTATTTCAGTTCTGCTCTAGTCGTAGTCTGGGATATTCTCCGGCTGCGACTAATTGGTTTCATGTTAAGGAGGAGAGTGAGGAGAGCACTTAGAAGAGCCGGAAGGAGAATACCCCCTGTATAAACCTTGCAGAACTGTTGGGTTCGATGAATACAGAACCAACTCTAGTATATAAGCCTCCTCCGTACCTGTTTTTCTGTTCCTCATTTGATTATACTGTTGAATTTATTCTAAGTATAAGTATGTCTGATCATCAACGTATGACCGTTGCTAGGTGGAGACTAGCTTCGAAACTTTACGCTGGATTGCTGCTTTTCTTTTGTTTTTTGTTTGTTTGCAGTCGTTGACGTCCATTCCTCAACGCCAGCTACTGTACATCAGCTATCATTCTCTGATGTTGTAATTGCAACATCATCGAGAGGCTGGCCTACTGGCCGCCACACACTTGTTTTGATGCCCTTATTACCTGAGTCTCAATCATTTTGATGCCTTCTACGAATAGACTAGTCATCGATCTTTGCGCCCGCTGCCTTTCCTCCACCCTTACGGATACTCCCTGTTGAGCCGCTTGGACAAGGTGGCATCGGTCGATTGATTGCTGGATCAAATCTCGCTTCCATATCCTTGAAGCCTCTATCACATCTCCCTGTCTCTCAGAAGTACAGAGTAACACAGTGCGGGTGCATCCGTCAAACCTCCGCATTACCGAGGTTTTATATAAAGCACAGGTTCCCCAACATGGAGAAATGAAGCGATCATTGTCTACGTTTCGCCTTCACGTACAACAATGCATGGAGTGACGGAGGAGGACCAGTCGGGAGTTGAATGTAAGAACCCATTGAGTGATTGCAAATTATATGATCACGAAGTCTGTAACGACAATACTGAACTTTCAAGGCAGTTCTCTCTCCCCTGTCTGAGCTCGTTGCTCATCCGACGGGTGAGACCAGGTTCAATGTATACATAAATTCGAAGTTCTGCATGGCAAGTCTTCAGACTGGATCAGACTTACGAGAGTAAGTCTAATCCAGTCTGAAGACTTTTGTCGACCATGACGTTTGTGTTACCTTCTACTGGATCCGTCCTCATCGAAATCCCTCTCATTTTCGTTGGCATTGTCTGGGCGCTAATCCCCGTATTGTTATGGCTAAGCTCGAATTACAATGCCATCCAATCGCTGGTTGATGGCTGTGTTGAAAGGGTGTTGAGGCCAGCCTGCTTGCTGATGTCAGTACCATGGCACCCCAAAGTAAAGCCTGATCTGGTTCTCATCGAAGTACAGCACCGACACATTTCTCGACTTTTAAGTCACACTGCAGAGCCACGAATTCTGAGTTGCTCCTCCGGAGTATACCTATTGCAGAAAAAAAGGCATATCTTAGCATCTCTCTTATGCAGAGTATCCCTATCAAACAGCACTGGATCTTCTTGCAGCTACCTTAAGAAGCCAACTCAAGCTTGGACAAGCCAAGTCAGTTTGATTCCTCGATTCGCCCTCGGAAACAACAGTCTCCCTCGAAACGTTAGGAGAGCAGTCTGGATCTGGATCTGCGTGAGTGCCTAATGTGCAGTCTGGCAGAGATAGCCAGCGTTTCTCTATGTATATGTAATTGCTAACACTTGACTTCCAGTGCCAATGCGGCCACGGTGGTATGAAAGTCAGCGTTGATCCATGCCCTTACTGCAATATCCCACGCTGCCCCAATTGCGAGACTCGACGCGTTCATGGTCGCTCTTGATCATCGAAATACACTCTTAAGTAACAGCTCACGAACACGCTTGGGCAACAGCCCGCCAATACAAACAAGTCGGAGAAATCATCCAGAATCCCAGAGCCTTTCTTTGGTTTCGGTTGGATCTATCCAACTAGTTATTTTGCCTCAAAGCCTATTCCTTTCAGTAGTTCGTGCGGCTCAGAATTTGCTGCACCTTTAGCTTTTTCTTCTGCAGGGAGCCCGGGGGCACGATTTCCGAAGTTTATGGCATACGGCTTTTTCATATAGTCACATCAAGATTTGCTGTATGATGTACAGTTTGCTCTCTACTCGTGTTGTGACGTGACTGATGTGGTTAGATCTAGCAGGATCGAGGCTGTTTTTACCACGGGCGAGGCATGGCATCCGTGGTTGGGAGCTTACCAAAGCCAGAACCCCCTCGAGAATCATATAAATTCCCCACAATCGGCGGCTATTTTGAACGTGTAAAAGCCGCTGCGCTTGAGCGCGTGAAAACCGCTGCTATCGACCGTGTAACAACTGCTACCCTCGAATGGGGAGACTGGTACGAGTCTGACGAGTGGAGAAAAAGGTTTGGGAGCAAAGTCATGGTCATTCCTTTAGATGAGAACAAGTCTTATCTCGACGTGCTCCATGACACAGGTCTTGAAATCGATGAGATTCCTGCGTTCATGACTCCTTACCCAAGCTCGCCTCGATGGGAACGCAGGGTCTTATTCGTTGAAGGATTCTGCGAGGGAGCAGATTTCACTCTCCGAAACTTTGTGCCGGATGATGCTGGCAGTTCCCGATTGCAAGATACGCAAGAACCGAAAGCCTGGGTCTCCGATCGCAATTTGATCCATCCACGAAATGGGCAGTCTCGCCGAGCTTATGGCCGCATTGTGAACAATATTGAGCTATATGAGATCGTACAGCAGAAGGTACGAATGCTCTCTTCTGTTGCTTCTTCCTTTCCAGAATCACATAACACGTAGATAACTAATTACGAGGTATAATCTAGCGGTTCTGCGAGGATTCACCCGAGAAAATACCTGGTAGTTCTCGACGGATGTAAGTTGACCTCCACTCCATTGGCACTCACAAAGATGTCAGTTTGCTCACCCTTACTGCGCCTAGATATATCAGTAACCCCAACGGTGTCAGTATACTGGCACTTTTGAGAACAGCACCTGCATCACATGTGTTCGGGTTTCGCAAGCTCTTCGCAGGCTATCTCAATCCAAACCCAATTGCCGATTTATCGTTGAGTGACGCTGTGAGTGCACTCGACAACACGTCTACTCTGACTACAAGTCCACTTCACTAACTTATTGATTTGAATCTCTTAGAACTGGTGGGGTGCCGCAAACTTTGTCATCTCATTCAACCTCCCTTTCTTTGCCATTGGTACACAAGATAACCAAGACAGTCGTACATTGTCTGGGAATCAGTATCTTAGGGCCCGGTACGATCTGGATTTTCTGTATCTCAGAGACGAGTCAATCACTGCAGATCAGCAAGACAACACCTCCTTCCACGAGAGGGCTGTTCTACATGAAGCTGTCTATTCACTAGTGATTACGGGCCGGAGCGAGCGCTATTGGACAGCGGTTTGCCTGGACGACGATTTTTTCGAGGAAGAACCGAGGCTCGCAGAAGAGGAGGTAGTCGAGGCCTCTGAAGATCCTATCATCATTCAAGCGGAGCTCAAGGCCACAGGGACAACTCGGTCACCTCGAGCGTACGCACTTGCATCCCTTGAAAAGGAACTTGAGAAGATCGTCGAGTACCACGGAAACGTCCAAGACTGGTTCAGCAAGAGTCTTGATCGCTACGTAAGTTTGTTACATTCGGGTTGTCCTCGAGATTATATGGAACGCTGTAATTTGGGGAGTTGCCAATATCCTTCATTTTCCTTTTCAACTGACATCTTACAGACCAACATTGCTCGAGGAGATGACTCTCAAGGAGTCGAGACTCAACAAATTCCGCACTGGGAAAAGCGATTCCCAGATATGCTGGACAGGGTCATTTACTTCAACTCTAATATCGTGTGCAAGGTGAATGACTTCCTTGCGGGACATGTCATGCTTGGCCAAAAGGAACTGCTTCAGGGACCATTATGGCAAGGCCTACAGGGCGATTATGGTGCTTTGGGGTCTTTGCGAGGCATCAAAAGCTCTTTCAGCCAGCTTAGCGACATTGCTGGCCATCTGAAGATACTGAAAGAGAAAGAGAAAGTCTTTAGGCGTGAGGTAAACTCTTACTTGGCTTCCTATTCCACAGCTTGGAGACCGACACCACACAACATGGAGATATACTGACCGTGAGCAGAGGGAAAATCACCATGCAAAAGAACGACAAAAACGAGACAAGAGGATGCAACAAATTACCATTGCGGCATTTGTAAGTTTGTCACTCAAAACGCATTGAACGACTAAGGCTAAACTTGACAGGTCTTGGCTATCTTGAACTTGGTTGCCCAAGTTTATGCTGGCAAGCCAGACAGTCAAGACTCCTCCTCAACACCGGGCTACCTTACTCTGGTGATTATCTTCAATGTGATATGTGTTCCTGGGATCTTGTGGTTTCTGTGCCCATACGTGTCTTGCTACAGCAAGAAGCTATGGGGAATTATTGTATCAAAACTACAGAATGTTCGGGATTCTGCTGGCACCCTGCCATGAATAAATTCGAGAGGGCAACCGGCAGGTTGAAAAGAGGGACGACCAGTTGGAAAGAACTTTCGGTTCAACGTCACTTTGTTACGAGTTTTCCTAGGACAGTGCACAGGTGCATCCCAAAGGCCCAGACCGAGTGAGTTTCTGAGAAGGCATTGCGAAACATCAAATCCAAAACAACAAGAGGACTGACGGTCATTTGGTAGCACGGTTATGATCACGCTGCCATTTCTCAAACGAGGCAACTGCAATGAAACGTCTTGATTTGTCAAGATGTCGAGGTAGTCCTTAGAGCGAAAGGGTTGCATTGGGCCTCAAAATACGTGAGTGTTGCTGGGTTGAGGCTCTCAGTCGCTGTCACATGCAGTAGCATCTTCAACCGAAAACTCGGGTCTTGGGCAACAAGATCGTCATCTTATGACAAGTGACACGTTTCTCGCTGGCAAAGAATACTGCAAATGATTATTGGAAGTTATCGCTATCACGACTTGTAATGTTATTGTGCTCTTCTTCACCGGTTTGTCGTCAGCCAATACTATCTGGCAGCCTCATTTACGACGAATCATGGGTGTTATATGCGGGTGCCAACACATCACGCAGCCCAAAGGTTGGGCAACATCGAAGCGGCGTGGAAGCTTCCCCAGCAAATGAAATACTGAATTATCAATATGAGGCTTTCGAATGACAAAAGTCTTGATACCCGACTACTCCTTTGCTCACGGTTCAAATGGCTGCAGGTGCCCTTGCCTTTCAGCTTGACCAGTTGAGACCACGAGGCAGCCAGAAACTCGACCTCTGATTCATCTCTTCTGCAAAACCCATCACTATTGCCGTATTATCGTGGCTATGGCAGCAACAACTTGTTCCGTCAGCGGCATCGAGAACCTTCTTGGGAGGGTAGGGCTGGATACGCCAATCCCGGAGTTCCCTGGCGCAGACATTGTGCACAATCCACAAGACATCTTTCGAGTCTATCTTGCCGATACGCTGGAAAAGCTCCTTCACTGTGATCGGATGGTTGCCTATGATGCCATACAAACGTCCAACGTTACGGGAATGGGCGACCTCGTAATTGTTGCTCCAAGGCTTAGACTCAAGAATGTCAAGCCTGAAGATTTGGTGAAAGATCTTCTTCAGAAAGTACGATCAATTGACACAAGAGATGATGGTAGTTACTGACATGTAATCACACACAGTTACCAAGAACACCACCCTTTGGATGTCCTCTGCGTGACGGCATTCGCTTGCAAGTGTTTTTCTCACCCAATACGCTCCCTCGCCTCTTACTGTCATACATTAGTGACAGGAGTGCCTCGTATGGATATGACACATCAATCGGTCTGGCCGATACTGCTGCGCCTGATGGATCGAAGAAGAAAGTCATCGTGGAATACTCGTCCCCGAATATGGCGAGCGAGTTTCAGGTGTCGCATTTGCGTAGCACCCTGGTTGGCACATATATCGCAAACATTCATGCTAGCATGGGATGGGACGTTGTGAAGATGAACTACCTGGGGGATTGGGGAAAGCAGATTGGCCTTCTTGCAGCTGGTTGGGAGCGGTTTGGTTCAGAAGATGAGTTTGCTAAGCAGCCACTTCGCCATCTCCTTGAAGTGAACCACAAGATCCAGGATCTCTTCAAACCAGAGATGGATGAATGCAAGATTGCAAAGGCTAAAGGACAAGATGTCACCGAGATCGAGTCACGGGGCTTGTATGCTGAGCGAGACATCTTTTTCAAGAAAATGGAGGACAAAGAGCCAGGCGCGATCGCAGTATGGCAACGGTTTCGCGATGCTACCGTCAAGGACTACACCGATTCATATGCGCAACTCGGGGTAACGTTTGATGAGTACTCTGGGGAGTCGCAGGTGACTGCCGAGTCTATCGCCGAAGTGGAACAGATCTTGAAGGAGAAGGGTATCTACGAAGAGCACGATGATTCTTGGAAGATCGACTTTTCGAAACACGACGCAAAAGGACTCTCACTCGCAGTTGTGCGCTACCGAAATGGAACAACTTCATACCTGCTGCGTGATCTTGCTGCAGTGTTTGACCGATACAAGAAACACAAGTTCGACAAGATGATATATGTTGTTGCGATGGAGCAAGAGATGCACTTTCACCGAGTGACGAAGACTCTCGAGCTTATGGGGAGACAGGATCTTGCCGAACGCATTCAACACGTACCATTTGCCAAAATCAATGGTCTCCCAGAGGAACTCAAGGAAGCTGCACTGCTGAGTGACTACCTGGACGGCTGCCGATCGATGTCAGATGTTGGTCTTGACGGGGAAGAGGAAGAGGCGTCCTATGTGGACAAATCTGAGAATTCAGTGAAACAACTGAGTCTTGCTGGTCTTTTCATCCAGGATCAGTATCACAAGCGAGCTACCTCATATGCGATCGATCCCAAGAAGATGATATCTCTTGAAGGAGAGACAGGCGCGGCCATTCAGAACTGCTACGCCCGATTACTAGCACAGGTGGGATCCGAACCCGTGAAGTTCGATTATACCACACTGGACCATAATTCACTGGAAACAGCAGACTATTCTGAGCTTTTACGCATACTCCTGCAATACCCAGATGCTGCCCATGGCTCCTTTAAAACACTGGAGCCATCGTTTATTGTCGGATACTTGTTACGACTTGTCGATCAACTGATGCAAACTCTTGACGACGACGATGAAAAGGATTGGACCGGCCTCGAAACTGCCAATGAAGCGAGACTCGCACTCTACGGGAATACAAGACAGGTTTTCGAGAATGCGCTTAGGCTTCTTGGAGTGGCGCCCTGGAGCCCATGAGAGTCCTGGGACAATTCAGGTTGTCGTTACCAATTGTGGTCTATGTGTCTTTGATATTTTGCCTGTTTTTTTCTATTAGGTCCTGCAAGTTTGGCGTTTGTTGTAGGGTTGCCCTCCAGATTGGATCTCTCTGGTTTAGACATTCTCAGTATAAGTGAAATTTACGATGAATAAGAAAGACCTGCTGGTGCATACCAAAGACTCCGAGTGATCGTATGATAGATACAAGTCCAGGAACGAGAAGAGTGTCTGACAAACTTGCTTATATCAATCCAGGTGTCAGATGCCATATAATTTCTCACGTCTATCCTTTGGGTCAAACCAAACTCACATACTATGCAAAGATCTCACAATGAAGAGAATCTTCTAGATATCATATGCCTTGTTTATCTTGATGAAATTGCCTACCCTGGAACTTGAAGGTCATCATAAGGGTCCTCGCAGGTGCGGGGCGGGGCCAGTTGGAGCTCCACCCAATGGGAAGCTCCTTGCATAGACTTGCATCGAATGAGCTAGAAGTCGTCGATGGCCCTCTTCTTCCCCACCAAAGATCGCCTGGGGCGACTCTCTCATATTTCATCGTCTAGTTACTTTGACTCTTTGATACCACAGATTCAATACCCAGATCAGAACTGTTGTTTACTAGCTATAATCCTCAGATTCTGTTAATTCACTCACGATATGGCTTCCGCGGACGAGCTCAAGGCTCTAGGTAACAAGGCCATTGCCGAGAAGAACTTCGACGAGGCTGTGTAGGTTACCACCAGTAATAACACCACAACGGAACATCGGGGTTGCTAACTACGACACAGCGCAAAGTTCACCGAGGCTATTGCCATCCAGCCCGATAACCATATTCTCTACAGCAACCGATCTGCTGCTTACGCTTCAAAGAAGGACTGGGAACATGCTCTGAAGGATGCTGAGAAGACCACCGAGATCAAGCCTGACTGGGCCAAGGGTTGGGGACGTAAGGGTGCTGCTTTGCACGGACAAGGCGACCTTCTAGGCGCCAATGATGCGTATGAGGAGGGATTGAAGCATGATGCCAACAACGCCCAGCTCAAGAGTGGCCTCGCCTCAGTCAAGAAGGCCATGGAGGCCGAAGTTGGTAAGCAATATACCTACAAACCACACAGATTATGGCAACTGACACTCCTACAGGAGGACCTCAAGATCCTAGCGGTGGCCTCGGCCAAATGTTCAACGACCCCCAGTTGATTCAGAAGCTCGCCTCAAACCCCAAGACCAGCGGTTTCCTCGCCGACCCCTCATTCATGGCCAAGCTCCAATCGATCAAGGACAACCCTTCCAATGCTTCCGAGATCTTCAGTGACCCCCGTCTGTTGACAGTCATGGGTGTGTTGATGGGTGTTGATCTGGAGATGCGTGAGCGCGAAGTCGACCCCAATGCCGAATCTCAGGACTCTCCCATGCCCGATGCGCCACCAGCTCCTAAGCAGCCCGAGCCCAAGAAGGCCCCTGAGCCTGAGCCCGAGCCCGAGTTGGATGAGGAGGCTCTCGAGAAGAAGAAAAAGAAGGAGGAGGCCGACAAGGAGAAGGCCCTGGGTACCGAGAACTACAAGAAGCGCAACTTTGACGAGGCTATTGTACACTACACTAAGGCCTGGGAGACCTTCAAGGATATCACCTACCTGAACAACCTGGGAGCTGCTTATTTCGAGAAGGGTGACTACGACAAGGCCATCGAGGCCTGCACCAAGGCTGTTGAGGAGGGACGTGAAATCTACGCCGACTTCAAGCTCATTGCCAAGAGTTACGCTCGTATCGGTACATCGTATGAGCGCAAGGGAGACTTGGAGAAGGCCGTCGAGAACTACAACAAGTCCCTTACCGAGCACCGAACTCCCGATGTCCTCAACAAGCTCCGTGCTGCTGAGCGTGCCAAGACTGAGGCTGGCAAGAAGGCCTACATCGACCCGGCCAAGGCTGAAGAGGCTCGTGAGGAGGGTAACAAGAAGTTCAAGGAAATGGACTTCCCTGGTGCCGTTGCTGCCTACACAGAGATGACCAAGCGAGCTCCCGATGACCCTCGTGGTTACAGCAACCGAGCCGCTGCCTTTGTCAAGCTCTTCGAGTTCCCCAGTGCTCTTGAGGACTGTGACACGGCTATCAAGAAGGATCCTACCTTCATCCGAGCTTACATCCGCAAGGCCCAGGCCTACTTCGGCATGCGCAAGTACTCAGAGTGTGTGGACGCCTGCACTGAGGCCCAACGCGTTGACCAGGAGCACCACAATGGTGCTAACGCCCGCGAGATTGAGCAACAGCAGCAGAAGGCTCTCTCAGCCATGTACTCTGCCCGTGATAACGAGACGGAAGAGCAGACCCGAGAGCGTCTGATGAAGGACCCCGAGGTAAGATTACCCGCCGTTACTCGATGGCTGAAACGTTTACTGACATACTTAGATCATGGGACTCATGCAAGACCCCGTGATGCAATCGATCCTCCAGCAGGCCCAGTCGGATCCCGCTGCTCTTCAGGAGCACATGAGAAACCCTGGTGTGCGGTCCAAGATCCAGAAGCTGATCGCTGCTGGCGTTATCCGGGTGGGTAGGTAAGCGAAGGAGATGATGGCGACGGTGATGGGTTACAATAGGGAAAATTTGCTTTTTCAGACATGGAATCCCCTATCCAGAGTCTCATGGGACGGGGAAGGGATCTGGAGCGTGTGTGATTTTGAGTTGGCAGATTACTTAACGTGTACGAATTAATACGGAGTACCAGGATCATTTGCTGGTTGCTAATGAGAAATGAAACTTTTGAAGCAAACTGATGCATCTTTTTTGGGATATCATATTTGCTGTGAGATGGTGTATTACGAATGAGGCTATCTGGCTGCTGGCCTCGCTGTTTCAACTAACGACACATGGCTGGGAGTTGATACCATTATTGGACAACTGAGAGGAACTTGGTGTAGTAATGCATGCGTATACTGCGATTATCCGTGTTCAACTCCCGATTCCTTGTTTTCTCACAACAGTGAGGACAATGCGAAGCCTCTCCGGAGTCCGACACCAACGCCACACCGGTTCGACTATAGTAACGAATCCCACCAACAACGTCTTCCCAAGAGGACCGAGCAAAGCTGAAAAGAAGAGGGTGTACAGCAACTGAGCAAACAGCTGAGAAGCGTGGAGACTACACGTGGAGGACACGAGGTAATGCAGGAACACGGCGAGAAGAGAACGGAACAGGAAGAGAAAGAAACGTGTCTACCACGTTTGACGGTTACAAAGAAAGGAGAGGTTGACTTTTCACAATAAGCAAAGTGGGAGCTAAATTTGGCGGAGAAAAAGTTCAGAACGGGAAGAGTTGGACCCGGAGGTGGAAAAAGCAAGTTGACTCTCAAGCTAATGTTAGGAGAGAGGAGGGTGTGTAAGACATGGTGAAGAAAGCTAACGGCTCGGCTTGAGGACAAAGGAAACGGGCCGGGTCCGAGACATTGGAAAAAGAAACAAACATTCATGTCCACGGACCGGGATATGAGGAATCATGGCCATGGAGAGAGAGAGAAACAAGGTGAACCTGGACTGGATTCAGTTTTGAGTTTCTATGATCTGCGATGCTAAGACATTTTGCGGAGGTTTTCAGTTTCACATTAACGTCAAGACAGGCGTTGAACTTTGACATATTGAAACAATAAAACATTCTGTATAGAGTTATGGTGCTTACAGTACATGAAGCTCAAGATGATAGGGAGGTCGTACTAGTGAGTGGTTTAAGCTAGAGTCATTACAAAGCTACCAACGCCAAGAGCTTATTTCTACTACCAATTACTTTACGAGCACTGACGAAATATTTTATCTCATGTGTGGCGCCTGTATAATGACGATATTTTCTTTTCCCAACCGTTTTAGTTATCGTGCATTTATGGCTTTTAATAGTGGGATGCTCATCTTGTGTGCGACACTAATGACTCGACTGCAAACTGATATGATAACTGACGAACCGAACACCGCCCGCGCTTAGCTTTGGTGTCTCCTCTTCTTGTCTCGTTGTGTTGGTGTTCTTCCTTTGGTGCGGCTATGGACTGATGTGGCTGCAGAGTTCGCTTGGATATAACAAATAAGAAAAGAAAGAGGTTGAGGGATATGATATTGGTAGCCTTCTATTTGATGATGGAGAAGCTGCAGAATAAGGAAACAGACGAGGCTTGTGGGGAAAGGAGAGTCTTTCGTGCATATTGTATTCGGCCGACGGCGAGATCCATGTACGTATGTATGTATGTGCCTATGAGTTCAGACATGTAAGTATCTCAGAGGGGTTATGCGATGTTGTCCCTCTCCTGTTTTTGCAGGATCGTCGATTCACAGATGCCCTGTTCATCTGTTGGATCTAAGGTTGGAGGTTGTCAGAGGCCCGAGAGCAAAGACCAGGGCCATCTCGGAGGAATTGTGAGTGTGAGATGCTGAATCACTAGGATGTTTGGGAGAGAATACGCGAGTGCAACTGTGCAAACGTGCGAGCAACGATCATCTTTGGAGAAGCGAGAGAGAGTTTTTTTTATTTTATTTTAGTCTTCGTGATGTATCGTAAAAAGATGTAAAGATGGCTGGTATCAACTCTCGGTGCTACAGTAAGAAAAAGGAAAAAGGTGCTGCCACTAGAAATGACGAAATTGCCATGATATGATATGATCAGAGGACTCAATTCAACGTTGAAATTCTCTATTCTATTCCAGTTTAAGCAATCTCTAGTTGAAGGACTGTCGTTCGTCTTCACATGAGGAGGCTCTCGTGCCCGTTGGAAAAAGTTTGTGGCAGCAGGGGTTTGTCACTTACAAGGGTATGATAGCCTCCCAGCTAAACCCCGGGCGGTGCCGTCGTACGGTATATACCCCATACCTGGGTAATAACTGAGCTAGAGCCTAGAGACGCAGGCGTTGATCTATCCAAGGCTGAGAGAGAGAGAGGATCCGCCGTGTGCCGAGTTTCAGTGCCATTGGGCATTGGCGATCATCTCTCGCTTTTTCCACATTCATTGTCACCAACATGAACATGGACACGGGGTAGGTTACATGGTAGATCTACTGCCTCGACTCCGGTAACTCACATATTTAATGTATGAGTCTGAGTGGATGAGAAGCCACCGTTTATGAACTGGACAAAGCGCACCGCTCGCCAAGCATAGACTAGAAACTAACAATAAGGTATTCGACCGTTGAAAGGGTTTTCATCTCTTTTTCTATCAGCAGATCTCGCCGGTGTTGCCGAGTTTTAAGAATACGATGGTGTCTATTGGTTCGGAACTGGAGATATTGAGTGAGGCCTCATGAATCTTTATGGTATTCCGTTAAAGCGGAAGAGTATCCGTCATTTTGTTCTCATCTCGTTAGCTAATATTAGCGAGTTGGAGATGCAATGGTTCATCTTTTATCCAGTTGGACCTAATACTAATCTAGATCATCGAGGAACGGTTCTTGGCTATGGATATCGGGAATCTTGGGTGCTCTCGTGATGCAGGTACACGTATCATATCAGATGTGTGGTTGGTCTAGATGCTGTGCAGTTGGATATGGATATGCAGATGCCATGTGTGATTGTAATGGATGGTAAGAAATTGGGAAGTATTCTATAATTTATGACGTATCATTGCAACTCTTATTCCTTTGATAAAATACTGAATTGCTTCTTTCATTATTATTCTGTTTGAGTGCAGTACGGCCAGGGCTGCAGTAAAAGACCCAATTATACCGTTGACTTGACTGGGGGCCGCTAGTTTAGACTTTCTCAAAATCACCTTTTTTCTCTGGACCCTGAGTCGACTAAAAAGCAAAGCAACCGGAGAAAGGACAAGCTTCCCCTTAGAGAAACGAGAACAAGGGAAATAACGGCCGTTGAGAAAGAAGACAAAGAATGCGGGTGGAAGACAGCCCGCTGTCCCGTCCGTCTCCGGCTTTGGCCGATATCTACGGAGAAGCTGTCAAACAGATGAGACTCAGTCCAAGTATGGGGTTCAAAAAGCACAGAGCATCTAATTTGAGCCCGGACGTAAGAATAAGTCACGGAGAGAATCGACAACGTTTGAAAGGCGGCGGGAGCTAGGAGTGGTCGGTGCGGATCTTTATGAGCCAAAGCTACGGGCGGTCGATGTTTTATGTTACTTACGAAGCTCTGACTTGGTAAATGAATGCATTGATGAGATCGGAAACACAGACCATTCGGAATACTCGGGATCCCTTTTTACTCTGTTTCTCTCTGACGTCTTCGGAAGCGAATATGGAGAAGCAACCGGGCGGCATTGACCGGACTGTCTATTAAGTTAGACTGTTGGTATGTACAGCTACGTATGCCTAACTATGCCTTTATTCGCATGGTTCCGGGTTCTTCTAATGTCAGGCACAGGCACAGCACACGAGATTAGTTCCGTAATCGAACAATTCCGAATGTCTTCTGGAAGCATGCATTCAATCTCTAGTACTGTACCTCGGTCGAACCAACACACAATCTCAAGTCCGAATTCCATTGCCTTATCATTGTGGAACAATTGACACGCCGTTTCTGGTCAAAACGCTGACGATCCCTCTACTCACAAGCTTTGCTAGGTACACTCAGTCTTCAGATGCAATACAACCTCGGTCTGCAGTTGCAGTAACTATGGCAATCTCAAGGTTTTGAAAGGATTCCCATGACGCAGACCTCAACGGTCGCGTGAGAAGTGGGCTCTGTCAATGGAGATATCTGACCTAGACCTGGTGTTTTCGCGTGGGGGAGAATTGAGATTACACAACCTGTCAATTAGGTACCCTTGATTCGTTAGTTGAAGCTATCCTAATCAGCCAACTGTCAGCGTTCTTGGTGTTGTTGTTGGGTCCAGCTCAATCCTCTGCCGGCCGGTGATGATACACTCAAACCACCACACACACACACACAATGGCTCCCTGTTGTCGCGCCACGGCCAGACACAGAGTTTACGTGGCTGCTAAGACCCGGGCCCAGGTACCGAACTTGGGGTGAGGTAACCTCGAAAATAGTACCGACAGGACGCTACGGGGGAATGTGGTAGACAGGGAGTTTGGGGGTGCAAGGGTCCTTTTGGTGTTGAGGTGAGGCCATGCTATTCCCGAGAACAACAACTTGGATGAGGTTTATTGCTCTGAGACTGGCTAGTTATGCAGTGCGTTTAACGCTCGTTCTATCTCGGAACTTCTCGTCCATGGGCTGTAATACTCTCTGTATCTTTGACCTTTCGTACATGACCTGTCGTTTTTGAGTTTGACTGACAAAGCTGTAACGTCTTGAGAGTCTAAGACGGGCTGTGAAAGCCAATAAGTTACATGTCGTTTGTTTGCTTGGTTAATGTTTGCTTTTCATCTCTTTTGATTTGCCGTGTTACAAAGCAATTGTCTAGAATCGCGCCTCCAAGTTCTGGACCCTTGCTTCTGGTTGGTCACACCTGACGTTCCATTCCTCAAACATGTGGTTGCCATGCGTTGAGTTGCATTCTTGTTGTTGTCTCGCGTGGCTACCGCATGGCTGAGACTATAGGGATTGCACGGCAGATATCCCCGTCGATGATATACTTGCTTAGCTACTGTAACTTAGCTGTAGATCTCCACAGAGTTCGAGATCAAGAGCTACTGGAAGGGAACTAAGTTAGTTAGTGATGAGCATTCTTTATGTTGTTTTAGAGGTGATCTTGAGTCAAGTTTGCCTTGTATGGCTTGTACTCTGACTTGAGTAGAGGGACTAACTGACTGATAATTGCCATCGCCACACGCCATATCCGTCCAGCCTCAAGCTGTCAAGTTCACTAAAAAGAGAGTTTTCTTGTGATTTGGTTACCGAATCTAGAATCTAGATCAGCCTCGTTTCTCACCTGTTTCTGCCCTCGGACCATACTCATAGCCAAGACTTCCCTAAAAGATTCGTTCTCACTGTCCTTTCAGTGGAAGCCGCCGGGCCACTCCAAAAAGCAAGGAGAGCCTGGAGCTTACAGGGCCCGACCCCACTAACAGAAAACCTCCACCCACCTAAAGGGAACTAACAATGGATCCCAGCTGTTCTATCGTACGACTTCCTGAGCTTGGATTTCCCAACATCCATCCACTTCACTTTTACTTTTCACTCTCACTTAGATACACCCTCTATCGCCTGGGGGTAGTACTAGGCCACGAGGAATAGACGGCTTGTGGAGAAGCTCGAATTTTCTTTCTTTACTTTTTCTCTACTGTGACTGCTATAATCTCTGTTTGTGGGTTGTATAACCCCGTCCACTCTAATTCAACTGGGGGCGTGTGATATCTCAGTATCCATGCCATACCATGCCATGCCCTTGCTGTGTCATGGCCATGAGCCATGAGGAGGAGGAGAAGGAGGATATAATATCTGGGGACGACTCCCACTCAGATTCATCTCTCGACTGACGAACTCTGCTTCACTAAAACATCTCATTCATTTATTCATCTGCTACTCTTATCAACCTCAACATATACAGCAGTTACACGAAGCATTGTCGACATCTCTCAAGACTCTGTCTATTACATACTCAACCTCATCCTTCTTAGAGGTGTCTCTCTTACTACTGCTTCAACTGTAGTACCTCACACTCTTCACAATGGCTCTGTCATACCAACAAACCAGGCTCATCCGGGGCACCATCCCCGCCCTCACCGACCATGGAGAGCGCATCACCACCATCTTCTACCGCAACATGCTCCGTGATCACCCCGAGCTCAACGACTACTTCAACACCGTCAACCAGGCCAACGGCCGCCAGCCTCGTGCCCTCACCGCCGTCATCCTTAGCTATGCCAACAACATCAACCACATCACAGAGCTCATCCCCAAAATGGAGCGCATGTGTCACAAGCACTGCTCCCTCGGCATCAAGCCAGAACATTATGCCATCGTCGAGAAGTATCTCATCGCTGCCTTCGCTGAAGTCCTCGGTCCTGCCATGACACCCCAGGTCAGAGAGGCTTGGATGAAGGCATACTGGATGCTTGCCAAGATGCTCATCGGTCGCGAGGCTCAGCTCTATCGTGACTTTGGCAAGTGGCAGGGCTATCGCAAGTTCCGCATCGAGAAGAAGGTTGAGGAGTCTGATGATATCTACTCCTTCTACCTTGTTCCTGTCGACGGAAAGCGTCTTCCTCCCTTCCAGCCTGGTCAGTATGTCTCTGTTCAAGTGCCCATCGCCGACAAGGGCTACGTCCAGTCTCGTCAGTATTCCCTGAGCGAGGCTCCTCGACCCGACTACTACCGCGTCACCGTCAAGCGAGATGAGGGGCTTCACATGACCCGCACCGGTCGATACCTCGGAGGCGATGCCCTCAACCCCGGCGTTGTCTCCAACCTCCTTATCGACATGAAGGATGAGGGTGATATCGTTGAGCTGACTCACCCCGCCGGCGAGTTCTACCTCGACATGTCCAACACTTCCAACGTTCCTATCGTCCTCATCTCCGCCGGTGTCGGTGTCACTCCCATGATGTCCATCCTCAACACCGTCTCCGAGCGCCAGCCTCATCGTCCCGTCTCCTGGATCCACGGCTCCCGCCGCTCCGTCCCCTTCTACGACCAAGTCCGCCGTATCGCCCGTAACCGCCCCAGCTTCCGCACCAACATCTTCAAGACCCATCTCGCCGAGTCCGACGTCTACGGTGTCACCTACGACCATGACTTCCGCATGGATCTTGCCAAGGTCGACAAGGAAGACCTCTACCTTTGCAACAGCTCTACCGAGTACTACATCTGCGGCCCTGAGCAGTTCATGCTCGAGATGGCTGAGTTTCTCAAGGCTCAAAAGGTCGATGCCCCTCGCATGCACTTTGAGCTCTTCAGCACTGGTGACATGGAGTTCAAGGTTGATACCCTGAGCATCGGCTCTGCGTCGAGGGCAACCTCCATCAACAGCAACGAGGCCAGATGCCCCAGCTCTGGAGCCATCTCTACAAATGGTGCTACCTGCCCCTTCTCATGAGTTTAGATTGTATCCGAGCTAAACGAACAAAAACGCAAAACTATTCACGGGGCAGCTCTCGGTCATGGGCTAGAATACGGGAAGTGATGAGGCGTTACGGATCCGGCGCATATCTTACAGTTTATTGTTGTATCTGTTGTTACAAGGTTTCCTTTGATGACAACTATTCTCTTTGTCAAATCATAATACATGTTCATGTTCTACTTCTACACTACAAGATTAGGGGGTTTCGATGACACATTGGCTTATCTGAATGAAACGGCGGGAAGGAAAAGTACGATATTTGGGCTGGGTATGGGAGGTGTCTAGAAAGCGAAAAGAGAAATCAACAGAATTTTATTGTTCTACCTGAATAAACAAAGATACTAAAACATGATACTCCATATATATAACCACAACTATACCAAAGAATGAACCTGTGAATGAGTGACTCTGAATTGTTGTTATGCGTTCCCGTACTCGCTTCTCAAGCGATCCCCCGTCTTTGCCCGGTGGCAAGGCAGGGAAGGCTGGTCAAAAACACATGAAATCAGAAGACATATGACGAACAAAGGAAAAGACCGCATATGCTAATAAGAGATAGGAAGAAAGAAAATGGAACCACCGGCCGTTCCGTCACTGTTGGTAGTTGTGAAACTTCTTCCAATGCTTAACCAGATTGTCCTGCCTCGTAAACTTTGAAGCACACCCCTCCAATCCGCAGATCCTATCCTCGGTGAGGATACCCTTCCTCGCCGCGTAGGCTCTGTGAGAAGTTCGGTAGTGACGATCCATGTCCCGCTGCTCTGCCTTGGTGACGTTGCAGCTGGGATCGGCTTTGCATTTGACGGGCTTGTTGTGAGTTTTCATGTGTTTGCTGCGTCGTATTAGTTAAAACATTCTCTGTTTCATGTTTCGGAACTTACTTCAAGTCTCTGTTACCACCGAAGAAGCGGTCACATTCTGAACAGTAGTGTGGAGTGGTAGCCGATGAAGCTTCCGGTTGAGCTGAGATGTCGTTAGCTTGTTTCTGTTTCGACTAGAGATGAATGTAACATACTAGGCTCGGCAGTTGGATAAGAGCTGGGGTAATTCTGAGTTGCATAACCAGACCCTGAACTCAGTAAAACCTCATTGGGGTTCACAGTTGCAGGCTGTTGCGTCATGTAATACAACATGCTTGGATCCTGAGTCTCCGAAACACTCGAAGCTGTTGCGTATGCACCTGAGTTGAAGTCAGAGACTTGTGAGTCAGCGCTCTACTGGCTCTGACTTGGACCAGCCTGGCTGTACGAGGCAAAGCTTTGAGTATCAGTATATCCGGGGTATGAGGTTTCGGAAGTCAGATTTGGGTCAATGGGGATGTCGTCCTGTTGAGATTGGTGAGATCGGGTGGAACGACTGTGTCTATGAGAACGGTCGCTTCGTCGTGACATGCTTGAACTATGGTAACTCTGGAAGTAAGACTTGCTGAAGTGCTGAGTTGATGGCGACTATTATTGGACGAACCTAAAAGTCTTGATGTTTTCTCTTGAGAGGATAGTGAAGGATCATTTATACTAATTGAAAGAGTCTCGTGGTGAATAGAGCCTCTTTGGAGGCCGGCCGGGGGCCGGCAGCGCATTCTTATCTCTGGCATGTTTGATATAGGCGACTCTATTAAACATCGCAAGATGAATAAGAGAAGGACTGAGAACAAAATAGAAGACCCGAGATACTCAAAGATGGATCACTCAATGGCGTAGCCTGGATTTGAGACAACTCGCGATATCACGACTCTGCCTTGTCCGACGTTTGCGGCCCAAATGTAGGCCAATTTCGGTGGGATTTACCATATTCGTTGGAAGATTTTATGAAGATAAGTGTCAAGTAAGGCGATCAATACTGTCGGAGGCCGGCTGAAGAGAGATGCAGATGTTGGTCACCCCGCATGATGCGATGTGATTGACTGATGGGCCTCCCAACTTGGCCGGCCCCCGACATGAGGCTTGGACAAGGCAGATCTTGTGGTCAGAAATATTGTGCAAAGTCAGTAAAGCTGAAAGGCTCGAGGCCTCTTCAATGATCGAAAGCCATATAAGAACAGGAATACCTCTAGTGTCTGACTTTAGTAGCTGCAAACTGCTCTTATCGGGACTACAGGAACTCAAGCTTACTGCCTACAAAAGACCGTCGAAACGAACATGATCATGGCAACAAGTAAGCTAACTATCCTGCAAATAGAGCGAAAATAAAACTAACAGACATCAGACGACCTAGTTCCCCTCAGGGCTAGGCCAAAGCGTCGTCTCTACGAGCCTATCGTCCTGTACAAGGCTCTCACTGAGATCACTCACGAACAAGGTGCTCTTCGACAGGCCGAAGGCACAGAAAAGCCAAGAACGGAGGAACAACGGTATCACAACTTCTTACACAAACTCGCCAGCATCTGCGACAGCACAAAAGGTGGCAAGACCGTCACCTCGGTTGCCATACTTGAAGAGGAAGACAAGTACAAATATGTCTTTGCTTGCAATCAAGTCTTTGACAAGGACCTAGAGAATACACAAGAGTTCTTAACAGACATTCTCAAGAGGCTCTGCGATTTTCATCGGCTGTCTGCAGAAACGAAGAATTCTGCTGAAAGCAAGCTGATGAAGATGATCCTCGCGTTCAATTCACCAAGGATAGACTGTTATCTTGCAGCATTGAAGACGAATAACATAGTGGAATGTCTGGAGTACTGCGACCACCAGGTGACTGCAGATGGTATGTTGCGCAGCTTGACTGTGAGAAATAATACTAATGAGCGAAATAGATATATCAGTTGGGCAGGGCCTAAGAGCTCTTGCCAGAGCTATCAAGGGCACCACTTTCAAAGAGATGAACGAGAATCAGTGTAGGGCTTGCAAGCCCCTCGTGTTTCCTTGGGGAGGCTGACCAGAGATCAGATCTTGAGACCTACAACACTCTTCGTCGGACTTTCAAGGCCTTTCTTACTCCAGAAGTGACACACTACATCGACAGACGGGCCACAAACGGTCGCTTCAGTGATGGAAGAAGCTTTGTATGCTGGTCTGAACTACGCCATAGCTTATCACGTCTTCACAGCTACAAAAAGACCGTACAAGATCTCATCGACGCAGAGAAAGAATGGCCAGACCTCTTCCAAGAGTTCTTGGTTGTGCCAGTCGAGTCAAGCAGCGCATACCCCAATCCATTGGGTAGAAGAAGCGAGAGCGCTTACAATATTGTTATGCGAATGTGCAGCAGCGACAATGAGGCTTCACGACAGAGGTATTGTGATCTTGCCCAGAATTTGCAGATGATGAACCTCGATGATCGTATTCGGGCCCAATGCACCAGAACATTGTTCAGGCCATATGTACACTGCGAGATATTGGTCCTGGAATGGATAATGGCTGAGTCACATCGCTCTAAGTTCTCAAATGACTCTGAGGAGATCCCTCGCTCAGAAATCACATTCTTCAACGATTGGAGGTATATTGGGAGCAGCAAACCTGCATGTCAGCTATGCCGCTACTACTTTAATGCCATAGGCCAGCATGACGGTATCCGCACTCGAGCAGGTCATGGTAACCTTTACGTCAACTGGCGGTTCCCAGATCTTCACGAATCTGATGGCGCTTTTGGTCAAAAGCGACGACAGAGCATCTTCAACTCAATGATAGAGAAGATTCGGCAGGATGCTTTTGGGATCTTGGCGACGAGAAACTCGGAGGGTAAAAGGCATGACTCGAGCACCCATCCCCTCATGTCGGTGCGGTATACCGATGTTCAGACGGAGTTGAGTGTTCGTGATCTGCCCGATGTCGATGAATTGGGCGAGGGTTTTGCTACGGGGCTCAGTCTGGACTCGCCGAGTAACAGTTTGGAGGAGTCGGACTTTGATGATGAGGATGGTGGAACTAGTCTTGGATGAGAGTTGTTCTATTTCAGGGTGTCTATTTCGTGTCTTTTTTCTCTAGGCTTTATCTCATTTATCTCGTCAACCCGTGTTCCTAGAACTTTGATAATGCATGAATTAGTGGTTATTTCGCTTGTGCCAGGGAGCAGTAGCCTCAAGAAGGTCCTTGTGAAGCTGGCTATCACCACTGATCTTGTACACTTCGTCAATGATCTTATTACGCTGCATGAAGATCAAGAAGCCACCCCAGACGAAGTCAGCATAACTAGGAGTCTTTCCCAAGAAGAAGGGTCCCTCGGAGTTCTCCTTCAACAGAGCCTCGACCTCTTGGATGGGTGCCTTTGCGTTATCCCAAGCCTGCTGGCCGCCCTTCTCCTTGTGGAACTCATCGAGAGGCTTGCCCGCGACCTTGGATCGTGTCTCATGCCAGTAAGGAAGGCTCTTCTCGCCGAGGATATTGGTGGGGACGGTGTAGAAGTAGACGGGCTGAAGGGCGCTCATGATCTTTGGCATGATGGAGAAGAGCTTGGCGAGGACGGGTGAATCCTTATGGACGGAGGGCTCAGGGTGGTCCTTCTCGACGCGCTCGAGGATCTTGTTGGAGTCCATGATGTATTCACCGTCGGGGAACTTGACAGTTGGAATGGTCCATGTTCCTGTGGCTGGGTTGGCAGAGACACTGAGGAGTGTCAGTTGAGTTGCTGTGAGTGGCATTGACTACTCACTGGGGCTCCAGAGTGGGCTTGATGTCAGGGTACTCGAGCTGAACATTGATCAATACATGAAGCGGCTATTATAGGATTCTTGACGTACCCATTCGGTCTTGTAGTCAATTCCCTTGAAGTTCAAGAGAAAGCGAGCTGTTGTACAATTAGTAATGCTATCATGAGGGGCAACAACTTGACTCACTCTTCCATGGGTTGAGAGACCAAGCACCGAGAGGATCTCGGCTTGGGAGGTCAAAGAGGACGTATTGCTCAGAAGACATTGTGAGTTATCGGTGGCACCTAGTGACTTGTCTTTGTAGGGATTAAGATGAAAGTTGTAAAGACTGAAGAGGACCTTTACGGGTATGTCATTATCAGTTAATCCATACGAGCTCCAAAGCTCATGAGGGGAGGAAGGAGGGGCAATAGTGGGGAGCTGAGCTGTTATGGATGGGGATCTTCGGTACTGGGCCGAGGAATCTGGTCAACGAATCAGCGTTGATCTTTGGAGCATTCAACTTGAGACTATCTTCAAAGAAACCAATAGACTTTATGCTTTATCAGGAACAGCCACATGTAGACTTTGTGTTGTTAGATATGCGTCATGACAACGATATGTGGGCCCCTGTTTCTGACTTGGGAGTGTAAGCTGTAAGCAATAGGTTGAATGAGCTTTGAGAAATCAAACTGCATCATCCAAAGTCTTTTGTTGGCAGAACATTCATTGACGAATAACTTGTATAGATATTTTTATTTTGCTAGATGCCTAATCTCGGATGGTTGGAGAGTACGTCCAGATTAGGTATCCAAGTTTGGGGGCGGGAAATTCAAGTGAAGCAACAGTAGTGGCTAGTTTTGAGCTGTCATCATGAGTACACCACTCTACTCATGACAAGACGAACATTACATTAATAAGGAAACATATCCCTCAGAAAATCTGGTGGAATAGGCAATTATGCGGCGCGCCTGACAGCCTTTCTATGAATGACAACGGCCAAATAACAGTGTCAGTTTTTTCAAACGAGTTGACCCGACCAAGATCCTCATTTTGTAAACTCCAAATTCAAGACAAGCTGGCAAGACATTAATTGCCGCCCGGTTCCCGGCTTGAACGACCCTGAGCTGTCTCTTCATTGGCAATGCTGCTGGTCATACCCATCACGTAAGGCTTCATGCTCACGTATTGGTATCACCTATAAAACAACATGAAACCGCCATCTTTGTCAGTACACCATCAACTTAAGCTCATGCACTTCCCTCAGCCTTATGGAGATAGAAGCGCCGTAGAAAATGGACCATTCAACGCGGAATTCCGTGTCACCACTAACAAAAAAGCCAAGATAGTGGGGAACGAGTGCGAGAGCGACAGGATTCAGCTAAGCATTTTACCCCTGTCAGTATGCAACCACCACTCCGCCCCAAAAAGAGGATCGACAGACCAATTCGACCTGGTCCAAATCCTTCGACGTCACGGATAGCAATACTGTTGGTTGAACCTTGGGCTGAGACACAGCCACTGAGCCTTGCTAGATATTATCCGTAGGCGTTGAATCCTACTCTATGTGCCTAGAATTAGCTCTTTGCATTGCATACAAGAGACCCTTAGGCCCCCACCTCACTCACTTCTTCAGTTTCTTGAAGCTCTTACATTATACAGATACTCGTGGCGATAAGCGCAGCAGCACACAACACAATGGCCACGATACAAAGCACTACACCGCCTAACACGCTGGAAGAGCCAGACTCATCACAACGCCCTACAACTCCAAGGTCAGTAAACCGCGGTTCTATTTTTCTTCCAATAGCTAACTTGACATAGAGTAATTCGCACCGTTGTCCACGATGAAGGCCTGCCAGAAGTTGTCTACCAAAATCAACCCATAAATGCCACAGAATACTACGACGCTCCGATACCCGTGGACACAGAAACAGACAAGCGATACAATGAAGCTCCCATTCCAATCACAACACTCGACAAATTTGAACCTGAACCTGCACCTCCGCTACCAGCTCGCCCGCCTTCTAGTACACCGCAGCCTCAGTACCCCTACCCCTACAGCCCAGGCGGTTATGCTCAGCCACAACATCCTGGCTTCGGGGCTCAGTCACCGCAACTACCGCCTTACAACAGCAACGAGGTTGTAACGTATGTGACACCGCTCGATCAGCTTGGAGACCACCCAAAGTTTGTGGATTGCCCGTTTTGTAGACATCGCGCAGAAACGCGAGTAAAGAAGACGTCTTCAAAAATGACACAGTAAGACCCCCGAAGCAGCTCCCGAGACTACCTATTAAAGCTAATGACTTGTAGTGTTTCTGCAACAGTCCTCGGATTCACAACAATAGCAGGCGCTGCTGTTCCTTATGCTGGAAAGTGGCACTCCCACACAGCTCACTACTGCAGCAACTGTGATCATAAAGTGGCAATTCGAAAATGGGGATCCAGACAGATGAAGCCTCTGGGGACACCCGATCATCTGAGGGAGGTATCGAGATATGCCCCTGCTCATTCACCGAGCATGTCCAGTAGCTCGACGAGAGGCTAGAGATGATGTTTTTGAGTAACATTAAGGGATTGATACCAGGGCGGAGGAATGATTTTCAAATCGGGACACGAGAACTATTAATCGAATTCGATATTCGCAAGACATGTGTCAAACACAGCATCTGGTTTGATTTTAAAACATGGAAATCAGGTTCACGAACTGCAAATCCTCAGTTACAAGTGCCCCCTTCAGTACGACTGTTGGCGGGGAAAGACACAAATTTCGAGTATTGCTTTGCAAGTCTCGTCAAGTAGACTCTGACAGGTACTGAGAGCATTATCGACGGTTGAAGATGGCTTCGTCTGACCAATCATACACTGCCATAATGTCGATCAGGGTTTGGGGAAGCCAACGGTTTGGCTGTTCCATGCCATAGGGCCCAGGGGCCTGTCAGATGCTTATTTTCTGCCCCTGCCCTGTCAGATCTCAATTGAAGCTGGGATATGAATTGCATGAATGCTTATGAGTCTGTAGAGAACAATTATTAGATTTTATTCTGTTATAATTTCGTTTTATCGACATATTTCCGTTCCCTGTAGCGTTTCTTCACAGCATCTCTGCAACGCCATAGTTTGTACTGTATGGCCCTGGCTCAGTTGGACCCAATACCACGGTCTTGGACAAAAACAGGCTCAATTGAGAACATATACTTCTAAAGTATCTCGCACGATGCCGATTCTGGCTATAAGACGCTTTGATTTACTCCAATTGGTTCAAAGGCAATAAAATGGCTTTGTGGCGTCAATTAACTGCGGGACTACCTTGAGCTCATGGTAGCAAGTACATGTACTTAGGGGTTCTGGGCCAGATTTCTCAACACCAATTTCACTTCTCAACCACTCCCACCTCTCGCACGGCACCTTCAACCTCGTCGTCGCACAACCTCACAGCAATGGGAGACTCAACAGAGCACCACGATATTCTCGTTCTGGGAGCTGGCCTCTCTGGTATTAATACCGCCCACGTCCTAAGCCAGAAACTTCCCCACCGTTCGTACACGATCCTCGAGGCGCAATCGGCCATTGGCGGCACATGGCGCTTCTTTCAATACCCAGGCTTTCGATCCGACTCTTTCATGACAGCTTTTGGTCTGCCATGGTATCCTTGGAGACATAAACATAAGATGGCGCAGGCGGGCGAGATCGTCGAGTATCTGGAGGAAGCTGTTGATGCAGCAGGCTTGAGGGACAAAATTCGGTTCCGACATAAGATGCTGGCGTGTGAATGGCGAACAGATGAACAGCATTGGAGGATAGAAGTTGATTCGGACGGCCAGCGAAAGACCTTTATCGCCAACTTTGTCATCAGCTGCGTGGGATATTATGCGTACGACAAGGCTTTTCCGACGACAATTCCTGGTCTCAAGGGCTTTGGCGGACAGGTCGTGCATCCTCAATGGTGGCCTGAAGATCTCGACTACTCTGGCAAACGCGTCATTGTCATCGGATCAGGAGCTACAGCGATCACAGTTGTCCCATCACTTGCTGAGAAGGCAGGGATGGTGACTATGCTTCAGCGCAGCCCGTCCTTCGTCATATCCCGACCTACGACTTCAAGTCTCGACTCTTGCCTGAAGTCCCTGCTCCCTTTCTCATTAGCATACTGGTTGATATACTGGAAAGACGTGTTCCTGGAGGTCTTTTCCACACAACTTCTCCTCAACTTCCCTGCATTGGGCCGCAAAGTCTTGATGGGGGAGATGCAAAAGGCACTGCCCAAGGACATCGACGTCAATGTGCACTTTAACCCCAGGTACAATCCTTTCCAACAGAGACTTTGTATGTGTCCAGATGAGGACTTCTTCAAGGCTCTGCATCAGGACAACTGCGAGATTGTGACGGACACAATTGAGACTGTCACAAAGGATGGTATTTTGCTCAAATCCGGCCGCAAGCTTGAAGCCGATATAATCGTTACTGCAACAGGGTTGTACTTCCAACTCTTCGGCGGCATGACCCCGTTAGTAGATGGGCAGCCCATCGAGGTTGGCTCACATTACGCCTGGCGTGGCTGTATGGTCGACTCTGTCCCTAATATGGGCTTCGTGATGGGCTACGTGACAACATCATGGACACCCGGCGCTGACATTATGGCCAAGACATTAATAAGTGTTATCAAGGAAATGGAGAAGACGGGATCAACAAGTGTTATGCCCGTGCTCGATGCAAAGGATAGGAGCAAGCCGCAGAAACTCCCAGTCAGTGCCACCAGCAGTTATTTTGTCAAGGCTGCGGATCGTATGCCAAAGGTGACTGATGAAGGTCCGTGGTATGGACGGGTGAACTTGCTCAAGGATTGGTGTGCGTGGATACTGGGCGATGTGACGAGTGGGCTTCTCTACAGTGGAGGACAAGGAAAGAAGGATATTTGAGATGTAGATATTTGAGAGGAAGAATAACGCCACGAGTTTGCTTCTATGGATTGTTGGATCTTGATGGCGTTTGTCCCGGATCCGACATCCACTGGAGGATGGCTGGCTGGCACGATTTATGAATGATGACAATTGGTATCTTATCTGGATCTTACACTCTTACATCTTGCATATAAATCATGCTGATCAAATCTGAGCATCTGAAATGAGACTTGTTCATCTTCAATGGCTATTGGCTGCTGAAGATACCTCCCTATAGCCAAAGTCGGGCTTGGGCCTAGAGCTAACACAATTGAAGCAAAACGCCTCAGGCTCTTCCCCGTCTTCGGATGCTTCCGTCAACCCCGCGATTGGTTCTTTTACTGATTTGTTATTCTCCGGTTCGTTTACTTTCACCATCAACAATCTCGATCATGATGAAGATGAGATATTCAAATATTTGTACATGCTGACAACAGCCCGGAACTGTTACGCTCGCTTTTGTCCCTTGCTTGAACAACCCTGCCTTATCCAGGTCAACTTTTATCTATGTCTTCAGTCTGACGAATCTGAAGATCTGAAATAATGGACACCTGATCCTACGCCGCTCCATGGCACCCACGCGGGCCGGAGTTTAGACTAATCTAGTCTAAAGTCAATTCCCTTGCTCTTGGTCAATCCAGACAGGTCGACGCTGGTAGGTCACAGGTCACATATCATCTACTTGACCTGCTCGGAGTCGTCATTATTCAAATCTACAACACACTTATCACGATCAACTGATCTGTAACCATGGGGTTTCTGACAGATCAATCGCTAACCAAGATCTGTTTCCAGGTTACCGCTGTATTACTTATCGCTCAGTTACTTCGTCTTGTTCGTCGCTGGTCTCGTCTACGCCATATTCCTGGTCCAGCCGGCGCTGGATGGTCTTCATGGTGGCAGTGTCGAGGAGCTCTTAGCGGTCACTATCATGAGCATTTAAAGAACGCAGCAGATCAATTCGGTATGATAAACTCATCCAAAACACTAATGACCAAAATCACTAACAGTCAATAGGCCCTCTTGTTCGTATTGGTCCCAACGAGGTTCTATCAACAGACCCTGTTGTGCTGCGTAGCATGTCTGCTGTGCGAAGCACTTATACAAAAGGCGACTTTTATAGCAGCGGCAGGGTAGTCCCTGGTGTTGATAATGTCGTCTCTGAGAGAGATGAGGCCAAACACAAAGCCATGAGAATAAAGATGGCCCCCGGTGTAAGTCCACTCAAGCATTAGAACACTCATCCGATACTGATGGCTTCTTAAGTATTCTTACAAGGAGAATGAAGGTTTCGGTTTTGAGGCAGGCATAGATCGTCAACTCCTCAACTTCATCTCCCTCATCGACCGAAAGTACCTCTCAACTACAAGCGAATCACGACCTCTTGACCTTGCCGAAAAGACACAGTTCTTTGCCTTGGATGTCATTGGAGATGTATCTTTTGGTGAATCATTCGGCTACCTGGCCAAAGATGAAGATCTCTTCCAATACAATGAGATAAATGCGAGTTCACTTCCAGTCATGAACATGGTATCCGTCTGCCCCTGGCTAGGAAGGGTTGTTCATCGGTGGCCGCTGAGTCTGTTGCTACCGCGGGAAAAGGACCAGGTTGGCTTTGGGCGACTGATGGGGTGAGTTGGATATCAGTTCATGGTGACTCAAGCTGACCTTTGTAGCTTCGCAAGACACTTTGTTCGCAAAAGACTTGCTGACGGTGTCACGAAGAGGAACGATATGATGCAGATGCATATCAACAGCGGCATGAATGAGGAGGAACTTATCCAACAAGCCTTCATCTCAATGTAATATCCCCTCAAATCCCTCCAAAGATCTTGCATTGACAAACTTCAGTATCGCTGGTTCTAACACAACCGCACACGCGCTTCGTATGATCATCCTTTCTCTCATCACAAACCCAACAGCATACCGCTCCCTCATTGCCGAGATCCGAAGGGTCGCCTCATCAGACAGCAATCCCATCTCCTGGGCACAGACGCAAACGCTACCATATCTTCAAGCCGTCGTTCGCGAAGGTCTGCGCATGTGGCCGCCAGTAGCTGGTCTTGGTTTCAAGCAAGTACCGCCGGAGGGCGATACCATCAACGGCTTTTTCGTCCCCGGCGGAACGCAAGTTGGTCAGGGGTTCTACGCCGTTGGTCGATCGCGTCTTGTCTGGGGCGACGATGCAGATGTGTTTCGGCCTGAGCGATGGCTAATCGCTGGTGAAGACAGGCTAAGGGACATGATAGCGGCGCTCGACACACATTTCGGACATGGTAAATATTCATGTTTAGGAAAGCCAATTGCTCTCATGGAGATTCACAAGGCTGTTTTCGAGGTACAGATACCCATAAGATGTGCTTAGATAGTTGTGCTAACAGATGCTAGTTGATTAAACGCTACGACTTTGCTGTATTAAACGCTGAAAGACCAATCAAGACCCAGACTTCAGTCTTCCTCTTTACCTCGGATTTTTGGGTCACAATCACCAGGCGTGATGACCCAGAGAACTAACTTCGAGTGTGCGATTAATTGGACGCGAAGCTGTAGTATGTATATATCTCATATTCTAGATGTAACATATAATGTCATATGAATTCGACATATTCGTAGATCTAAAGCCGACATCGAACTGCATAGTGCGTCATGCAAGGGTTCATATTTTGCAACACCTCTCGTGATGTTGACTGGGTATTCATTTATTCAATACATATGACAAGTAACTCCACTTTCCCTGTATCGAAAGAGTTGAACTAGAAAAGGGTTTCTCTATTCGATGCTCAAATCTCCTCATCTTCGGGTTTCCTCGATGGTGTCCCAAGTGTCTCAAGCCCTCTGGCCCCCACCATTTCCACAGGAGCATTTGCTGGAACTTCCACGCCCTTCCCTTCAACCACCTTTCCTTGTCCCATAGCTTCTTGGTATTTCCTACCCGTCTCATCTAGCAAAGCTTGTACCTCTCCTTCTCTTTTTACGATCTCCTCACGTTCCCTTTTAAGCTTCTCAACACGATTTTGCTTCCCCTTCATCTCCTCTTCCATACCCTTCAGCGTTGTCTGCAGACGAGCTAGACATTCCGTCAAGCTTGGTAGAGGTGATATCTTGGGTGGTGCTTGTAACAAGTCCTGGCTGGGATCTTTCCGGGGCTTTTTCAAGCCGTCCATACCTGCACGTGTCTGCGCAGCTTCGTATGCGATTCGCCTCTCTGCATCGCTATCAGATGAAGAATCTGAAGTGTGTCCTTCAGCGGCTGTGATGAGCTCCTCCATCATCTTGCGATCTTGTTTCCGCCTCTCCTTTTCGGCACGTCTACCCAAAGAGAGTCCACCATCTTCAACGTAGTTATCGAATCCTTCGCCGAGATCCTCGTCCTCGGCTATTAATCGTGTATCGTCCTTCTTTTTGCGTCCAAATGGATCCTCATCGTCTTCAACCGAGAGAAAGTCCTTCTCCAGAGCTAATCGTTTACGCCGTTCTTTCTTTTCTAGAATCTCGGCTTCTGTTAGAATAGCCGTTGGTTGTGGTTGGTTGAACTCTGACGAATCAACAACGACAGCGCCCTCAAGTTCAGAAGCATCCAGGTCCATGAGATCGCTGTCGTCGGGTGGCAGAGTTGACGGCCTTTGTGGAGTATTTGGTGTTGATGATTGTAATTCTTCGAGGTATTCTTTGCTGTACTTGGGTCGGTCGTCATCGTCCCCAATAGTCCTCATGGGAAGGCCCTTCGTACCCAGTCCTCTTTTGATAGCGCTGTTTTCTAATGCGCGCCCCAAAGGCAACTTCTTGGGAGTGAAAACCTCGGTGGTCTCGTCATCTCCAGCAGTGCTATCGTCTCCACCAAAGGACAGTCGTGAGGATTTGTTCGATTTTTTCTTTCCTTTCAAAGATCCTGATCGACTAATCGCTGGTCGCACCACCACTGGTCCATCATCGTCATCGTCGTTCGCGGCTGGTGCGTCTCCCAGGCCCTCACTGTCCGCAAGATTGAAGCTCTTCCTTAGCCCCGACTGTCGGAATGGTTTACGACCAGCTTTTGCACCAAATACTGGCTTAACAGGTTCTGTGTTCGCAAGGGTCAGCCTTGATCCCATCAGCAAGAGTCGCATTTTCAAGTTCTGGGAATACTCACCATCGCTACCAGCACTGTCACCACTTGCTCCTGATGGGACATTTTCGCTGGAGTCCTCATCGGCGATCTTGATGACCTTGGCCTTTCGTTTCGCAGAAAAACTCATGATGCGATTATTTTTAATGTCGGCGCATTAATTGTGAGGCAGAAAGTTCGCGACGACGCGGATGAAAGTGACGTGCAATTTGGCTCGATATCTTATCAACACGTGACGTTGAATTTCCGCCCAGAGAAACGGAGATAGCTCTAGGCCGCGATCGCGTCGCATGAAACAGCATCCAACTATTCAACCATTTATTGCTCAAGATGGCGCCCGCACAACCTGAGCTGAAGAAGGCAGGTCTTGATCTTTCCTGCGTCGCATGCTCCTCAGCTTTGTCTTCAGCGCTTCTCCCGGGCTGAATCATTGCGATCTATTGCTGCTGATCCATAGCTAACTTTTACAGTACCTCGACAAGAGACTGTTCGTCCAGTTGAACGGCAGCCGAAAGGTCATCGGTATCCTCCGCGGTTACGATGTAAGCAATATCCGTACGATTATACGAACAGCACTAATGGAAACAGGTCTTCCTGAACATTGTCCTCGACGAAGCGGTGGAGGAGAAGGATGGAGGAGAGAAGCAGAGAATTGGCATGGTTGTACGTTTTCCCGATTGACGATCAGATCACAGAAGACAAGGTACTAATATTTGGACAGGTCATCCGTGGTAATTCGGTAGTAATGCTCGAGGCTCTCGAAAGAATTGGCGGCGATGACCGACGTGGAGACCGATAATCTTGAAGAAGGGCGGAAACACTGGAAGAGATGACGGAAATTATGTGATCTTTATTGGCGTTAAGGTCGAAAATGAGACAAGTCCTTGTGGGCAGTTTGTTTGGGTCACATCTTACTAGATATCAAGAGAGGATATCCTCGAATTGTTATACCATGTCCAGCCAACACTACACTACTCCTTCTTCTCCCATGCCTTCTCGTCATAAGAGTCCATCAACTGGCCAGCGTACGCCTTCTGCCAACCCTTGATACCTCCAATCAGAATTTCAGCCTTGATCTCGGTCTCTTCAACTTCATCGAGGTAGTCCTGCATCCAGCCAGCACATCGTGGACCTCGACTTCCGCAGCTGCCTGAAGGATAGTGAGTAATAGGTCGGGCTTAGCTATTTCGAAGGTGATGACTTGCCACAATAAAAGATGATTCTCTTGATACCTGCCTGTTTGACAAGCTGATAGATCTGAGGACGAGTCTGATACAACGTGTGAGCGGGGAGATTGATGGATGTAGCGATAGTGCCGCCCTCCCAGTCTGTCCTTCGAACATCAACTAGCAAAAAGTCTCTGTGGGCATTCTTTCCAGAAGCTGCATTCACTTCAATAAGTTTGGCGACGATGGACGGGTCTGTTCGAGGGCATTCGGCCTTTGGCTCAGGGAACTCCTCCCACCATTGCTTCTGCGGGGTGTCCTGCGGGGCGTCTTCTCCCATGATGTGACTTTTGTTCAAATAGAAAGTAGTAAAGTTTTGTAGCCAAGCTGTGAAGTTTCTGTGGCAATGATTTTGAATGAAGTCTTGGAAATGATTGTCTACAATGCAGGTTGGACGTCGAAAAGAATTGCACTTTGTATCGTGGCTAATGATGACGGGATGCAGTGCCGACCCGGAACTTTTACCCCGGATTAAGGTTGTACGGCAACATCACGGGTCGGATTGCAAATGCTTCTCACACTTGATATAGCAATCCTCAAGAAAGCATCGATGGTTTGGTAGGTGAACTGAAAAATCATGGTCTTGCTATTGTGATATGCTTGTAAAAAGGGTTATTCGGCCACGTTGTTTGAGTACCCGAAGTTGATTGAAGCAGACAACCATAAGAATTCATGAGACACCTTTCACAGGTCTTTATAATACAAAGTATAATAATGTTTTATAAATGGCAGCATATTTTTCTATGAAATGGTATTTTTTCGTTCTTTAAACCATCAGTATTCATTTATGTAAGTCGTCAATTAAAATGTCCTTCAGGGTAACATAAGCACCACAATACAGACAACTCACTACAATCATGCTTCAAATCACTACCACCTTATACGTGAATAGCTAGGCAATATTCAGTATTTGAGTTACAATTAAACAAAATCAGTTTTGACAACGCTATACATGCTTTTATATATCTGTAATCATGGGTCGAAAGACTTCTCCTCAACAGTAATCTTCGACTCTAGAGCAATATCACCAGCAGATCTTCCAATCATAAACTTGTAGTCACCACCCTTAACCACCCACTTCTTCTCCAACTCGTCAAAGAAGGCAAAGTCACGAGCACGAACAGGTATCTCAACCTTTGTGCTCTCACCAGGCTTCAGTGTAACCTTCTCGAAAGCAGCCAGCTGCTTCAGAGGATCACCCTTGGAAGCCTGAGCGGCTCCGACGTAGACTTGCACAGCGATGGCGCCGACGACCTTGCCTGTGTTGGAAACCCTCACATTGACAGTGTAGTCACCGCTCGATTCCTTGACTTCTAGATCGGAGTAATCGAATGTGGTGTACGAGAGACCGAAACCAAAGGGGAAGTTGACCTTGTCAGCGGAAAGGCAGTCGAAGTAGCGGTAGCCGATGAAGACACCCTCGCCGTATGTTACCCTCAGTCTGCCATCAACGTGCTTTCCGGGGAAGTTGCCATACGCAGGACAGTCCTCGAGCTTCTTGGGGAATGTGCAAGTAAGGTGGCCTTCGGGGGTTTGGGCGCCTGTAAGCACATCTGCGATGGAGTTACCAGCCTCTTGGCCAGGGAACCAAGTCTGAACAAGACCCTGGATCTTTTCCAACCAGGGCATAGCAATGGCGACACCAGTTGAGTTGACAACAATAGTGTTGGGGTTGGCCTCAGCGACCTTGGTGATGAGGCGGTCCTGGCTACCATCCTTGGGGAGGTTGAAGCTGACCTGGTCCTGTCCCTCGGTCTCCCAGAATGGCTCGTGACCAGTGAAGATGATGGCATAGTCGGCGTCCTTGGCGACGTCGACAGCTTCCGAGAGGAGGTTGCGGTCATGCTCTGCCTCTGACATGTATCCTACGCGGAGACCACATCGCCCCTCCAAGATACCAAGGTCAAGATCCTCTCCATCCTTGGCAGCGGGAGGCGAAGTGTGCATAACAAGCTTGTACTTGCGTCCCGCCTCCAAGGAGACCTTGAACTCGGGAGGGTTATCACCACCGAATAGGAAACCCATCGCATCCTTGGAGTTCTCTTTCTGCTCGAAGACTACCTTGCCGTCGATGATAAGCTTGCTGGGTCCCAGACCAGACGCGGTAAAGTAGTACTTGGCGGTCTCCTGGGCTGTGAAGGTACCCTCAAGGGTGACATCCTTGTTGCTGAAACCAAAGCCACTCAGAACGGACACTTCGGAGTTGGGGTGAGCAGGTCGGACTTCAATAGGCTCAGGGTTGCCGGGCTCGAAGATCTTGAAAGTGAAACCGGGGTTGCCATCCAAGTCAACCACATTTTCGGCGATAGGGGGGAGCATGCGGAATGTGTGAGCTCCTATTACAGTGTTAGTAATCGTTGCCTAAAATCTCACTTCTGGAGCTGCTTACCCTTAGCATAAGAGAACTCTACACTGTCGCCGAGAGCTTCGTGAAGAGCATCCCAAGGGGTGACCTTGTAGTGAGCGTTGACAGACGCACTGCCGCCACCGTGAGCGAGACCAATCTTGGCGTGGCCTAGCAGGGCAATCTTCTTGCCCTTGACCTTCTCTTTCGACAAAGGAAGAACATTGTCTTGGTTCTTCAAAAGAACAATACCCTTGGAACCAGCCTCTCGAATCAAAGCTTGGTGCTTGGGGTTGTTGATAGCCCTCTCATCGGGAATGCTGGGATCCTTGAAGCAGTTGAGACGCTCGAGGAACTTGAGTACACGTTTTGCGCGCTCGTTGATAGTCTCCTCGGAAGTCTTGCCAGCCTTGATAGCGGCGATGACATCCTCAGTCTTCCTCCAACGGGTAGGACCGGGCATTTCGAGATCCAGACCAGCTTCGAGAGACTCAACGGTAGAGTTGACACCACCCCAGTCGCTCATAACAAGACCATCCCATCCCCAGTCGCCTCGGAGGACCTTCCTGAGCAGAAACTCGTTGGAGTCAGCATGGTGTCCGTTGACCTGGTTGTAGGAAGTCATAACAGCCCAGGGGTTGGCCTCCTTGATGGTGATCTCGAATGGTCGGAGGTAAAGTTCTCGCAAAGTTCTCTCGCTAATGGTTTCATCGACAGTCAAGCGCTCAGTCTCCTGCTCGTTAGCAGCAAAGTGCTTGATGGTAGCTGAAACACCCTTGTCTTGGAGACCCTCGACAACTCTGGCGGCCATCTTTCCAGTCAAGAAAGGGTCTTCTGAGAATGACTCGAAGTTGCGACCGCCCAAGGGATGACGGTGTAAGCACATAGTGGGAGCAAGGAGACAACGAGCGCCCTTGGAATGTGTCTCTTCAGCAAGAGCAGTACCGATTCTCTTGGCCAGGTTGACATCGAAGGTTGATGCCATCAAACAAGCAGCAGGGAAGCAAGCAGCTGAAGTGCCACCGGCAAAGGCAGCTCCTCGAGCGCCATTAGGGCCATCCGAGACCTTGGCATTAGGAACGCCCTTGGAGGGAATAGGGACTGTCTCCCAAAGGTCCTTTCCAGCGAGGAGCGAGATCTGTAAGTGAAGTGATTAGTTGACTAAGGAAATATCAATGATGGACTGTAAGTGAAACATACCTTCTCCTCAAGAGTGAGGGAAGAGAGGATGGATTGGATATCAACAGAGGCCATGTTGATACAGAGAAGTCAATTGACTGAAGAGGAGTGAAGAATCACATCTTGTGAAACGAGGAGAAGCCAGCTCTTTAATAGCACAATGGCCAACCCCTCAACGCCATGACAACTTCTCCAGGATAGTGAACTCGCGTATACTTCACCCGAGTCATCCGCTATTCAACCGAAGATGGCACTCATGTGGCCATTGAGTACCCGCTTTACGTGCATCTGCGTAGGATGCGGTGTTGTGCCATTGGATCGCGGACAAGGTGGTTCCTTGGTTTAGTGGTGAGTCTATCGATGCTAGTGGTACCGATCCGAGGCTATTCCGATGTTCAGACGGAGCTTTCCCAGTGAATAGCCTTGGAGGTCTCGAGATGGTTAGTTAAATATGTCTTTTTCTTGTAAATTGAGTTTTAAGAACGTTTCTCAACCGTTACCTGCATGTCTAAGTGCAGACTAACTTTGAGTAACATTCTGAAAGTTGTGTCTTGTGCACACAAGTAAGTACAAGGTGAGGTCAGTGAATGTCACCCATCGGCTAAATAGAAGTGTCCCATCCTTCCAGAGCTACAGTGGAGAACATCGGGTCTTCGCTCCTAAGTTCCGGGAGGGTCACTTATCATCGACAAGAATGAAATACACTTACATGTGATTTTCCTCTTGATGAAATAAATATCTTCGGATCTGCTAAAACTTAGTATAAACGTCGGAAAATTATCGTAAAAGGGTTCAGTCAAGTATTTGAGTCTGTGGTTGTCTTGCAAGGACTCAGTCTGGCCCGTGTCTTGTTGAACCCCCAGCTGGAGCATCACCTGGGGGCCCCTGAAAGATCGCCATTGACAGCTGCAGAATTGGAGCACTAAAGGAATAGTGCCATTAGATGTGCATCGCATCACCATGAAGCAACAAGAGACTCAAATTATCCGGTATATAAAGATACCAACAAGTCCCTATTCATACCTGAAAAGGAAACAAAGGAGTTAGTTATTGATGTTTCTTATTCACAATCCTTGCTTCATCCCTTGGTAAAACAAACAAATATGCCCCTTGAAACCATCAGCCGAGGATTATGCGCCTCAAAGAAAAGAACAGGTCAAACAAACTCAAAACATGTGCTCAACTCAACTTACCTAACTAGAACAGTGACGCAAACAAAAATAGCAGCACACACCAAAGACACACATTGACCTCCATGTAATCGTGTCATCTCCCGCGATGCCATTGTCGACAACACAGCAATTATAGGGAAACCAGGTAGTTACGGTCTGAACATGAGCGCCCATTTAGAGGTGCCCCGAGGTATTACACGTCATGACTTTACTTGACCCCCTTTACTGACAATTTTTAGGGGAGTCGTGGGCTTCAATTCCAACGGATTTGATTCTCGCCGAGTTGAAGCGTCGCAAAGATGAGGGCGAGAAACCAGAATGCGGTTCGAGAACAAAGGGTTCTTATGATACGTCGGCGCATGTATTTGCATTGATTCTTATCTTGACCCTCAGCACGTTAGGTAGGTTTGTTCAATTGGGAGCTTTGACACGGCACTGATGTTATACAGCATGCGCATTTCCTCTCCTATCGCGACGAACGATGCGCGGCCGAGGACAAAAGACCGTGATATTCTACTGCCAGCACATTGGAACCGGTGTCCTTCTGGCAACGGCCTTCGTCCACCTCCTCCCGACCGCTTTCGAGTCCATGACCGATCCATGCCTCCCCGATTTCTTTAGCAAAGGATATACACCGTTTCCAGGTTTTGTGGCTATGGTTTCTGCTATCATTGTCGTCGGAATCGAATCGTACCTTACAGCCCGAGGAGCTGGTCACTCTCATTCCCACAATCATGGGTACTTTGACTCGGACGACGAACACGAGAGCGAGCTGCCCATGATGGATGCAGCTGGACTATCTGAAAGGAGGCACGGACCGCGACCACCGGATATTCATCTTGAGAACATGGAGAGTCAGGGGTTGGTTGCTGGCGTGTCGCCGCTCCCTGGATCTTCACCTTTAGTGGGACAGGAGGGCAAGAAGCTTCACGATGATTTCAACGATGACGACTCGGATCTTGACTTGGACATGGCAGAGCTTGAACCAGCCGGATCAAGCAGCACGAGACATCGACATGGACCTTATGCGTCTCTCAAGCCTGAGGGAGTTGGCGCTGAAGAGGAACCTATGACACCCATGACCCCAATGTCTCCCGGACCACAGAACCCCGAAGAGCAACAAAGGAAGCTACTGCAGTGCCTTTTGCTTGAGGCTGGTATTCTCTTTCACAGCGTCTTCATCGGTATGGCCATCTCCGTCGCCACCGGTCCCGCCTTTGTAGTCTTCCTTGTCGCCATTAGCTTTCACCAAACCTTCGAAGGCCTTGCTCTAGGCAGCCGTATCGCCGCAATTCAGTTCCCACGCAAATCACTCCGCCCATGGCTCATGGTTCTCGCCTACGGAACCACAACACCAATCGGCCAGGCAATCGGTCTTATCGTGCATCGCATGTACGACCCCAAGAGTGCGGGAGGTCTGCTCGTGGTTGGCTTCATGAACGCCGTGTCATCGGGACTGCTGTTGTATGCGGGTCTTGTGCAACTATTGGCGGAGGACTTTTTGACGGAGAAGAGCTACAAGATTCTGAAGGGCAAGAGGAGACTACAAGCTTTTATGGCTGTTTGTGCTGGTGCGCTCTTGATGGCTGCTGTTGGGGCTTTTGCCTAAGAGGAGTTACTGGACGGTTTAAAAGAACTGGTATACATAGAATGTAAAATTGGTGGCATCTCGTCAACGGCGTCTTTCAGGGTGGGAAATGGAGTTTTGAATGTAACACGGAGCGATACAGATATTGATAATGTTACTTGTATTTCGTTTGTCTGTTGTCAGTTCGTCAGAGTGATACCATAGTATATGTGCAGATACTTCATTGAGAGACGCCATGATATCTTCTTTCCGAGGACTTGCATCATGAACAACCCCGGCTGGCCCCACATCAAAAGTCCGAACTTCCGGGGTGCGGTCTTCGAAATGGTCCGTCTGCTACCCCCTTGGGCCCCCTTTGCTCCAGGGTCTTTCGTGTTTCACCCAATTATAAATCTCCTTTTAATCAGCTCCCACCCACACCCGTATGAGCTCCCATGACATGACGAGCTATCGAACCATCAAGAAGTGAGCCCAGAAGCTGAATCTTGAGTGGCTGTCTCATTCTCAAGTCGGACAAACGTGTCCCTCGTTGTACCTATTTCGTCGCCTTTATCTCCCCGCCCTCTCCTCGCTTTCTTGTGTGATCTCATCATGCCTGGCCAACGTATCCTCCTCTTCATTGTAGCTCAGGCTCTTTTTGCTGGGCTTGCTATACTTCTCGCTAATTCGCCGTATCGTAATATGTCTGTCTCACCAACTGGTAGCCAGCCATGGGCTGATGGACCTATGAAGCTGGTGACAACACCACAGTATGAGACTAAGAAGGTCAGTCAATTGGATTCAAGTGTTTCGGGGTGCAATTGGCAACACTGACCGTTCAATCTGGTAGACCGATCTTTTCACCACAGGCGCCACTCACATGGCGCTTTTGCATAATGCCATCATTCGTGGCTTCAATTCCATCTACCTCCAAGCTCCTCATGTAAAGGACGCCGACAAAGCCGACTTCATTGGTTATTCTCAGACTTGGTTCAAATTTGTCAAGTCGCACCACGATGATGAGGAGGACAACCTCTTCCCCAAGGTTCAAGAACTTCTCGGTGACGAGCCAGTTTGGGACGAGACCCATCATGAGCACGGTAAGAATCCTGCAGTCTTCAATTAGTACTTACTTGATCACTAACACCGAGACCTCAGAGTCCTTTCTTGCGCCGCTTGCCGAGTTCAACACATACCTCTCTAACCTCGCCTCACCCACTGATCTCGACGGCGCTCAAGTCATCAAACTCATGGACGCCTTCAAGGAGCCCTTCGAGCATCACTTCCACAGCGAGATTTCCACTATCGCCGCTCTGTCAGAACACCCCAAGGCTCCCAAGGAAGACACCCCCGAGGGCGCTGCCGCCGGCCTGACCTTCAAGACATGGGGCAAGAAGACAGTCACAAAGGCCGGCGTGCTCGATGTCGTGCCTTTCTTCCTCCTGAACTTGGATCGAACTGCTGAGGAGGGTATGTGGGCTAACTGGCCTCCGATGCCTGCGCCTATCTCTTGGGGTCTGACGAATATCGCGGGTTCGTGGTACGGCAAGTGGTGGAAGTTTTCGAGCTGTGATTCGCAGGGCAAGCCTCAGGAGCTATATGCTCTTCGGGATCTGAAGCAGTGATTGGGAAGTTGGTTCTTTCAGTTGGGCTCTCATGAAATGTTGTATGTGCTATTCTTTGGCGTTGTTTGGCAAGTGAAAGGATGAGAACTATACTTTTGTTAGTCGAAGAAATTCAATGGGTCGATGTGCCAACAATCTTCACTTTCCTCCTTGTCCCAGCGGTGAATGTCTTCTAGATTGCGGATTCTTGTTTGGTATCGGTTCGTAGAAAGAAGCAAACGGCGGTTTCTTTGAAGTTGTACATCCGTATGGTATCGTCGTGGTCATACCACATCAGGTAGCGGAAGGAATAAAGGCCTGACTTGCAAACATGTCAGTACACGATAAGTCATATTGCAGAAACGACTTTTTGAAAGAAACCATGCATAACTCCAAGCCTTCCAAAGAGTCGCAGAATGGCTATAAACCTCGGAATCAACACAGTGACATCTCTGATTCCTCCCCTCATCACACTTGTGAACATCTGCCAGACTCTTGAACACGATATTAGTGAAGAATCAGACTCATAGACCATCATCAGATCCACGAACCTTGCCCCCACCAGACTAAGAATATGGCTCATTTCATTTCTTCGTTTCGAAGCCAGATGAAAAGTGGCAATAGAATGTCGGACATGAGCTCGGATTCGAAACTCTCTTCAACCTTTGACAAGGAGTCAGATACGAGTTCCGCGTACTCTGATTACAGCGAATTCCAAGACTCCAGTTCGACGTATGCTGGTAATAGCACCGATAGCACCACGGTCCAAGTCAACTTTGACCATTGGGGTGAACGAGATGACCACGCCTTGACTTCAACTCTTCAGAGACCGCCTTTTTCTCCACGAGTGGTCGCAGAGCATCAACGCCGATCCAAGTATGCTGATTTTCCGAACTGCGCTCATGACTTCCGCGCCATGTATATAGAGCAAGTTTCGGAGACTGGCTCGCGTTTGATTCTTGTTAATAACTCTTGAAAGCTCCCTTGGTAGGTCACCAATAATGGATCTGAAAGCGAGACGTGTAAGTCCAACCCCCTAGTTAGCGATAGAATATTAGAAACTGTATCAGTGACAGACCTTATCGAACTTATATGTGATACTGACGCTCTCCAGTCCAGTGCAGACTCCATCCGCGCTGTCTGGGGCAGTCCAGAACGCCATTCCAGGCGTTCTTCTGAATTTCAGTCCAGCCACCAAAGCAACGATACCGCCGAGACTCGTTCTTCCAGAAGATACGTTCCAACAACTCTGGAAGATACGCGACCCAGAGTAACACCCGTTCACCGAACTCGTTCCGTGACTGAAGCTCGCCGTGATGCTACCTCGACAGCCGGCACCAGACCTACAGCCTAGCTGTGATTCAGGCGTGCTGTTGCGACAGATGAGCTCGGGCTCAGTGAGTAGCCCCTGAATGGGAGAGTAAAACTTGATATTTGTTCGGCGTTCTGGATGGGGAAGATTTGATTTCTTTAGACGGTGGTTCGACGTGTACGGTTCGGCAGGAGGATTTTGGGGTTTCTTTCGGCTCAGGGATGGATCGAGGTATCCTATCGACGGGTTCTTGCTTGCTTGGGTAGGAGTTTTTGATTTCTGGGACAGACGCGATTAGCACGGTTTTCAATTTCGGTATTGTGGGAGTCAACACGAGGTTCAAGATCAAGCTTATGACTTCGTAAGTGGCCCTTTGATCAAAAATAGCTCGTGTGGATGTATTTGAGCGCCAGTGACTAATGCTCTCCTGTTCATGTAGGCTTTCACCTCTGTTGTCCTCATTTCCCCTTCAGGTAGTAGTATTCAAAAACCGAAGTACTTGAAGGCCCACTGTGCACAGTAAGAGAATCAGGTCTTCAGTGCTTCCGGGTTTCGAAGCCCCTGATGGGAATTGTCAAACGCCAGGTCGCGACGGATCATAATTGGGGTCTGATAACAGCGCTACTGATGATAGTGTGTCTGAATATTCGATCGTTAGTATTCAATCTTGGCGGTTATACAACACTGAGTCAAAGAAAGTGCTTACATCTATGGGTATAGTGCTTCGGCGTTTCTATTTGAACAGCTGTTAACTGTTTATGCCCGCTACCACAGACTGAAGTATAAAATCCTTGGCCAAGGGGCTCAAAATTTGATTTTTTGCAAGTCCGTAATCCTCGTTGACCTTGAACTTGCTTTCCAACTAACGAAACAGATACCGGCGTCTGTCTCGACTTGAATCTTCATTATTCAACATTCAACATGGGATGTTGCTTCAGCCTTCCGGAACCGCCACCGCCCAGACGATCTAAATCAAAACCGAAGCAGTACATCATATATCCCAATGGGGCTCGTGTAAGACACCGTCCCGACGGTGGTGTCTCCGTGAGACCGCCGCCCCGGTATGACCGCGAGCATAGTCATCGGCATAGCCATCGACACAGCTATAGCCATGGACATAAACATAGTCACCGGCATGGTCACCGGCATGGTCATGGACGTAGTCATCGCCATGATCATCACCACCATCATCATAGGGAACCAAGTCACTCTGGGACAACTCTTGTGCCCAACCAAGGAGAACCAGAAACTGGTAATGGAGAATCTGAAGCTGGTAATGAACAATGATCGATGGGAATGGTGTTTTGTATAGTTCTTAGCTGCTAATTGAAGCCATTGGCTCTTCTATTCTCATATCTCGTGATGTAGTATTTTCTCGAGTGTAGTTCGACGGTTGTACCTTCCTTGTAACTAGGTGTCCCGTTAAGACAAATAGTGGAGCTGCTCGCGTCATGGACAAGTCCGAGGTCCGTAGTCTGTGTCGTGGTTGGTCAGTAAAGAGGGAAAGTGCCAGGGTCCTGAACTTACCTGATAGATACATGTCGTGTTGTCCCTTGCGTCTTTTAGAGAAACCTTCGACTTCTAAACCCAATTGTGATACTCGCAACCAACGCAATGGCTTCCAATCGCCATGTTCTCGTGCTCGGAGGCAACGGAAAGATCAGCAGGCTTCTCACGGTCATTCTGCTGAAGAAGTCCTGGACTGTGACGAGTCTGATTCGAAACCCTGACCAGATCGACGACCTGAAGAAGATCTCTGAGGGTTTGCCGGGAGAACACAAGATACTCGTCCATGATCTCATCAAAGTTGATAGTCAGGAGAAGGCCGCCGCTGTTCTTGATGAAGTGAAGCCGGATTCTGTTGTCTTCGGCGCCGGTGGGTTGGATCTCCGTCAGGTAGCTGTGAGAAGTGTGCGCTGATCAGTAAACAGGTCCTGGAAGGGGAACTGATCAAGACACGGTAGAAGCGCACTTACGGATCGTGTGTTGTTGTGCGTAACTGATGTGCTTCTAGATCATCCGCATCGATCGTGATGCTGCAATCTTCTTCATCAAGGCCTCGGTCGCCAACAAGTCCGTCAGTCATCATCTCCAGGTCTCTTACTTGGGCGCTCGACGTGAGCAAGCCCCCTGGTGGACTGCTGAGGACTGGGAAGGCTGGAAGAAGGTCAACTCGACTTTCCTGGGTCCTTACTATGAGCCCAAGACCGCCGCCGACGAAGCTCTCGTTACTGAAGCCAGGAAGAGAGATGGCTTGACCGCTGTATCTGTCCGCCCTGGCGGTCTCACCGACAAAGGCGAAGGGGGAGTGCTGTTGGGACAGACGAAGCAAGCCAGAGGCATGACCACTCGAGCGTCAACAGCGAGAGTCTTGGCCTTGGTGTTGGAGAAGGAGGGTGTGAAGGGGCATTGGTTGGATGTTCTCGACGGCGAGGAGGATGCAGAGACTGCAGTCGATCGTTACGTTCGTGATGAGACGGAGTGTGCTGAAGGAGAACCAGTCATGAAGAACTAATCCTGTAGTCGAGGATCATCGACCCCCCAAGACCAAGACGACACTTGGTGTTATTCCTGTGCCCATTCCTACCCACTATGGCACGCGAGTCCTCCGCCCGTAAGGGGTTTAGTCAGGTACCCGGCCTCGCACCCACGAGGCCAGTCCCACTGTTCCTGTGGGCGGTTAGGGAATCACCTAGCAGGACGTGCGCTAGAATATCCGAAAAGGGGAAAATAGTATTATGGAACTGCAACATGGTTTTTTGATATTCACAACTCTGATATATACGATATAACCATGAAACTCGATGCGAAGTTTGGCATCATAGGGATGCAGCTTGTCCATTTTTTTCGAAACGTGCATCGCAAAGTTGGGCTCAGGATCAGGGAGTGCGTAGTTGAACTTCCCATACTCTCCCCTTTGATATCAGAGATAGGGCAGCGGAACTGCTGCACCAGACAATAATGCCCCTGGAGTTCGAAAGAGCCCGCTGGAATTTGCAATCACTCGCTGGCTCTGGTGGGTTATAAATATCCTTCCTTTCTCTCCCACAAACCTCTTTTCCTTTTTCCATCGTCAACATCGCTTGCTCTGTCACGATTCAAACGACGCTCACGCCACCTCATTCCAAAACAAACATTTCTTTGACTTCGACCCGAAGTTCTTTTGATATCATATCTATCCTCGCTCTACCTCAAGGTATGTCGTCTTTCTCTTTGTGTTGTTTGCCTTCGGGTCACTTCACTTTCCTCTGTGTCCCCCCTTCAGTATCTCACATTTCCCCTCAGCTTTATAGAACCTATATCGCCCAAACTCCACTCGAACATTGCCATGGCTTTCTTCATGAAACTTCGCCAGAAGTGGCGAAAGATGCGCGCCCGATATCACGCGCGAAAGCGTCTGGCTAAGCGTGCTGCGGAGCACGACGCTCACGAGATCCGCCTCTCGCAGGTTCAGCGAGTGTAAGTTCATCTTCAACTTTGCTCGTCATACATCCGTGACGGAACTGACCCACATTCGAATAGTGCAGGAACTGAGCACCGTATTGAACGGGGCATCGACGTCATGGAGGCTGCTCGTCGCAGCGTGTACGGGGCTCACATGGTCCCCCGTACCACCGACTTCGGGGTTACCACCGAACAGGCTCGTGCCCTCAACGTCAAGCAGCATCAGGAAGACGCTTCCAAGGCCGCTGCCGACCAGCAGGAGGATGCCATCTTCGATGGCGGCTCTACCAAGGACGTTGCCACCGCTGACAACGATAACATCAACAAGCTCGTTTAAGTTCACCCAATCTCACCTATGATACGACGATTTTATGATTTTCACGACATGGTCACGATCAGGAAGGTTCTTGGGGGTTCGGAACGGGGTTTGCAATTTTGAAGGGAACAGTACATGACAATGGCTTTTAAGAACAAGGGTGTCACTAGGAGACGCACAATACATCAATTGTGCCCAAACTTGATCATTTCTGACGTGAATGCCTTCATCCCTACATTGATACAATCACTAAAATCTGCTTAATCTGCCTGTTATATTTTCGTGATGATTGAGCGCGCTTAACGTCCAAAGTCAGGCAGTGTTGTGTGTACTGTTCCCCTGGAGACGCTTGTGCAGCAAGCCCAATTTGGGCGTGTTTTACTAGGAAAATCCACTCCTGTACACTCGCCCTCCCATACTCTCGTCAATCTCTCTCTCAGACACTCAAGCACAAATGCGTCGAGGCAGCAGTCATTGTTTATTTCACTAGTGGGCTCGTTTGTGGGAGCTTAGGGCAGGGCAAACACTCGAGCATTGTGCAATCACAAATCAATAACTCACAAACCTGTCGGGCGCAGCACGTAGAGGCTCTTCTATTGTTAACTACCTGTCCGTCTCCCGGGGTTACGAGCATTCTGTAGAATCTGGTGGAAGAGTGTTGATGCCTCAGGGGCGGGGCGATGGGAGTTGGATAGGCCTGCACTGGAGTGTCAGGCTGCAGTGTCAAATGACGCCATCATTTACAACACAATAGAGCCACTAAGTGCGAGGCATTCGTTGCTGTTGTTGCACGAAGCTCCAAGATGATCTTGTGAGCTGGTAGTTACATAATTATGTGCTGTTGAGGATGTATGATATTTGTCCCTGTCCATCCTTCGAGTGAGGGGTATGAACAGTCTTTACTGCATGTATTGCACATCATCGTGATGTTTCTTTGTGTCCGCTTTCAAATATCAAGTTGATAGTGTAAATATCCAATTGTGCAATGAAGGCTGCCAAGCATTCACGTGTCTCCCCTTATCCACTAAAAACGGCAACGGACGTTAGAATAAAGTAATTCACTAACTGGTCGGTCCATGTCCCCATCCTTGACCCTGGTTCTACCTATCTTGTCGTGGTAAAAACGCCTGTCACCAAAATCGTAACACAATCATGATCCCTGCACCACAAGTATGAGTCCATTGTAGGTAAGTTGCTCAAATGTACGCAAAGCTGGGTCTCACCTGATTCGTCACCCACAAAATCACTTTATTCGCGTCGGTTTGTGGAAGGCGTGAAGCTGTTGTGGATGGTGTTCGTGGCGGTTTGGGGAAGGTCGAATACTACTGCAGCTACCCTTTCTTTGCTCCTTCGCTAACAAACTCAGTCGAACGCCTTTGGACTTTCCACATTCATCGCAGGGCCTATATTTTCGTTTGCTACTGTCCTGTCGAAACTTGATCTTCTTCTTCTCCATCATCATCATCATCGTCCACTTGCTTCAACAATCAACTTTCATCAAAAGATCAACAAAGACATCATCACACAAACCGTCATCGCTTCGCTATAGCTTTGCAACATGAATACAATCATGGATCACGAGATCACAGCCACCGCTGTAATGGATCCGGCTTCTGCAACTGCCCTCGCCAGCATGGAATCCATAAGCTTTGATGGTGGGCACAAGTCCTGCCGTATCAACCCCGTAAGCTTTTCCATCCGTTGCTTATTATCTCGAGCATCATAGCTGACAACACCTCTCCCAGATGCTTTGGAACTGGAACACTATTGGTTCCTGCTTTATTTCTATGTCGTGGCACATTGAATCCTATGCCAAGTTCGGCGCAACCTGCGTCTGCGCCATCATCCTGGTCATGGGTCTTGAATTCTTCCGTCGCTTGGCTAGAGAATGGGACCGCCACCTCCTCGCCAAACACGCCGCCAAGTTTGAAGAATCATCTGCTCCCGCTGCTGGTGTTGAATTTGCGGTCCTTCAACCTGCTGCCGCTCAACCTTCTGCTGCTCAACCTGATGACATTCAACCTGTGGCCGCTCAGCCTGCTGCCGCTACTGGCCCCAACAATGGTAAAGATGCAAACGCCGCTATCAACGGCGCCAACCCCATCCCCCCTTTTCGCCCCAACATCTGGCAACAGGCCTTTCGGGCTTTATTGCACATGGTGCAGTTTGCTGTCGCCTACTTCATCATGCTGTTGGCCATGTCCTTCAATGGTTACATCATCATTTCTATCTTCATCGGTGCTTACTTTGGTGCTTTCGCCTTTCAGTGGGACAAAATGAGCGCGACTGGCAACACTAGTACTTCCCAGGGGCCTACTATTTGCTGTGGTTAGGAAGGGGAGAAGATGCCCAAGTTTCTAGCCGTACGTTGTTGGAGGAAATTCACCAATTGCTTGATGTCAAGCTGGTAGAGAGGATGGGGTTCTGTGGGTGTGTTTTCGGGTTGCACTGCATTCTTTTACACTTGATATTGCTTCAAGTCCTGGTAATACATAATAAGAGGTTCTGATTGTTTCAATATGTTTGTCCTTGCTTGTTTTGTGTGACAGCAGTGTTGATGTGACACTGTGCTGCATGTTGTGTGTAAGTCAGCAGCCTTATCAGAGATGACTACTTTGACTAGGTCTCCTGGGATGTCGACACTGATAGCTGACCAAGAGGTCTAGCTTACTTTCGGACTTCGGCGTCTTGTCTATGGTATCGTCCGAATCTTACACTCGACGCGTCATTTACGTCTCCTGTTTCTTGTCTGTTATCAATCAAAGATATAAGTGAAGATGGAGTAGCATGGAAATAGAATTGGCTGACAAATTATCTTGGCAAGGAAGTGGATGTCCCCCAATTTCGATTGGCGTTAACCCGTCGATCCTCAACATGGGGCTGTCCTACTAACCCAATTGAGAAGCCCCCGTACGAGTCTCGACCAAACTCGCAACATTCATCAAATGCAACAGCTTTATTAATCACACTCCCATCTCCATCACCACCACAATTCACTTACACTGACTGACTGTTCTTCCATCAAATCTGTGCTACAGAGGCTCAGGGGGTCATCTCCACTGGCCATCATGTTTCGCCATCTCATGTCCTCAAAGGTGCGCTCCAACGCAGGCTGCTGGACTTGTCGTCTCCGTCGCAAGAAATGCGATGAGAAGCGTCCTGTCTGCGATGCGTGTGGCGCCCTCGAGATCAGTTGCTTCTTCGATGAGGAAAAGCCAGAATGGATGGACGGTGGACCGAAGCAGAAGGCCATGGCTGAGAAGATCAAGGCTCAGGTCAAGAAGCAGGCCAGCCAGCGTCGCGATCGCAAGTATATGGAGATGCTTGAAGCTGGTACTCGCAACGTCACACTACAGACTGAGGGCCAAAACCAACAGAAGCCTCAAGATGCTGCCATGTCCGCTGCTTCCGACACTGATCCTGCTTCGGGCCATGAGTTTGGATCGACGCCTGCTTCCAGCAACACTAGCGGCGCCTCACCTCCTGATATGCCATGGCACAGTCACTTCTCTGTCCCGACTGAAGATTCCAGCAGCTCAACTGGCGCCAGTACCGAGATTCACTTCATCATGATCTACCTCGACTACGTTTTCCCTTATCTCTTCCCCTTTTACCGCCCTCCCATCCTGGCAGGCGGTCGTGGCTGGGTACTCGATGTGCTCCAAAGCAACAAGTCCGTCTGGCATACAGCTGTGTCACTCACTTCCTACTTCTTCAGCATAGTCATGGCCAATGGCGCAATCGAGCATCAGGAGTGCACAAATAGAATGGTCCATCAGTTACAGTCTCAACTTGAGATGGGTTTGAGGGAACTGCAGCGTGAGATGACCGCTGTCAACCACAAGGTCTCCTGCGCTGGTGTCCGAGATCGCCTCCTTGTTCTGCAAGCTATCCTACAGATGCTCATCTTTGAGGTTTCAACAAGTAACAAGGACCACTGGAAGATGCACCTCGATGCCGCCATCACCATGTTCCAACAGATCCTCCCGCAATCAGAGAAATGGGGCGAGACATTGGAAGCTCTCTACAGCTACCGCTGGCCACCGCCAGAGATGGGTATACGAAGACCTTTTAGCACCAACCAAGCTGCCCTTCGTTTCTTTACAGCCAATGTCCTCTACATCGATGTCATATCCAGCATTACACTGGAGCAGGCGCCGCGCCTTCAGAAGTACCAAGATAACATCATGCCCAGCTGCAAAACTTACACCAACCCACAAGAAGTTCGGATCTCGGGCTCGCTCTTCATGGAAGACTATGTTGGTCTCAACAACTGGGTCGTGCAGATCATCGGTGACATTGCGGCACTCGATGCTTGGAAGAAGGAGCAGAAGAAGAAGAACTCGCTATCAATAAATGAGTTGGTTCAGCGAGGTAAGATCATGGAAGATGCCATCAAGGGGGGCCTCAGTGTCATTGAGGCGCAGGTCCAGGGGCCGGCCCCCTTCTTCGATCCCGTTATAAGCGTTGTCGCAAGTCCTACTCACAATTACGGCTACGGTGTTGATACTAAACAAGCCCCTGGCCTTGCGGTCAACAACATGATCTGGCTCCAAGCCGCGCTCACATACCTTCACGTCGTCATATCCGGCTGGCAACCGTCCTGCCCAGAGATTCAGACCTCCGTTTCACGCATGACAGAACTCCTGACGACCCTTCCATCTAACGTCTGCCTCCGAACCCTGGTCTGGCCCTTCTGCATTGCAGGATGCCTTTCGCCCCCCGAAGACGAGGACAAGTACCGCGCAATGGTGGAGCGTCTGGGTCCGGTCAGCGTGTTCGGCACGATCAGAGAGGCGCTTGAAGTTATGGAGAAGGTGTGGTTGAGGCGAGATCAGATTGATGAGAGTTGGGATGTAGCCAAGTGCCTTCAGATTCTGGGACATGGAGTTTTGCTGATTTGATACCCTTGGGAGTGAGTTGTTTGGTTGGTTGGTTTTGAATATGATAGCGTTTTACTTCGCTCTCTCTTGTGAAAGGGACATACACTGAATTTATGTCATTTAGGGAGGAACATCTAACAATGGGAACTGGCGGTTCGTGTCTTATTCTCGAATATCACTCCTTACTACAACCTATGAAGAATACTGCGTTCGAAGCGGCACCTACCTTTCATACCCGGTCTTGCCTTCAAGTCTTTCATGCTTACTTGTCTTGATTCCCCAGCAGAGGTTTCTCTGATCATGCGTTATTGATCACAAGGTACGTTGGGCACAGCTGTTTATGGTTGAACAATCCATGTCAACCCAGATCCCATTTTTATTCATTTTCTGATGATGAAGCCGATCTAACCAGTAGACATTACCCAGGTGTTTCCAAACACTCATTTCCATACACCGACAAGCAAAGCAAAGTGTCCAATCTATTAAATCCCAAAAACACGATTACCCCTGAACTCTTTTACCGCCGAAGAGTGTCTGTCTCTTCTCGAGCAGATCAAGATCCCACCAACCCTCTACTCGTTGCAGCAGAGTCTTGCGCTTCGACCAGACCCTTTCGAGAGGACTCCTCGGACCACTATCATTCATACGTCCCGGTGATACCGGAACCGGAGGAAGAGGGGGAAGATGCTGCAGGGGCTGCGGCACTTCCTTTCTCTTTACTCGGACAGGCGCCGTGGGGGGCGGGGGACACCACGGCTGGCGTGCGCTCTCAGCATCAGAAGAGTCGCTGTCGAACCGCTTCGCCATGGCCATGGTCCCCAGACTTCGCTCCTGGGCCATCACATGCGGTCCTAGACTGATGCCCAGGGCATTGACCTGCCCCTCACGGCCGCACCCTCAGCCCTCGATGTCCTTGGGAGCAGGACGAGGGGCACCCTTTGTTCGCTTCCAGAGACATCCGGAGGTGATGGCGGAGAAGGCGAACAGCACACAGAGGGCAATGCTGAGACCCCAGATGGACTTTATCTGGTAGCACGAAGCCTTATCTGGGTCGACCCAGGCAAAAGTGTTGCCGCGGGAGTGGTAGACGTTGTGGAAGAGGGAGTTGACAAAGTTGGCTGTGTTGCCGTCCGAGGGGAACTTGGGGCATGAGAGGTAGCTGACGGGCTTGCCGACAGTGCAGGCGACCACGATGCATGCGACGAGAAGCATGATATCGGCGCCAGTGGAGAGGAGGAGAGGAAGCATGCCATCCCAGTAGAGGATGTAGGAGATGGCAATGTAGAGGGTTGAGATGCAGGCCTGTATCATGTAAGTCACTCTTCCATCGCAGTACATATACAAGTCAACTTACAACAACCAGTGTTCCAATCAAGGCAGAAGGCGCCGCATAGTCAGCATTGACCATCTCACCAATGAAGTTGGCAGTCAATCCAATGATCGTGATCAGAGAGATGAACTCCATGACTCGCATGGCAGTCCAGGTGTGCCCGAGGGCTCCGAGAGCAGGCTGCATCTTGGTCTTGAGGTTTCCAACAGATTCTGTGTCTAGAGAGAGACGAGGGCGCGACGAGCCAGCTGTGCGCAAAGGAAAGTTTTTGGCGTAGAAAGGGATGGAGGGGGGTGAAGAAGATATTTTGTCTAAGTGAACGACCCGCCCAAAGAAGAGGCGAGAGATGGACTTGTAAAAAGAAAGGAATTCGTTATGAGATTCGTCTGGTCGTGAGTAGGAAGAAAGACTTAACAGAGGACAAAGGAAACTAAGAAAATGAGACAAAAGGAAAAGAGAGAGATTGGAGTGTTTGCTGTGTTGGTTGTTTGATGAAGAGAAAGGGATATCTCAAGCAGCCCGATACTCCATGTCTTTATACACAATCCAAAGTCAACAAACTTCTCCAAGATACAAGAATAACACACTCAGTTCATGGGTATTACCTTGTCTAGCCTCGTTTCCAATTACAGCAACCGCCTACTACCAGCCGCCATCGCGCTTCACGCTCTCCCACAGACGATCATCTCAACCCTGCCAATTCAACAACATGATACAACAATTCTCTTACTGTTCCTGGGCGTCAGGTTCATCGGCCAATAAGGCTTCAGAGGCTTAACGTTGTGGCGGCGCTTAGACGAGCAGGGATGTTGGATGAATAGCCGCGCAGAGAAAAGGGCGGCTGGTGTTTCAGAAAACATCGACATGGTCATGATTGGATGAGAGTCGTTCTTGGGGAAATACGGTTCGTTGGCCCGGATGAGGCTCCTTTGGTTAGAATGAGGTCGCATATACGGCGAGATTGCCTGGGTGAGGATTATGAGTCCCCTGTTGCAAGTTATTCTGGGATAGTCGTCCTACTGCAACGGCAACTGATCCGGTCCAGGATCGATCTCGGCTGTTGATCTGATCTTGTGTGGTTCATAATGATCATCGTGAATCCATTATTGGTTAGTTTTAACCTGACACAGCATAATCGATCTAATGCTGGTGGCCTACCGCAGGGCCAGGCCAAATCGGCTGAAAATAGAGTGACATGACATGTCAGTTCATTTTGTTGCGCCAGACGCCTATCTAGGATCCTATCATGAATACAAACATGCTGTCCCACTGCTTATTATTCTGTACATTCTCAAGCCCACTCAACCAACAAAGGCATTAGTGCCCCAGCCGTCGTCTCGGTTCCAGGTTATGATCCACCATTCTTAGACAGACTTAGCACATAAGCTTAACCAAGGAGATCGTCCATAGCAGATCCGCCGGTCTTGGGAGGAGCACTGCCACTGGAGGATGGAGCTGCTGGGGCTCCCCAGATTCCAGCACTGCTCTTCTCCTTGGCAAGTTGACCCATTGCGGGTCCAGTCTTGGGTGTCTCTGGCTTCTTGACACCTCCACTGGCCTTGCCCCAGAGAGCTCCAAAAGCATCTCCACCAGCAGCGGGTGCTGGCTTGGCTGATGGGCTAGTAACAGGCTTCATGTTAGCCATAGTAGTAGGGCCGCTGGGCGCAGCGTTGGAGGCGCTTCCCATGCCTGAGAAGGCAGATGTTGTTGGGGTCTTTGCTGTCTGTGCTTGAACAGAGCTAAAGTAGTTGGGTCCAGTCTGTTGGAAGGCAGCAGGCTTGGGAGCCTGTGCCGCAGGAGCAGCAGGGATGCTGAAGGCAGAATAGTTGGGCCCAGGAGTGCCTGAGGCACTTGGTACGGGCGAGATGGACGCCATGCTGACCATTTGACTGATATCAGCCTGCTGAGGAGCCGACTGAGGTTGAGGAGCTGCAAACTGGGCGGTTGAAGAGGCCGCCGATGTCACAGCAGGGCTTTGCATAAAGTTGTTGGATGGTGCTGCCTGAGCAGGGGTAGCCGACTGGAAGTCATCGAACTCGTCGTCGTCTTCTTGCGCAGGAGCGGCGGCAGTGTTGCTTGGGGCCAACGCTGGAGCTGCAGAAGATGCTGGCGCAGGGTCGTCGAAGGAGAAGAGATCAACCTCGGGTTCCTTCTTCTTGGGAGGCTCAGCAGCCTTCTTAACAGGAGTGTGCTCAGGTCGCTTAGCGGCAGCTCTTGATGAGCTGGCAGCTGGTCTCTCACCCTCGTCGAACTCATCGTATTCCTCAAATCGCTCGGATCGGCTGCCAGCGCCATCGCCTCGCCAGTCATCAGACTGACCACCGAAACCACCACCATCGCCATAAACACCACCAGAGTATCCGCCATAGTTGCCAGGGCCGCCGCTGCTGCTACCGCCACCGTAGCCGGCGCTCTCACTACCAAACCCACCATAACGACCAGAGCTACCACTTGAGAAGCCACCTCCAAAGGTCGCGCCACCCTCAACTCCGGTATACTTGTTCTTGGTTGCACGCGCCTTCTTGCGCTCGGTCCGGATACGATCCACGTCACTAAGAAGATCGGCCAACTCCTTGGCTCGGTTGCGCACGTTGATGCCCTGGTCCTTGCCGTTCTGATCAATAAAGTGAAATTGGCGCAGCATCTTGAGAAGCGAGATATGTCCTCTAGCATCGTCGATAACGCGCTCGGAACCGTGCTTGATAAGAAACTCGAGTAATTGGAGGGCCTTGTAGATCTGACGCCACTCCTCGGCAGCCTTCTCGGTGAAGCGACGGTAGATCATGGGCATGATCTCGTTAAGTGTTTGGCTGGCTCACAGTCAGCAGTTGGTTTTGGATATGGTTCGAAATGGCGTGCGTACTAGTTAAAGGTTCCATTGGCAATCTCTTGCATAAGGGTTGATGAAGCACCCCATGGCTCGTTATTCGTTGCCTCGCGCACCTGAAGATGGGTAAGTCGACAATGTCCCGGTCTGTTGTCGCGCAGAGCTCAACCAACCTTGGCCTCCATCTCGGTAAAGTTCATAACAGCTGGACATCGTCAGTGACTTATGACGCGCATTAGGTGGCCGCTAAGGGGGTACCATTCTGGGCCTTCCGAAAGCCTGCCTTGAGGTCATACAAGGTCAGGTTGGAGACCGTGTTCTTCAAATCGTTGATATCCATGGTGAATTAGTCCAAGAAGAAGAAAGCCAGCAGAAGAGTTGAAGAATGAGCGCAGAAGACGCGGAGCCGTTGACGATGCTCCTGAAGGGATTCGAAATGGAATTGAATAGATTATCTGGAGTTCAAGATGCCCCTTGCTACGCTATTGCCATGGTGGACACTTGGACATTTCCCAGAGCCCAACGTCAGCATGGATCATGGCTGATCACGTGATACTGTCAACATTCCTGTATGAGGATATAGATATTATGGAGTTGAAAACATTCAAGGCTTCAATTACTGGCCTGAGAATACAATTGAATTTCCAGTCCATCTCCTGTCCTCTAATTGGCATGTGTTACAGTTACAGAGTCGGAAACTGAGCTTCTAGCAGGTACTGTAACTCATCTGGAGACAAACCTCGAGTCCCCGCCATACAACCTTAGACTTCAGGCCTGAACAGGGCTCTAGAGGGTCAGTCACGGCGCTAGAATTGGATACCAGACGTCAAGCTGGTCCAAACTTTTATCTTCCCTTTCTCGAGATCAGTCCAAAAGACCAACCTCAGCACGTACATCACCAGTTTTCTGTAATTTTTATCTATCTAAATCTACATTTTCTGTACCATCAAATCATTTCCCAAGTGTATTAGTCGTCAAGGTATGTGCAAGCTCAGTTGTTTCCCCTACCGCCTTTGCCTTTGTTCCACCACCAAGAGCTCTGAGGAAGCTCAAGCTACATGTAGTGCACGTTACAAAGGCGAGAGAAGAAAGACGCCTCAAGCAAACATTGACCGTCTGAGCACCTTTCTTGGGTCAATGGTATTATTCTGACCCGGATTGGGATCTTGGAAAAGCCAGCTGATCGGCCCAATACCGGTATTGTCGGCGTCTTCTCGCCTTTGTTCTTCACTGCAGCTTGAGCTTGCCTGGTGCTGGTCTGGTTGCCCCTGTCCTACCCGGTCCTGCGGAGGGAGGGGAGCTTCTTGTCCCGGTGTCTGGCTGTTCACAATGCATTGGAATGGTCACTTCTGCCCACGGGTTGATTGATGGACCGGATACTGGCGCATTACATGAGACTTCGAGGTGGAGAGCCCATGCAATCCACCGGGGTGGCCGTATCCCATGTCCCCTCCAATGGGGGTGATGCTTTGGCAAAAGTCTGCTGCACTTCGGGCATATCGGGCCACTGACTCGACGCGTCTCTCTGGACTGGTGGTTTGAGGGGCTAGACAGACCAGAGAGAGTGTGTGAGTCCAGTACGATACGATACGTTGCTTGCTTGACGTGGCCCGGGCAACCTCCATCAGCTCAAGGATAGCCCCGTTGAAGCTTTGACGGGAGAGCGAGCCAGCCAGCCATTGAGTCCACAGCACAGTCCAATGTGGTCTTGTTGTTTCTCAATGCGCGTGCTTGCGCTATTTGCAATGTCTGGCATGGCAGTAATGGCGGTCAGAGCCATGCCATTGAGAGCCAGGGGCAATGCAATGCTCGTCAGCTCTTGATTGCTTGCTTGCAATAACAAGCAGGTATTGATGGATTCATCATTGATCAACAGAGCCAGAACCTTAGCTGTTGCAAAGCTCCCCTCCCCCGCCCCACAGTGGCCATAGCCACCACGGTGACCTCATGGTCTAGCGGACTCTTCCAATAGCCAAAATAAGGAGAGGAAGCTCTCAGGATCACTTCACGTGATCTCCTTCCGATCACTGCTCCACTCTTTTACACATTCTACAAGCTTTGATTGGCTTCAACGGCCCACGCTAACGCTTTTGCCCCTCCAGCTTGCTCAAAATGAGACCCTCCCTCTTCAAGCCCCTCCTACCCCGCCATAACTGCTTCTCTGCAGCGAGAACTTCTTCTTCTCTTCCTCAACTCTCCAACACAATCAGATCTGTTAGATTCTTCTCAGCTTCATCCGCAGTCATGGGTAACAAGGTGTAAGTTATCCCTTCGTCAATCATCGCATTGATGTAAACATCAGCTGACTCTGAATAGTTTCTTCGATATTGAGTGGGAGGGCCCCGTCCTCCAGAACGGCAAGCCTACTTCCACCGTTCAGAGTAAGTGTTTATTCCTCCCCGATGCCATCATCATCAACGATCCGAGACGGCAAGCTGCATTTTCAGCTACCTTACCCTTCGGCTTGATACCTCGAGAGATGCACAATGGTCTTGTGTTTGCGGCATTTGCATTTGCATCTACGGCATTCGTCATCATTTCGCATCATCAGTTCCAAGCTTGAGCTACGCTTTTTGTTTCATCAGTGCTAACATTCCTTCTCTCCAGACCAGCGTGGTCGCATCAACTTCAACCTCTACGACAAGGAGGTCCCCAAGACCGCTGAGAACTTCCGTGCTCTCTGCACTGGCGAGAAGGGTTTCGGCTACAAGGGCTCTTCTTTCCACCGAATCATCCCCGACTTCATGCTCCAGGGTGGTGACTTCACCCGTGGTAACGTACGTTTCTGTCAACCCAAACCTCTGGCATGCATGCTAACATGATCAAGGGCACCGGTGGTAAGTCTATCTACGGTGAGAAGTTCGCCGACGAGAACTTCAAGCTCACCCACGACCGCCCCGGTCTGCTGTCCATGGCTAACGCCGGCCCCAACACGTAAGCACTTGGACTCCTAATTACGATTCAATTAGACTAATAATGTTTCCAGCAACGGTTCTCAGTTCTTCATCACCACTGTTGTCACCTCTTGGCTCAACGGCCGCCACGTCGTTTTCGGCGAGGTCGCTGACGAGGAGTCCATGAACGTCGTCAGGGCTCTTGAGGCTACTGGCTCCGGCAGTGGTGCCGTCAAGTACCAGAAGCGTGCCACCATTGTCGACTCCGGTGAGCTCTAAAAAGTTCCAACTCAGGACAAGACAAAGGGATGGGATTTGGGAGCACATTACAAAACTTGAATGAGGACTAGCGATAAGAAGCTGGATTTTCGCAAGCTGGCATAAAAGTCTAGCTGCTGAGCAATGTCAACCATTTAACCCCATAAACGTTGTCACTTGATACTGTCGTGCTGTGAATGAATAATTCTTAAAATATCGCGTGACAGCTTATTCTTCTGCTTTGTAAAATTGATCATCGCTGCGACCATCGCGCTTGGCTGTTATCCCTAGAAACAAAAAGCCTTCTTCCAGACCATAACTCCGTTCTCCGTCAGAAAAAAAAAGCAGCTATCAATAGCCCATACTTGTCGTATCGAAATGCAAAATTTGCACTCATGCTCTATTCAACACCCAACCACCTTTTGAAATATTCACAGTTATTCGGACCTACAGGACCGCCCTCTTCGCAGATCTCAAACACTGGACAGCGTCCGCAGGGTGCTTCAGTGAAGGCACTCACGAGAAGCTCGGGACCACCTTCACGACCTGTGGGGTCATCTCGACCAGCCCAGCTTTCTAAAGACTGCTTGGCGATGCGAGATACGCGGTATCCGACCTTACCAGCAACTTTGACTGATTCGATGAGGTTGTCCCAGACAAGTACGTCTACAAGCTTCTGTACGTCGTGCTCGGAGAGAATGGTGTTGTGGGTGATGCCATTTGCGGAGAGGAAACGAGCGATGTCGCGTACGGTTGGGTAGCCTGTGTATCCAGCAGGAAGAGGGAGGAGGGCATCCTTTTTAACGGTCGCTGTAGGAGAAATCTTGGTGGCTTTCGCTGGGGGCTCATCCATGTGACTAGCATCTCGCTTCTTGCCCTTTTCCACGCCGCCTTTTACGACACCCTTCTTGGGCACTTGCGTCCGCGCAGCACCTCCCCCATGTGTACTGTGGTAGCTGCTCTGACGCTTGATAAAATCATATACAAATCGCTGTAGCTCTTCGACGAAGGCCTCGTCAAAGTTCTGGTCGGTATACCACGGGCCGCCGGTGGCGCGATCGCTGGGCCGTATGGAGGCCTTGATGAACATCTTCTTGTTCGGGTGCTCGACATTCTTGAAGGGCGCAATCAGACCCTTTGTCTGAAGTTGCTTAAGTGCGTTCTTGAGGACCGAGTCGTGCATGTTCAGTCGCTTCTGTAGCGTCTGCGACCAGATACCGTCGCCGCCCGAGTCGTCGATAAGAGAGTAAACCATGACCTGTTCGTCGGTCGAGCACTGCTTGTACCTAGCCAATTGTCAGCCATGATCTTGACATAGTGTTCCAGAGGTGATTCTACGCACTTGTGGGCTTCTTCAGAGTCGCGCCATTTCCATAGCACTTGGCCCGAGGCCTCGCGCATGGTGATGAAAAGCTTGTCATCTGTGAGGGATTGAACGACACGGGCGAGGAGCATGAGATCTCGGTTGGGAATGACATCGAGGCGCATGAGATCATCCTGAGAGAACATGTCTGTTCCAGACTCGCGACATCGATCGTAGAGGGCCTGTTTCCAGACGCCGAGCTTGGCCGTCGCGGCGTCGCCCTCGGCGGGCGCGGGGGTGGGCATTGTGAGTCAAGCGACGATGCGACAGGATGGATAGAATTGTCGTAGGAGGGATGATTTGGTAAGAAGAGTCAAAGATCTGATTATATTTGATGCTACATTGACATAAGATAGCGAGTGGCGAGTAAGAAAATAGGAGAGAGAAGACGGATGACGATGGGCTTCTCTTGGAGTTGGAAATAATTATTTTTCGAGTCCCCCGCAGTCGACGCTAAAGTGTAGCTCGTCCCCTACCCTGCTACTTTATTACTGAACCTTCCACCTTCCCGGCCTATGAGTCGACCCGGCGGAATGTCGGCAGTCGATGCGGAATGTGGGGTATCTTATCAGTGTCTCGGTCCCCCACCATTTGTGAATACATTCAGCCACCCTAGACCCTTATCATTATGAGACTTTGAGTTGAACATCTTTAGAGTCGTAAGTCGAGTTCTATGTTAGATTCGTGCTCTATTCAAAAGATCCTTATTTCGCTTTGTTCAAGTTATATGAGACATTATCTAAAGTCTTAAACTTTGAAGCATGATTCAAACCAGAAACCATTAGCCTACGAAGCCCAGTCATTGCCTTTTTCTCCTTAACAAGCCTTGAGCCACACCAATTACTATACTGATACCAATCACTTCATGATCGCAGCTACCTGTATGTAAGGTATCTATTCCGGTTATATCTTCTGCTTATCTTTGAGCAATGAACGCACACTCTTTTTTGTCTGCAGATGGCACTGAACCGATAAAGACCTGACTGTCTAGCAAAGTGAGACGACAGCAAGGGACAAACTCTACGCCATGGAGTTCGTCATCAGCTGTATTCTATTGAGAAAACTTATCAGGACCATGTAAACTGTCACTAAATGCGAACGTTTAGACTTCTATGACCTTCAGAAACAAACCGTAGGATCGTGAAAGACGTATTCACACATTAAAAAACCCTCCATATCGAAACTTTAACACTCTAACTCTATATCAGAAGCGACGCTTCTCTTTCTTTCACTACCAATTGTTAGATCTCATCTCTTTCCTCGAAAGAATCACATCGTTAACTAAGACTGCACTTTCCAACTACCAGACGGCTGCCAAACCACACGAACTCCGTCATCAAGCCACCTCAAGTCTAATATAACATACTCATATCTCCCAAACGAAATCTACTACTTATTCTCATAATGCTTTCAGCCGCTGAAAGAAAAGAAATCGACCAAGAGGTCACGGCCTTCATGGCCGAGTTCGGCCACATGTTTGGAGCCTCCCTCAGAGAAGGTATTCAGAATGATGACACTTCAAACGATGACACTTCAAGCAGCGACACTTCAACTAAGGAAACAAACACACGAGCTACAAGAAATGGTACACAGGAGGACACTTTTCCAACTAGGCCATCGGCCAGATGCGATAGATTTGCACACTTCAGCCCAGAGCTCGCTTCACACGCCAGAGCAATCGAACGCTACAACTTTCTCAAGCGCCACTGCCCTTGGAGCCAGGATGAAGCGTTCATGAATATGATGTGTTCCCTGCACAATCACCCACAGACTATGGGACTTCCACCGAGTTCATCTGAGCCTTTGGCCGATGAGTCATCTGACAAAGGTGAAGAAAGGAAGGGAAGTCCGTGTGGGAGTCAGCCCGATGCCGATGCTGAGACCAAGTAGACTTTAGGACATATCCGTGGCGGGAAGCATTACAATAGGAAAAAGGAGGAGGAATAATGGGACCAATGATTGAGTTATGGGAGAAACTGAGTTGTGTGCTCAGTTTAAAGTTACTTGGTTGGATTATGGACAAGACATCACTTCCAACAAACAGACATTATAATCATTCCTAAGACTCATGCTTCAATAAAATTGAGATTCATTCATGTCACTCATACCTAAGACATCGTGATTTGTAGTGTTTAATTAATTTCCTTCGCTATGGTGACAAACTACTCAGTACAAAACATCAAACGTCATAATAAAGACGGCATCCCGATGTGTGATCGAGCCTTTAAATTCCAGCCTCTTGTACAAATCGATGCCTGTCCCTTCGTATCGTCTTTATCCCTACTCCCGGAACGCCTGACTGCAGGCCACATGTTTCTTTGGCATGCAAGGCTTTCGTCTCCTTACTTGTTGTAGCGTCGTAAGGACGGTTGCTTCCATGCGAAGATGCACGTGGCGTGAGCTTTTGCTTGTAACGTGAAATTATCTCTAAGAAATCAAGAGGACTTTGGCCAAAAGCCCCTAGCTTACAGGGCTTTTGCTCTTCTCGGTAGGTGGCTCTGGCTTATCCTTCTCCGTATCGACGTCCATAGCATCGTCGGGTTGTTCGCTCTGAGCCTTCTCTGGTGCTTCTGCAGGCTTATCTGAGGTCTCTTCGGTGGTTTTAGGTTCTGAGGTGGGCTCCTTCGTGGCGGAATCAGTGGCCTCTGGGGCAGTAGGCTCGTCCTTTGTAGCCTTCTCGGTGGGCGCTGAAGGCTCCGCGGGTGCCTCAGGCTCGACCTCTTCCTTCTTGATTGCTGTCTCCTCTGGAGCCGCTGAGTCCTCCATGCCGATATCACCGTCTCCGTCCACTTTGCTAGCTTCAGGTTCCTTGGCGGTCTCGTCAGGCTTCTCGCTCTCCTTGGACGGAACCTCCTTCTCGGCCGGGCCTGGAGCTGAGATGTCGTCGATAGTATCGTCATTCACATCGTGAGCATCCTTGCCAGCTTGTTCCTCAGCAGGTTCGTCAGTGGAAGCACCGTTGGTAACCTTGGCAGGAGGAGCATCGGCATTATCGATTTCCATTTCTTCCTTGCGATAGTCGGTAAAGGTGCGTTTGTTGCCATTCTGGCGCGTGGCACCATGTGCCTGGGCCATCTCATCATCGTCACTGGCTTCGAACTCGTTGTCGTGTTCAACATGCTTGTCCCAACGATGTTCAGTCATGCGAACATCCTTGTTCTCATCCTCATCAAGGTCATTCAACTCGGCCTCCTCCTCGTCGGTCATACCGCCGAAAGGCTTTCGGGGAACGTCCTGCAGCTGAACTGAAGGAGCAGGTCCTGTTTGTCGAAGGTTGTCGATGACTGAAGAAGTGATCTTCTCGAGGTACTCTCGGCTGTTGGAGTTCTCCATGTTGGAGGATCGCACATTCAGCTCAAAATCGGGAGCATAATACTGTACCGCGCGTTAGTGGGGGCTTGTCAATACAGAATCAGATAACTTACTTCGTAGTATTCATTGTAGGGCAGGGTTCGGTCCATCTCCTTGCCCACAAGAACACCAGTCTCAAAAGCCCAAGTTCGAGCGACGTTGCGCATTGTGTAGCCACCTCCACCGAGAACAAGAGTCGGGAGATTGAAGCTCTTGACATAGTTGACACAGTTGGCATGACCATCCATGCTCAGATTGAAGCAACCAAGTCGATCGCCAGACAGACTGTCACCACCGCATTGGAGAACAACAGCCTCGGGCTGGTAGTACTTCATGACATTCTCAATGACAGGCTGGAAGATTGAACGGTAGGACACATCGGTAATACCATCTCGGAGGGGAAAATTGACGGCGTAATTCTTTCCCTGCCCAATACCAGTGTCTCGAAGTTCGCCAGTGCCGGGGAAGTACTCTCCGTACTTGTGGAACGAAACAGTCATGACACGGTCGGTGGTGTAGAAAGCCTCCTCAACACCATCACCATGATGGACGTCGATGTCGATATAGAGGACCCGCTTTTTGAATCGAAGGAGTTCGAGAATACCAAGGACAATGTCTAGATGCCGTGTTAGGTCGTGATATCTGAAATAGCTGGGAGAGACATACCGTTGACATAGCAGAAACCACTGGCCTCGCACTTCTTGGCGTGGTGAAGACCACCAGCCCAGTTGATGGCAATGTCGCACTTTTGGCGATTCAGTCGCGCGGCACCCTCCATGCTACCACCTGCACTGATACCACAGAACTCGAAAAGACCATCGAAAACGGGACAATCATCACCGACGTTGTATTTTCCTTGCTCTCGCATAAAGCTGTCCATGTTGTCTGGTGTGACCTTTTGCAGGAAATCGATGTAGTCGTCGGTATGGAATTGGGTCATCTCGCCTCGAGTCGCAGGTTTCGCGCGCTGCGATTTGTCAGTATTATATTCGCAACTCAGTAATACATAGAGTCAAGTTGGGGACCAAGAATGAACTCACGTAAATCTCCATCTTCTGGTAGAGGTTGTACTGCATAATCAAGCTATGCGCCAGCCGAATGCGATGAGGCTTCATGGGATGACCAGTAACATAGGCATAGTTGCCAATGTCGGAATCGTAGAAGTAAGCGACCTTCTTGGGCGATGAGCCATTGAGCGCAACCGAGCCGAGCTCGACACGTATATCGTCGCCCATGACTGCGGCTACTCGTGGAGTCGCGAATCTCGGAAAGCGGGTGGGAAGAAAGGGCTAAGTCAAATTTGCGCTGGCAATAAAAGATCTTCGACAGGTATTTCGATAGGGAGTTGCTCAGGGAGAGCTCAGCATGATCGACAGAAAGTTTTAGGGAAGAGTTTGGTAGAATGTGACAAGATTTCGAGAAGAATCTTTGAGTGTAAGTAAAGTTACATGGGCAGAACCACCACCACTGGCTGATGCGAAGCACATCCCCGGAGCTCAAGAGTCGCCCGTTTACACCGGAATAATATTGAAGCGCTCCTATCTAAATTGTCACAAGCCACATTTCGAATCGCTCGCAAGAGATACGCCACAGAGAGCGAGTCACGCTCTTGCACGTGACGTGACTAAGCTTCTCAGCTGTGGCTCCCAGGCTGCCGGGCTGGCGTCAACGTCAATTACCTTTACCAAGCTCCGATCATAGCAACGCCAACCCTCCATCACCGCCCACATCAACATCAACACCTGCACCCTTTTTTGTCGACGAAGTACTTTAACCCACATATTCTTTATACACTTTCTAACACACCGTCGATATCATGGAGCGCTTTAGGAGTTTACTCGGTGGCGGTGGAATGGGCCTTGGAGGAGCTGCACATGGCACTGTAAGCTATGATCTCCTTCATTTGAGCTCCCTCATGGAGTATGCTTTGCAATTCTGAGCTTGTCTGACCTTGATGACTGTAGGATAACACAAACCTGATTGATAACTCCGAAACGGTCTACATCTCCTCCCTTGCCCTACTCAAGATGCTTCGACACGGTCGCGCAGGTGTGCCCATGGAAGTCATGGGTCTGATGCTTGGCGAGTTTGTGGATGACTTTACTGTAAAGGTTATGGATGTGTTTGCCATGCCTCAGAGCGGTACCGGTGTTAGTGTCGAGGCTGTGGACCCCGTTTTCCAGACCAAGATGATGGACATGCTCAGGCAAACAGGAAGGTTCGTCGATCCCGGTCTCCCATTTGTTATCACTATCTAACGGATTCAACAGACCCGAGTCGGTCGTCGGATGGTACCACTCGCATCCTGGTTTTGGTTGCTGGCTTTCTTCCGTTGATATCAACACACAGCAGTCATTCGAGCAACTGAACCCCCGCGCCGTTGCCGTCGTCATTGATCCTATCCAGTCCGTGAAGGGCAAAGTCGTCATTGACGCTTTCCGACTCATCAACCCCCAGCTCTTGATGCTTGGCCAAGAGCCTCGGCAGAGCACTAGCAACTTGGGTCACCTTAACAAGCCCTCGATCCAGGCTCTCATCCACGGCTTGAATCGACACTACTACTCGATTGGAATCAACTATCGCAAGACCGCCCTCGAAGAGAACATGCTCATGAACCTGCACAAGCACGTTTGGACCGAAGCTCTGGAGATGGACGATTTCCGACACGAGGGTTGCAAGAACAAGGACCGACTGCAACAGCTGGTCTCATTGGCAGATGGATACGAGAAGCGCGTAAAGGAGGAGACTGAGTTGACTAAGGATCAGCTCAAGACTCGCTACGTTGGCAAGTTGGATCCCAAAAAGCATCTCGAGGATGTTGGCCAGGAGCTCATTGAGGACAACATTGTCTCTGTGTCGAGACAAATGATTGACAAGGAGGCTACCATGCCCAGGAAGGAGGGGCAAGCAGGGTCCAAGGGGCGAGTGAACGGTGAACAAATGGACGTGGAAGAGGAGTTATAAGCGAGAGGAATTAAATACCTTTAACAAGGATAACGAGGCCACGGGATGGACTTGTAAGATTAATGGGCGTTGGCGGTCGGGACGGAAGATTTAGAGACCTAGCCATGTCACGAATTATTGCACAAGGTTAGCATGATAGCATGCATGAATTAATTCCGCGTGTACGTTTCTGTTCAGTGAGTTGATGTGCGGGTTGTAATGGTGTTCATACGCTGTCAGTATTATGTTTGTTGAAGACTGCTGAACACTGAACACAGCTACTCATGCGCAGAACAAAGGTCTTGATGTCTATAAAGGCGAAAGCTGCATAGTAATTCTCTTTCTTATTTCATTTTTCGAAAGTTGCGCTTATATTGACAAACTGCATATTTCAACTTTCAACTATTGCTTGTTTAATATACAGCTAGATACACTTGAACAAAGACAACAACAGCCACCAGAAGCAGCTCGCCGTTACCGAATATCTTCAAAGCAGTTCAGTCATTTGTTACAACAGCGCATACCTAGATTGATATCTATAAAGAGAGGTAAGTCTTTGGATGTCCTGCGCTTGAGAGAGTTGTAGATTTGTTCTAGTAGCTATGGGTTCTCGAATAATGCTACGCTCAATTATGCGCACTTGGTTTTCTTCTGACAAGTCTTCTGACTCAGAACCAGAAGTCAGGATAGAATCAATTAGAGGAGAGTGTCCTCAACCAGGCAGAAATCGACGGCGACTGAAAAAGGAAAAGAATAATCCATTTGGGTTACCCAAGAAACGAACTTATTGCAGTCATTGCCACGGTACTAACGGTTATGGAGACAATGATTCTTCTAGGCGTGAGGCAAAAAGTAAAAGTCACAAGGATCAAGACGCGTCAGGCGGGCAGCAGCATCGTCTTAGTGAGCAACCGAAGCCTCTGCCTGTGGTTCCACGTCAACGTCCCCCACAAGCAAGAGGCCAACAGTCTCCATCAGAGGATACATCCCTGCATATTCAGGGCCACAATCAGAAACATAAACGCAGCAATGTTGTTGATACCCAAGTAAACGCGTCAAAGAAGCAGAACCAGAAGAAGCATGGTATACATACTCTCTACCAACAGGATCAGGAACAGGGGAGCAACGAAGCCATCTTCTTCTCCGACGACCGCTCAATGAACCGCGAGGCCGTGTCAGAGGTAGTCGACATGATAGCTCTGCGCTTCAGCCACATCCCCTACGCCGTTAGCGGTCTCGCAGCCATGGTCTACTACGGCTACGAGGCGAGGCCGTACAAAGTGAGCATCGTGTGTCCCGAGCACACGCGCGAGAACCAAAAGTGCTGGGCCAAGGCGCAGGGCATGATCCCGATACCGCGCCAGCGACACGTCTGGGGCGTCGCGACCTCTGACGGCATCATCCAGCAGATCCGCGTGAGGTTTCCCTACGATTTCAACGAGATGCATGCCCTAAAAATAGGCACCGCTGGCAGCAACCCCGTCACCATGTTGTCGCTAGCGGGGCTGGCGGATGAGCTTGCGAGGACCTATGTTAATGAGCTCAAGCACTCAGACCACGACAGGCAGGAGAATCTGGCGCACGAGATGATTTGGATCCTCAGAAGAATCATTCAGTGCAGATTACCCGAGCATGCGCTGCGGCCTGAGAGGATACCTCACCTTATCAGGGAGACGTTCTGGTTACCCTTCACTCTATCGTATCCAGAATCGGTCCCTTTATTCGCAAAGGCGGGATGGAGTATTCCCAACGAGGGATGGCTTGAAGATGAATGAGAATGATCAGTGAACGATATGGGAATGATTTGGAGTTTGGGGAATTACGGTGGCACAGCACGACACGACACGGCATGGTTATGGTTTATGGTTACGCTTATGGGTTAAAGTTTGGTTACAGGAGCGCATCGCATGATACCCTAGATGTTCTTATTTCCTTCGTTTCTAATGATAAGACGGCAAGAATGTAGACTGAGAGATATTTGATTTTCGCAACGAGTTTAGAGATTGGGCAATTAATTCACATACAAGAGAGCAGTAGCACTTCGCAAAAGTGCCTTTGTTCGTGAGAGCAATCCATTATCTCTACGTAGCCAAACTCGGCATCTCTAGCAGGTGGCATTTCCAAAGCGCTTTCTGCGCATCGACATCAAAATCATCCTGTCTACTCCCAAGCTCCAATTGCAAGAAATGCATCAAAGTCAACTTAGTTACGAGACTTGAATGCCTTGACAACGTGGCTGACAGTGAACTCTCCGTAGTTCTTGATGTAGCTCAAGTGAACGGAGAGATCCTTGCCTCCAGCCTCACAGTACGGGTCGCCCTTGTCGCAAATGGACACGGTCTTGCTGGCGATGCTATCACAGCCGATGGGAAGGTTTCGTGGGAAGATCTGTAGTATGTTAGTCGTGCCTATAGTGATTGTTCTTGAAGACTTACTCCACTACCCTCGCTGGTGCCAACATGGAAGGGCTGGCCTTCGGTGAGACTGGGATCGCCCATGGCGACGATGGCCGCAACTGTCCAAGGTTAGTCATCTCTCAAGTACGTTCTGAGTGAGTGAATGTATCTTACCATTGTCGGTGATGTAGGCAGGCTGGGAGAGAGTGCCGGGGAAGCCTTTGGAGCTGGCGCCACACATGGTGTCCATGGTGACGTGCGCTCCCTGGAAATTATTAGTAAGGTCATATACAAGGGCAAGGATAACGACTTACCTGAGAGTATCCCATGAGGATAAGGTCGGTGTCAGGGCAGTTCTTGACGTAGTTGTTGATGACCGAGGTCATGGTACGAACACCCTCAGTCTGGGACTCGACATACTCATCATACAGAGCAGGATAAACGAGGGCCTCCATGTCCGAGCCGGGGATGAGCTTGAGGATTTCCTCAGCGAGGATGCCCATAGCGCCAGGGCCCTGAGGCTCGAGGCTGCCGCGGGCAACGACGAGATGAGCGCCCTTGGCGCAGGTGATAGCGTTGGCTGTGGTGTTGGCCGTAGCCAGAGCCAGGACGAGGCTCAAGACAAGCATGAATGCGATCATGGCTGCGGTGTCGATGTGTAGAATGCTAGTAAAATCAAGTCAGAATAAATGTTTATTGCAAGATGGTAGAGAGATGATATCTTACCCTGAGTGTAGTGGTTGGTTGTGATTTGAGTTAACAGAGTGGAAGTGAGTGACGATGAAGGTGAAGAGAGGAGGAAAAGAAGAAGACCGGATGAAAGAACAGAGGAGAATATATAGCCTCACCTTGGCAGCCGCCAGTGCCATTTCGCAGTGGCAGCGGCAACACCAGAACGCGATATTCGCGATCACTGACAGTGGCAGACAGTCGTAGCAACCTCACTCACGATATCTTAAGATAGTAGAGCAGCGGCGTAGCAGTGGCAGACCCACATCGGCACTCTAGAATCTCTAGTGAACGTTGGAAAAAGCAAAACCATGGACCTCAACTGTCAAATCGCATCTTTGCAACTTTTGCGGTTCGGCTGCAGGGACTGGGGTAGATCGATGGTATCGGACTTGTTGCTTGATTTGGTCAATACAGTCTGAGTAACTCAACAACAGACAGATTTATATATGGGAAACACTTAATTTATAGAGCATGGTATGACAGTGATAACAAGAAATTATGTAAGATATGTCTAACAACCTTACTGGGAACAGCTAACTTTGTCTTGATATCATAATGCTGTCTGGTTGTGTAAGTGGAGAGGATCGACATTAGTTCCTCACAGCGTGCTGGGATTAGAATTGGATCTCCATGTTCGCTAGAACAACCATATAATTAAACATGTTTCGAAACCTGTGTTGGTTGGTGCCAAGCATGTACTTGACGTAGTTGACTTGGTCGGTTTGCCCTGGCCATCAACAATCTGTAGGAACTCACCCCTATTCCTAAGAAGACATATGTACAGTACAACAGACCACTCATATAATGAAATTTACTTTAATTGTATCTCAGTAATCTAAGATATGTTGCTGACTTAATGATAATTTAGTCTCAGTCTTCCCAGTGACGATAGAGCCTTATCTGTTCCTATACATACTCCAAACTCTGAACACAAAACCTTAAGTTGAACTGTTTGATCCAAATTGTGTCAAGCTACTATTTTGGGCTTTATGAAACATGCCCACAGCATAGTCGGCAGCAACATGTCCATATGCCGTCACGTAGTTCATATGGGCTCTCAAATCGTGGCCTCCAGCCTCGCAGAAAGGGTCACCGGCGTCGCAGAACGAGATCGTCTTGTCCGAAACACATTTGCATCCCTCAGGCTTTTGACGGGGAAATATCTGATAACTAAGTTAGCTGTCCCTTGGGTTCTGTATGTTCAGGAGGACTTACACCGTTGCCAACACTACTTCCAACGTGGAAGGGTTGGCCTTTGGTGGTGCTCGGATCACCCATCAGAACAACAGCCGCAACTGCAATTGGGTTAAAATGTTTGAATGATGGAGATTTGTGGCTCGCTTGACTGACTGTTGTTGGTAATGGCGGAAGGTGAAGGCTCTGTAGGGAGGAACCCGATGGAACTTGCGCCGCACATCACGTCTGCAATGACATGGGCACCCTGAATAACAAAGTCAGTAAAATATATCCATGTTCTGCATAATGGGGTTAATAGTGGGAACGTGATGTGACTGACCTGCGAGAACCCAAGTAGAATGACCTTTGTCTTCGGACAGACCGTGACATACTGGGCTAGGACAACAGAGAGAGCCGCAATGCCTTCCATCTGTGACGGCTGGTACGGGTTGTAAATAGCCGGATATTCTAGTGAGACCATATTAGAGTAGGGGATTCCATCTAAGACCTGTTGAGCAACTGCTCTGATGATGCCTGGCCCCTGAGGTTCAAGACTGCCTCTGGCCACGATGATGTGAGCTCCGGAGACACAACTGGCGTTTCCAGGCTGACCATATTCTTGACAAGCAACGAAGGTCACAAAAAGAATGAGGTATCTGAGAATGAAGAGCATCGTGAGAGACTTCCGGAGACTAACTAGATAAGTGACGAGTTCAGCGGCCCGCAGGCAAACATGGGACTGGGAAAATTACGGCAACCTCAATCTTACAGAAGAATAGAGAAATAAGACTTGGTATTATTGGAACGATTGCGATCGATGAAAACAGATGAAGCTGAAGTCGCAGTTCAATTTGCCAATGACTTTGGTCCGCAGAGCGGGAGGAAACAGCAAAGGTAGAAAATAATAAGAAACAAAATAAAGACGAATACAGAGACAAAGACAAATGAACGGATAAACTCACAGTGTGAGCTGAACTCAGATTCCGTTTGTGCTGTGCATTGCAAACAGATATACATCAATGTTTGGCTATAAGTTAGTTACCTTATCAAGCCTGTCTCAGCCAAGCGATGTAAGCCAAGAATAGCGTCAATATCAAACGCTATCCGACCAGCTTTCACGGGAATAAAACGTTACGTTTGGCTTGATCTACCGAAGAAGCTCCTAGTCTAGTGGCCATGTAACTGCCCGAGCAGGCATGTCTCAATATTTGGCATTTCAACCCGGGAAAAAAGCAACCATGTCAATCCGTGGCACTAAAACGACAAGAACACGGAAGAGCAAACTCAACTCCTTTTTTTCACACAAACCAAACACTTCAATCGATCAGACAAACGCGAATACCTTACACAATGCCGCCGTATACCGTGGAAGATTTGGTTTCAGCGTCTGAGCAAAAGATTGGTGCTGTTCTTCGTGCCTTGTGCCAAGATGAAGATACCCGCTCCCGTGCTCCGGACCACTACAACAGCTTGCAAGCCACGCCTGAACTTTCCGATGGGCGCAAACGCAAGGCGGAAGATGAGATGCGTATCTGTGGCCAGTGCAAAAAGGAGTTTAACAAACACGAAAACACCGTTTTCATCCTGGTAAGTGAACCCATAGCTTTAACTGTGGCAAGATAGATGGCTCACATTACAGCACAGGAGTGATGTACGCCGATGAGGAGGCTGAGGCATGGGACGACCATGGAGGTTCACTTGAGGACGTCGAAACAGACGAATATCGCGAAGAATTTCCAGATGCTTTTCTTTGGGATTGTTGTGATAAGGGAGGCACTGAAGAGGGGTGTACCCATGGAAAGCATGAGGCTCAGCCGATCTAAAGAAGTCTAAGAGGGGGAGATGGCAGCAATCTTGGTGTTGATTAGAAGGTTGCCAATTAGATAGTAAATGCAATTATTCCTCTAATTCCAATCCATCTATACTTTTTAAAGTTGATTTGTTAATAGTGATCGTCCACTTGGAAGAATCTGGAAAGTTGAGACCATATCTACCCCTGCGTATCACCGCGACACTAATAAAACAAGCTCCCAACTACCCCAACTTCAAGACGTCACTTCACTTACACTTACACTAACACTCACTCAATTCAACCCAGCTCACACAATACATCACAAACATACTCAGTCATCAAAATGTCCCTCACACTAGAACAAGAAATGGTCCATCTCGCACCAGAGCAACACGTCCGCGCAATCCTCCTCGCCCTTCTCGACGACCGCATCGTCAAAGCCCGCGCCCTAAACCACTACCGCGCCCTCAAAGCCGCTGACAATCCAGTAACCGGCCTCAAGCGCAAAGCCATGAATGATTTGTTTGTCTGTGTTCAGTGTGACCAGGCGTTTACACATGAGGATAACACTGAGACGTCGTGCCGTTACCATCCAGGTACGTTGACCAGCCCTACCTTTTTGTGTGTATGTTTGTTGAGATGAGGCTGATGACGTTAGGGGAACTTGAAGTTGATGACGAAGAGGACTTCTGGGCGGATCATGATGAGAATTGTCATGGGGAGATTGATACGCCTGAGATGAGAGAGGAGATGCCCGATGGGTTTCGCTGGACGTGCTGTGATAAATTAGGTGGACGAAAGGGCTGTACCAAGGGAAAACATCAAGCTGATCTGGCAAAGTCACAGAGAGGTGGGAATGTCCCATCTGGCGGTGACTTGAGGAAGAACAATGGTTCGCATTTCCCAGTTTCAAATGAAGGCAGTGAAGAGGAGGAAGAAGATGATGAGGGGGAGTGATTTAATTCAATTGTATAATCCAATGATAAACCTACATCTCCAACATTCAAGCAAGTATATCTTCAGTCTTAAAACTGTGTCATTCAGTACATAATAAACGAGATCCCAAAACTCCTAGCCTGGATGATTGATGTTGCGCAACGCAATATTGCCACAACCTCTCCTCACGACATCCACAAAGAGACACACACAGAGAGATTATAAATACCAAAAGACAAGAGCCCTGCTAAATCGTACATAGCCCCTGGCTTTTGACAAATATTACATGACATAAAACGTTGCAAATAGTCTTGAGTCCCAAAATGACCCGGGCTGTATCGTTAGCCGTGCCAATCACCCGGTACTCCTTGCGCCTGAATGCACTTCAAATAATCTGTTTCCTCCTCTGCCATGCCGAACAAATATGCCCCCGTGACAATATCTGGTGTCACTGTCATCCTCCTTCTTTCCAAAAACAACAGTCAATATGAAACAGTCACACCCCAGGCTCATGCTCTTTCAATCATCTATGCTCTTCAAACATAAAAGGAAGCTCTGTAGAGTGCCGCCGAAGAGGTGTTGGTCTTGGTGACACTGTGCCATCGAGGCTAAAGCGCCTGGGTGTTGTTGTTCCTGAACCATCGGCTGAGTCTATATCAGTGGGTTCCTATACCCCCATGACAGGAACCTTCTTGCTTCGCTTGCCCAGAAGGGTAGCGTTGTCCAGGTTGAGCTCAAATGCTCCTCGCTGGCGGTTGCGCTCGCGGACCTGCTGTCGAGCAGCCGCAGCGACTGTTGCCGAGTGTTGGCCGTAGCCTCTCTCAGCACGCTCCCGCTCACGACCCCGAGGTTGTTGTTGTTGCTCTTGATCTCGGATGTTGGCCTTTCGCATACTCTGCTCAAGAGCCTGAGTTGCTGCGTTAGGCTTGGGGGCGTTGTTATCTTGACCATCGATCTGCATAACGTCATCGTCTTCATCTTCCTCGTTGAGGCCGCCGAGGAAGCGCGCTGGTGTACCCTTGGGGCCGATCTGCGCTCTTCGCTTGCCCTCTTCCTCCTGACGATGAACAGCATAACCGACATCAAAGACCTCACGCAGGTTAACAGCACCAGGAGATCGGAAGTCGTATCGCTTGCCAGACTCTTCGAATTTCGTACTGTCGAAGGCGCGGAGCATACCATCAGACTTCTTCACCTCATCTCGAGGAGTAGGTCCATTTCCAGCAATCCATGGGTGAGCGAGGAACTCGGTAATCGTAAATCGCTTCTCAGGATCCACAGTCAAGAGATGGCTGATAAGATCCTGTGCAGACTTTGAGATCTCGTCCCACCATGGAGACAAGAAAGTGTACTGGCCCTTAGCGACCTTCTCAGTGAGCACCTCGATACTTTCATCGTAGAATGGTGGGAAACCGCAAAGCAGAGTGTATAGCACACATCCTAGCGCCCACATATCGACTGACTTGGAGTATCGCTCGTCCTTTACGATTTCAGGTGCTGTGTAGCCAACAGTTCCACAAGGCGTCATGGTCTGGTTGTCCCAGACGATCTTGGAGAGACCGAAATCGGCGATCTTGATACGACCAATACCACCGGCGCCTTGGCCGGGAATGAACTCACCCTCGTCAACCTTGTCCTCATCGCCAGGCTGCTTGGGTTTTGGGTGCTTCGAAGGCACCATAGGAATGGGCTCGAACAGAATGTTCTCGGGCTTGATGTCACTGGTAGGGATGTTAGTGATATTTCCAAGGCCGTGCAGGGGCGAATGACGTCAGGAGGGGCATCACCACTTCTGTCATCGAGCGGCCCAAAAAGAGTCATGACATACCGATGAACAACACCCTTCTCCTCGTGGAGATATTCGAGAGCCTTGGCCACTTGAACAATGACGTGTCGGGAAAGCTCCTCGCTGAAATATGTCAAGCGGACAATCTGGTGGAAAAGTTCACCACCGGGGGCAAGCTCCAGAACGATGTAATAATATTGCCTCGATTCGGAGAATTCGACGAGCTTGATAATGTTGGGGTGGTCAAGTTGGCGCATAATCTGGACCTCCTTCAAGATATTTGATCGCTGCAGGAGTGTTAGTATTCTGCCTCGCATGTCCTCGAGTCTAAAGGCTGGCCATCCCCGCCATCAAGACAGCAGGAACTGACTTCAGACGCGGACAGCGCTGGCCTGGACATAGGAAAAAATTATGATGTAAGGAGAATCTTCTCGCACCTCTGCTGCCTTCGGGACTTTCTTGAAGTCTGGATGTAAATGCTTATTGCCCTATGAAAGGGGACAACCCCGTGTTGGTAAATGGGGACCCAAAGAAAGAGAAAGCAGACGAATGAAAAGCACAAGAAACATCAAAACAAAAGGAGATGGGGTGACGGATACAGACAACCCAAGGTTTGCTTACCTGCATACTGTTCATCTCGTATTTGCGTACTACTTTGATAGCGACGTCGCCTTGCTGGCCTGTTGTGTCGCGGGCACGGTATACATTGCTGAAGGCACCATCGCCCATCTTGTCGACGAGTTCCCAGCGTTCGAGACCGGGGTAGCGAGGGAATTTGCTCTTGCTGGCATTCTCCTCGGCGATAAGCTTGGCGAGCTTCTCATCGTCAACGCGCTTCTTGCTCTTGCTGTGTGCGTAATCGTCATCGCCATATTCGTTTCCGGGCTCTTGTGCCCGCGAGTAGTGAGAGTTACTGGGGTCTGATACTGTCTTGTGCTGGACTGTGGGCGCCTGTTGCTGTTCTGTCTTGCGTGGGGCCTCTTCAGGAGCGGCACGAGCTTGCTTGCCTAAGCAACAATTGTCAGCGACTGATAAAAACGGGCCAAACTTGGCAGAATAGTGGGCTAGAACATACCGTGCCGGATGAAGTTCTTAAGTTGCTGAATGGTAGACATGGCTGTAGAAATTGTCGCTTAGGCGCGACAGTCGCCTGTGAGAAAAAAGGTCGTGAGGCCTTGGGCCAATTTTGGTAGCAAGTAATGGGCGATTGGACGTCTTTGAGAGCAGTGGTTGCTTCTATTGTGCAATACAGCTAAAAACGGGTTTCGATGATCTAGCCTAGAGCTATTTCGTCTTCGAGTCGTTCCGAGTCGTGATCGTAAACGTGAGCTTTGTTTGGTGTGCGTGGCGTGTCGCAAAGCGCCGGCAATATTATTATAAAAAGACGAAGCGGGATAGGTTTCTTGACAGAAGCAGGAAAACAGGGTTGGACTGCTCTGTGGATGATGCGGGGTTTAGCAGACCTACTCTAGCAGACGGGAGCGTTTCTTGTTTGGCGTTTGATGTGAGGGTGTCGTAGAAAGTCGAGTAGTGAAGAGATGAGTAAGGGTTTAACGTTTTGGGTCAAAAAGTGACACGAATGTGGGAGGATGGAGAAGAAAGAGAAAAGAGAAGTCGTCTCGAGGGAAGAAACCAGGAAAAGGAAATTGTTTGGGATAAAAGTGCCTTGCGCTGGTTGCTTGTTTTTGTTCAAGGCAATGCAAGGTCAGGTATGGTAAGGTAGAGCCTGGTTTCTTTTTGATGGGGGGAGGACCGAGATTTGAGAGGTGACGAAAGGGAAAAGGTGGGCAGCCCACTTTGAGTAGCAGCCCAGATTTTAGCAGGATTCTAGGCCAACGCCAGGCGGATCGAGTGGGGATGGGGGCGTTTCCAGCGGGAAACCTGGAAAACACAGGGGTTTATAGCCAATTCAGTGAGGAAATTGGCGGGAGTCGGGCAGCTGTGGTCTGGGGAGTGAGGTCACTGAGTGAATAAGAGAGGTCAGTCTCGGAGACTATTGCCCTGAATGTATGGTTATAGCTGAAACAGAGGATTTGTAAGATGCTGGTGAGTAAAGGTGAATGACGATGGTTGCCAAAGCTAAATAGACGACGAGGTAAATACAGTCCAGTCCAGTCAGTCAGCAGTGGTGATAGCGGGGTATCCAATGATTGATGAGACTGGCTGTGACGTTGACAAGTTCAGCTCGTAAACACAAATCTGAAGATCAGTAAAACAAATCTTAAGATGTTGAGTTAAGGATAGAGCCTCATGTTGACATAAAACGTATTGACTAGACTCTATTCGAAGTCGTGGGCGTGTATAGTAGATGATAGACACACGATGAAGTCACCCAAAGCGTCAATCAGTACCAAAGTCCCCGCGATATCGTCACAGCCGCCGGAGTACTAATGCATCCCGTCCGTCACTCACTATAGTACAAAATATACAAAGCTTGCCAGTGTCTCCCCCCTAGCGGAATGACACAAATCACCGCAGGTAGAAAAAAAAGGGTGAGAGAAGGGGTCCCAGGTGCACACCCACGCAGCAATGATGATGATGATGATGATGGCATCACCCTCTCTCACCCATGCTCCGCGCTAGGGTGCCATGCCATGCTATGCATGTGCTTGGTCGCTTGTTAGTGGCATCATCGGTTTACCTTATCATTTGCGCATATCTCGAGGCTAATACCTCATATCTACATCCGTCGTTTCTTTTTTGGAAAATCTATCATAACTTCAAGATGCAAGCAACGATTCGATAGACAAACCCATGCATTGGAGATAATTATTGCTTGTACGTAAATGGTGCTCCTGGCGAGATATCCGCCCTATGACGCTGGTGACGACATCACGCTCTCGGAGAGTGGATATCTGAAGATGTCAGCGCCCAATTAGAGAGTCTAGAGCCCTGCGATGTCTTGGCCTGGTGGCGGCTGTTCCAGTGCGTTGGCTGCTGAGAATGAAATCACAGCAAGCTTCATTCACTGGCTTAGCCCTGCCACTTCAAGGTTCCCCAGGCCGGAATACTTTATCAATGAAGTGTTCAAATCTCTTGTAAAGAGACGAGTTTCTCGTGATGATTGGGCTGAATCTAAAACCGTCTATTTATGGAGTTTGATTGATAACTCAAACCACCTCCACCTCAAGAGTCACTCACTCCACAGACTAAGGTTGAAGCCCATCGCACTGTAACACTATTTCACATCATTACTTTTCCTTTTCATATCCGTCGTATCACCCAGGCAGATCCGTTCCTCAACGGGTCAGGGAAAGCAACCTGTATCACAATACTTATTATTCTCCCTCAGCTGGATTGCTTCATTTTTGACAAGAATGGAAAATGTTGACCCAAAATGCTGATCATGACGATACTGCACCTGATACTGTACAACCACTCAATTTCATCCACCATCTATTATTATCTCTTGTCTTCCATCTACCTAGACAAATGCAGCCAGTCTCAAAACAGGCTTTTAAATTCGACTGGGCTGGCTGCTGACAGTACAACACCACTCAGACTTTACTTGGCTTTACGCCATGTTACCTGTTGGCCCGGTCTGGATCTTTATTTCAGACCCTGGCTGCACGTTACCAACATGCCAAGGTTGCTCATATTCCCTCTTGATTGGATTTTCTCGGAACCCAACGTCTTCCCAGGGCTTATAGCTCACCTGTTAATGGGAACATATGCTCCGTATTGCAAAGCAAAAAAACACATTGTAAAATTCGATGAAACAACACGGATAATGCCAGTTCTACTTTTTTTTCCTCATACGTCCTTGGTTTGTACAGTATGGCTTAGCTTATCCAGGCTGTAAGAAGCTCTGTGCGAGGTCTAGACCACGATAGCCAGGGATTCATGGTGTTGTCAGTAGGCACACCGATGGGACGCCCGAAACGTCTCTGGGCCATGTGCTCTAGCCTTTCTCATAAGCGCCGTGACGCGGCAGTGAGTTCTGATATTTCCGCTGCCTAATGAAGCTCGTGAGGTCATTACGCGGCTAGCAGCATCACTGATAAACTCTCATGATGGTGGTGTCTCAGCTATACTGACCAGGGGTTTCGAGACTGCTGCAGAAACCCTGATTTGATGCTTGTTGGTTGGATGCCGTTCCTGGAACTTTGTCTCCATCAGGATCTCGGCACTTGGAGACAAGCGATTTTGACTTCAGACCCTGTCTCTTGGTACCAACGAGTGGGTTACTGGTTCCTGAATCTTCTTTCTTCATCAGATTGACTCATTGAGATATGGATTCAGCTGGGTAACATTGGAGTTTCATGAGCCATTATCTCAGAGCGTAGCTGGCGAGAATCGCTCACTATTCCCCGGTGCAAGGATCCGAATATCATCCTCACGCAATATGAACAGACTCGGCTTTTGAACTCGTTGAATAATTCATAACATAACATATCATGAAGAACATGTCTCCCTACAACTTATAGCATCGATAAGGCACTGCGCGACTTTCGGCATATTCTCTCAACTGCCGATTCTTCCAACCATAAAACATCCTCAGACCCAGGGCCATCACTGACACAAACAGTAGCAGAGCCGCATTGACCCAGTGCCCTGTCGTAAATCCTCCTTCTCGCTGCGACGTTTGGTAGATCCAAACACCGGGGATCTGCCCAATTCCCCCACCGAGACTAACGTTGAGGGCAATGGCAAGACCGGTAGAGGCCGTCGTAAACACATTGGAGCTGAGCCATCCCAGCATGGGTGGCATGCATGCAAAGGAGCCGGCCGTTGCCATGATTAAACCTCCGTAGCGGGCTTTATAGGCGTCGGCCGGAAGCGCAGCCGATATAATGAAGCCAATGGCGCCCACGGCTGCAGCTATGGCTGTGTGAACACCTCGGGCGTTGAAGTGGTCCGCCGACCAAGCCACCAAAACCTGGCAGACTGTTGTGCACGGTCAGTTTTGCTAACTTCTCAAACCTAAGAAATATGTTAAACTTACTATAAGCAATAGCCCATGGAGGCACGGTCATCAATTGTGCCTTCAAGTCGAAATATCCCAATCCAACGGTGATTGAGGGCGCAAACAAACTCAAACTCGCAAATGCCGGGCCAGACGCAAAGTAAATTGCATAATGCGCATACAATCGCCAGTCCATCAAGGTTTCCTTGGCCTCTGCCCAGTTCATCGTCGGATGCGATTCCTTAGAACCCTCATAGTACAATCGATGGATAGCCATGTCCTTCTCTGCTTCAGATAACCATTTTGCCCGCTCCGGATAATCGGGTAGGAAGAATAGAACCAGGAAGGCGGCTAGGCAAGATGGGATGCCCTCAATAATGAAGAGCCAGCGCCAGCCAGACAGGCCAGCTGTGCCGTTCATGTGGCCGATGCCATAGGCAATTGCGCCGCCAAATGCGCCGGCGAGAGTGGCAGATGCGAGGATGAATGCGACGCTAAAGGTTCAAGAGGTTAGCATCTCAACCGTTGCGCTACGACAACTGGTAAAGCTTGGATACAGAAAGACTTACCGAACACTGCGCTCATCGTGCTTGTACCAAAAGGTCAAGTAGAACACTAATCCAGGAAACAATCCAGCCTCGAAAACACCCAGTAGGAATCGCACAGCTGTAACACTGCCGAAGTTATTGGTGGCAGCCGTCAATATCGTCATTGCACCCCAGCAAAACATGAGAAAAGCGAGCCAACGGCTGGGTCGCAGTTTCTTGAGAAGCATGTTACTTGGAACTTCGAACACCGCATAGGAGACGAGGAAGACCATTAGAGAAATGACGAATTGGTGGTCGGTCATGTTGGTCTCGCGCTGCATATCGTTGTTGGTCGACGAATTGAGGATCATGGCGTTTCCGATATTCGTTCGGTCGAGGAAGGAGAGGAAGTAAATGGCGCCTGATAGCGGGATGATGCGTAGATCTTGTTTCCAGAGAAGACCCTTCTCGAGGGGGCTTATGGCGTCGCCATAGTGAACGTGGACGCCCTAGGAGACGTAATGTTAATATCTGCGACGTTGGTGGCATGCGCACAAGTTGCGCAGAGATTGAAGAGGGTATTTACATCGTCTTTTCCGAGAGTCGAATCGACATCGTCGACGGCGGCCGGAGGAGGGAACGGCACGGGAATGGGGACCTTTTCCATTGCCACGTCGCTCGACATCCGGCCTGTGGCTACTCAGTGGCCGTGATGCGACGAGATGGAAGAGGATGGTGTTTGTTTGTCGATGTCGTCGATGAACAGTTCGAGAAGAGTTGAGATCGGCAGGAGGGGGCGAATAGATGATCGGTTCGTTTTCCGTCTTGTGACAGTGAAGAACCGAGGGTGGTTGTTTGTGGTTGTTGCTATTAAGATAAGATATGAGCTGGACAAAAGAAAAGAGATGAGAGATAAACGCCAAGAATGATCAAGACCGGGTTACGGACGGATATATATGGATGAATGTATATATCTCAGACCTAGACCCAGACCCTGGCCCCCAGGGAAGAAGGAGATGAGATGGATGAAATAAGGGAATTGAAGCGGAGCGAGGCGCCTTCCAAGTGATTGGAGTCAATCGGATCGGAAGTAATGCAGAAGTGGGTGGGTAAGTTGGTTTAAGGTAGAGCAAGTGTGCCAATGGATTGAGTTTATTTTTTCTGGGCGTTTTTGCACTCTTGACTCTTTTGGGGTGGGAATTGTACACGACATGGAAATAAGAGACGAGGAGGAGTACAAGACGAGCACCAACACAAGCACAAGCAATGAGCACGAGACACTCTCGTCTTGTCTTGGTCTCGGTCTTGGTCTTGGTATTGGTCTTGGAACCAACAGAAGACAAGCAACAAAATGCGGGGGAGACTTTGACTTTTAACAAGCTTCGCTTCAGCTGCAGCTGCAGCTTCTCTCACATTCTGACACTCACTGACCTGACTGAATCTATTCAATGCATCACATCCATCGCTACCCTCGCTCGGCAAAACGAGGGATCCACTGCCCGCCGATCAGATCACCACTCGGATTGCTCCAATGACTCGCAGTGGCGCCATGAATGGGGTACTCTTTGACTCTTGTTTGAAGCTGTCTGTTGCTGTTATCTCGAAGAATGCACCTTTCCTTCACTAGTTAACCTTGTACGCATACCGTATTAATGCGCTGTGTTGTCTTGTAAGCTCACCCTTCCGATCTGAACAACTCATCACTCTCACTAAGCAGCACAACACAACACGACACTCATCTTCAAACGGTTACACCCTTTACTCTTCCCCGTAACTGCAACTGTAACTGTAACAGTGAATTCAATGCAAAAGCCCCAAGGTAACTCTACCCGCGCTCACCGCGGGAATATAAACGATCTTCTTTTCTTTTTCGCTTTTGTCTCCCCACTCTTTATGATCTTCACTCGTATATCCGAGCTCACGGCCCAGTCCAACAAGGTAAAATTTTGAATCCAAGGCAAATAAAATTTTGAAGCATATGAAAAAAAAAAATCGTATCAAAACAGGTGGAGTCTCCGCTTCGGCAATCCTACTCTAACCCTTCAGTACGTAAACTGTGACTGTGACACAAAAGGCCACCCCAAACCAACCAAGCGGGGGCATAAGACAGGGAATAATTGAACAAGAGGTGCCCAATGCGTGAGGAATTCTCAATTTCCTACAGTTGCCGCCGTAATGGCCCGATTATATAAACTTTTTCTTCGTTAATTTGCGCCTCTATCCTTACCAATCACTCAATTTCTGTTTCTCATAGTCTCAAATTTTCGCTTCACGGCCCTTTTCTCTCTGTTCCACAGCTCCGAGTTGCTCTCCCAAAGAGGCAGATTCTTCGGCTCCGGGCCGGCCGGTGGGGGGGGCCCGATCCCGGAGTTTCTTCTATCTTGGGGGGACAGCTTAGATGTGAAGATCATTTGCTTGTTCGCAAATCACAGTAAGCCGTGTTGTCCTATTAGAGCCTGTAATTCCTAGATAGGTATCCCGAAGGAGAAACATGTCACGAATTGAGTCTGCGCCATGCAACCCAACGCACGGCACATCCTCTCCAACATCGCGAATCTTGGTAAAGGATGTCCGACCTCGGGTCTGTGTTGTATCCAGCTGATCAACTGATATCAACTGTAATTCAGTATCTGACTAAATCATCGGCAAGATGTTTACAAAGCCCGAGATCCCTGATGCCGACATGATCAACCAGTCTGTCACCAATGTTGCATCAGCCAATTCGACTTCAGGTCACTTGACTATTGAAGCTGTATGATGACGTTGAAACGAAATAACTGATAAAATCTATGCTTTTAATTCCGTACATCCGGAACTAACTCTCCTCCGTTTCTTCCTCTGAGCGCCACAGGAACCATGCGATAACCATGCACAGCTTTAACCCTGCGGCGGTCCATAAGGCTCCCGCAATGCCGACAGAGCTTTGCGCAAACAGCCCGCCGGCTATCACACCGACAAGTAGTAGCGTTGGCGCAGCTGCTCGTTGATTCCTTGACACGTTGTCCAATGCGAAGAGCTCTCTGTCGGAAAATAAGTCGCAATACACACTTGTCAGAACTAGACTGATAAGAGCGTTTTGCTTCAGAGCTCGACTCGCTACAGCTTGTCCGCAGCTCTGGAAGGCCATGAGAGCGATCGGCACCAGTACATTCCATGCCAGGCTATCCGTGTTCGGGCCAGGCGGTCGCAAGGTGACGATCAACGCAGCTGCGCTTGTGAGAAGGGCCTGGATTGTGAAAGAAGCACAGAGAACCCAGCGACGCCTAGGAGAGACAAGCCGATGGAAGCGAGCAAATAGGAAAGAACCGAGGCAGAAAGATGCGATGGAAAGGGCGGATTTGTATAGACGAGGGCCGGGAGTCGATGTCGCGAAACTTGCAAGCCCGAGACCGACATATACAGTGTTTCCTGACTCTTGTTAGCTATCAACGATATTCGTCATTGCTATAAGTTACTAACCTGTCTGCATAGACACGAATGTTCCCCAGACCTGGATGGAGGAGCTGTCGAGAAGTCCAGTCACGACATAACAGGCCAGTAAGACGGCATCTGCCCACGAACAGGAGACATCATGTTGTAAACGCTCCTTCCAAGGCTTCTTCAGAGGTCTAGAGAGTGATGATCCCAATAGTGGTGTTTCCTCGTCTCTCACAACGGTGTTTCGTACACCGCGATCTGCCGCCCTTACCATGACGCTGACTATGGCGAACTTTTCGCCCGACCCTTAGAACAAAGTCTCGAACAGTCAACCAGAGCCAAGTTATAAGAGCGAGAGGCCTAATTGAGTGAAATAACTACGGTAGATGAAGAAGTTAGAGAGGAAGCGAAGTTGAAAGAAAGATTTGGTGCTAAAGACCCCTATGACGCCAGCCGCGCCAAACGATATCCACTCATGGTTTCAAGAAAACCGCCGAGATGATCCCAACTGTCGGTTATAACAGTGGATTTCAACAGCGGATGAGACGCCAAAGATCCATATTAGTCAATTGCCGATATTATTTACGCGAGATGTGAATTTTAGTCGAGTTCTTTCTACTATTTTCATAAGTCGACTTTGCAGCGTCGATAGTTATGAAATACCGTGTAAGACAATGACGGCATCACCGAGAGTCATTGATTAGACCAAAGTTAAAACACATCAACTCGTTTTGGTGAGTGCAATGTGGAAGTTTCCGGGCTTTGGGAGCAAGGTCATTCAATGTTAGATCCGCAAAGTCATACACTTCGAGATAGTCAGAGATAGTCTTTTTTACATCCATGGGCAACAAGTAACGTCTTAAACAACTCTTCTTTTCTCTTCATACTCCAGATTTCGAGCAGCATCGTGCCTTACAAGTACAAGTATTCATGTGAAGTATAAACAAAGCCTCCATAGCGTTTCTTGTATATCAGACACGGGCTGTTAAAGGTAAACTACTATATACAAGAAAGAATCCAACAATCGCCAAGTATACAGGCGATTCCATGTTTTCTGCTCATGCTAATTGAACCAGCCACTAGTATTTAGGGGCCGCAGTAGCAGTAACATAGACAGTCTGAGTGACGGTCTTAGCCACACACTCCTTGGAAAAGGGGGAGCCAGGATGACGAGTGTGAGTGCGGGTTCGAGTGCGAGTGCGGCGGCCAGAAGGCTTGTTACCCTTGGTAGGAGCCTGAGTGGTAACAGGAGAGTTACCAGACGCTTCCTCGTTACAGTCATCTTCACCATCGGCGTAGGTAGGAATAGTCTCAACAGGGGCATCGCTCTCAGTTGGGGCCTGGGTAGCAACGGGGGCATTACCGGACTCTTGACCATCACAGTCGTCCTCACTGTCGGTGGGCTTGGACTCGGTAGGAACGGCCTTGGTAGGAGCTTGGGTGGTAGCAGGTTCGTTGTCCTCGTCGTCACCGTCCGCAGGAGGAGAAGGCTTGATCACGACTGAGGAAGGCTTTTCGGCAGCGGCAGATGAGGTGGCCTTAGTTGGTGCGGAGAGAACATCAGTCACAGAGTCAGGGACCGTAGCGAAAGAGGGACGAGGCGCACCCTTAGGGACGTCAGACTCTACAGAGGAAATCTCAGCACCGGCAGCAGACTCGGCAGTGGAAGGCTTGGCAGCACCGGCATTGGGAGCCTTGGTAGCAACAGGTTGAGCAACAGCAGTAGAAGCCTTGGTAGTAGATCCAGAGCCGGATCCAGAGCCGCTACCGTTGGAGATACAAGCGAAAGAGATCTTCTTGACATCAGCAGCCTGGGTAGGACCACTGAGAGACCAAGCCATGTTGACATAAGGCCAGCAGATACGGCCATCGGACATAGTGACCATGTCACCAGCGACGTAAGTATCCTCAGAGGTGATAGCAGAGCCAAGCTTCTTGCCCTTGCTGTCGACAGCCTGGAACTTGGTGCCGGCAAACTTGCCCTTGCAACCCATAGCCTCGAACTCGCAAACGGGGTTGGAGATCTCCTCCCATGTGACAAGAGCAGTGGATGCATCGAAGGTAGCAACGTGAGCGTTGGAGCAGTCGTTGGCACCATCAGTCACCCAGTTGACTTGGCTGTCACCATCCTTGGCACCAACCTTAGAGGAAGCCTGCTCGCCAACGAGGGTCTTCTTGTCTGAGAACAGAGCAATAGCCACGTTGCGGTTGTTGGTACGGTTCTCAGCGTGTGTGTACCCCTCGCCCATCCAGTCGTTGAGAGTAAGGTCGATGGCACCACGAGAAACCCAGGAGAAGATGTAAGAGTCAGCACCAATGAAGCGAGCGAGAGAGCTGTAAGAACCACTCATTCCACCCATGGGCTCGTTGCTAGCACCGTTGATGACATGCTCGTTGGAGACCTTGACACCGTTGTTGCTCATGCCCTGAGTCTCGGTGTTCAACCAGATAGCACCCTGATCTTCAGAGCAAAGGGATGCGAAAGGGGGCTCATCAGCAGCTTCGAAGGCGATACCGGTGTTGTGGGAGCAGCCCCATGAAGAAGAGGCACCCTGGATCTCCTCGACCTTACCCTCAGGGGTGATGTAACGGATGGCATCTCCAAAGTGACCGGAAGCATCGCCACTGTAGGAAGTGACCACGATGTAGGCGGCATAGTAGCCGGCTTTCTCAGAGAAGACAAGATCACCATTGATGTCAGGGGAAGCAAGAGCGTTTCCTGAGAAGCCAGAGCCACCAAGGAGAGTTCGGAAAGCCTGCTTGCCATTGGTGTACTTGTAGATCACAGGGAGAGGATCCTTAGACTCTCCAGAGACGACCTCGTTGGTCAGGAGAGCGAAACCGTCGTTGTGGGCAACGAGACCACCGGCCTCCTTACCATTCTTGACGGTAACAGGAGTTCCAACAGCAGCAAAGGTCTTGGGGTTAACGCCCTGGATGTGAACACCAGTACCACTGGCGTCGAGGTAGGCCAGGAAGGCAGTCTTTCCGTCAGGAGAGACAGCAAAGGGAGTTCGGCGATGGTGAGGAAGGCCAGTCCAGTAAGCTTCCTTGACGGGGTTGAAAGAGGCACCCAAGGTGAGGGTATCGACGTGGTTCTCGAGCGAGGAGGAGGTGAGTTGGGCAGCAGCCAGCGCCAGGCCGGCAGCGAAAGTGAGAAGACGAGACATTGTGATGTTGGCTTAGATGTCCGGGAATGAATGTATTCGGTTGGAATAGTGCACGAAAAGAACGTATGTAGTGAGAATGGTAATGAATGAATAGAACAAAAGAATGTAGAGACCCCAGGTCAATTATCCAAGCCAGCAGCGAGTGAAGCTATCGTCTCCTTCTTCCATCCAACCTGGAGAGCAGCATCTCTTATAAGCCAAACCCATGTCCTCTTCCCCAGCGCAATGAACCAAGCTAAACATCTTCAAGACGAGCTGAGAGCGGTGGAAAAACTCCAGAACTATTTGCCCGTATGATGACCGCTCATGGATGGTGGAACACCAAACAGGCACTGATTGAGGGGTCATGATCAAGCACAGACTTTGTGTTTCAAACCCCTGGTGAAGAAACTAGTGTCGAGGAAAACTTGCCTAAACTTGCTGAATTTGGGAAGAAAGCTGCTTATGAATCCTTGTCAGGTCTCGTGTCTCATGAGGCTGGTGAAACTTCGGATATGAAAGGGCTTGGTCCTTTGTCTTATCTGATGAAGCCAACACGGTCTTCGGCAGTTGTCAACCTTATGAGAAACAGCTGATTCGAACACTGACAACTGAGGTGATAACATGACTATCGCCTGAGTGAATTGATATCCATTGACCATTACAGCGTTGTGAGGAATCAGGAGAGTTGTATCACAAGAGACAATGCCTGTTGCCAAAAGCTGACATGCTTGAAGGCATTGTTTGAGGACCCTCGGGAAGTCGAAGCTATACGCGGACTTAAGTGTAATCCTTGCTGCTTCGTCCGTTTCTCGGAATTTGCCATGGACGTTGTATCCTTTCCTCGCCTAGCCTTATTTCACATACGGCACAGCTCCAGTATTTCCCATCACCATGGTTTCAGAATTCAAGAAATATGAGAGCAGCCAATAGTGGTGAGATCTGATAAAAACTCCCCGAGAGAAGCAAAAAGATCGTCATGAACAGAGAACAGATGAAGAGAGACATACTGCAGGGGTTATTGGTGACTTATTTCCGGGCGCCTATCACTGACTTCCATTGCATTACATTGCATTCTGTAAGACAGGACAGTTGTCAAAGCTACCTTAGCGCCCGATGTCACATTCTGTTAGTCAAAGACTCAAAAGAGTGTGCAACGGATGCTTCGGACTCGGGCGTTACGCAAGGGGTAGTTAACGGGTAATATTAAACATCCGATGCGAGATGGTTCATGAAGGAATGGAAATTGGCAGATGGATCCATTGATATTTATCATGGGTCGAGAACTGAGGCCGCCAAATATTAATACCCATCGATAGAACTATTTATTGCTAGCGAGGGATCTATTTTAGGACTGCCGAGGTTGAGGATTTCTTTCTAGAACATCATCATTAATCTCTAATGATAGATCCATATATCACAAGCCTCTGCTTTCTTTGATCAGTGAATCAGTGCGTTGATTGTAAGAATATGGGTGTAGATAAAAAGATTTAGGCCTCACGTGCTGTAGTTTCCCCTAAAGCACCCCTGAATGTCGGGCGTCTTCAGATAAAGACTAGACCTAGTTCGGCGACTCGCCTCAAGCCCCCCGCGTTGTTATTGATTCTCTTCTCGTATCGTGCGTGATGAGAAAACGAGGCTGAGCCCATCCATTCCAATCCATCGTTCAATAGGGGCACTTTCGCTATAGAGTCATCAACTACCTTTACTTACACGTTCTTATTCTCGCACTCATTTATTTCTCTCTTTTATTCCTCACAGCCTAAACCCGGCACTTCTTCTTATTTCCTCAATAACGTCATCGCCAGCATCAATTTCTGCCTTGGGCTGGGCATCGGCTCACTTGCATCATCAACATGATGCTCAAATATCTTACCAAACCTACGAGGAAGAACATTTCTGATGCTCTTCTTATTTTGGGTGTGATTGGTAGTGTCATTTCAGTCATTTTGGCGTCCATTGTGTTAATTGCTGGTACCACCATTATTCGTGGTGATCCTGATCATCTTCTATGGAAGCCATTAGCTCTGGTCTCTGTAAGTTCGCCCATAATTACTGCTTTTTCATATTCTTGACAGTTCAAGACTTTGAGATACAAATTCATTTTTCCGGACCTTCCGACTAACAAATCATCAGTTTGAGGGCATAATTCCCAATAATGATACCTCTCGTTTCTTGGTGCAGCTAAACTGGTACGCCAGTTCCTTTGGATGGGAACATCCCACAGCCCCCAAGGGTCTTCCAAAAGTTGGAATCACGTCCTCAGGACTACGATATCACTCAAATATCGTCAATGATCTTAATCAGATCGCCACTGAACTTCGACTACCAGAAGACACCTTCAATTGCCCCAAACCGGGCCCATATGAAGACCCATGTGGCAACATCTTCTTTGAAGCCTGGCGAAGCTACATGGCCAGTGGTGGACTTCCAATCCGTAGCTGGATCGTCTGGGTCAACATCTATGTCGCTCTTGTGTTCAGTATCATGGATATCCTCCGAGAGTGGGTCATTCCCAACAGACCTCACTGGATGAAGTGTCGCTGCATCATAGGCAAGCGATGGTGTCCTCTTCCCAAAGGGAGTAAAGAGGAAATCGAGCAATTCGACGACTACGTATGGGACAAGGTCCGTCTCACCTACTGGGCCATTTCGGCCGCTTACTTCGGCATCGCTGCCAGTCACACATGTCTTAACTCAGTTTTCTTTGTTCGTTACCTGGGATATTTCGAGGAGCGGTTGCCAGATGGTATCAGCATGCACGGAAGACGACGCTTGGCCTCTGAGATCTTACTCTGGGTTGCTTTTGGCATTAAGACCTTTGGAGCGTTGTGCATGGCTGTGAGGTGGAAGTTGAGCAGAAGGCCAAAGGGCTGGATGGACGGACAGAGTCTTGGTCGCCTTGAGAGGTCCAAGCCAAATGGTACAGATGGAGGAAAATACACAGATTAGAGCGTCGATGATATGAAGCGGGAATGTACTATACTTGATAATTGGCGATGATAGATTGCTCCGGTAAGAGCGTTTGGTTTTCTGAATTTGATGTTTGAAGCTCAACATCTTGACTCAAATGACAACACCCGCATTTGTCATATGAAATGCACCCGGCAGATAATAAGGTCCACTGAAATACCTTAGCAATGGTTGGATAATTCGCATAAACATACAACTGCCGTTAGGTGCTGCTTTAGCTTGGACTATCTTGAGGCGGGGAAGTTGATTGATTGTTGATTCACTGACTTGCGGGACCGGGAGAGAGCCGGTTCACTTGGCCGGCCGGCTCATATAAATGAAGACCGAGTGAATAACTGACAGTCTGTCAGACATGGCAGTCCTCTAACTCACATAATCAAGTCATCGACTTCATTGTGACTACTCATCAAGCACAAACCAACATAATGCTCTCATCAAAGTCTTTCCGTACAGCGCCCTTGCAGCGAGTCATCTCGAGGCAACCCGCTCTGTCATTCGGCAGCTCAGCCTCTAGATTCCGTATTATCCTCCCCTCGCAGAAACTCACAACCAACCCTTATTCAAAAGTCCAGCCTTGTCTTCGATCGGCATCCTTCGCAACAAGCACCGAAGCTTCGGCTCCAACGCCCGAGGAGCCAGTCAACCAGAACTTTGCAGCCGTTGCAACAGGCGGTATCCCATATCCCGGAATTCCCAAGATCGAGGACCCATATCAAAAGCGACAATGGCAATTGGAGCACATGGCCGGTGCCTTTCGCGTGTTTGCCCGTATGGGATTCACTGAGGGTGCTGCGGGACATATCAGTGTGAGAGATCCTGTTGATCCTAATACCTTTTGGATTAACCCGTGAGTCCTATTTTACTCTTGGGTGGGTTTAATGTTAACAAGATCAGTATGGGTGTTCACTTCGGAATGCTTGAGGCAGGCCATATGGTTCACATCAACGAAGACGGTCAAGTTATCGGCGGTAACCGAGTCGCCGTTAACGCAGCTGGTTTTACAATCCACGCCGCTATTCATAAAGCCAGACCAGATGTAGACGCTGCATGCCACGCTCACTCCAAGTATGGAAAGGCATGGTCGACATTTGGAAAGCCCCTCGAGATGATCAGTCAAGATGCTTGCATCTTCTACAACGACCACAGCGTGTACTCCAATTTTGGAGGTGTTGTCTTTGAGGACGATGAAGGTGCTCGTATTGCCAAAGCACTCGGTCCGAAGAATCGATCGGTCATTCTGCAGAACCATGGGTTGTTGACGGCGGGTAAAACAGTTGATGAAGCGGCGTACTTGTTCTCGCTTATGGAGAGGACGTGTGAGATACAGCTCTTGGTGGAAAGTACTGGACTGCCGAGGCAGATTATTGGTGATGAAGAGGCTGAGTACACTTATCGATACAATGCTGACCCTGTGAGTTGTCTTTCTATGGATGGAATCACGAACATTTGACTAACATGGTGAATAGGAGGCGTTGTATACTGAGTTCCAGCCTGATTTCGAATACGAGGTTTGGAAGTCTAATGGTAAGCTAAAATCGGGTGTTAACTAAGATGGGATACCCAGGTGATGGTGCTTTAAAATGAGAAGCGTTAGCATGAATGGTCATTTCAGAATCCCTAGTCTTCAAGCTCGTAAAACGCGATTGTTATGTGGTTCTCGTTGGGTTATTCGACCCTATGGCCAGCCTTCTTTACGTTAAAAATGCCCCTTTTCAGTTCTCCCGAGCATCCATCGCATCCTACAGCAACGTCTTTCTCCACCACTTCTCTTCCTCCTCAAGCCACAGCCTCACGTTCTTCGGCTGTCCAAATCCGTGACCTTCTTCGGGTACAACGATAAGCTCAACCTCGCCCCCTGCCGTCCTAATAGCATTGGCCATCTCCTGTGCCTGATCCAGCGGCGTGATCTTGTCGCTACCTCCGTGCAAGAGCAACAATGGGGCTGTGATCTTATGAGCTTCGAATAAGGGGCTTCTCTCACGGCAGATTCTGTCCTTTTCGCTCTTGTCTACCCCTTTCTGCAACACTAGGTGATCCGTGTAGTCTGATTCCAGTTTGTGGGTTGAATCATCCAAGCGTTTGATGTCGCTTACACCGGAGAGGCACACACCGCCAGCGAATGTACTCGGGTGACGGGTTAAGCTTCGAAGGGTGTTGTATCCTCCTGCGCTTACACCAGTGATTCCTACTCCACCGGACTTCACCACTCCCTTGGACGTCAAATTATCTGCGAATTCAGCGGCATCGTCTGAGTCCACTAAGCCCCAGTTTCCCCAGAGAGCTTCACGATATTCACGCCCATGAGCGCATGAGCCTTTGTAGTTGAAAGCAAGAACTGCATATCCTCTCGAAGTGAAATATTGTGTTCTTGGGTCAAGACCAGGACCGGTGTAAGATGTTGGCCCTCCATGACTTGTCATGATCAGAGAAGGTAGATCTCCTTCCGGAGCCTGGAAGTCAGGATTGTGCGGGAGCCATAGGAATCCATACAACTCTCTTTCAGGTTTGCCCTTTGAGCGAATTGTCTTCAAGATAGGCTTAGAGCAGTATTCTCTAGGAAGTCCATCGTCTGTAGACCCTCGTACTTGTGTGATCTGGCTTGAGCCCTCGATATCAATTCGATACAGTGCTTTAGCATTAGTCTCTCCAGACCCAACAATGAGAACTGAAGTATCACTCAGACGAGCGACCGCATCCAGCTGAACTTCGGCAAGTCGTCGGGAGTCTCCAATGTCCTTCCAAGAGCCCGAATCTAAGTCGATGAGAATCACTCTGGATCTTCCAAGAATAAACGGAGAGGCAACGAGATGTCGATCAGACAAGGGTGCATAAGTGTGGCTAAGATCATTCAGAAACGGTTTCGAAACGACTTCAGAGCTCTTACCTTCCCTGGAACCATCGAAGTCCTCCAAACTCCGCATTGACGATGCCATTGACTTTGATCTCAACATGCTCATCGCTCTCAGGGAGTATTCGGAACAAGCGACGGTATTCTCCGACCTCCTTACCAAAGAATAGAGATCCATCGGGGCCCCATCTAGGCTCTGCAACACCCTCACGATCCTTTCCCGCAATAAGACGAATATCTGAGATAGAGCCATCGTTCCATGTTGCAGTATACAGCCTCGCAGAATCAAAGGGCAGCTCAGGGTGATTCCACTCCAGCCACGTAAGTTTTGAACCATCCGGGCTGAAAGATGGTTCGTAGTAGAAGTCAGCAGTATCAAGTATTCGCTTCACCTGTGCTGTTTCAGTGTTAATTGCCACAATGTAGTTGCGAACTCCATCAGGAGTGTCATGTTCATGGTCTTCCTGGTTCGCCAGAACCCAAGGCGACGTCAAATTTGCTTCAAAGTTTGAGTATCTCAGGTTTGGATGACCCGTCAGTTTGGAAATTTCCTTGTCGTCTGGGTTTAGGATATGAACTGTATCGCCCTTGTTGGAGAAGATGATACGATCATCCGGGAGAACGGCGTATGTTGAACCGCCATACTCATACACGCTATTCTTGGCACTGTATTCAGATGCAAGAATATCTTTGATGCTGTCTTTGAGGATCTCGACAATCGTAGTACTTCCGTCTTCACGACTTTCCGTGTAGAAAGCTCTGCCAGATTTGGGCTGCATATGTCAACGGCTGCTCAGATCATCAAGTGTCAGAAAGCTTACATTGGCTCTAGGTGAGGCAAGTCTTCTAGTCTTAGATACAATAGAGTCTACTGATATTGGTGATTCCCAGTCCCCATATTGGGCAGTCTTCTTGGTGGTGGTGGACATGATGGTTGTTGAAGTTCAAGTTTGGTTGCAAAATGCGGGGTGAGAGACAAGTGTAAGATGCATCTGCAGCAGTCTCAGCCCAACCAGGTATCTACCTTATCTTCATAAAGAAATTTTGTTATAAATAAATAGCTCATTTAATCATTTAATGAGACACATAATAGCTCATTCAGTCATTTAATGAGACACATAATACGGTGATTGGGAAGTCGCTGAGAGACAGCGCGATTATGCGTCATAATCAGTCTGAAGGTGAGAAGCATCGCACACCACCCACCTTGATGAACAGCACCAAATATGTCATGTAACACCTTATACCAGCAGGTTCTAATGCACTTTGATTCATTATCTGATAGGTAGAGGTAGATTGCTTTTAGAATATGTATTGCTTGTACTCAGGTCGCCGCTCATGTAAGCATATCCAACTCATTACCACAAGTGCGATTTCTCACCATCAGTTCCGAAACCATATAAAACAGCACCGTTAATGAGATGATTTTGAGATGGCCCTCAAGATCTAGACAGACTTTTTATTGTTATATAAGGACCCCTGACATGAATGAGACCGTAAAAGAAATTATTGCAGTATCTTGATAAGAACATTAACCATTCACACCCACCCACGCTGGGCAATGTCACCAGGAGACATATCTGCGAGAGGGAGTTCATTTCGTATGGAGCCATTTCATGTATTATTCTATTACATCATTCCAAGGCGCTCATATTGAGCTCATAAATACGTCCGACAACATGTATTACACCGCTTCTAATAAGCATCATGATTCATAAACTTACACTCGAGAATAACATGAGATAACATAAAAGCAACACCCCAAACTCCTTGATGCAACAGCAATTCGACAATCATGAGATACCACACCTCCTGGTAACATAGTTCTCTATCATACACCCTCACAGCTCACCACGTCGTTACAGCAAACTTTCCGTGGCGTCCCTGACAGCCGGCCGCCAGGAACAGCATGCAGGTACGCTTCGATCCCGATCAACAATGGTCGACGATTCCATCGAAAAGAAGTTTGCATGTACGTCATTAGCCCACGTGGTAGAATAGATCACTCTTCAAAAAGTCTGTGCCTCGTGATGGTTGCGCCGTCGCATGTCAACACCAAAGCCACATGACCCACGTGTTGTGATACGGGTAAAACGGTCACGTCAAATGCTGCAGGTACATCAGGCGCAGGAACGTACTCACTTGGATGTTCTAAAAGCAGGGCATTTTCACTTGAAAATGACCACCAGAGCCTCTTTATCAAGGCAATGTATAAGAGTGACCATGTCGCGAGCGACTGTGGAGAGAAGTGATTAAGAAAGGATTAAAGTCATCAGATACAAGTATCTATCGCTTGCGTCAAATATATACAAAGCACCCTGCCTCCCCGAACGCTAATCAAGCCGTTTCCTAAACGTCGGCCTTTTCCTTTGCTCATGCATCGGTTTCTGAATCTTGCTCAGGGACTCCTCAGGACTTCGGCGGATGTCCTTCAGACTTGAGCCTTCTCGGCGGTAGGGGTGGTGGCTTCGTGGCGAGGGGGAAGGTGAACGACGAGGAGAAGGTATTCTCCATGCCGCAACGGACTTGTACTCAATGTAGCAGGGCGCGATAGACTCCTGTCGGGGAGTTGGGGTGTCATCGAAATTTGGGGTATCGTCATAGAAATCGCAACCGTCGCTAGCATCTTCAGGAAATTGAGTAGTAGGAAAATCGTCCTCCTCCTCTAGATCATCCTCATACTTGTCATTAGATTGTTCCCCATCATCCATTACGTCCAGTGACGACTGGCTCTCTGCGCAATCAGAATCCGAGGCGACAGCAAAGTCACCGTCATCGAACTGCGAGGTCTCATCTTCGTCGTGAACGAGTGATCTGGTCAAGTCAGAGATAGCAGGTGCTGTCTCGGAACCAGAAAACGACATGGAACGTGAAGGGGGGGTGGAGTATTCGTGCGGCTTCATGGAAGTAGGAGAGGAAACAGAAGACTCATCGCCGTGCGCTGCCTCGGAATGGGGGGGCGAGGGGGGCGCTTGAACGACAGACGATGATCGAATGTCCGTATGAATCGAGAGGGGGCCCTTTGTCAAGATAGGTTCATCGTCAAAGAAACTTGAGGCATCATCGACGCTGCTGGCCGTGGTGCTCTCAGTCTTGACGCTGTTGGTCTCAGAGAAGGAGGACAAGGAAGCAATAGAAATAGCATCATGATCACGATCGTTGTGATCAAGATATTGTTCGGGTAGGTAGCTTGCAAAATAACGGACGATCGAGTCGAAAGACTTGGTCCGGAAGAGTTGAAGGGCGTACTGCCAATGTTCAGAATCCATCAACTTGGGGTTGGCGATGATCTCAACAGCGAGAGATTCGAGAGACTCATGGAGTTCGTGAATCCGCTGTTGTTTTCGCTCATCCAGCAAGCGGTGGAAATCGTCGATGGTATCGGCATCGCGGGAAATTTCGTAAACGTCGTGATGAAAGGCTTCGGGGTCTTGGAGGTTAAAGGTAAAGGTGTTGTATTTTTCGTGGAGTGTATGAAAGAGGTCATCCCTCTTCATGCCGAATTTCCAGGCCGGCCATGACCAGCCCGGATCGTCCATGTCGAGGTCACAGTCGGTAGAAGTAGATAAATTATAGTGGTGGAATGGTTGTGGTATAGAAGAGAGTGTCCAGTTAGAGTGTCCAGGTATCCGTGGGTCGAGAGCTCGTGGGAGCTGCAGAATCTATTTCATAGCCATGGCGTCAAAATCCTCAAAGGTGCTCAGAAGTCAAAAATGAAGACTACTCTGAACTGAAGTGAAAGAAGCGTGTTGTTGGACTCTTCTGGGACTCTGGGCGGTTTGGTTTTTGGTTATGGGTGATGATCGTGGGTGTTTTGGAGGCGGGCGTGACGAGAAACAGAATTCGGCAGGTTCTTGGGGGCAAGAGCCATACCCATATCTCAGGGTGCGCTTGGCCCCCAGCAACCCAAAGCCCATGAGTACAGCCTGAGATGCCTGAGGCAAACACAGCTAAGGGCTACGATTGGTTGTCATCCCTTCGAAGACGGAGACACGAGACGCGCCTGCATAATTAGCGTCCAATGATGATCTTTTCTCGACGGTAAGTGGAGCCACCTCATGCAATCTCTTGAACTAGGCAAAACTAGTTGCATGGTGGCGTCCATTGGGGGCCATTTGCAGCCCACCCTTTGATGCTTCTTTCGTGCAATTGCGGCAGATTTTGTTTGGGCAGTTCCGACGCCGGCCGCTTCCAATCGATTCCATCATTGAGAATTCACACAAACACAAAACACCAGGCACAAGAATGTTCATGAGATTACAATGTTACCTACAAACTCACAAACCCTTTTACAATTTTACAGTGTAGTTTTTCACTAATGACTGGCATTGATGACTGTCGAGCTATTGGCCACGTAAACTCTCCTCGACTAAGCTAAGCCATGTCACGAGGACTGTCATCAGAGGCAACTTCCATTTTAGTCTCAAATCATGATCACTCACCGAAACTCATTATGAGACAACAACTGACCTCTGCAAAAATGTCTTTGGTGCCTAATATCGTGACAGACTCACGTTGTCTCGTAAAGTCTATCGTCTGCTTTATATAGCTTGCTTCTCCCCAAATCTCGATGATTATTCTGTCATGCTGAAATTGGTCTCCTTTATATCAGCTTCAGTGTCGTCATAGTAAGATCCGCTGAGCCAGGTAAGATGCCAGATGGTTCTATGTTCGCCTTTTGGTTGGCAGCGTGCAGCCAAAGGGCTCATCGACAATTAATTCGAGTGAATTATCCATCATCCTTCTTGTCATCTGTACGAACTATTGGGTCTCATAATGACCAGAGATCTGTGAGGACATCTCCTAGTTATGGATAATATCATCTGGCCGTCGGGGTAATTATCTCCATTTCCCAGGAAATCAAATCTTAGGTGAGATGACTTTGCACAGCCACAAAGCGTTGCGTTGTGGCACACAGTGTGGCAGTGGATTGTGTCCTCAACCATCAAGTCAAGTCTGCCTTGTCAAGCCCAGCCCTACCCGTTATTAATCCAGTCCTACACTCCACACTCCAAAAGCTCCCTCCCAAGCCAACAAGCGTAAGCGCAGAATAGGACGGTCAGGACAGTGCCAGTGCTCAGTGGCATTCGCTTCGTACCGTCTCGTCCCGCCCGCTCCCGCTTCTTTCTATCCTTTCTTGAGTAGAATAATTCCTCGTTCTCCGTTTTTGGATCATCCCCTCAGCCCTCAGGCAGCGAATAACTAAATCGCTGTATGACTCGACCCCGATTCAGTCTTGTTCCTCGTGGAGTCTGAGACGAGACTATACGCTATCAGCAGGCCTGTCTTGAACCTGTCCTGACCTGGGCTGAAAGCTGTCTTTTCAACCCTCCCAGAAGAACACACCCATCGTGTCCTGTCCTTCTGATATGCCCTGTCCATCCTCTTAAAACAGGGCTCGTAGAGGGCCAAATCTACTACTAATCTTGGCTTTTGTTTCTGTTCCTGCATCTCCTCCATTACATTACCGTCCCATCCATACAAGCTAAGGTGTTATTGCTGCATCTAATAATACCTAGCCACAACCCACTTCCCCAGCTCCTATTAAACCCTTCCACTCCCACTCTCTCCCCGTCTCGGTTCGCCTTGTGTCGTACTGTACATTCTTGGAGTGCATCGCCTCACAAGCGCAGCACAGAGTAACCTGCCTGGAATCATTTACAGTCAGCCCCTCATATTACTCATACATTCATATTCATTCACACTACATTACACTTTTCAGCCTGGCGCAACATCAATCGTATCTCGCTACGCAACGCAACACCGCACGGATTGCTTTTCTACGTAGCAATCACACAAACTCTATCAATTATTATAGATATTTTGTTCAGCCTGCCATCCATTCGTTTGCGTTTGGTTGGTTAGCATCTGAGGTAAACTCTCGCCTGGTTCTGCCTGGTCCACCCACCGCTTTACGGCTTGGTTGCTTACCAACTTCACGTACGAAGCAGAGATAGCCAAACTTATGGCAGAACCTAGGCTCGGGCTCTCTGAGGTTGTCTCAGAAGAGCGCACCGAGCCATTTTCTCAGTCCGAAATTGATGCCCGCTTCAAGGGGATTGGTGTTGAAGAACCAGTCCCTACTACTAGCTCTTCGCTTGTTTCGTTAGACGAGCTCCACGTCGAGGATCACCACCACAGACAAGGCATCCGCATTCTATTTCGTCCCCTAGCCAACTTCCCCAAGTCGCGGTCTGTGAGCCCTGGTAGTGAAAGTTTACAGTGGCTCGCTCTCCGTGCTGAAGTTGCTTCACCAGAGCAGCCTGAGCACAAAGTTCTCGCTGTGACTCAGACCTCCAAGGATATCAAATTCACCGTCCGTATCCCCGGTGAGACTCAAGATGACTACCCAAGGCCCCCTTTGTGGTGCGAGCTATACTACGATCCCGCTAGTGACAAAGTCATCTTCTTGAACCGGTCAGACCTACCAATTTCTCTGTCAGGAGTGTCGCCGACGCCGCCGTCGAGCCCTTACAGTCCTTCGCATGTCGTCAACCCCGGGTCAGCTAAGGCTTTGAGGCCTGGAACATGGCGCATTACGCTTCGAGACATGGAAGTCCTCGACTTCCGAGTCCTTGAAAAGCGCCCGGTGACACTGTATCAACCACTGCAACAGACTATTATCGAGGATGTTCCCTCAGAGTCAAGCACCCCCACCGTGAACTCGAGCGGCAAGCGGGCCCTTTCTCCGGAGTATGACGAGAAGAGAGTGAAACGTCGTGTCTCAGACCCGAACACACCCGGTGATGACGGTGTTGTTATGTTCCTCAGGCCTTCCGCGGATCCCTTGGTATTCTCTCTTCCAAATGGTCGCGAGGGCAAGGAGCTCTCCTCGGTGAATGGCCACCCTTTGCTGGACGCCGAAAAGGGTGAAACTGTTGCAATCTCAGGTGTCTGTGAAGTCGACGAATATGAACTTACAAAGCGAGAACCAATTGCTTCAACTTCCTTGTCTGCCGTGTACACAGCATCACACTCCCACGTACCAAACAACATCGTTACTGTCAAGGTACTCAAGACGCGCGTTGCTAACCCCAATGACAAGGCGCTCGTCCACGAGCGGACTGTCATCCGTCAAGCTGACATGTGGCTTCGTGAGTGCAGGGGTCAGGAAGACCTGCAGCATAAGTCAATTGTTCGCTACTATGGTGGTGATGCCCGTTTCCTTTCCCTGTATATGGAGCACATCGATGCAAAAGATTTGACTTCCATGCCTCGATGGAGGAACAATGCCAACGACGAGTTCATTGGCGACAGAAACGACGCGGCCAGGATCTTGGGAGACATCGCCGGCGCCCTCAACTACATCCACGGTCGCAAGCTGGTGCACAACGATATTAAGCCCGCCAACATTCTCTACTCGCCAGAGAGAGGTGCGGTCCTTTGTGATTTTGGCCTTTCTACACCGGCCACTGCTACTAATTCGCCGACCGTTGGCGGAACACCGTACTACGTTCCTCCGGAATTCATTGGGCGAAAACAGCGCGGACCTGCTTCTGACGTCTGGGCTCTCGGTGTCACTATGCTCTACGTGTTGCGCAAAATCACATACCCTGACTCTCGTGCTCATCGACGACACCCGCGACCCCTTTATTGGCTGATCGCTGGGGTGAACAGTCCCAACATGCCGCACAAGCAGTATGGAAATGGTCAGCCCGCCATGAAGCAGATGCGAGATTGGCTTGCCGAGATCTTCGATGCGAGAAAGAGTCTAAATCCCAAGGACCGACTCGAGCGGATCGTTATGGAGATGCTATACCCTAACCCCAACCAGCGTATCACTATGGCCAAAGTGGTACAAGAATTGGCTGTCGAACAGGTTGCTGCCCCTGTGGAATGAAGTCCGTGTAAGGAGTCCCAACTGTCATCAACCATATGTGAGAGGATCTCACAAGAATAATCAATTAGTCATTACCTGTCTTTTGTTTTCTGATTTCAGGACTGGAGTTTGGTGTTTTAGCGTTACATGCTGAATTTATATGAGTGGGATGGTGAGTAAACAAGCAACGCCCCTGATTTGACCAAGCTAACAACCCAGATTGGATATACCCTGTTATTATTCCTTACGTTTTACTGCAATTTTCGTTTCCATATACTATACCAATTACATGCTCTTTTTCATTTTCTTTAATCATGCAAGTAATCAAATAGGGGTCTGGAAGCATCTCTGGAGTCCCAATGGATCTCAACAATAAAAGGCTCCTAGTAGCCAGCCTGTGACTTCATTAACCAAAATTATATGTGATTTGGCTGCGTCAGTCGCTGCCTAAACCTAGCTGTATACATATCAGCTTCGGTCTGTATATGTATAGCTAGATTCAGACCGTAATTGTCGATTTTCACTGTTGAAGTTGCAGGTTGGCACGTCAATGGCATATTTGTTCCACATGTATAAAATCATTAGTTTTGAAAGGCCGTACATGTTCTATCATGACTACTGATTACACCTTAAAATACCCGTGTCTCATCATAAGGTCATCCATCTATAGGCCCAAACCCATCACAAAAGCGGCAGCAAGACCCACGACAGAAGTCATAACTATCGTATTTACGCCCATGGTGCCCGCAGCGTTGTCCTTGCTGTCTCCAGAAGATGTGGAGTTGGAAGAACTCTCTTCCTCAGTTCCATTGCCATTCTGCTGCTTGATCTTGACGTAGTCCACATCTCCGGTTTTGTTGCTAGGTCCTTTGGCATTCTCCTTGAAGCGGATGTCCGCACAGTTGTACAGGGCATTGCCAGTGTCACCAACAGTGACAACCTGGATACTAGCGATATCTCCGTCCTTGGGCTTGACGTCTGAGGGAAGCTCAAGCTTGTCGATGAAGAGAGTACCTGGGTTGGTAGCGTTGAGGAACTCGGGGGTGAGGGAGATGTTGAAGTTGGTGGAGTTCTCGCCGAGACCAAGGTTGACAAAGATGTAGGTCCACTCGTGGTGAAGATCAAGGGTGAGAGCGCCACCGTCGAGGGGCCAGTCGGTGAGGTTCTTCTTGTTGAAGTCAACACCAGCGCCTTTTTTTGTTAGCAGAGTACGAGATTGCAGGACATGAATTTGTCTTACAAGGTTGCTCCCACTGGTTGTAGCGCTCCTCGTTCGCCTCACTGAGGGTGTCCGCTCGCCAAGGAGGGAAGACGAGACCGAAATGGGCAGAGACAGCCTGAACAGTAGCCAGGCCGAGAAGAGTCTTGAAGGCCAGCATCTTGATTGTTGAGTTGGCAAGTGTGTTACGGTGGAGGAGAGGGTGAGTAACAACAAATGGAAGCACAGCAGGCGCTTCAGCTGTCTTTATATGCACAAAGCAGCACCTCAGTCATTCCAGGGTCCAGCTCATGCAACTGAGCTCTAGCTCTCTACATCTGAAAGCTGCTCTCGACCAAGCAATTATCGACCTAGCGTGAGTCAGTTTCGCAGGGTTGTGGCTGACTTCGCGTGATAGCCACTGCTGTGTCACTGGCAGCTTTACCGTTGAAGAAACCGGTGTCTTTCCCGGACACTCGGGGGTTGGTGTGAATGTTGGGGCTGCAGGTGGCCGGTCGTCAACGGTCTTTGGCCGGAGCATGCTATATAGATGCATCTGCAGTGTAAACGTTGATCAATTCAGTCAACTCATGATGATACTACTATACATCCTCATGAACTCTCTTTTTCTTTTCTCACTATAAGCTTAGAAAGAAGGTTTCTTTAAGCATAAGATCCGGAGTCTGAGCATGATTCTCACTTGCCTGTCATCACATCTTATCCCAATAAGGTCAGACCATGCGGGGGATGGCTGAGAGAGAGCGAGTTTGAGATGATAATAAACTTGCTCAAATGGCCGCACCAACCCCTGTTAGGTAAGGCTGTTGTTTTTCTTTCTCAAGCTTAAACACGGAAAATTAACTCAATTGATGTATTTAACGACTCTTATTGGTGTGAATATTAGCAGTATGAATGATGTTTTGCTGGTCTAGACTTTTGTGAATTTATGTGCTGATGGGTTGTGCTGGTGGGTTGAGATTGAGTGTCGAGGTGGCACAGGGTAAGTTGTTGCATGAGGATGAAGTTCAGTATTACAACAGCGCATTTTGTGAATATGATGTTCATCTAAGAGCGACCAAGAGATACAATGGAGAGGTATCACTCCCCGAAGGTCGTAGTAACTATTTATTGAGACATATCAAGCTGTTGAAATTACTGAGTGCGGGTTTAATTATCCCATGATATTTAGGGATACCTTAAATACATCAACAATGAAGAGCGTAACTCACATCAATAAAGATAATACTACAAGCCAATACACGACGACATCCGTAGATACAATTACACAACATCCATAAGGGTTAAAATTGTTATTTTGTTTCAAATATTTCCCAATGCCTGACTTTTCCTCGCACCAAATCTGGATATGTAAGTCAAGTTTGATAAGTCTGGAATGATGGCGTCAAAAACCATTGGACCCCTAATGTTGAAAGCCAAAAATTTCAATATAGGCTCGCAGTAACAGGATCGACCAAGCCCCCAGTAAAGCACAATCCTCATTTTTAAAGATATACATACATAGTGCGAAATAACTTGGCCCATGAACTTCAATTTCGTGTAAGTGAGATGTCGTATTACGTCACGTGCTCGCGCGCCTCAAGGCGTTCCTGTCGATAAGGATTTTCCAACGATGGTATCCACTTTTCACCGATAAGATCGATGATTCCCTGATGCTTCAAACATTAAACTCGTCTCCCTTCCAAATCATCATCATCTACAATTATCAATCATGGATCCTGGACGTAAAGCTATGATTTCAGGGCGACGGTCCCCTAGCCGACGAGATGTAACATCTCCCAGACATGATCCAACCAACCGAGTCACCAAGTCCACCAAACCAACTGGTTCCAAGATCAACCCCAAGTACTTGACCCAAGACGAGCAATCGCGACAATTTGTTGCCGACGAGGACAAGTTCGTACTGAAGCAGTCCAAGAAGAAGGCGGATATTCGAATTCGAGAAGGCCGCGCGAAGCCTATCGACTACCTGGCATTCAACCTAAGATATATCGATACAGACCGCGATATCTTCGACGACGACGACGCTGATATCGAAATCGATGTTCCCGCACCTGGAGATGTTATTGCCTCGCTTGATGCAGAGCAAATTGCCGAGTTGGAATCTGATATCGCCTCCTATCACGTGCTCGAAACCAATGCGACCAACCGAGAATATTGGAGAGCGCTTCAGACCATCTGTAAAGATAGGAAGGCGAAATTAGATCCGCACGGCCATGAGAGAAGGGTTGTAAGCAGTGTTTCAGACGACATCGACAAGATTCTCGCCCCCAAGACGCACGATCAGCTGGAGGCTCTAGAAAAGCAGATCAAAGCTAAGCTACAATCTAACGAGGATATCGACACGGATTACTGGGAACAGTTGCTGCGAAGCCTTCGAGTGTGGAAAGCTCGTGCCAAGCTGAACCAAATATACGAGACAATCAAGGAGACTCGCCTCAACCAACTCAAGGAGCGCGATCCAACCAAGGTCAAGACATTGGGCCAGTCGACTTCTGCCCCCAAGGTGACATTTGGTTCTCAGCCAGTTGCATCAGCTGCAGATGAAAAGGTGACTCCTGCACCTGTTTCATCCTCGAGACATGCGGGCTCATCAGCCCCACCAGGGACTGAACGCTTTTCTCAGGCCGACAACGTGGACTTTTCACAGGCAACCAAAGCACTGTATGATCGAGAGGTTGCTAGAGGTGTTGACGAGAACGAGGAGATCTTTACCAGCGAAGAGGCCGTTACCACTTCTAAGCCTCAATGGGCAGATAAATACAGACCCCGAAAGCCACACTATTTCAATCGCGTCCAAATGGGTTACGACTGGAACAAGTATAATCAGACTCATTACGACCACGACAATCCACCACCCAAGGTTGTTCAAGGTTACAAGTTCAACATATTCTATCCTGAGCTCATCGACAAGACAAAGGCACCAACCTTCAAGATCATTCGAGAACACGGCCGCAGACGCGGGGAATCGTTTGCTGCTGCTGGTGAGGAGGACACGTGCCTAATACGGTTCATGGCAGGCCCCCCATACGAGGATATTGCGTTCCGCATTGTTGATCGAGAGTGGGATTATAGCGCCAAGAAGGATCGAGGCTTCAAGAGCTCCTTCGACAAGGTACGTTCATCTGGACCTCTCCGCTTCACTTCATGAGGCAGGGCCACTCTGCCTCTGCATTAGCCGCCCTGAGTTCGTATTGCGACGATAGCTTTGGCCATTGGGTGGACTGCACTTTATGCAGCCCAGACCAGTCTATGTTGGTGACAGCCGTTTTGGCCCATGCTTTCAGACGCCATCGCCCCTCCATTACAAGCTCATGAACCCACAAAGCTAACCGTGCATACTAAACAGGGTATCTTGCAGTTGCATTTTCAGTTCAAAAAGGTATGACTTCGAAACCATATCTGTTGGTCCAGCCTGTTCGATCAGACTAACACGTTTCTCCAGATCTACTACCGGAAGTAGTTCCGGGATCGCTACCCACTATCTCTTGCTAGGAGTTGCGTCCGTCCTCGCCTAGTCCGAGCAAACCTAGGTCATCACCTGATGAAAAGGGGAGGGAAACCCGCTTATGCATCCCCCGTTCCGTTGAGTTTGAGTATGGGAAGGACAAAAATGCAAGTTTTCAAGCGGGAGGGCGGGCCAATCCGCCCTGCCTGATAAGGCTTGCATCATGATGGTTGTTAATAGCCTTCGACATGTGTACCCTATCCAGGTCATGTCTATTGATACTCCTGTACTACCTATTTGAGGGTTTCTAATTCGGGATTCAGAGCGGGGATTGGTAGAGAGCTAGAGTGGGCAAAGGTTGGGGCGATGCTGGAGTAGTATCCTGCTACCTACTGGATTTATTTGATCATCGTCCTGATCTTGATCGCCCAGTTCAAGAACCTGCGCAGACCAGGTATGAAATTACATCTTATGTCCCTGAATCTACACCTCTCCAACAGACAGACATTCAGACCAGCAACGATTGCTGCAGCAATGTTTCAATTAATTGTCACAAGCATTGCAATGAGTATGGCATGCAAACTCGGATCATCAGGCCTACTGCATCAGAAGGCTTCTAGAAATCTGTCACTTGCAAGAGTTCACGGACCGGGTCGAACAGACAGTACCAAACCACTCGGGCATCTATACGTTTATGTTTTGAGTGGAATCCACGCGGAGCTTGGGCAATCAGAGATATGACAAGAGGGTTGGTTGCAGCAAACACCAGTCAGAACAGCTGCGTCAAGCCTGATGATGCCTTAAATCCTGACTTCTAGTCGGATACCCGTCGATGAAGCTTCGAAAGATTGTTCTTTGCATGTTCTTTGACGCAGCGGACCGCAGAGTAGTGGTGATTTTATGCTTCAGCAATCTTCTAACGGCTCTCCGGCAGCTTCCATACTGATTCACAACAGCAACATATGGATAACGGGGATTCAAACGGGACGGGCACCGGCTGATGCTTTGATTGGCGGTCTGATTGGTATCCAGATTGGTGTCCCGATTGGTATCGTCTGAAATGCAAGGTGCCGTTTGAGACGCAGACTACCCGCGATAGCCCCGTTGGTGAGAGTACAAGCCAGCTGAGTTACCGTCAAGTGACTTGAGGCCGTTGGTAACATGTACCTTACAGGGTATGATGCTTCTCGGTCCCGATACATACCAGGTTTGCCTGATGAGATTGGGAGGGACGTTTTGATAGAATAGAAGGAAGATTTGGCGATACGCAAAGGGGTAAGCAACACGAGGCTTCCGAACTGGTCCAACGAATATCGGCACATTTCTTGTTAGGAGCTATCGTTCTAAGGTTGCACGTTCTGTTCGGGACCTTGGATCAGGGCCCTTGGACCATCTCATTCTTGATGCAATTACCCACTGCATGTAGCTCACTCTCCTTGCCTGGTTGCTCCGCTCAAGCAAGTACTGAACCTACATACAGTATCTTGAAGCAATTTCAAGGACCAGGGCATGGGAGTGCATGCACCTGTGGCGTATGAGGTGACATATAGTGCCTGTTGAGGCATGGTACTCTTCTGACAGGCAGGGCTCATAGACGTCACTGGAGTCGAAGCAAGAGAAGGCAGAGGAGGCAGAGGCAGAGAGGCCCCAGTGGGAACTCATTTGCGCGTCCAACATCTTCTAGACTCTGCATTTGATGGCCACACACAAAACACAGCCAGAAACACACAAGCACAGGCGCAAATTTACAACACAAATGCATGTCAGTAGGGAGGCTTGCCGTCGGTGATCAGCTACCCCGTGGGGTGGCTTACAGATGGCGTCCTTGTCCGTTTTCCTTGTCTGCCACAGACCACCATGGCTTGTTAGGCGCTTGTTGGTCGGCCCTCGCCCTTTCACTTGGCACACGCCCCCCGAGCGACCTTGACTACGATCTGAGGTCCTTGCCCATAAGCTTCGACGGTTATGAAGGTGGATGGGAGATCTAAAAGCTAAGATTGCTGAATCTGTCAACGGGCATTTGTTTATCAACGGATCGACGTCTAAACGAAGCCGTTGTCTAAAAGCCAGCCCTGCAACTCCACGCCCTACCCCAAACGAGCGGGAGGAGGCACAAGCACCCTTCGCTTCGGCATCAAATATCGCCATCTTTCCTTGCCCCCGTTCTTGTCCTTGTCCCATTGTGTCTATTGTAACGTTCTGCTATCTCCCGACCTCTCCCTCCATTCTTCATCTTGTTCATCAACATCTCCCTTTCACCTCGCTTCCCATTGCTTGGTACCTGAGTGAAGAAATCTCCTTGTTCCGAGAACACCATCAAACCACCCACGAGACTCATTGTACTTCCTTCCAAACAAGCGTCCTTGACTTCAACAGAGGTCGCAATGGATACACCGTTTCCTGGTGACGAGCAAGCTTCTAGCTACACCAATACTATAATGGGTCACGGGCAACAATCACCTTGCGTATCAGAGCTCACCGGTATGGAGTCATACTATGCCCTCTCTTCGGGCCCTCAAGATCAACCATCTCATCTATCATCAACTGGTCCGCTGTCTCTAGGCTCGACCCTGTCACAGCACCAAGAGAACCAACAGCAGACGTCACATCCGACTCATGATGCGACTGTGTATGCTTCCATGACCTCAGGCTTTCAATATCCGCCTCGAAGTCATCACCAAGTCTGGCCTTCACCTCCACCAGGATCTGACGATTATGACAACTACTCTTACCAAAGTTCCCCAAGCAGTGGCAGTGCCCCAATGAGCTGCTACAACCCATCACCTATTTCACCAAGGACGTGGTCTTCTCCAGACTTCCCTCTTCCTCAACCTTCAGACCCTGTTCAACAGAACTCGTTCAAGAATCTCCGCATTGGCACACCGACATCAAACGAAGGGTATCCCGTCAGAGGCCCTCGGGTCCTGACGCCTTTCTCAGGTGGCGGTATGAATCAGGTTTTCGATAATGAGATTGACGGCCTGCCACACAACTACTCCCCAGTGACAATCCCGAGTTCATCAGCTGGAGCACTATCATGCAGCGGCTCCCCGCAAGAACCTCTTCTCGGAACTCCCGTGCACATGGAAGCTCGACATGAATCACCCGCCGGTGTACCAGAGTACCGCGCGAACTCAAAAGTGGTTCAAGAAGGCCAGGAGCTTCAAGCCGCGGCTGCTGGCGGCGCCAAGACAGATGAACCCTACGCCAAGTTACTCTACCGAGCTCTGATGAGCGTTCCAGATCATGCCATGACTCTTCAAGAGATTTATCAGTGGTTCCGTGAGAACACTGATAAAGACATCAAAAAGGACAAGTCAGAGAAGAGACCGGGCAAGAATGCCGAAGGCTGGCAGAATAGCATCCGCCACAACCTGAGTATGAATGAGGTATGTTAAGAAGATAACCCCCAAGCAATGCACTCTCTAGACTTTGCTGTCTCAGATCTTGTTTCCACAACCTCCCTGCTATTACCGGGTATAGCTTGCGGCAGAAGCTGCATATGTACACGGGCCAACGCTTCTTGGGGGCTTGGACGAATCATGCTACAAGAGTTTCGATGAAGGCTGACAGTGGATCTTGATGGTAGGCTTTTGTCAAACGAGAACACAAGCAGGCGTCAGACTCGGCATCGAGAGCAACGGAGCAGGGTTCAGGCTCAACTAAAACTGGTGAAGCTAAAAAGGCGACCGAATGGGTGTTGGAGGATTGGGCCGTCCAAAATGGAGTTGAGAGCACAACAAAATACCGCGGCAAAAACACATCACGTCGAGGAATGGGGCGCAAGTACCATCATCACCCATATGATGACAGATTTTCACAGCGACACAGCCCAATTGCCGCCAAGGGTGGCTCAATTCACAAGGGCGATTTCCTAACGAACGACATGAGAATGCGCGAGCGTCAATACACTCATGAGGCGAGCATGGCACCAAGGTCCCACCATATCAACTTCATCGCACCCCCTCATCCCATGCGCCGGGCGACTACAATGCCGAGCATGTATCAGTCACCACAGCCGCAGCACCGGGGCTACGAGGACCTGATGATGCCACGAGTCGAGAGAATGCCTCAACCAGTCACCAAGCAGGAGTATTCTCCAATGACACCCGACTCAAGTGGGTTTGGCTTCATGCTTCCAGAGCCGAGCCTAATACACGGGCATGCAGTCAGCTCTAGCGCCAGTAACAGCAACGGCACTACCGCGTATACACTGCCTAGTGGCACCCAGGGCATGTACGTTGGGTCATCTCCGTGCGAATATCCGTATGGGATGGTAGACGTCACAGGTGTCTATCAAGGCAGTGGTCACAATAGCCCTACTGGTGCTGGTGCTGGTGCTAGCGCTAGCGGCGGAGTCGACGATCGCCTCATAGGGATCGGCCCTAACGACGCCTACAGCTGGGACGGCCAGGCACTCTGAATATGGAAATATTCCGTCCAAAACACCCCGAGGCGAATGCAAGCCACCAATGTCACTTGTTAGTTTTGTTGGCGGCCGACGAGAGCTACAGTAATTGACGTTATCAACAACGGGCTTACTGGCAGGGGAAAGAAGAGGATAAGAAAACGAGAGAGGCGAAAAAAGAAAACAACGAAAAGAAAACAAAAACAAGAAAGAGAGAAAATTGGTGTTCTTCCAGAGAGATCGACCAGCTTGCTTATCCGCACCTCTGCGCCACCACGGGAACCGCGAAAAAGAGGGGTGAAGAGTATTGAGTGAGTGAGTGAGTGAGTGCGTGATTCTGGAAAAAAGCAAATCAACTTCCATTCTTTTGTCGACTCGACTCGACGCCCTTAGATGGAAGAGGGATGGTGGCAGTTTCAAACAACAGGGCACCACCACCACCACCACCACCACCAACACAACTTTACCTCAATTTACCTTAACTCACCTTACCACATTCAACCTTTAACTTAACTCTACTCTCCAACTTACTAGGCTGAACCCCACACAGACCCTGGAGGTCACGGGCGGATCACCTCCCATCCGAACACATAGACTCGCGGTCATGGGT